TCGCGATATGAAAAGAGGCCCAAGTTGTTCAATATTTTAGTCCGAATCGAAGAGCTGTCTAGGTGAGCCTCAAATCGTTGACCAGCCTCTTGATGTTGACTTTTCTGTGTAAAGAAAATCCTTACAAGTTTCTCATTCTGCAATGATCGACCCTGAGTTGCAGACCCGAAGTTGAGTTTACTTGGAACTATTAATTCTTTATTCTATGATAATATTTTATTCCTTTTCAATAAAAAATTTTCAAAAAGCAAAAACTATCTCAAAAATAGTGTTCGAGAGCAATAAATGGGTATCGTGATTTAAGGTGTAAATGAATATTTTGCAACTTTTATCATGCAGCATTAATTTGATGCTCTCAAATATCGTCACGCTGCAAGGATGACTGGGAGGTGACAACGTTTCAAAGTATTATAATGCACATAATTAATGTAAACATTCATATTTCAATGGCAATGAGCATCAAATGAGATGAAATTTTGCTTAAAGGAAAGCTCAGATAATGCAAATGCTATCTTAAACTAAGGAAATGATTGAAAATGAGTAGATCAAAGTTGACACTAAATTGGGTTACCTCTTTTTTATGCAACAAAATAAAAGAAGAAAGTTTGAATTTTGAGATTCAATCTGAATAAATGAATCAAATGATGAATCATATTGAAATGAGGTAAACAAATTTTGTCAACAACTGCTGCATAATAAACAACTGGAATTTGAATAAGTTTCATTTCGATTGGAACAAAGTTGAATAGTTGATCGACCAAGGTGGACAATGGAAGTAACAAAATGCATAAACTAAAAGTGCAGTTAAAAATATTATTTACTCTCTGGTAATAATATTAATATGAAAATAATGGTTTATTACTGATGAATGTTAACCAAATAAATAATGTAGATAATATGTTGACTGAACTGGAAAATGTACACAGTGCCATTTGTTTAGCTGCAATTTACTAACTATTATGTTAAATGAGGAAAGAAAAAGTTTACCAACGAAATGAAAAAAATCTTACTTTTCTCACTTTCATTTCAGGGCAGAATATCTCAATTGAAAAGATAAAGGAATTGAAAAGGAATATTTCCTTTTCTTTCTTTCTCCGATATTAATATCTCGATAACATTTGCATGACACTTACATTTCATTAAAAAAATGCATTCAATGTTGAAGTGGTAAACAGACGAAAATCGAAATATCTCGAAAGTAATTAGCATCAATTCAGTTGATTGTGATGTAAATTCATATCATGAAGTAACTCTTTGGTCCTCGGTTCGACACTGGTTCAACTGAAGACTTTTATTGGTTTCGTTTCACTTTAAACTTGTCTGCTTAGAAACTCTAACCTCAACTAAATCTTTCAAACTCTGAAAGTTGATCTGAAAATGAAATCCAATCTGAACTATTAGAAACGATTCAACTACAGTTATTTTGCATTCAATGAATGATAAATTCAGTTGCATAAGTTCAGTTTCAGACTTGAATATTAACTATTCTTCCCAAAGTAAACTTTTTTGACTAAACTCTTTCAGATTAATCAGTCAAACTGTTTCGAGATTGTTACCTAAAATGAGATAAAAAGTACGTGGACTAATCAGTAATTTTTGAAAGCTTTGTTAATAAGTTCTGTCGGTACATTGCGTTGAATAAAATATTATATGCAGAAAATCAGTCGAATAGGGACAAAATAAAGAAGTTAAATGAACATTTTCAGGTAATCAATGAAATTACGAGAGCAAAAACAATGTAATCTTATTGTTTTATTTATATGCTTTGATTTCGTTAGAATTTTAAAATTCATCAGATTCTTTTCAACATTCCAACCTTAAATTTATCTGAAATGCTGAGACCCAAAATCAAACCAATGAACCTTTAAATCTGTCAACTTGTTTCAATGTCAAAGTTGATTGAATGACAAAGAGTCATGTTAATTCTATTCAAATTATTGACTGGCACAAAAGTGCTTGTCAATCAACAATTTTGTATTCGATTGAACTTTATTTACATTTGTGAAGAGTTGAAATAAATCCCAGGTTCGATGGAAGATTCAATCAACATTTGAATGAAAATCAACATGACTGTTTCATGATACTTGATTGGTACTTTTCAACTTTTATGCAATTCAATTGTCTGTGTACTTGAATGTCTCAATAGTCAGTAACTTTGTTGCTTTGCAGACGCAACATTAACCTTGAAATATTCAATGACATCAATTGCAACGATTTAATCAAGCGAACAGAGTCACTCTTTAAGAATCACTCCGTCCACTTACAAATTCATTTTGTAAACATACTAATATAAAGTATTCAATAATTTGGATTCAAGAGAGATTTGCATCCAACCTCTGAACCAACACATCCTTGTAACCTTGTAATAACACATCACAAGACTGATGAAAATGAATAGCCATTTATCTTCATCAGTGAAGCATAAGCATGAAATAGTCTCGTGCAAATCTGTATGATAGCCAGTGCGTAACGTGCGAAAAACAATTCATGAAAGTGAGTTTTCAAAACGGCTAAGCTGAGTTGAAATCAGATCAATATCATCATCTTTTAATTTCATGTTCAAAGTTGGTAATAAAGTTTTCTTCGATTATGAACAAAAATTGTCAATAAATTTCAAGCACAATGTTCATCTTCAACTTTAAAAAACATCTCATGAGGGTGAACATTTCCAACACTGATTGCCATTTATATTGAACAAAAAGTGTTTTGCTTTCATTCCCTTCACCTTCAAACATTTCATTTTTTCCCCTTTTGTTTATCTCCTTTGAATATTTATATCCAACCAAAATATCTTTTCTTCACCATCAATAATCGATTCAACGTTATTACCTGATGTTGGTAAAAGTTTTTCTACCCTTTTCTCTCCTTCTCTCCCTCGATCTTCATTTCATTCATTTTTTTCTCTCATTCATTTTCCCCATTCCTGACTTTTACGTCTGCCCTCAATCTGAATCATTACAGAAAACTTTTATTCATTGTCCAAAGCAAATGGGAAAAAGAGGAAAAAAAACTATTCTTTCTGTGTGTCATTTGTAAATTGAGGTTATTATACAGAATAAAATGAGCACAACTATTATCATTTCCATCCAGATGGAATATTATTCAATGTTTCAGGATAATTCTGTGCAGTTTAATAGCTCTTGAAACTCTGAGAGACCAAAACTTGATCATTATAATGAGAGTGAATCAAATAAATGACCAGTAATGAGTTATCTTGAACAAGCAAATTGTTGAACCAGCAAAGAGAAGAAGAGGAAAAATTGAAAACAAATTAACGAGAAATGAGTTTTACATTCAATATTGAGCTCAACCATTTCAAGTCAAATTTAAAATCAAATGTTATTGTTTCAAGGTAAAAATATTGAACCTTTTTTATTTGTTACCAAACGTTGAGAAAAAAATCAACTTTGATATTAATCAAAGGAAATCTCATATTCTCAATTCTCAAATCGGTGAAAATGTGTAACAAATAATGTTTTAGGATAAAAAGTAACATCATTCAATTGCCATTGTTTCAATTTTACTTAAACCCTGTCACTGTATAATTAACCTGTCAACCAGTTTTTTATGTCAATCTCTTTACTCTTTCAAGTTTAAACAGTTTCACTTTTACCTGTTATTTGTTACCTTTTTTCACTTTTTTATCATTCCAACCTGTCAACTGGCACCTTTTATTATAAAATAGTTGATATCATTGAACTTCACAGTTTTTTATTCACTTTTTTTTGCACATTCAAACAGTTGCACTTTACATTTGGCCAACATTTTCATTTCCTTTTATCCATTTCAAATGAAAATTCGAATGAAAATTATTGCTGTCAAAATGATCACTTTCAACTATTGGAATGGCCGATAATGATAAGCAAAAATTGATCAAAGTGTTGATTGTAAAAATGGTTTCGACTTGGTTGGGAATCTTTGATTGAAAGAAAATATTTTTTTCCTTTTTTGTTTTACTCCAAAGAGTAGAGGAGTTGATGAATGATAATGATTTGGTTAAATCGCTTCATTCATCTTCATGATTTGTATCTCTAAAGATGAAAGTAACGTTGAAATTTAAATGTTGACTGTAACGATGAGAAAGTAAAATCTTTTGTCAGTGTAAAGGAAAAGAAGAAGAAGAAGAAGAAAAGAGGAAAAAATCAAACAAAATTGAGTGCTAAGTGGTTATGTATTTTTGGTAATAGTCAATTGAAAAGTGAAGAAGGGTGCAAGTGATTTAATATCTTAAGAAGCTTAAAGAGAGGAGGAATGATGATAAGAAAGAGAGTGAAGATGATGATATTGTTGAAACAAAAATGGAAAACAAGGCCAAAAGAAACAATGTAAGGTAGATTCGAAGCTGAGATCAGCAAGAAAAAAGGTCAAAGAAGAAGCAAAAAAATGGTTTAAATGAATCTTTCAGATAATAGGTTTTCTAGTCTTTTTTTTCATCATAATAGCTTTTCTCAGTTCTTTTGCTTTTTTTCACCAAACAATTTCAATTCGTTTATCATTATCAAGATCTGTGTCAAATCGTTGCTCCATTTTTATTCAACTTTCTTCAAGTTTATCACTTGAAACTGGTATTGCAGTCAATGAGTTTTATCGCTGACTTTTTTTTCGTTGCAACGAAGTAAGTAAAACATTCCTTTGCATTTACCTTTCCAATTAACTTGGATTTTTGGCAATTGATTAATCTGACTTTTGAATGGCAAATGAATTTGATCATTTTTGTCTGTCGTGCTTTTTCATTGGCGATAGATAAATGTCAGTGAACATCAATTGCTAATGATGATGGACGTTAAACAATGTTGACAGGGAATGACACTTAATTCAATATCAATCATCAATGTTGCTCCGATTATTTTGTTTACTACTTTTCTGGTTCCAATTCAAATGCATTATTGATTAGTGGTGAAATATTTTTAGAAGCTAATGATGATCAAAGTTAATGGGTCAATAGTACAATATGGAGAGAGAAAGAGAATATTTTTTTCTTGAATTTTTTTTCTACTTACGGGAAACTTTGGTTGAACTTTTCTCAGTTGGTAACTTGTCCAGACTGTCACTGTAAACGTCAAGCTGGAGGCCTGACTCTAGCTTGGGTATGGAGCTGATGAACTTGGAGTTGTGCAAAAAGTCGACCGTCATTGGTTTGGGTTTATCCATGGTTCCATACATGTTGGCTCCTTTGATAAATGTCCGGTTTGGCTTGAGACAAGGTCGACCCATGCACAGTTTACACTTATTTGTATCACAATTAAAAGTGCGTTGAGTCAGTAAACAATCACTAAATGAATGGGGTAACAAACAATTTGAGTTTGTAAATGATCCTTGAAGGGCTTTTAATCTAAGAGGTTTAACGTTCCGTGTCACTGTGGGTGGTGAATAGTTATTGTTGACGAATGAATTGAAAGCTTCAAAATTGGTTGATGTTAAAGGTTGCCCTGCTTGAGCTGGTGTGCAAATGTAGTTTTCAGGTTGAGATTGGTGCGCTTTTAAACAAACTTGACATGTTAGGTCTGGTTGATATGATGCTGGTGAGGTCAACTCTGGGGTTGATTGGGATATTGAATCGAAGCTTGAATCACTTTGAACAAGTTCACTTGCTTCAATAGGAAGCTGGTCAGGGAGTCCATAGCGAAGGGATAATATTGCTATTGAGACAAACATGTAAGATAAAAGGGAACCGAATCCAAGCCACAAAAATAATGTTGAACTTTGAACTGTTAAGGCAACAGAGGATGATAAAAGTAGGGCGCAAATGGTGGCAATGCTTGTTGTTCCCTTGTTTGAATCGTATTTGGACAGTGAACTTGGTAACAGGCCATCAGAGGACATTGTAAATAAAAGTCGACTGAGACCCAAAAGGGTGGCAATAATTGATGCACAAAGGCCACTTGTTGCACCCAGAATGACGAGATATTTCATTGCATCATAGCCACGTAAAGTGAATGTCTAATAAAAGTAAAAGTAAAGTGAAATGAAACATGAGATCAGTAAATGTAGATAAAGAAATGGTTTTCACTCCCAGTCAATTGAGTGCATTGCAATAAAACTTTTCATTCATCTAAACATTCCAAGCATGAGAAAAGGTATGGCACAAAAGTGACTGATAAAAGATAATATTTCAGAAGTTCATCATTTTGTCGATTAGAAATCGCACTTGAAAACAATGGAGGTTAAATGGATGACCTTGAAACTTGAAATTTACAAGATCCAATCTTTTGAAGGTTACGCTATGAATAGGATAGTCTATAGATTGAATTGTTTTTATAAAAGGTGCGAAAAGTGAAAAACTCTAAGGCACTTGAACTTGCGCGTGCTATATCAAATTCGCTTTTATGCATTTTTTTTCATTTGACGCTGAACAACTATATTTTTATAATGGATTTTATCAATGTCCATGACTGTATTCATTCATGTGACGGTATTTTCGTATCGACAATGGGATCAATGGCTTAAAAACGAGCTTAAAAATCGACAATTGCATCGATTTTTCTTGAAAAAAATAATCCAAATTATCGGCTGACCAGGAATCAAGAAATCGAGAATCATTCGGCAAAAATGTTTGTAATAAACATTCACAGTGCGACTCTAATGCAAATTCAATTGCATTCACATTATTACAACTCTAGCATCTACAATATCACTATACAGAGTGTTTGATTGTTTGAAAGTTGCGCTTCTCTTATAATAAGAAGGTAATACGTTAGTGATCCCTCCGTAGGTTCACTTATGGAAACCTTGTTACGACTTTTACTTCTTCTAAATGATCAAGTTTGAACATCTTTCGAGCACAATCCTATCACTAGTTTACCAGTAGTCTTGATTGACAAGTCTGAAGTCCTCACTAAATCAGTGCCGATGAGTTGATGTTTCAATGTGCCATCGTGCTAATGTGCTAATGTGTTGTCTTCTCATTTTTGCTCAATAATAATATAACAGTTAATCTAAAGCTCGATTGATTGCGGTCAATTATTTTTGTCAGATTATTAGCCTTTTGCTTGGATGAATTTCAATCAAACTTAAAACAACATTTTCACTCATTTTTTTTCTTCTTACGATTATCTATTATTTCTTTTTCACCTCTTCATCATCTTATGTTGAAACTCATCATTTCTCATTCTCTTCATTCCTATCTTTCATTTACCAAAAGAATTTCAACTGAAAACCATTGGACCAATCATTTGGATTATTTCATCTCTTTTTTTACCTCTCTTTTCATCACCGAAATACACATTTCTAGAAAAGTAAAAAAAATCTCCACTAAGAATTATGAGGATAAAGAAGATAAGTGAAAAAAAAATCTGTTCATGCTTAACCTAAAATCTTGCGATACTTTTGTTGCCAGTTTACAACTGAAAAAAAGACGATCATCATCATCTTCATCTTCATATTCAACGAGAAAATAAACCAACTCTAATCCATTTCGATTCATTTATTCAGCTCTTCTTTCCTTTTCATGAGAAATTATTTTCTTCTTTCATTATGTTTCGCTTATTGATGTTGACTTTTCATTTTCCTGTGTCTCCATCCTTTTCATGGAAACACACAAAATATAGCAACAAAAAACGATCGACATTGAATTATATTAGTGAATGAAAAAGTGCAACAATTAAGAGGAAAAAAAGTTATTCGTCTTGTAATTGATGCAATTCAATGTTCAATTGCTTTTGATTGGTCGAACACTAAAGTGCCAAGTAACATGAAAAAAAGAAGTTTTGATATTAATTAAAACGAAATCCAAGGTAAAGCTTAATCTGATTGAACAAAAAGATCATTTTATAAGTAAAAGATCGAAGGAAAGAAAAGATGAAAAAATGTTTGAAAACATAATCCATGTGAATATGTAACAACTAACCAATAAAGGTTTAACTTTGTTTGCTTGTTTGCTTTTCCGATAAAATATTGATGCTATTCTGATTGATCAAATTAACCTGAACACAATTTTCTGCTCTTATAACGATTCCGATTACATGTTTATCATGATGGAATGCATTATTTATCATTGTTATTATTTTCAGTGTTTTATTGATTTTTATACCAAATTCAACTTACTTGGATGATTGGTGCATTATCGTCCATCAATGAGTACGGAATGAGCAAAGTAATTGCAACTGAAGATGAAAAACAAGCAACTAATCCCAAAAGGAAAGCTAAACTTATACCAACAGGCACAATGCGAATACGATGTTGAGTTTCCCCTGCAATGGAACTGATGATATCATATCCATGGAATGCAAAGAAGCATAATGAGGCAGCCGAAAATATCTTTGTAAGAAAAGAAAAAGGTAAAGAAAAGTTTAACATGAAAATGATCAACATTCAAATGGACTTAAGAAAAGGTTCAATGGAAAAGGTAAAGTTGAGGAAATAATGTTTGAAAACAGATTATACTCGAAACTATTCAATGGTTAAGAGAATGGAAAATCTGATAATATTGTTAGGAATTTTCTTTGGATGAGAAATGCTAAATAAGGTTAAAAATAAAACTTGGAATCGAAGTCAAGAGTTTACATTTTTAGATTCAACTGTCTTCATTCAATTGAACACAAAGTCTCTTTTTCTTTGACTGGGAATCAAGTTTATCATTGAGAGCAAGCAAAAGTTTCAAGGAAAAATTTCTCAAAAATCTAATTCAGAAATGGGTTTCTTAAGAGAATATTTTTTCTTCGTTCGGTCGTTTTTTCTGCAATCTTCAGAATTTCTTTTCGAATAGAACATGGATTTTCGCAATTGATGCTTGATTTGAGTTTTTAGACTTCGGGAGTTTCTTTGTAAAGTCTTGGTTCTAAACTTTTCTGAGCTTAACGAGATTCTCGAATCAACAAGTGATCTTAGGAACAGTCATCGTTCTGTTTGATAAATATTGGACGATTGGATGGGTTCGATTGGTTGACGATTCTCACCCCATTGACTCCATTTGGAAAGAATCCTGGTCCAGCTGTCCAGTTTTCTGGATCCATATCAGATAAGGCAACCATGACGATACCAGCGATGACCAATGAACAGATGAATACAGCGATGTTGTTTATCAAACATGATAGCTATTGAATTGAGATTGAAAATGAATTTCAGCAATTTGTTTTGCATCATTAAACAGTTTGAAGTTTGTCTACATTATTTTGAAATGTTCAATTTGAGGGAAACATTTTGTTGTAAATTTTTGAACAACTTTCAATCTGGTTAATACTCTTGTTTCATTATATTGATATTATTTGCTACTTTTGCTCAATTAGATTGTTTAGTGTTAATGTTTCAACATTTTTCAACTCAATTTGATAACAAATTTATGAATAACATTTAAATAGTTTATTTTCAGTGCAATGTGAATGTTTATCTTTTTTTATATCAATAATTTATTCTAAACAGTCAATGAAAATTTTATGAAACTAAAAGGTTCCATTGAATGTTGAGATTCATCATTAAATTATTAAAATTAATGCTATTAGCAACAGATTTGAAGCTGAGAATTGCAAAACCAAAAAGGATTTAAAATCATTGTTAATCAGTTTCAACTGCAATCGACTTTTCTTGCTTTTCATTTCAAATTGTTTCATTCAATTGTTCAAGAAACACACAAAAACTAAATATAATAGTTGAACAAATTGAACCATTTTCTGAATCGACTTGAATTTGATTAAAACCTCAAACTGTTTCAATGATTGGAATAAATGAAAACAGAAATTAACCTTTAAATCTAATGAAAGTAAGGCTCCAATTGAGACAATTATTAATGCGGAAAGCAAGTCAAGGTAATGATCCTCAAAACCGGGTAAAAATTGAAGAGATTGAGTTTGAATATGAAAAAGGTTGACCAATGAACCATTAGTTACATTGTCCAAGTAGGAGGTTAACGATTTAGCAGCCAATGAGCTTGCAATTACATATTCAAATATCATTGACCAGGCAACGAGAAATGCCCAAATCTCACCAAGAGTAGCATAAAGGTAAACATAGCTTGGACCACCTTCAGGGAAACGACTTGAAAGCTCTGAATAGCAAAGACCTGGAAACATGGAAATGAAAGAGAGGCAAAAAAAGATGAAAGAATGGAAAGAAGAAAAAAAATTTCCAATAAGGAAGAGAAAAAAGCCAAGAAAATGAACAGATTCAGCAAAGGTAATGTAAATAGTAAGGAAAGTAAGGAAGGAAAAACAAAAGAATCGATATTATTCTGCAAAATATAAGTAAAGTTTGAATAAAGTAAATGATTAGTAATAAAGTTACCTCCAAGACATGAAGCAACTGCTGCTATCAAAAAGCTGAGAACCACTGAAGGTCCAGTTTCATGTTTGGCAGCATGAGCAAGTAAGGTGAAGATGCCGGTTCCTAATGTTGTTGATAATCCTGAAGAAGAAAACATTTTAACAAAACATGAAAAATGTCACTTTTTCTCGATTCTCTTCATCTTTTCAATTTCATTTTTTACATTTTTTGTCATTCGATCATTTCTTTTCATATTATTGATGATTAAGTGAGAAATTTGAGTCCATTTCTTACCTAAACATGTTATGTCAATGATGAATAGACTTCGAGTCATTCGTGCATCGGTTCCTTCCTGGAAAGCGATTTTACGCCGACCAAAGACTTTGAAAACTCCGATCAAAGAGTCACTCATTGATGCGCCTTTTTGGTTTTCAATGAAATTGGGAAAATTATTTTTCTACTAATTTTAATTTTCAATTGTAACAATTAGCACTTTCATCTTTTGTAGTTTTTTGGTTTTCAAATTGCACAGTTTAATCCAATTCTTGGGTTACATTTATCATTTCATTGATCAACTGTTTGAGTTTAGTTTAAAAGCAACTTTTCAACAGTTTTTCGGCATTTTTTCCTCTTTTCATGTTGAGATGAGTTTGAACTGAGATTTTAGTTTAACTTTAACTTGCAGGTTTAAGTTGACAATTTTGATGATTATGATGATGATATGTTTGATTGGGTTATGAAGGGATAACTTGATTTGAAAGGAAATTTACTTCATTCTGTTTCGATTCAACTAAACTCTGAAATTATTTTTGCTCTCTTGGCTTGTTTCCATTCAAAATACGCATGAAACATGATTCGACTCACAACTTATTGGATTGATTTACAATAACTCACAATTGTTAGTCACATTTTCACCTTATTTGTATCGTTTTCAAGGGTCATCCGAATAGCTTTATTGTTTCGGGAAATTGGCGATTACAATAAACAGAGCGAAAGTGTTTTGTTTCATGGTTTAATGGATCGCTCTTCTTGTCTGACTTTCTTCAAAGGCTTTCAGGTTAAGAGATCAATTTAAAATTTAGAAAAATGGAATTTAATTTGAGGAACAAAAAATAGCGAAATTGGTTTAATGTTAATTGTATCATTAAAATTAATTGCGCTTGAATTGATTCACTCACAGAGCATTTTATTTCTGTGTCTACATCTGGTGTTGAAGCATTCAGGTATTTACAGCTGTTTGTTACTCGTTTTTTTTGCTCATTTTGTTTATTTTTGTTATATTAATCTAGTCGATGGTTTAAATTATGAGTTTATTGCAACCAATTTGTGGTAAAATATGGAGAGGAATCCATACAACAGTTTCCCTGTTTGCCGAACCGATGAAGAAAAAGCGTCGAATCGATCCAATTCTGTTAAAGTTGAGGAATGAAAGGAAAGCCAAACGGTTGGAGAAGAACATATTAAAGATGGAAAAGGCTCCGAAACAAATGAAACCTATTGTTGAACTTTCGTTGTCACCTCATGTTCAAAAGGAAATGGATATTCGAGTTCGTAAAAATGTTGATCCTCAAGCTGAAGCCAATTTTCGTAAAATCTTGGCTGTCTGGCAATTGTATCGTTGTTATCAAAGTAAATCGGAATATAAATGTATAAGAGCAGTTATCGCTTCTCAGGAAAAGGCATTGAATCATCTTAAGAAAGTATCGCCCAGTTTATGGACTCAAGCTATTGCATTTGATGAAAAACTAATTCCTTACAATGGAACTGACCATCGACTTAAATCGTCTCCACCTAATCCTAATTACACACCGCCTGATGGACATGTTAAAGAAACGACTAAAGAATGGAAACTGTAATCGTGCTAGTATTTCTTAGTAAATTTATGTAAACATTTAGTGAATTATAAATTTAAATTTAAATTGATATCCAAATTTTTATCCTTAAATTTTTTAAGCTCAACATTCACTCGAACTCGAACATTGATGCAAATAATAATCGAAATGCTCGATTAATCGATGTTAAAGTATTCGAGTAACATATGTTAGTGAGAGATCTTTTAACATCGATTTCCCTAAATTGATAAACAATTTAAACCCAAATTGTTTTGTTATTAATTATTGATAACTATTTCTTATCTTTCAATTATTTACTTGTTTATTTTTATTGATTAGCTTGTTGTATAGTTTTTAATGTTTACCGATTTCTTCAAGTGAATGGAAAGTAACATGCAAATTGATGGGTTCTACTATGATCCCATTAAAAAGCGTCACTTTCGAATCTTAAACAACAATAAATTTCATCCACTTATCAACACCCAAGTCAAATCCGAAGTTAAACCGTCTGGTCCAATGAAAAATTTTTGCAGTGAACTTTCTCGTTTACATATTAATCGTAGCAGTTTCAATGTTCAAGAATGCCTATTATCTGCTCGGTTTGCTCAGATGGAGTGCACCAAAATTAATACACTGGAAGTTAATGATTTTAGAGGAAACCCGATGAAAAATATAAACTGTGATTATCTTATTGGTGAACCAGAAAATGATTCCCTTTATGGAGTATGGAGCTCACCAGAAGGAACTGGGTCAATTATACAGCGACTTAAAGTATCTAATAATTCAGAAAGATCGGATCGACAGTTTGACTGGCGAAGTCGGTCAATGATCAACTCTTTCCCAAGCGGAAGCAAAGTCGAAGATTTGTGTATGGTTCAAATAACGGGGTCGCCTTGTTCAGCTGTGATGTGCTTAACTAACCATTGTAAAAAAGATTTGACCACTTATTCTTCTCTAGGAATATATTATCTCAGCAATGATACTCAAATTGAGAATCACTTACAGACCGAAGATTGTAGTCTAAATTATGAATTTTGGGAACCTGCCTACAGTTGCTGTCCTCACACCTTGCAAACATTAGCTATTGGTGGCAATAAGCACATCCGTCTATTTACTCCTTTATACATCAATACCAATCGTACAAGCAATGATCACACTCTATTGGAAGTGAAAGGCAAAGCAACATCATTAAAATTTTCTCAGGATGGTAAAAGACTTTATGCAGGAACAAATAATGGATATCTTGTTTCATTTGATGTCACCAACAAGAAACGTATTGAAACATGTAATCTCAAAACAAAAACTATCGCTTATTTGCATCCTCTCAAAAACGGCAATCAATTGATTGTTTCCTGTCATGATAGCAAACTATTACTCATGGATAACAGAAATTCGAGGTCACCTATAATTACGTATTCTGATCATGTTAATGATTGCAAAAAGATTCCAGTTAGTGTCGATGAATCAGTGGATGTTCTCTGTTCTTCTGGGCAAGATTACAAAATTCGACTTTGGTCTCTCAAGTCTGGTAAATTGTTACACGAAATACCACCTCCAGAAAATCAGTTCAGTAATCCAATGGTTGATGATCCTACAATGCTGTATTCTTGGTATTCACAATCTTGGAAAAGTCTCAAAGGCGAACCTCGTCCAATGATTTTTACTTGTATGAAAGATAAAATAAGCATCTACCGTCATAAAGATGATAGTTAAAGATTGGCCTAAAACAATGGAAGTGGAAAATTTACTGTGTACTTTAAAAGAAATTAAAACTGTACAACATTTACGACTCTGGACAGTTTAAAAAAGCAAACTTGTAGTTCACAAAACAGATGAATAAACAATTCCTTTTGGTTAACATTTTTACAACAGCTTTCCTATGCTGATGTACTTCCACCTTTTATGCTAAATTTCATTAGCTTCTCATTTCTTCGATTCGCAAGATGAGCTTCAATTATTGTTCCAAACTGGTGTCTGTCTAATAACTCATAAGCTGTACCAAGAGTAAATGAGACAAGTCTATGGTAACATTCTTCACCAAAACAGAATAAATCGATTCCTAGTTCGAGGGCCATTCCAAAATCACATTCATCATTAGCTAAATTCGTTAAGTTGACAATTTCTCGCAATGATTCGTATGCTTTACTTCTTTGACGGTCTTCTTCTGGCATATCAGCTATCTTTTTCAACAATTTTTTTAAATTTTCTAAGAATGAATAAATAAAATATTAAGGAATTAGATGATGCTGTACATTAATAAGAATATTATGCGGAAAATTCAATTCATGAATCTAGCTTACGCTCATTTTCCGGCAACGGTCGATAGCCAACATCATTCTCGAAAGGGACGACGATGCCAGCTCCATGGAAAGTCTTTGCAACAACTTTCTTTTTTCGTTCTTTCATGTTATTATTTACTAACGGTATGTCATTTTTCTCGGCATACGCTTTTATTTTCAGGCTTAGTTTTTCTGCATTTGCCTTTTTATCATCTTTCTCTGACCTCCTTCTTTTCAGATCTTCACTGCATGAAGCGAAAATATTGAAAATTAATTTCATATTTGAAATTAAATAAAATAAATAGCTTACCAGAAGGCCAGAAGACCAGAAAAGATATTATCGCCTAACGGATTGATAATACATGATTTGTCAGGATCATTTGAAACGACCATCGAAGGCATTTCTGAAGGAGAATCCCTATAATATTAGATGAAAGATATTAGAGCCCGCAAATAGCAAAGAAAATATCAGATGATTACCTGAAATAACCAATATGAAAGTTTGATTTCGTATCACGAAGAACTGTTTGGAATTCGGGGACATCATAAAAGAAGCGATAATAACAGAGTATTGAAGCTGGATCTGCTGAGTCAAGTACTTCATCTTTCAATTTACCATCAATAACATCAAAAGGTCCAACCAATAGCAAATCCAGCGTATGTAATGCAGCTAAATTAAAAAGAAATAACATTAAATGGAAACGCAAAACAACGGATAAATTATACCTTTCGGATTAAGGGGATTTAAAGATGAACAAAATGACCAAAATTTGAAGAAATCGTCAGGCATTTTAACAAGAAAATATTTTTCCATCCTTTCATTTAGTTGATTAGTGTCAACTGTTTTAGGCTTTTTAGCAAACATTTTCAAATCAAAATTGAACTACTAACAGGAATGAAATTAAAACCAAAAGTCAATAAGAATGAAAACCACTTTAATATTGAGTCAGAGTCTCATTATTAAACAAGGCGCCAATAATCATGCTTATGAAATACTATTTTGGCGGTTAAATCAAAGATTATTATTCATTTTAATTGTTCAGACAAATGCAATTTATTTTACTTAATTCACATTAACAAATTGTTAGATCAGAGTTCGAAAGACATTTTCATATTTCAAATTACATGAATAAAAATGTTCAACAAGCAACCCATTCAGCAAAAAATGTACTTTGATTTATTAGATTTTGATCAACTTTGCCCTTCAATTTAGATTACTCGTTATTCGAGAATTTCTAAGTTTTTATGGAATTCAATCCTTACGATATCCAGAATTTTCAATAAATCTACATATTTTTAAACAATCTAGAGTTACAGTAGTCCAACGAAAAGTAATTTCGATATTTGAGTTTGTGATTTGTCAATCCGAGACAAGCATACAAAATAATCGACACTAAAGATTTACATACGCAATACAGTTTTTATCAATCAAGAGTCAAATCTTATGTTGAATAAATAATTAGTTTAATTATTTATTGGTGTATATATATTGATTAAATATTCATACAGTTAACAGCGACTTACATCAATATAACATAACCCTTTTGGGGTCCTTTTTACATCCCAAACTGGGATCTAATTTCTAATCCGATTTTAGATCAATTTGATCAATCATTAAAAAACATAATTTGATATCTGTTCGTAAATTAATCACCTAAACAACCTAAACTCAATCTGTGATCAACCAAGATTTTTGAAGAAATTTGAAAATCACAAAATAAAATTCCCTGTCATTGATTGAAATAAGCCTAATTTTACTATCATGAATATCGCTCCTTCCGGGCTCTTCGTTTCTCCGGTGTTTCCATCATAGCGCTAAGTAATGCCCCAATAACAATAGGAGCGGAAGACCCAACTCTGTATCTTTGCAGCCAGGCACTATTCACTATCTCAGGTGTCTTCCTCCATCTGTAGATGCCATTGGCGACAACTGCTAAGCCAACCATGATACCTAAGCATTACCAGGAAAGTAAATAAAGAAAATTAGGATTTACAGTAAAATAAAGGAAAGTCAATTAAAAGATGCAGTTACACTTACCAACACCGATCAGAGGATACTCTGCGGCCTTTTCCATGGTTGACCTTCTCGTCCTACCTCCTTTAACCACTTCATTGGCTGGACTTAATAATGTAGATTCCATGATTATAATTTAACACGAGAAGGATATTGAACAATAAAATAATAAGTAAAGATCAATCGAAAGAGATAACGATAAATGTCAAAATTTTGGGTTTAATTGCGTCATTCAGCAAGAACTATTTGTACAAATATCGATTTAAGATCCAGTCTTTTCGGATAATATCAAGAAAAATCTGCTTGAAAAGCTCCATCTATTGACGATAAACTAATTATTAGCAAGGAGTTCAAATTTGTCCCTCTAGATAGCATAACTGTTTTTGGTGATATTTTGACATGCTTTTGGTTTCAATTTTGGCATTTAATTTTGTCTAAATAAATTTAAATTTTAATCACATTTGCTTCTTTATCTCCAATTGTAATTAGTATTTGGATCTCGTCAATCTAAAAGGTATGTTGCAAGCTTCTAAGTTTCTTTCATTCTTTTAATAACATTGCTTTTGTTATTTTTCCTTAGACTTTATCTGCTCATAATGTTCCCATCAAGGAGAGGAGGAAAATTAGCTGCTTTTTTGAATCTCTTCAGATTCTGTTTCCAATATGGATTCATTCCGATGGTTCTTTACTTGGGATTCCAAAAAGGGACTGACGAAGGCATGCCACCCTTATCATTTGCTTCACTATTCATTGGATAAGTGGTTATTTTATTCTATTGGTGCCATAATGTTTATAGTACATCTCGATTATCTGTACCCAGTGAATTACTGACTATTAAAAATGGTCTTGATTGCATTTTCTCACCTGCTTTGAGTTTATTCACTCATTCACCTGCCTATTCATGACATAAGTTTCATCTACAGATATCAATCCTACTAGATCCTCCTCTGAAAAAACATACTGTATTATTAGGTGAAAGTGATAAACAGTTAATCCTTTGCGTGCCGGTTCAATCATCTTTGATATATGCTCAATTTGCCTCACTTCTTTTATCCAGCTGAACTAAAGCTATCTACATCTTGATTTTCATCATTATATTTGATTCCATTTTCTCTTTTTATTATCGTTATCTTCCATCACACAGATATTCAATGATTTAAGGTTCATCACTGTCTATTCATATTATACACTCTGTTGATTATTAGTTGACAACTTAATCCACCATCAATTTTTAGCTCAACACAATATCATATTTAACTGTTTAACAATATCATTATCATTATTAAGAAATGTATGATTTAAAGCATCACAAATTGTTGATGTTTTTTGCATCATTTAACATTATACTTTGCTATACATTTACATTTTGTTTCCTTTAGTTACTACTACTAACAGTGTAGACTGAATGTTTAGTTATTTTATTAGTTACACAATGTCAACTTATCCTTTATTATGAGTTTCGTATTAATAACTGCGCCAGAACTTCATTAAATTCAATAGCTAAAAAGCTAGAAATCAACTCAAAAAGGAAAATCTGCTTTTCAATTTATTCACCTATTATTTTCGATGGATGATTTAATTAACATGCGAGTTGCAGAAAATTTTTCTGAGAAAGCTTTAGATTCAAGCTAAATGTTGTTTTACTTGATTCATAGTTAAGTCATATTTTTTCGAGAAAATTGATGAAATGGTTTATGAGGTTAATTTAATTGTTGATCTTTTCAATTATTTGAATTTCATCCTTTTGTTGACACAATGATATGATCAAGTGAAACCATTGAGACCAACAAGTTTCCATTATTCACTTCACTGAGCTTTACATTTCAACCATAACTATCACAACTATACAGACATTTTCATTCAATAATATAAAATATCATCACAGTCTCTTGATAATACCTATAAATCTCTTTCGCTCTCTTCTTCTTCTTCTTTCGCATCATCTTCATTCTCACCCTTCATCATCATCATCACCAACAACAATAACAATAGCGTCAATGATAAGTATAAATGTATAACAAAACGAGACTCTTTTTTAACCATGTTGGTTAGGACATTATGATGATCATCATTTGGGTCCAATTTATCAAAAACACATTTCAAGAGAGTGTCAACACTAATCGATAATGTGGATTAAGTTGTTGACTTTGTTTACTGTTCAATTGTTTGAGCTCTTCATCAATGAATATTTTAATTCAAGTGTAAAATCTTTTTAATTGAAAAGTCACAACAATCAAAGAGACAGTCGCGTGTCAATTTACAGTTAAATACACTCTTGGGAGGCTGGAAATGGCTTTATGGTGGGAAATTGTATTATCAACATTGTTAATCATGTTTTACGGTTAACTGATTGTTTATTGATGATGTTTTTTATATTTAACCATTTTTGGCTGAAAAAAGTCTCCAATGATCAACATGATGGTAATTTTTAGCGACCGATTTTATTTCACACAAAGTTGAGAGTACAATTATAATTATCAAGTTTTGATTTTATTCTCACCAGGTTTAACGGTTAAATTACAAGTTGATACAGTAATTTTAATTACTGATTTATTGATGAGTTTGGGTGTAAATACAATAGATAATAACTACAAATGAATAGAAGATGACTAGACTAATTACATAAAGACACTAATTGAGATATAAACAATCGAATGAAGCTCAACACTGTTGAATTATGTCAATTAAAGACTTTTCACAATTAAGACTTATTTTTTCAAGTTTAATTAGCTATTTTGTATTACTATAGCTATTCACTTTAAAATCAGGATTTTGATCAAGTCTATGATGATATTGAGAGTTATTTACCTGAGACAGATTAGATGAAATAAAATAATGACTGATCAACAGTCAACAAACCAAGTCAATCTATTAACAATACTTGAAGTTTCCATGATTTTGATTTAAAACGGGTGAGTATTAGTTTATAATCAAATTGTGTCCAGTTGATGATATTTGTGGAATTGTTTCAAACTGATTTTGTTGACTATTGAAAACAATGGGTGAGTTGATAAACATTGATGTGATTGTTGGATTATTGGCTGAAAAAAACCGATTCCGACTAAGATAATCATTCCAAATGTTACTTTTACTCAAATCAGGTCCTAGGAATGTCGATTCCGCAATTTGATTTGCATTACAATAATCAATTTCTTCAACATCAGGATCATCAGATCGAAGAATATCTTCAATATTATAAGAAGTATACTTTCGTCGTTTTTTTGGTACAATTACATTGCAATTTCCTAGTTCACATGTTGCTTGATTGAGTATCTTTCGATTCATTCCAAATCTTGCTTCTTCTTCTCTATCAATCTTTTGATAATCTATTGATTGCTGTTGAGTCTCGGATGAAATGCTATTGCTAATAATCCTAGATGTTGATATGTTTGCAGTTAATGATGATGTTGGTCCCGTCACTGTCCCATTAGGATCGAGTTTGCTTGAAGCTGGTAATTTCCAATTAAATGTACTCGTTGATAATGATGATGTTGATGAAGATGATGATTGTGGTGATGTAGAGCTTGAGGAAGACATTAAGGTTTTAAGTCCATTGGTACTTTCATGATTAGAAAATAATACAACCTCTCGACTCTCTGTACCTGTTCTTAATATACGATTTATTGATGATATAGACGGAACACTAAGATTAATATCCGATCCTTGATTAAATCTATTATCATTTGATCTTGATTGTAATATCTCTCGACGAAGTAAATCTCTAATTTCCCAGGCAAACAAAGCTGGATTCTCTTGCTTCAGTTTCAATATCTTTTTAACAATGTGTGGTGTAGTAACATGCTTAGGCTTAGACCCGCCGATGGAACCTATTTGCACAAGAAAACAGACAAAATGAATTGGTTACCTTTGATATCTATCTTTGACCTGCTCAAGGTATAATCAAACCTGGTTTAATTGATCCAGTTTCATAGAAACGAGTTAATATTTTAGATACACATCCATGTGAAACCAAAAGCTGTCTGGAAATATCACAAGGCCTAACACCCATTAAAGCAAGCTCAATAATCCGTTGTCGCACATGTAATGGTAAAGGACGTCCATTCACAAACAATCCACCAAGTTGATTGATTCCAGCTTGTCCTGCAATTAATTAAAGTTTACATAATCAATTAAACAATAAACATTTACCATTTTAAAAATAAAACTGTCAAAATTTATCCACTTGTAAATTATGGTTAAGCAATAAAGCGTAACTCATTGTTTCAATATCCCTCTATTGTCCAACTGATTGAAAAGCAAACCAATAAGGCGCAATTTTCAATAAAGCCAACCCAACCGTTTAATGTCACCACATTAATACAGCATTTATTAATTTTTCCTATCAAATTATGAATCAAAACCTCCAAGTTCACAGTAAACTTTATTTAATAACTGCTTGTACAATAAACAAAATGAATTTTCTCTGTCAATGAATCTCAACTGAAGCAAAAGAAAACAAAATGATAACCAAAAAAAGCGCAATCGAATAGTCAATGTTTAATGTAAAATATTGTTTAGCCAATAAAGCTAATAGAATGTCAAATTTCGGTAAAAAAACGATCGGATACAAAATAATTAAATAACATTTTGACGCAAAGATTAACAAATCAGCAGCTCGGATTAACAGGTAAACTCAGAGATGAAAAAAAATGCCAGAAAAAAGCGATTCAGTGAAGATGAACATCTAAGTTGGTGCATTTATTATGATAAAATGAAGTTAACTCAATTGAATTGTATAGGTTATCATGAAAAGTCACTCCCAGTAAACCTCCAACTGAACCTATAAGATTCAGTATTGAATGCAAACCAAATTACAACACAAAATTCAACTGAAAATCGCCAAGAAAATTAAAGAAATTAAAAAATTGAAATTCCTATCATAAATCGAAATAAAATTACAAATTTTTCAAGTCGAATTGTCTTCATTTTCTCACCAATGACAATCAATGGCAAATTTTCAGGCAAAATTTAAAGAAACAGTTCAACAGAATCAACCTTTAATCGAAATTAAATTCAGGTTTGACTAATTGTTTAATTAAAGTTATCAATAGTTTACTTACCAGTGTGAGGCATATTAGTTGATTGTATAGTTGATTGAAATCCAGTTGCACAGTAAAAGGGAAAAGATGAAAGTGTTGAAATGTAAAGTTGAAACTGTTACAGGAAAAGGTTTAGGTCAAGTGTAAAGGTTAAAGATGAGTTGAAAGTGATCCGGAAAATATTACCTATACGGTTGAGACCATAGGAAGTGATGAAGGAAGATGAAGATTGAAGATGATGGCGAGGATAAAGCATAAAGCGAATCCAAGGCGCATCCAATAAGCACATGCATGTAGCGCATCTGCCTCACTTTAACATCAATTGACTTTATTGACTTTACTCTTTAGCGCATCATCATCACCCTTCTCATCTTCATCATTATCATAACCATTCTAATTCCTGAGTTAATCTTGATCCGTAAAGGTGGTCTTCAATGGTCATCAATATTACCCTGACCATTGAAAAGGCAATTTCAACTTTTGATCAAACCTTTAAAGCACAGTTTAATTTGGCGCAACACAAATCCTTTCCTTTTGTTGTTGTCTAGTTGTAACAACATTACAAATGAAAATGTTAAACGTTCAACTGTTAATTTACTTGAATCACGCAAACTGAATATCGGTAAAGGCCAGATTAAAGGATTGACTGTTGAGTGTGAAAACAGTTTACCTTTGCATGTAAACTTTAATGGATATAAAATTGTTTCAACACTTTTCCTTTTCTGTCGAGTTGAGTGTAAAAAGTTAATCAAAAATGATTTTTCATCACATTTTGTCACCTGCTCATGATTAGTTAATTCACCTGCCTGGTTCATCCACAGATATCAATCCCTTTTGAACATATTGTTGTTGCATGATTAGTTGAAAGTGATCAACTGTTAATCCAGTTGCGTGTCCATACACTTTCAATGGATAATGTTTAATGAACGTTTTACTTGATCAACATTTATTTCCAATATTTATCCATTTCTCTTTATTCAATGATTTAAGGTTCATCACTGTCTATTCATATTATACACTCTGTTGATTATTAGTTGACAACTTAATTCACCATTCATTTCTAGCTCAATACAATATCATTATTAAGAAATGTATGATTTAAAGCATCACAAATTGTTGATGTTGTTTGCCTCATTAAACATTATACTTTCCTATTTACATCTTTTTTGGTGAATTTATTTCATTTTTGTTTCACTCTTTTTTTTTATATCAGTCAATGAATCTTTGCTTTACTCAAATGAATTAAATATATTTAAATTGAAATGTTTCAAAGTGAAAGTAAATTGCTTTAAATTAGCTGCAAATTGAAAAGTAGATTTAATTGTTGATCTTTTCAATTATTTGAATTTCATCCTTTTGTTGACACAATGATATGATCAAGTGAAACCATTGAGACCAACAAGTTTCCATTATTCACTTCACTGAGCTTTACATTTCAACCATAACTATCACAACTATACAGACATTTTCATTCAATAATATAAAATATCATCACAGTCTCTTGATAATACCTATAAATCTCTTTCGCTCTCTTCTTCTTCTTCTTTCGCATCATCTTCATTCTCACCCTTCATCATCATCATCATCTCCATCATCACCAACAACAATAGCGTCAATGATAAGTATAAATGTATAACAAAACGAGACTCTTTTTTAACCATGTTGGTTAGGACATTATGATGATCATCATTTGGGTCCAATTTATCAAAAACACATTTCAAGAGAGTTGTCGACATGCGAATGTCAATCACATAATGTCTTGGTCTCATCAGGTCATGGGACATAAATTTCTCAACTTCACTTGTCGGAATAAATTATCGCAATGATGGCCTAACTTGAATTTCTTTTGAGTAGATTCATAGAAGTTATGGTATAGCATTGAAGTCGAAAATAAAGTTCTGTATTTAGATTCTGCATCAAATTGTTGAAATTTTGTAGCATTATTGCATGATTATTGTACGATTTTCGAGAATAAAATGGCATTTTAATCAATTTCTAACGATCTTTTTCAATTCTGCAGCAATTAAATTAGTAAAGAAACGAATATTAAAGTATTAAACATTAAAGTCTAGTAATTAGACACTTATAACTGCATTGCACTGCAGCAATTGTTACCAGAAAGACACAATAATGCTTTTTACACACTTTTATGCACAAATTGGAAAAAATACTGAAACAAAAGGTTGAAAACGGGTGAAAATCAATTTCTTTCGAATCGAAACTCTAATGGTTTGTAAAGGAATGAAAAACTGAATCTATTTGACTGATCTAAAGATTTCTGTGATGAACAGTTCTCGAGAAAATCGAGTTCGAAGTTGGAACTTGCAAAGCCTTTTGTACATTTATACAAGCAGATTTTTACATGGAACTCAGTTCACTAATGTAACTTTTGATGGGCCACAAGAATATGTACTTAGTTTAAGAAAAATAATTTTCCTTTTTCTTCAAAATAGATTAGTTCGATTTGGACCTAAACCGATTTTTCTGCGTCACTGTAAGAGTTAGTGAGCTGAAATTTATTATTCATCCATAAAAATCGTTACCTCATATCATGAACAAGATACTTTTTTCAATTAACTAATAGTTCTCTTAATTTTGGCCCTTGACCTGAAATATTTGAACCTCAATATTTCGGGAATGGTATAATCTACAGTCATCATTCTTTCACTAAACATTAGATTTAATGACAGGCTATAACATAAAATTATTCAACATCATACGAAAAAAGTTATAGCATTTTATTTTTCATGTTTCCGAATATGAGACTTGATTGAAAAACCTAATTGCAATGTTTATAAGTCAGAAGGATTTTCATCATTGAATGAATTGTCTCAGATTTTATTTGGTATTAAGTCATATAATGTTATAGTCCATAATAATATCTAATGTTTAGTCAGAGAATGATGACTGTAGGTAATGCCATACTCGAAATATTGAGGTTCAAATATTTCAGGTCAATGGCGCAAATTAAGAGAACTATTGTTGGATTGATGAAAGTATCCAATCCATGGTGTGTAGCAACAATTTTTATGGATGAATAATAAGTTTCAGCTCACTAACTCTTACAGTGACGCAAAACGATCGGTTTATGTCCAAATCGAATAAAGCTATTTTATTTTATACAGAAAATGTTATTTCTAAAAATAAGACCATTTTCTGGTTAATCGTCTAAAAATACATCAGTAAAATAAGTTTCTTAAAAAAATCTGCTTCCATAGTTCGACAAAAGGCAATCGAAGTTTCAAATTTGACGGCAATTTTCTCGAAAACTGTGCATCTGATGAAATATCAAATAGTGCCAATAGATTCTGTTTTTATGTCCCTGCAAACCCCACTGATTCTCAACCCTTGACTCAAATTTTCGAGCATTTGGGAGCTCTTTTTGCATTTCATTTGTAAACTCAACCAGAAAATTGGTTTATTTACCAAGAAATGGGTAAAGATGAGTTTTGTATGTTAAATAAGTTGTTTCTTGTGCATTAACAACTCAAATATCATGATTCGAATGAGTTGATGGAAAGTAAATACATAAAATCAAATACTTAATTAGACAAGGATTAAATTGGTGAAAAAATGATGACTGTAGATTATACCATTCCCGAAATATTGAGGTTCAAATATTTCAGGTCAAGGGCCAAAATTAAGAGAACTATTAGTTAATTGAAAAAAGTATCTTGTTCATGATATGAGGTAACGATTTTTATGGATGAATAATAAATTTCAGCTCACTAACTCTTACAGTGACGCAAAAAAATCGGTTTAGGTCCAAATCGAACTAATCTATTTTGAAGAAAAAGGAAAATTATTTTTCTTAAACTAAGTACATATTCTTGTGGCCCATCAAAAGTTACATTAGTGAACTGAGTTCCATGTAAAAATCTGCTTGTATAAATGTACAAAAGGCTTTGCAAGTTCCAACTTCGAACTCGATTTTCTCGAGAACTGTTCATCACAGAAATCTTTAGATCAGTCAAATAGATTCAGTTTTTCATTCCTTTACAAACCATTAGAGTTTCGATTCGAAAGAAATTGATTTTCACCCGTTTTCAACCTTTTGTTTCAGTATTTTTTCCAATTTGTGCATAAAAGTGTGTAAAAAGCATTATTGTGTCTTTCTGGTAACAATTGCTGCAGTGCAATGCAGTTATAAGTGTCTAATTACTAGACTTTAATGTTTAATACTTTAATATTCGTTTCTTTACTAATTTAATTGCTGCAGAATTGAAAAAGATCGTTAGAAATTGATTAAAATGCCATTTTATTCTCGAAAATCTTACAACAATCATGCAATAATGATGCCTAATTTCAACAGTTTGATGCAGAATCTAAATACAGAACTTTATTTATGCATAAAAGTGGCGATTGTGTCTTTTTAGTGACAAAACTTTTTAGCTTTGTCGTTAAATTAGTAAATTGGAGCTCAGTGTACTATCAACAATTAGCGAAAGTTGATCAACACACAGCTAACAATTTCATAAGACTCTTGTTACATTTACTCATGTCGTAATAAAATGATCAATATTGTTGAAAATCAATCGCAATGATATCGAGTTCTTGTTTTAGGATGATCAAACTGGAAGACGTATTATTACACTATTGTATACTAAACCTTCAGGTAACGGTTATTATTAAACTATTCAATATATATTGATGTTTACTTGCAAAGATTACTATTTTTATGCCAAAAGTCAACCATTGTAAAAGGTTTGGAGTTTTTATGCTAAAAGAGTTACGATGCAGCAATATAATGGGATATTTCATCATGTGTTAGACAAAATGGTTCAAAAGCATGATTTTCTCAGTTATCCAAGAATTCACAAGCAAGTTAAGATTTTCTCACTATCACTTTGAATCATTTTAAATAATCGTATCATGTTTAATAAATTTATATCATATATCATAGTCTTCGCAGGATTTACAACTACAGATGGTTTAAATGTGCATTCAAAAGGTTTAGTCTCATTTAGATTGTGATTGTGTTTACCAACAATTGAAATTTTAGTTATAATTGACAAAGGATTCGATTGTCAATTCAAAATTTCTAATTCTAACCCAACATGCTCTGAATTTTGGTCTCAGTCTATTCCTCTGTAACTGTCTTTAAACAACGAAATGGCTAAATTAAAGTCCCATTTGCTGTTTGGGTATCTTGTCCCGACGTCTAAAAAGCTGCTTTCTAATAGAGTTACTCGTGAATTTTTAGCTGAAATGACCGGTACTTTTATTTTAGTGGTAAGTTGATTTGTTTTGATATCTTAATCATTTGCTGTTTGAACTAATAGCCTGTTGAAAATTGCAGGCCAGTGGATTATCAGCCCATGTTGTGTATAAAGCGAGGAAACAACAGATGGATACCTTCGCAGCTGCCTTTTGTTTTGGTGTTGGTGCACTTATTGCTATATCTGCAACCCTTGATGTTTCAGGTAAAGCGTCTTTTATTCAATAAAGTTGAAGCGCTTATTGGTATTGATTGAACATTTTGTTTTATCAGGAGCTCACTTGAATCCCGCTGTATCAACAGCAATGGCCTCAATTGGACGATTACCTTGGAAGAGGGTTCCTCATTACATGGCGGCTCAATATATTGGAGCATTTTTCTCTGCATTTGTGACGTGGTTGATCAATCAAGACGCTATTCTTACATTTGATCCTGATTATACTGAGCATGGTTCAGCAGTTTATGTCACTTTTCCCGGTGAGGGAGTTGGACTTTTCTCCGCCTTTCTTGACCAAGTAAGTATAAAATTAATTACAATGAATAAATCAAACTAAATTGTTATGTTTTTCAATTGTACCATAACTCCAGCCTTAAATCTATCACCAATCTGTACATCAATTATTTTCGGGCGTTTGTTAGGATAATGAACAACAATAATCTTGTGTTTTTAAAAATTTTATTGTAAGAGTAATGGTTAACTTGAATATTTAGAGCTTCAACCGTTTTAAATGTGCATAGAAATAATTTCATCTTTTTGTTATTTGATTGATCTCATGATCATATTTCAGTTTCAAGACATTGATAGCATTGAAATAGAATATTAGAATAGAATAGATTGAGAGTAAATCTTGAAATTGACTGATTTCTGGTGTCTCCTAATTGTTTTATCCTCTCTTTTCGTCCTTTAGGTCCTATCAACTGGAATTCTTAGCTTTTCAATCCTCGCAGCCGATGGACCTAAATTACCCAGATCTTTTCATCCATTGTATTTTACTCTAGTTATTACTGGAATTGTTATTTCTTTCAATTATAATGCCGGAGCTATACTTAATCCTGCTCGTGATCTTGGCCCGAGATTGTTTACTTGGATATTTGGTTATGGGTCTGATGTTTTCATGTAAGCTTTCATTTAGTATTAACCATTCTGTGGGAAATTTTTGTATTTAACGATAATTAATTTAATTTTCATCACTTCTTCCAGGGATTTATCAGGTTGTCATTGGTGGCTAGTCGCTATTATCGCACCTCATTTAGGAGCTCTTCTGGGAGTATGGTATTACATTTTACTGATTGATCCGAGCGTTGCTTATGAAAAAGAATCAGACTCAAACACTAAAATCGGTGACAGTTTTGTTCCAACAAATTTTCAAATTGGGGCACCAAAAAATCAAGAAAATCATGAAGTAGCTAAATTAGATCACGATCACAAGGAACACCCAAATGATGCGAAACATAAATCTGATGATTAGTGGTTTTAGTATTTAGACAAAATCTATGAAAATTTGCGAAGGCATCGATAATGTTTCATCATTAGTACTCATGATTGCCATTAGTTTTTGATCGAGCTTTTTGCTTTTGTCTAGTTTCATGATACGATCTTCGAAAGTTGTTTTCGTGTATTAATAATTAATCGATCTATGTGACAATAAATTCGATTTGGATTCCCAAAACAGTTTCCAATTCAAATGGGTAACTCAATTATGTATGCATTATGAAGATATAACTAACAATTATACTGAGTATAAATTTTTTAACTAATAATCAATCTTTTTCAATCATTTATAAGACTAACAAGACTCGTAAGATTTATCAGCTCTATTTGATACGGTCAATAGTTCGGCAATTGTTTCAAATGGGTCCGGAGAGTTGAAGATAACTGGGAACTAATAATTATTAATATTGGAAGCATAATCAACTCAATTACGTCCGAAATGAGCATTCCAAATAATTTATTATGATCAGGTAAAGACGATTGTTTTCATCGGGCGAGCTTGAAGAACTAGCTCCAGTATTGATTCCTGATGGATTTTTAGATTTTTAGAATTTTTGAACCAAAATTGAAACCTTTAAGACTTTGAACCCTGTGTTTTAGCAAAGTGCCCATTTGAAATAAAAATTGTCGTCAGGTAAAAAAAATCATGAATGTAAATCTTCATTTCTAATATCAACTCCGAAAGTGTCAATTTGAGGACAGCTTATTATAAAATCCAAAGCATCGGCAAAATCTGACTGATCTGGAACTGTATTATCAAATAGTCCAATAAAATAACTCTAAATTTTATGCTAGAGGTTACTTGATTTAAAAAAGATAGACCAGTTACACGGGATTCCAAGAATATTGAATAATGAAAATCTGCCTTTTTGCAATCATTGATTTGAACCGGCAAGTTTTAGGAAGATTCACTATTACGCGTGATGCAAATCACAGTTTGAACATAGAATGGGACAAATTGAGACCAAGTGATGAGTAGTAACGGTTTCTTGAAAGATTGATTTTATTAACTTCATCAGTTCTTTTTTAAATTGTTTGTTTCCAGAATATAAAAGAGAAAATTGAATCAAGCTATATGAGCTTATTAAGGTGTTAATCTTTTTCAGCAACAGCTGTGAGATGGGCTTCAATTTCAGATTCAGTTAAAACGGTGAATTTCCCACTTGCATCAACTGTTCCGACTTCAAGTTCACTTGATTTGAATTCGATTCCTAAGGCTGTTGATAGAGCACTCATTGCTAATCTGATAGTAGCATCTTTATCATGATCAGTTTTCTTTTTAAGTTTTTTTTCCAGGTAGTTGGATACTTCCACTGATTTAACACCGACAGCACATCCTGAATGAAAAGTAATTGAAGAGCAAATTAGTTATAAACTTAAAATCAATGCCAGAAAATGATACAAACCTTTGTATCCACAATAATATCCAGCAGGATCTGTTTTATACAATAAAGGTTGTCCATCTTCGTAAGAGATGAATATACAACTGGTGCCCAAAGGTCTCATCTCAGCATTTTGAGTATAAACTTGAGCAATATCAGCCATTCTCTTCGTTAACAACTCGACAGGAATATCATAACCATATTGGTATCTAAAATCAGCTGCTTCATACCGAGCTCTTTGAGCTTGAGACTGAGAATCGGGTCCAAGACCAGTAATGACACAGCCAATATGAGGTGTTATCCGGTAAAGGGAACTCAAAGTGGCTGGATCCAAAAGTTTATCGGGAATCTTTTTCTGGGTAACAATGACAACATTCTCTTTACCTTTTAGCCCAACTGATGTAACACCAGCTTGATTAATAGCCTTAAACGCATATTCAACTTGATACAGCCGGCCTTCCGGTGAAAAGATAGTAATGTGACGATCAAACCCAGCACTACTGGAACGAGCCATTCTTAAACAGACGAAAAAATAAACCACGAATTGCTAAATAAACTATTAAATCAACTGCTAATTGAAGGAACACTTGGATCAAATTTGTTATTAAACTTTCAATCAAACCCAATCATAGTAAAACATGAAAAGGCAAACTTACATGACTCAGCGGAAAACATGCGCACCAAAAAAGAGCCAATTTCAAATCAATACGTCCCATAAACTTGAGCTTTTCATTGATTTTTTCAAATTTAGTCTCCAATGTACAGTAAATTTACACTTTTCAATATTTTAATTTTTGATTCTCCAGGAACAATTAACACTTTTTCTTTTATTTTTCATTTCAGTTCCATTTCATCCAAAAACAGGTTAAAAAGAAAGGAAAAAACTTGAAGACAGAAATCACAGAAAGAAAAGGTATTAATTATTCCAAGAGATGGAGCAACTCACTTGTAAAAATATCAAAATGTTCAAATATATTTTATTATTATTGATAATAAAATTCAACTAATTTGTTATTATTTAGCGAAAACTAGATTTGAATTAGCTTTGGAAATTTGATTTTTCGTATCGTTAACCTAAATCACTCGAAACATGCATATGAAACAACACTTAAATTGTCTATGCAGATAATTTTACAGTTGATTCACTATTAATGTTTATGAGATTGATTTTATTTGTAATCAAATAACTGATGATAAAATATTGTCAGAACATATTGAGTGAAATTTTATTAGATATCACAGAAATGATACATATTAATCTATTCAATGATGTCTACTTCTTGGTTATTTTTCTTGTGTCGATTTCATTGAGTTCAACCTTTTCTCTTATCCATAAATTGTTACATAAATTTGAATGATTAACATCACTTTGATTTATTGAGGCATTAACTCTCTTCCAAAGAAATAAGTAAAAACCAACATTGATAGATGATGGTTGTAAATAGAGACAATTTCAACTGCGTTTGAAAATTAGTATTAGGCTATAATAATTATTGCTCTGATGACAATTTTTCTGTGTTGATATTTGTGATTAGATACAAAAAAATGAATTTGAGTGTAAATGATGTTGGGTTGACTTGAAGTGTAAACAAGCAATTGTAATAGGATAATTTATAAAACAAAGATGAAAGACATCTAAGAATTGACTCAAGTGCAAAATTGAATTTAATTAATGTTATATTAAGCAGATTTGCTTAGAGAGCTTGCAGATGAGGGTGAGAATGATGATTAGAGTGAGTTCCATGGCCAGGTACAAAGTATGGATGGGTGCGATGAGACGATCTTTGATTATGCGAATGAACCAAACTAGTAGATCTTAAATTGTTATCACAAGATCCAGTAAATCTTGACATCATTGACGAAGGATGAACAATATTTAAATGACTAGCGGAATGGTGTTGTTGCTGGTGATGGTGATGATGGTGGGTTAATAAAGGTGGAGGTGAAGGTAATGGTGATTGGTGATGTTGAAAAGAGTGATGATGGTTTGGTGTTGATGAATTGATGATTGAATTATTTGGTTGATTCGATTGAACTTGGGTTCTTTGGTGATCCAATGATGGTGGTGAATGATTTAGTGATTGTTGATGATTGCTGCTATTTGATTGACCAGATGATTGGAGTTGGGCGGCTGAATGTTGTTCCTGGTGATCCAATAAATAAAGATGTCTAGATGTAAATGGGGAAACAATCATGTAAAGAACAGGTTAGTTAATTTTGCGCTGTATAGTTTGCTGGTTATTATGATTAATAATAATTAACATGTAACTTGTAACTTTGTCACGTATTGACATTCCCAGAGTGAATTAAGGTATGATTATAGTTAACAATAGACCATTTATAAAGACAATATACAAAGAGATTCTAATTGCTTCTGTTTAATCTGTTAAATACTTTGATTAACCATTGTTTAACTGTAATTAATGAGGAAGTGTCTTATAACCTTTTCTATTCATTCAAATGTCATTCTTTAATTACTTTCCCTCACACCAATCACTTATAATTCAGGTGACCATTTAATGAAAATACATTTTTAATTTGTTAACATTACAAACATCAATTAAATAATTACTTCACCCTTTTTTTGTGAATAAATAAATTTCTCAGCGTTCCAAAATTTTCTGATTATTTCATCTCAACTGAGTTGAAATAATAAGACATTCAAATTGTGATAAGGTTACAAGAAGTCTAGGAATAATCAAAATCCGTAGATCACAATGTTAATGATCAACAATTTACTTACCCGTTGAATGAGTTCTCAACACATGTTTGACTCTAGAATGAGAAAGAAAAAAAACAGAATAATTAGCAGATTGATTAATGATGGTCATGAGTAAATAACTGTAATGGGTATAACGGTAAATCACCAATGATTTTATATTTGCTTGCGTGATTTAATTCAGAGACTGTTGAAGGCAAGAAAAATGAATCTGATGATTGGGATTGAGAAGGTTAAGATTGACATTAGATTAAACTTGATTATCACAAGGTTATTACTTTCATTTACTCACGATTGTTTGATTACTTGTAAATAAACAACAACAACAAAGTTAAATCTCAATGACCCTTATGTAGTAATATAATTGTGAGGAGAAGTAAAAAAATTTATTCCCACCAATGATTATCTAACTGTTAATTCTCATTGCAATAATCAAAAGACCATGAAGCTTCTAAAATATATATACACATAAATATTATTATTTATAAATATATAGATATATATTTATACATGAATATAAAACAATTGATTGTGATCAACAATTAGACTTTAAATATAGTTTTCACTTTCAGGTTAATTAACTTGGACACCAATTATATAAGAAAAGAGTAACATCAGATTCTTTGTTCCAATCGGATTCACTTGAGTGGGGACATTTTTTTCCCATAGAGATATTGACCTAACATTTTTACAGAGGGTTCAAGGTGGGTGTGGGAGGAGGAGGAAGAAGAGAGAGAGAGCAAGATAATCAAGTTTAATTTGCAATTTTTAGTCGGTGAGAAATCCTAGGTTAAATGATATACAGTAATAATGAGCAAACCGATTGTTTTATTTTGAAACTCACCTGATGAACAAGCAATGGAGGTGACCCAGGATGCGAGTTAATTGGTTGATGAGAATGGTGAAGATGATGTTGATGATGATGCTGTGGTGGTGGTGGTGGTTGATGAGTTGCATGTTGTTGTTGCCCATGAGAAGCTTGTTCCAAGGTTGGTTGATAGTTATGCTGAGTATGCGGAGAATGTGGTGAATTTTGATGATGTTGATTCTGTTGCTGTTGTTGAGATTGGATATGATGTTGGTGGTGAAGATTGTGATATTCAGATTGAGTTAAGGGCCTTAGTCCATCATCGATATCGGTAGGACAATTTTGTCTTGGACCCGGTTCTGGTGTATAAGTAAACGTTAAACCAGTTGCATAGATTACTCCATCATCTCGTACTAATGATATTGGTACTTGTGTTGGTTGGCGTATCCATTCATACTCTTCCCGAAACTCAGATATTTGAGGAACTACGCAAATTATACTTTCCTGGCATCTGTATGAAGAAGAATAAAACAGCAAGAAATAAGAAATATTAATATTAGAACACAATACTAGAATAATTTATCGACTATCCATTGAAATGAGTATACAAAGACCGCTTCAAATTAGTTAATGTAAACTCTTTCAGATGTCACCCTTTGGGTAAAAGGCAGAATAATCAAATAATTTGATTCAAATTGATGATTGCTAATCATGCTATTACTGACTAATGTTAATTGGATTTATTACCTGAAGAATGTCTCAGTTTCAACATCAGCAAACCAAACTTTCAAATTTTCGTTAAAATTTTCACCAGTCAACTCTAATGTAGCAACATCACCTGAGCCATTGAGACTGAGATTAGATACAATAGGAACAGGTGTAACCGAGGTTCCTCCATTCATCTTTATTCCTTGAGTAAAGGTATATTCAGCCTTATCAGTACTTATTATTGTCCATGAAGCTCCATCAGTAATTACTTCTTTATTGGGCTCTTTTGGACATGGTGTGGCTTGAAATTGAATGATTCGTTCTTGAGATAGACAAAGATACATTCTTTCGGTATCTTTCATGTAAAAGGCACATTTATGCAACTGCGAAACTGGATCATCTGCGTCCAAAAGGGCATTCTGTTTATCCACTTTTCGTATTATCTGTTTAATATGGGCAACAGTAAACAATAAACATCAATCAAAATGTCTTCAATATTAAACCAAGTATATTAATATTCACCAATCTTGGTAAAGCCATTCCTGTAACAGAGCAAACCAGCTTAACTGTTGATCCATAATGTATGTAACCATCTTTAACCTTGAATTCCTCAGATTCCGATTCGTTGTCATCCACTGAATTTAAGTTTCACATCATGTTGATAATCAAATGGGAAAGTAAACCATGATGTGAAATTGTCATACAAAAGGAGAGAAAAAAAAGAGAAAAAAGAATTGATAAAAAATGAAGATAAAAATATGGCTAAGCGTTAAGAAAAGGGATTAAGGATCAGTATCAGATTTTGTAGTTATTTCATCTGGATTGAGGGTAAGAAACAAAAAATATTCCGATAATGATCAGTGAATGTCATTTATTACCACCAATCAAAGAGTACAATAAACATGATGAAAGCAAAAAGAGAAAGAAGAAGAAAATATTTCACTCTAAAATTTCAACAAATTATAAATCTCTCTCCAAGGATAATCTTGAGTTTATCTTTTCATCGGACAAATTGTTTACCATTTTAATCCATCATTGACACTGGTAGGTAAACATAAAACAGGTAAACCAAATAAATAACAAGTAGTAAGAAGAAACTTGAATTCAAATAAAAAATTGAACATTTGAAACATTGAAAAGATGAAGCTCATTAAATGTGCAAAATTGTAAACAAAAAATGAAATAAAAGCTAGAAGAGGGAAATTTAAATTGTGATAAGCTAACAAGAAAAGACAGAATCCTTTTAAGTTTTTATTATTAAATGCAATTATGATTTTAATCGCTAATTCAGAATAGTTATTCTTGATTAAGATTAAATACTCACACAAATGTATAGTAAAAGCTCCCCATTGAGATGAACTTGCATGAAAATTGTTATTTTCAACGTGAAGGTAACGAGTTGAGACTGTTTGAGATCGAAGTCGATTAAACAAAGCTACTTTACTTCCTGAGCTTATGCACACTGAAAGTTAAAACAAATTGATTAATTGTTGGTTCGTTAATTGTAATCATCTTTTTACTGTCAACTTACAATCTGCATTCTTTAACGATTGCTTCTTCTTTGATGGTTTTGATATGACTTTAATCCGTTGTGAATAAAAAACGCCAATATCATCAGCATTGGCATAAAACATTTTCACTGATAACATGAAATGCTTCCGTTTATCTGAATCGCTTATGTACAATGTTTTAGCAGCACAAAAGTTCTGGAAATTGATGAAAAAAAGAAATGATTAGATGCAAGTTCTGTCAAATTGAGTGTAAAGTTGACTTTCCCATACTTAACGGTCAAAATTTAACTCAACTGGTTAACTTGATTGAATCGAAGTATTGCTATGTTTGGTCATTATTTTGCATTATTATTTAACATGGATTGACTAAATAACAGATAAATAGTGACTAAATTAAGTGGTCATATTGGCTAGAAATAATTGCTTTGTTAAACTTGAAGAGGCGATCTAATCAAACGTCCAAGAAATATTTTGTTTTAAGTTATAAGATTGGCAAAGCTTAAAAGAGTATTTGTTTCCAATGTATCTGATGACTTAAGATGATTTTTCCCGATTTTTTATCTTAATTGCAAATTAACTCAAAAGAATCATGACTTATTCAAGAGTGGGTAATTCATGTAACCAAATCTGAGTGAACGAATCTTGATACTTCTCAAGTTGAGGTAAGGTAGGAAAATGTCTTGTGAGCAAATGTCGACTTAAACATTGGATTTCTAGTGAAGTAAAATAAAATTGCTGGATATTTTGTTTTATAAATAATTTTCATTATGACTAAATTTTCTTCATCTCTATTCGATTATCACTTTAATTCATTAAATCAGCTATAAAAACACCCTGGAAGTTTTTTGATATGATTCAGGAACAGGTACATTATTTATACGTTATTTATCCAAAGCATAAAAATAACACATGAGTTATTGAATAAATAAAATTATGAATATAAAAGGATTTCTGGTGAAAAATATCAGATTCAGTAACCAAGTAAATCCATTATTTTGTGCTGTTTCATTGCTATTAATATTTTAAATTCAACAATTAGAGGTAAAATGTATTCTGTCAAGTTAACTCTTATTGTGTGAGTTGTTGAAGATTGCAAGATTGTCATTGAGTTTACTAACCTTTCCATTGAAATCTAATTGTTGCATTTCTTGATCCGAATTGCCGATTCCAATGAAGGCACAGATTTGTGTTGATGATTCCGATTGACCAGCTCTAATCATTTGCTGTTGTCGATGTGACCAGCCATCACCGTAAAGGTAAATACAAGGAGGTGGACAAAAGAATCGCTTCTCATTACCATAAGACTTTTGGGCAACTTTGGCATGTAAGATAACAACTTTCATCTCTTTCCTTTCACGAATATAGTTTCTCATTGATTCCCTGGTCAGACCATAAGTTGAAGATGAGGTTGATGATAGTGAGGACAACGATGAAGTTGATAAAGATGAAGGTGATATCGTCTTCATCTTCGTCAGTGTTGTTGTCGATGTGTCTGTGCTTGTGCCTATTGCCTGTGATATTGCGTTGATTAGAGGAGCTTTTACAGTTGCGCTTGTTGCACCCTCAAGTCCACTCGGTCCAGTTAAAGTGATTCCTTTGCCTTCACCACCTCTTAACCTATCATCATCACCATCATCACTTGGTAGACCAGACTTTGAAAACGGACTTGGTGAACCATGAACTTGATTAGGTATCATTAGAATCAACTTATTTCTCTGATAATTTTCTTGATTCAACCGATAATTGTCAATGATTAACGATTGATAATGTCACCGTTTTTTTTTCAATTCAATTGAACTCTTGTTTCAGTTCAACATCTGTAAAAGAAAGCAAAAAAAATGAGAGAAAAAATTAAATTGAATTTATTGTTAAAACTGGTAAAATCTTATTTTGTAGACAATTATGATTTGCTTGATTTGATTGTTGATCAAAATTACCACAAATAATCATTTCTAATAATTCACTGTAAAACTGTTGAAATCTTTTTTCCTTAAACCTTTCACTTGAATGATTCTCAAAATTCCCATGAAAACTTGGATAAAAATCACATGAAAAAAGCATTAAAATATGTTTCATTTCAATCTTTTTCATTGTTTCATTCAATCATCAAATTCATCAAATCAACACTTTTCATTCAGTTCCGTTTACATGGGATTTAATAAGTTTCAAAATGAGCAGCAATCAGTGTAAATATCTTTGATCTTTTTTTTTCGAAAAATTCTTTCTTCTTTTCAATTTACACTTAATCCTCTCATGAAACTAAACTCAGATAATTCAGTGATAAATGGTCACCACTTTGGAATGAAAAAAAAGGTAAAATCCAAAGCAATTACACAAAAGTGAATCAATTGAAGATCAAAATAATTAGTCAATTATTGATCATTAAATTGAAAGATTTGACAATCAATTGAGACTTGTAATCACGAGAAAATATCATTACGAATTCAAGACTTGAACCAATCTTTGAATAAAGTCTTTTGGAAACCCTTTTCATGAAAATTCTTGTTCAGTCCAAGTCAATGTTGGTTAAATTATTCAAGAAAAGGATAAGAAATTTACAATTTAAAGTACATTGTTCTGTAACGAACATAAGCAATTAGTGCGACAAAAAAATCAGTTGACACCAAAGACATAACAATGATAATGATGTTGATGATGATGATGATGTTCATCCTGTTCAGCCTCTGATATTCATTGAAACATTCAGAAAAGTTGTTGGTGGGAAAAGTTTAGATAGCTTTGCTAGGTATGAGTTTCTTGGCATAAACCATTCAACATTTTTTTACTTTACTCACTTTCCTTTCATTTCTTGGCACAGGGTTAATGTACCTAGTGATACACCTAATAACGTTGCACTTGGTAGGTTGAAGCTTCACTCGTCTCTGCCTCTTCACCGTGGGAACACAATTAAGCCATTTGTTTAAAGGTAAGGTGCAAACATTGTTGGTGTAAATAAACAACTTTACCTTTCAACAGGAAAGCCATGAGATTATCTGAAATGCCTTACCATGAATATATATAAAAATCATATTCATCAACTAGTCAATATTATTCAAACTCTGATATTATTTTGAATTATCCTTTTCATTGCAAATCTAAATTATGTTCAACTTTATTTCACCGTGACAAATGATTAGCCAAATTGATCATTTACAATGAAAAGTTCAACTTTCGTTCAATTTCGTATAACATTCCCATGATTTAAAGTCACTTTTCATTGAAAGGAAAATTTTATTTCCAAACTTTTCCAGTTTCGCCATTAAACATTGAAATTGAGTTTTTTGGAAGTTGATATTTTTCTTGATATTGATAGACTTTTCAATCGTTTTTGAACATCCTTTTAATGTGTTGGTGCAAAGGTTGTAAAGGGTTGAAATTTCATGAAATTCAGTGAAATCTATATTCATCTATGTGAATATCAACTGATGCAACTGACAATTTAATAGAAATAATATTTTCTATTTTGTGGTGAAGTTGATTGATATTTTGCTCATTTTTTTCATTCAATTTTTTTTGCTTTTTGTGTTAATTTGAGTTAATTTACTCAAATGATTAATCTGTTAAATTATTATTCTGCCAATTTTGGCAAACAATTTGATTGACATTAATAAAAAATGAAAGTCAAATCAATCAAAATTGAAAAATGGAGGACACAAAAACAAGTTATGAAAACAACATTAAAATGACCATTAAAAGTTATTTAAATTTAAAATAAATTAATAAGTCAATAAAAGTGAAAAGGTAAGAAAAAAGACTTTTATTTAACAATGAAAAGAAGGTTAAATTGAATTGTTATTAAAACATTAATTTACTATTAAGAAGTGAATCAAATGAATTTTGTTAACTTTTGAAATTGATGAAAAGTTATTAAAGTTTGAAATGCAATTAAATAAGTTAAATAATTTGCTTTATTGATTGTGATTGGCTCGTTTCTGGATGAATCTCAAAGTTTATCAACAAATGAGGCTAAACAGGTAACTACAACAGGAGGAACCAGTTTGTGTTAATAAACGTAAAAGGTACGCCTCTAAGGCCTATATAGTTAAGGTAACAAGTTAATCGATGATAATAATGATGATAATAATGAATATGGCTGATAGTCGGATAATGCTTGATAAATTTTCATGTTGGTTAATAACGATAATCAGATTGGGATTGACAATTGTTTAGATTTGTTTTGAATGAGGAAGAGACAAAAAAGGTTTTCTTCGTTTCTCTTTACCTTTTTTTTGTCTTGGTTTCAGTTCTCAGGTCATTTAGTTTCATCCTAATGATGATAATGATGCTGAGTGAGGATGACTGAGATGAGGATGAGTTGGATGAGGCTTAAGGGACGTCTCATGACCTTGGAAGGGGCAAGTTTCATGGGAGTGAAATGGACCCTTTTAGTTCCCAGAATGGTCATCAGTATAACTGTGATTGTTCATCATTATTATTGTTATTATTGTTGTTGTAGCTATTTAAAGCATCTTCATGTTCATGTTGGTATAGAAACATGGAAAAGAATGAGGATGAAAAAAATTATGGATGATTAAAGTGATTAAACTGAAACTTTTATTAACTCGCAAAAGATACTTAATCTAAGTTCTTGTTTATCCGACAAGAACGACTCTTTTAGGTTGAAAGATTGATGGCTAACAGTTTAATTAGATGTTACTTGTGTAGTCATTTTTACTCGAAAATCATGCGATTTCATGATGAACTAGATGTTGATAATGAAGATGATGAAAATATAGAATCAAGAAAAGGATAAAGAGGAAAAAAATGAGCGAAAAAACCTCTATCATTCCGTAAAAGACCTAAATGTAACCACTTTTTGATGCGACGAGAGCGACTCTCTTGGGTTGAAAAATAACTCCTTAACGGCTTAGTAAAACGTCACTCGTGATGTAACTTGTGCTGATGTTCAGTCATTTTTTCACTCGAAAATCATGTGATTACATGATGAACTAGATGTTGATCTGAAGACGATGATGAGGATGAAAATATAGAACCAAGAAAAGGATGAAAAGGAAATAAGATGAGCAAAGAAGCCTTTTATCAATCCGTGAAAGACCCTAATGTAATCACTTTTTGATGGGACGAGAGCGACTCTCTTGGGTTGAAGGGTAACTCCCTAATGGCCTAATCAAACGTCACTTGTGATGTTACTTGAAATGTTAATGTTGGTTGTTATCATGAAGATTGTGGTGATAAAAATAATGATGATAATGATGAGGGTTTAATGTGGTGATGATATCACCATGAAGTTTTGTACTAAACATGGAAAATTGAAATTAATGTTTTTTTGCTTCTTCTCAAAAGTTCATCGTCATCTTGATATTCAATTATAATTTTGGTTAATAACAATTGTTTCATTGATGATGATGACGATTCAACTAGCTTTAATTATAATAGCCAACCTTTTGTGAACAAGCGTTTTCCTTGCTTCATTAATTGCTCTCTTCATTAATGTCAATTGTCACGTTAATTTAAATATCTTGAAAGATTGTAAAACAAATTGCTTTCAACACACAACATTGATATTTAAATGGTACATTAAAGGTATATTGATAATGTTAGCGCAAAGCAAAAATGAATTTGAAAAATAAAACACTTCTTAAGATATTATCGGTAAACTGATAACTTCATTTTTTAGCTGCTGATGAACATAAAGACTACAAAGATGAGGATGAATGCAGTGATAGAGGTGAAGATGAGGATGAAGAGGATGAGGGTTTAATGGGAGTTGAAAGTGATTGAGTAAAATGGAGCAGCCAAGTATATAAAAGTAGATTTAGTCTGTATTACTGTTATTATTATCATTATGAAAAGTCCTGAATCAAGTTTTTGTATTAACCGTAAATTTGTAAGCCTTTATAACAGGACAGATGCAATTGTTCCCATCATTTAACCATGTTTATCCTAACCAAGTTGAACCTAATTTTATACCTTAACTAATCAACATTTTCAACTAAACCTTGTATTTTAATAAATTACTTTTACCATCATTTTTACAACACTGATTAACATTGATAAATGGTTGATTAGCTTTCAATTGCTTCCTCTCATCTGGTCACTTTGATTCACCATTTTTTCAATGAAAAGCGTAACTCAATGGAACAGTAAAATGAGCAAAAATTGTCGATTCCATTGATTGTAAACTTGGTTATCGAGTTGTATTTGCACGATTATTTCGTGATTAGTTTCATTTCTTGACAATTAAATCATTGCTTTTCACAGGAGAAAGTGAATCTTTACCAAGTTTACATATTTTACACACAAAATGGAGACAAACTAGTAAAATATCATGAAAGTTCAATCTAATGGTTTATGAATATGGATAACTTGTTGACTTGATATTTCGTGTTCATCAATCGTTTGCACATTAACAATCAAAGTCTGAGAAAAATTTACATTTTTTATGATTTCTCCTTCTTCCAATGGTAATGATAATAATTGATTGGGATTGTATATTAATCATAACTCACAATGAGACTCAAATTGATTTCAACTTTGATTGTCTAAGCTGACCAATTTGATTGAAAATTTGGATGAAAAATTTTGCCTCTTCAATGAAACAAACAATTTTTGCTAAAAATGGTATTTTTGGGTTGACAAGACAAAATTGGATTGGATTGAAGGTAACAAACATATGGATTGATTCCCATACATTCAGGCATCACCAGTTTTGGTGGTTCCTACATTTGTTTGGGTTTTAACTGGAGTTGAACAAAACAAAACAAAAAAAAAGCCTTTTCCACTCAATCAAATCAAACATGGATGATGTTGATGGTGATGATGATGTTGAGGAAGACATGTTTTTAGGTAGCAAACTGTTGATGACAAAACCATGATTCAAGTGAACGCATTAACAGCAAATCCATCAAACCATTGAATTAATGTTTAAACCTTTTATTCCTCCTTCTTTGTAAGCTTTTATATTACACATTGATTAAAGTGATTAAGTTTTAATAGATAATGTTTAACATTTAGATTTGTAAATGTTAATCATAATTTGGTGAAGGTTATTATTACTGGTTCAAATTGAGGTAACCCTTTCAATCAAAGTTGAATATATTAAAGTATTGATTGAGTTGCCAAACACTTCGATTAATCATTTTTCCTCGTTATTCAACATTTCCATTGTAATTTAATTTTAGATTATCTTTTGCCTCTTTTCAATTTTCTTTGTTTATAAATCAATAATTTTCATCTTGCAACAATTAATGATTGATTAATGAAAAGGTTGTTCATTGTGATAAAAGGTAAATTCATTGGGTTCTATTAGTGGGTTATTTGTTGCTTTACTGGGTAAATTAATGTAAATTTTAATGAATTTTATCAGTTCTTTTTTAATCATTAAAGACTTAATTTTATTTATTATTGATTTCATCTTTTTGTTTTGACCGCGGCTGTGGACAAAATGAGGAGACAACCCCTGATTTAACCTCTTTCCCTCCAATTACCAGACGTATGATTATCTTCTGATTTGTTTTGTTTTTTATTATTTACTCATTTTTTCAATTTATATGGTTGTAAATGTTATTATTAACTTGTTTTAAATCGTAATCTGTTTTGGTATTTTGATTGATCGATAGAGATCTGTCTTTATGCTTCATGGATTGATTCAACGAACGCTGTTATATTTTCAAGTGTTGTAATTAAGCGTAAGCTTCAACTATACAAAGATGTAAACGGATAAAAAAGGTTTGAAAATTGAATCCAAGCCTGGTTAGAATCTGATCTATCTAATTGGTTTTTTTTATACCAGCAATCAAGCCAGGATCTGTGGATGGTTTGAGCGACTCTTTCTAGGCTGCCAGGTTTGTGAACTTCAAAGCTGAATCAATTTGCAAGACACTCATGATACTTTGAAAATTCAACATTTCTCCTGTTTCTATAGATCATGGAAGTGAATGTATCTCAAATGGTCCTGAAAATCACCCAGTAAAGGAACAAAAACAGTGACAGAAATGAATAATACCCAATAATAGAACACTTTACATGAGGTAAATTGAATGTTTAAAAGAAAAGGTTTGTAATGTGTAAAATTAAATTGCATGTCAAAAGATTGAGTAGAGTGAAGTTTAGGTTTGTTTTGTTTTTTGCTATGTGTTTACAAGCAAAAAAGTACAGCTAGGAATTGATTAGTTACCCTAAAAAAAGAGAATTGATTGAAGTACGTATTAAATGCGGTCGATGGTACAATGAAAGTTGAATGATGTTTTATAATACATTATAAATGTACAGTTCAAGTTGAGGTTTCAATAGACACATTACAAAGTTGCGTTCAAAATGCTGGGAATAATTCCATATGTTTTTATACACTGTACTTTCTCCTATTCCCTTTAATTCCTCAAACAATATATTTATAAACATAACATTACTTTTTTTTCTTCCTCTTCCCTCTTAGTCTCTTTAACCATCATCACTTTCATCATCCTCTCTTGTCTATCATTTTGTTTCTTTGGGTTCTTAACTTTATCCCTTTGTTTTCTGTGATACACTTTCAACTCATCAAATTATTTTCCTTTTCTCATTCCAGATTCATTGCAATTATCCTACTCACAATAACCCATAATCAATTAGTTAATCAAATTTTCACACAATTAGCTTGATTGTTGGCCTTGATGACGATGAAACTAAAGCACCTTTTTTCTTACGGAAGGAATGGAACTGCAAAAATGTGACCTTGACTTTCACTCTTTTTAAGGGTAATACACATCGGAATATTTTTTCAGGGAAACACTCTTCCTCATCATCATGGTCCAGTCTAGTTATTTTTCATCATCATCCTATCATTTGCTTTCTCTTCTTCTCTTTCTTTCTCCCTTGTTCAGGTTATTTCACTTCATTTTCATGTGAATAAAGCCAAGAGAACACTTTTCTTTCCTTATTTTTTTCTCACTTCCAATAGCATTGTTTCCCAAAAATCTTATCAAAACCAAGCAAAGTAACTCTATCACCGCCATGACCATCATCATCATCAACGAAAACATCATTAGTAGCCAAGCAAAAATAAAGTCAAAATGGATGCAAAATGGGAATCGCATTGAGAAACAAATGAAGACAACTTTCCCTTTTGGATGATCAAATTATGGATAGAGTAAATGCTTCATCCATCAGAGCAGCTCGTTATTAATCAATCTAAACCTGATTAAATGGTTAGGAAGCATATTAATTAAAGCAATGATATCTTGAATCTAATGAACGGATACAAAACGTGAAACGAGGATGATTGTGTGAATCAACGATGAATATCATTAAAATGTACAAAATGTTCGTCATGTAAAAGCTGAACCTACTAAACTGTTGACTGAAACTGTTAGCTTAACTGTTAACAAGTTGAACATTGGAGTCATTAAGATGAATCGTGAAAACATAAATAACAAAAGTTGAACAATTTGTTTCTCAGTTATAGTGTTTTTAAGTGATTGTAAAATGATTTCAATTACTGTATACTTTGGTTAAAGTTACCGTAAATCTGTAATAATGACAATAATCAAGGATGCTTGTTTCCATTGATAATTATCTCAACAGCAACAACAATCTTGACCAACTATAAAGTTTAAATTATAAAATGAGGTTAAACAATTTAACTTTTTTAACCTCACGTTTTAAAATGTACATTTAATCGTAAAAGTTGAAACAAAAAGGATAAATGAAATTTCATTAAATGCATTTCATGCAGAAAAATAATGTTTTATAACATTTGATACTTACATTAAAGATGATCATCAGTAAAGGCGACAATTACATTGATTAACCTGTGAAATAAAGATATTGATATGAACACAAGTATTGTTGGTGTTTTTATATCAACAATTTAGCTGAAAACACTATCAAAAATAACATTTCATAACATTTAAACAATTTAATTGTCCATAAAGGATAATTGAAGCTGGACAAGAATGAAAATTTGTATGCAAAAAATACAATCAAAGACCAATCTTGTTGCCGGAAACTTAAGGCCTACATTCAATATGAATGGGAGTGAAAATGAGGATGAAAAAGAGGAGGATGATGATAAAGATGAAGATAATCATCATCTAATAGAGCAGAATCAGAATGATTGAGATTGATCGAAGCTATGGCAACTATCGAAGAGTATTAAAGATCCTTTGGTAATTCAAAGACATTCACCAAATGGATTAACCTTTTTAATATTCAACATTTTCCATTGAAAATGTTAACCTTTCAATGTTAACAAGCAAAATAATTGACAATCAAGATAATTAACCCACTCGAGTGTAAATTCACTAAATGTTTTGTTTTTAGCAAATTTTGGTAAAAAAACTCAACCTTTTCCAACCATTTTTGGTATTTTGTTTCATTTGAAAATTGTTTCTTAATTTTGTTTGATAACCTAACATTTGATACAATCAATGATTTTATTGAAAACCGTTAAAATTGTATCTTAAATAACATCTTTAATGTCTTTAATATCTTTAATAGTACATAATGTTGGATAATAATAGGATGATCATTGTTGACTATTGAATTGTGTTTGTTGGAAGCAAAAAGATATACAATTATGTTTGTTGTGTTGCAGGTAAGAAGCAAAAAAACCTGTGAAAAATGATGATAGATTAAGTTGATCTTGGATGACGAGCAAGATGACGATACCTTTGACGGTGGCCTGGACCTCCGTCAGCGTTTATTATACGCCTTTTGACTAACCTCAATAAACCTTAATCAAATTAAATTGCCACCCTTTTGAGGTTTCATTGAATTGAGGCAAACAGAGAGTTAAACAGGGGAGTAAGAAGGATGACAATGAACGATGATGAAAATTGAACCATTTCATTGAACCATTTTCATTCACCTTTACCATCTTCATGGCATACCATAAGCTTTACCTGTGTTTATGCCAAAGTTTATCAAAACCTTGCTACCATTGTGATTGTAAAAGATCAACTTGATTGTTAACTTTCTCAATCAACATCCATTGTGAGATGATTTTATTTTTGCTGTTTTTTTCTGAATCCTCCTTTTTACTCCCTGTTTCTCACTTGACTTGGAGGATGAAAAAAAAAGATGAAACTCAATCAAGGTGAAATAATAATTGAATTGATTGGCTGTTTTTTTTCATCTCCACTTTTGATGCTTTCCTATTCATTAAGCGATTCTTGTTCATCTTCACATTGATAGTTGTTGGTTTTATTTGTGTGTTTTTTGTCCACATTTTTATTACCTTTCAACTTGAATCTTTTATTGTTCTCATTCTTGACCTTTACCTTTTTTAAAAGCATGTTAAAGATGAAATCTTTGTTTGGTTGTTACATGAAAATTGAATCTTGAATTGAGTTCAGCTCTTTATCTGTATCAATTACAGTTGTGTTTAACAAAAGGTTCATCTGACAAGTTCATTGGTTTTGATCTCAAGATTAACTCGTTTCAAGTTTGCAATTTGAAAAGATTCTTTGAAAAGGTAAAATTTATTATAATTGAATCAAATTAAATAAAAATTCAAATTTTGCTCAAAAATTGCCAAGTGCAATGAACGCCCTCTATTGATGTAAATTGCTTTTATTTGCTTGGTAACGTGAAAAGGCATTTCAAGTTGCTCAAGTTTATTTATTGTCATTAACAAAGGAATTGATTATGTGAAATGAAAAGTATACATTTTTTTTGATTCAACCATTCCTACGAAAAGAAGGTCAAATCGGCAAGATTGGAGTAAAAAAGCGGCTATAAATGCAGTCCAAGACGAGTGAGGAGGAAAAAAATTTCAACCTAAAATGTTGTTTTGTTGAGATGAACAAAAAAATAAGTGAATCTCTCAAAAAAACAAAATGATGTGGATCCACCTGAAGAGGATGAATAATTTTGAACAAGGATGTTTGTGGTTTATTTGATTCAACACTACTATCATTATTATCATACTTATCATCATTATCGTTGCTACTACTACTGCTGCTACTGTTGCTGTTGCCAGTACCTTTACTGTATACATCAATTACATCAATCGGTGGTAAACATGGTTTGATGTTGCAAAAAAATTACCTCAACCATAACATTGAGGGGATGAAAAATGAAATCATGAAATCATTGATTACACCATGCAACTGTCTATAACCTTATTGTATATTATCGCCAATATCATAATTTAACTCTGCAAACCTCTAAATCACGCATTACAATCATCATCACAAGTGTTAATTTACAATCAACTTACAAATTATTTGTCTCATTACTTCTGATTAGAAGGGGGCAAAATTCATTTATTCAATCACAGATCTGGCTAAAAAATTAATTTCTAATGTTTATCTGTGGAAAAATTTCAAAGACGTTTGTTCCCTATTGAGAATTGAGACGCTTGCTGAATTAAGTTCATTAGCTACAGAATCAATGCTTGAGTTGTCATTGTTAGAAGCAATTCCAAGCGCAAATTATCCACCAATTAGCACCTTTTCAAGTATCATTAAGTCTGCCTTAGAAATAAAATTAGAAAATCAATTCGATTTTGCACATGGAATTATTTCGTTGATGGAATCGCAAAATTTTTATTCATTCAACTGAACACCATAAGGCGATAATTTAAAACTGATGAGATTTTTGATGAAAACTTATCATTTAAATTAGCAATATCAATTCAGGCCTTCATAAGTTCAGATCGAACAAAAACTTCCAGAATTTTCAAGCTTAAGATCATATTTTGACTGATGATTAACATATCGTTGGCAAAGTGGCACATTTCGCTGTTTGGACCATTTCTAGTGAATCGAAATTTCTTACGAAACAAATTCTGATAGTCATGTTCAAGCTTGTGGCTTTAAAAGCGCTTCTGCAATGATGAAAGTCGTTCTCATTTGATGTTTTAATGTTGAAGGTTTGATGTTGATAGCAACTGTTGATGGAATCACAATGAATGTCATCCAAACTCAGGTGTTAATAAACCTGATTAATGAGTTTGCATTGAATTGACGGTAAATTAACCTTTCATTGATCATTTTTTTATGATGACTGTTGGCTTTGTAACTTTCAATGGTTCAATTGGTTAACCCTGTAACGGATATAAAAGTTGATTAATATGAAAGCAGTAACTTGAAGGCAATAAAAGCCTTAAGCTTTAATCATTTAACAAGATATCATTTAGCAAACAAGAATACCTTGAAGGTAAATAATCTATTAAATAATCTAATCATTATCATTATGATTATCGATCAATTGATATAAATCATTGAGAAACAAGATTGACCAATCAATGTTATCCTTTCATCTACGTAAACAATTGAACAATTAAACTGATCTGAAGGGTCACAAATGGTCGCAATCATAATGATTTAAAGTCCAACCAACACACATAATGATGGGAAAAGAGACTTGAATGGTCAACTTGATTAATTGTGTAAAGTGTAATTGAATGACAATATTAAACTAGTAAAAGGCATAAATCATTTGAACCATTTAATTTATTTAAAGGCTTTTGTTTTCATTTTTGTGGCCAATTTTATCGTCACTTTGAATCAGCAAAATCGATAAAATGTTCAATTGTAAATCAAATTTGATTACAATTAACCAGTCAAATCAGTTGATTGACAATTTCCTGTCTTTACTTGATTCCATCATTTCAGGGTTTTTCATGATTTTTGCACTCATTTTTTTTCTGAACATTTTGATAGTTTGATTAGTGAGAAATTATTTAACTTTTTTTTGCTTCTTGCTATTATTAACAGAAATTATTGATAATTAGATAAAAATTGATGGTAAATTGGCAGCAATCAACAATGAAAAAGGACCACCGAAGCGTAATAAAATGATTGGCCCAATCATCACAAGATTTAAACTTGTTGAGATTGATGATTTAATGTTAATTTGTTACTTGAATAGAGAGTAAAATATTTTTCTCAATTAACTATTATTATTATGGTAAATATACAGGAAAAAACATCTTTGGATAAAAAAGATTGAATAATGAAGATGGAAGATGGAAAGAAGAGAAAAAAAGGTGAACATGACGGAAATGAAACTCAAGTTGCGTTGGTGGTTTTCACAGATCAAACAGTTTCTCATGTCTCTAAATTTCGCAGGTCATCCACATATCATCTTCCTCATCATATTTTATTCATCCACATAACCTTACGTGGAGCAAGCATGGCCAGCCTAGTGAGTTGAATCCTTCAACCTAACAAGTCCGTTCTTGCCCCATCAAGTCTTATCCATAATAAGGGTCGCTTGTGGAATAAAAAAATTCCAGCTTCGTAATGATAATCATAATTATTTTGATCTTATTCTTGTTTTCTCACCGTGGTCATCATCACCATCTTCATCATCCTCATCATCTTCACCCTCTTCTGTCGTTTTCATCATATGTTTTAAGTTCAACACCATGTGAGTGCCTGACTAGTCATGAGTCTGTCAACCTAGGAGAGTCACTCTCGTCGGATCAAATGATCCCTTACAAGAAGGGTCTTGAGTCAAGTTTTCATTTTCATCATCAACTTTTGCTCAATTCCCAGAGTTTTAAATGTCGTGTAAAATGGGAGGAAAGGAAAGGAGTAGAAACATGAAATGCTGAGATGATGATCAGATAAGCTTTCCAAGTGTTGATGATCATTAAGTGGGTGGAGACTGAGGCGAGGGTGGAATAATGGATGATAATGAAAAGGGGTAAAAAAAGAAGTGAAATGTTATTGTCCAATCAGAGTGAGATGGTGATGATGAAGAAGAAGAAGAAAAAAAAGTTGAAGTAAAATAAAGTAAATGAGTTTTCTCTTTAAAATGCAAAGTAAAAACAAGATTCTGAATGAAGACAGAAAGTTACCTGAAGCTTGAAGGTGAAGCGTTTTTACCTTGGTCCCGTGGGAAAGTACAGTAAGTATAAAAAAATGAACCAAGAAAAGGGTAGTTCAAGCCTCTCTTTCTCTCTCTCTTTCTCTCTTCCTCTCTTCATCTCTCTTCATACCTTTAATCATTGATGCTACTGTATTTCACTGAATTGTTGAATGAAACGTTAAACACAAAAAGAGAGAGAGAGACTAAACAAGAGACTGAAATATCCTTAGGCTAAATATTATTATCATGATTATTATATTTGTTACGAGTTGTTATGTGAACAGAAGCTGTAAGATGATGGTGATGAACAGTGGATGATAATGATGATGATAATCAAGACAACTATTATTCTGATGATGAGGATGATGATGATGATTAAAGCACAATTTGTAGTTTATATAAAAACAGTCTCATGTTTTTGGCCTATTCAGTGTTCAATGTGTGATTTGAAAGGTTCATCTTTAATGATTTAATCACGATTGTTATTATTGTTCAATGACCACCGACGATGACAATTATCATGTATATCTGATAATGATAACAGATTATTCAGGTTATCAAAAAGGTAACTTATAATAACATCAATAAACGCGTAATAACAAGTTGAAAAATAGTGTCTTTTGGAGTAAATGTTCAATCTTGAGATTTTGGCTTTTTTTGTCTGTAAACATTTAAACTCTGGAATTCAATGAATTTAGACAACTTGGTGGTCTTCAGATGATGAACAGTAGACCAGATTAGTTAATCTTAAGGTTTAATCATTTTGATTGGAAATGATAAGCAAGACTAACCACAAATCAAGGATAACAAGTAATTGCATGTTAAAGGTGACAAAACAATTTTGTCTGAATTCCCTGTAAATCTAATCACTTGACTCAACATCAACTTTATCAGATTCAACAATTGAAACAATTGAGCTTTTTGTTAATCATTTTCAACACTTGATTTTATTGTTTAATCAGTAAATTGATATCATTACCCGATATCAGTTTACATGTTGAATGTAATTCACCTTTGATTGTGTCAATATCACGATAAATCGTGATTGGTAATTGTAAATTAATTTCAATCTTTCAATTAATAAATGATAAATCATTGGATTCGGCGAACAATTTGTTTTTATTTTTCTTGTTTGTTTGTTAAATTGTAAGAATTAGTAAATTGCAATTTAACATTTTCCCACTCTTTTTGTTTGATAAAGTTAATCATTCAAATCTTATTGTCATCTGCATTAATTGCAAGCTAAAAACAGAACAATTAGCTCATTTGACCAGTTATAATTAACCTTCTTTTAATTGTCTGTCAACTTAATTGTCTTTCAATTTGTGAATTTAGTAAAATTATAAGCGAATGTTTAGCAAAAATTAGAAAAATTGTTCACTGATTGAACTTTTTTGATTGTTAAGGGTTTAATTATTTGACTGGGAATCGATTCAAGTTTGGTTTGGGTTAATTTTTTCACATGAATTAAACAATTAAAGAAGAAAAATTTATCAAAATTGACTTGGAAAATGGTGAATTTTTTGGGAATTTTCAACAAGAATTGCTGATCAAATGTTGAACAGTTTATTAAACTATCCAAGGACTGAGTTTAATGGTGAAATACTTTGAATGTTAAACATTTATCAACCTCGTTAAGTCACAAGGTTGTCGGCCTAAGTGTCACATAATTGTGTTCAAACCTAGACACTTATTTTTCATGGTCACTGATTTTCATGCAATCAAATGAAAGTTAATTTTTAAACACTATTCTGCACATTATTTCCACTTTCATCATGTTGAACCTAGAATCCAATTTTCATGAACATTATTTGGTTAGTTGGCTTGAAATGGGCAAAGTTGGTTATACTGGGTGTACAAATATGTTATATCACTTTTGGGTGCTTTTATTTTTTAAGATTTTAGCCATTTTACCGAAGTCAGTAAGTAAATTAGTCAACTTTAGCATGAACATTGCAAGAAAGTGTTAATGGAAATCAATGATCTTGACTTCATTGGAATTAAAAACCGAGAGAAACTGAATTTGTTCACTCAACGATGAATGGTTACGGCCTAAGCAGAGCCAAACAATAGTCCATGTCTATGCATCATGCAGTGCTACATGCTAAAGTGTAGTTTGGAAATCATTGGTCAACACATTTAACTCTTTAACCTGCAAGCTCAGTATATTTAAACGCTTTCGAAAGCGTTTAAATATTCTTATATTTAAATATTTAAATACATTTGATTCTGCTAAACGTTTTTGGTTAGATCTAACCAAAAACGTTTAGCAGAATCAAATGCAAGCAACTTCAGTTACCTTCAACTGAATAGACTTCAGCCTAATTTGAACACTGTTATCCAACAGACACTATTTTCCTCGTCACATCGTCATCAGTCAAGATGATCATTTTCGTCTCTATAATGATGCGAGATAGCTAGTCAGTCTAACTTTATTTGAAATCAAACTGAAATTCATGTTTCTTCGGAGTGTCAACTTTTACTGACAATGTGAGTTGTGAGTGACAACTGTTCTAACGATGAATGCAAATATTAATAATAATTCAATGATATTTATTGAACCTCGACTTTGCTCAAATCATTGAGGTCAAGCTGATGTCCTAAGCTCGAGGTTTTGACTTGATGCTCATCTTTGTATGAATTGATGTTGAAAAATGAATTTTCATTAGGATCATCACATTAAGTTGATTAGATTTGTTTTTACTCAACTCAGTTTAGAATCTGCAAAGTCTTGTATCATGTTGTAACCTGTTAAATGTCAGCAATTTTCTCACTGAATTAAAGATATTTTTCGATAGGAAACCCTGAGAATAACGATTTTTACCTTGACTGAATCGTGAAAACTTTTTGTTTAACCTTTTGCGTCACCATTTGATAGGCCAATTTAATCAACTATTAAATTACTTTGCTATTGAATTTGACGGAAAGTCAAACATCTCAAGACTAAATTGAAAGTTTAAAGTGATGTGAACCTTTAAAGTGAAAAGCAATGAAAATGTCCCATGAAAGGTGATTCCAACTTGAAGACTGAAAAAAAGTTCATTTAAATAAATGTACTAATAATCAACTCAAACTGAATCTGTAAATTACACTGAAATCATCTGAAAAAATAAAAGATTCAGTGAAAGTCAAATAAAAAGATAAACAAGAAAGATTCAAAAATATTTCATTTAAAAACCAAAACCAAACCTTGAGTCTTCATGAATTTTCATAGTTTCAACTCAATCATTGACTAAACTGAAGCAGAACATTTTATTACGAAAAAAAGGAATTGAATAGTTGATGGCTCAATCTGAATGAATTGTTGAGATTTGATCATTTGGATTGAATGGCAATTCATTTGGTTACAGTTATTTTCACAAGATTATCGCGAAACAAGAAAATCCTAAAAGTCATTGGAATTGGAAAAATGTTAATTTCATGTTTTCCTAAATTCAATGGATTGCAATCATGTTACTGACCCGTTCATTGTGAGATTTAAACACTTAATAGCAAACCAATTTGTCTTCATCTTCATCTTCAATTGCAGAAATATATTAATAACAAAAATATGAAGAGACAACCAAATTGTTCCAAATTTAACTTTGAAACGAACCTTACTTGGCTATTGAAGTTTATCATGATTCTCATTATCGTTGAACGTTACAACAAATTGTGGGAAACAATTTACTCTTTTGTTGACAATCAAATTCAATTGACAAGTTTACATGTGATTTTGGTCTAAACAAGAATAGCAATGGAATGTTGAAAAAGAAGAAGAAAAAAGTTTGAAAAAATTCTATGAACAAATTTTTTCGATTCATTTCTTGTTGTTCATCTTTTTGTGTCATTACCTTGCCTATTCATGATAATATCAATATTTATTGAATAAGACATCAACTGATAATATCTTGAGGCAATTCAAATTCTTACTCTTCTGTGAGAAAATTAATATTAGCCAATTATAAGAGTAATAAAGTCAACATGAAAAGATAATTAATTCATTGATTACAAGTCGATTGTAAGAGTTACGAGAGTTTTACATTTGCATTCAAGTTCAACTGGAAAGGCCCAGAACGCATGTAAACATTTTCATGATAAACTGATCAATTGGCCAGAATAGTAAACAATGTTAATAGTCAACATTTGCATGTGATGGAAGCGACAAAATTAGAATCACAATTAAGCAAAACAATTGACCATTTATCTTGTTTATGTTTTTCCAGTTAAATTACCTTGAAAGTGTATTCTGTGTGAATCTGTTTAATTGTTTAACTGTAAATAGCAACTAATTAAGCATTTTGGGTAAACAAGTTGAACAATTATATCGATCGCGATTTGAATGAAAATTCATCAAAAAAGGATTGTAAAATGATAACAAATCATCATGAAATGTTTCATTGTTTTATGAACAAAACAAGAACGAAATGCTTCTCATGTAAAAATGAAAGACAATAAAAGGCTTGAAATGTTGAATAAAAACGCAAAAGTCAAAGTTAAATATGAAGCTGATGAAGATGAAGATGATGAAAAATTTGATGAAAAATTGAATAAAAAAAGGCAAAAGGTTCCCACAATGAAGCAAATCTGATGATAAAAGCAAAAAGTTGAGGGAAGCTTGAATAAGCTGCAAGATGATCTTTCATCCTCCTCCTCTCATCTCCTCCCATCATCTCTCCCCTTACCCTAGCTACTTGTACTCTCATCCCGCCCTGTAATTGTCTCTCTCTTCTCTCTCTCTTCTTGTCTCCTTCTAATCATCTCTTTCTCACTAAACAACAGTCACAAAGAGTCACTCAAATTATATTATATTTTATACACTTTCATGTTCAATCTTAGACTCTTTACCTTTGCAGCTCCATCTATGACGATTAACTTGTTCCCAGAGTTTTGCCGCTTTTCATTGAGACTTCCGAGGCCACTATCTCCCTCTCCTCCTCCTCATCATCATCATCTCCTTCATCTCTTTCTTTCTCTCTCTTCACTCTCATCCATCGTTTGTATCTCTCTTGTTTATACCTTGTTCTTGTTGTGGTCAACTAATATGCTCTTTCATGTCAACAATTTTACAACCAATTTTGCCATTTCATTTCCAATGTATTTTTTTCCACTTCATCGTAACCATGAACATTATTGAACTATCATTTAACCATCTAATCATTTGCCATTCATTTTCATCATTAAAAGTCACCAGCAAAAGTCAACGTTAATTTATTTCAATTTGATCTCAACTCTGTTTTTTTACACTTTTTTGTTTTCCTTTGCTTTCCATCTTTGCTTTCTCAATTGCATCAATTAATTATTCAACCATAATTGTTTAATTGGTTAACTAAGTGAAAATCAAATTGCATTTTGCAGCATTGTGATCTGAAGTCGTGTCATTTACTTTATCATTTGCACATGAAAATGGATTCCCTTTGATTTACTTGACTATGTGTTGTAACGCTCTTGTGCATCATAACTGTTGAGGATTGTCTGTGCCTTTTGTTTTCAACATTTGAACATTTGTTTTCTTGGAGTTTACCTGTTAAGTGGGTTCAATGGATACTCACAGTATTGGAGCGACTGGACTGCTTAGTCCAGTTTCCTTGGTTGATTCATCAATGTGTCTTAATCATCACACATTAACACCTTTAATATGTTCATCTGATCTAGGTAAGAATCTCATGAAAAGTCTTGTCTGAATTTATGATGAAAATTGCCAAAAACATTGTGACCATTCATTTGACAATTACTGTTCCCACGGTACAATTAGTAAAAAACCTTAGACTCAGGTTGGTTAAGAGTGATGATCAAGTTGGTTAATGGTGAAGATGTGATGAACAGATTATGTAAAAAAGATGATGTAAATGATGAGGAAGATGAAAAGACAAAGAAGAGGACAAAAAATGAGATGAAAATAAAAATGATTGTTACCTAAACAAGCAACAATAAACAGCAAAATAACAGCAAAGTTAACAAGGATCAAGCAAATCCCACGTAACCTTAACGGACTTGCATCCGGTTTTTGTGGTCCCATGGGAGAGATGATGATGATGAGGATAATGATGATATTGATGATGGTGAGAGTGAAAATTAATGAATAATGTTAGGTTATAAGTGCTCATCAACATGCAAGATGCTTCAATTTACATTTTATTCAATTATCCAATCTTTTTATTTACACTTTTGTCCACAAAGTAATCAAATTGTTAAATTGAATTTCATTGAGAAAAAACGAAAGTTTCATTTCAATTTCTTGAATTCCGTTCAATGGATTTGCGTGAGTTTCATTGATCTCAACCTAAGACATTTATCACTTCAAGTGTTGTTCATTTATCGGTGTTGCCAAGTGTAATCATCTGAGTTATCCAAGAATCACACGGTTTTTGTTATTCTTGTTAACAGCATTCATGCCAACCTGTTAACAACAAGTAATCAAAGTTAACCACAAAAGGATTATCAAATTGATGAGCAAGATTAGGATGCTTTAAGCGTGATGAAACGTTTAAACTGTCAACAAGTGCAATTTTGTAGCAAATATTTAATGGCGGGTGAAGAGAGATTGAAATGAGAAAAAAATGAAACTTAAATTGGGAATAAAACTGGTATTTGTTGATCAAAACTGATGATAATTGTTTGATTTGATTTGGCAGTTAAGCAGCGTAAAGTGAAAAGTGTGAATACAAGATAATTTACCTTCATTTTTGTTGCTCTTTTTTACCTTTTATCAGATAAATCACCACCTTCAAGTCAACAACAACAGTGTAACAGTAATAGCAGCAATGTTTCTAGTAACTCTAATGGTACCAATCAAAATAATAATAGTAACAATAATTCAACGGTTCAAGTTAATAACAGTAGTAATAGCAATAGTAATAATAATAACAATGGTAATAATTCCGGCGCTAGTCCAATTGGTGGATCAACACCAACCGGAGCAGCTCGAACAAGTGGCTCAACTGGATCAGATGGGCAGCTTAATGGTTCAGCCACTGACTTAACCTTAATGATACCAAATTCAATTCACGGTCCACCAAGTCCGTTGCCTTCACCAATGGATGAAAGGTCTCGTCTAAGGCGATCATGGGAACATCAATTGGCTAGAGAATCAATGAGATCATTTATTCGTGAAAGGAAAGAGATGAAAGTTGTTATCTTACATGCCAAAGTTGCCCAAAAGTCTTATGGTAATGAGAAGCGATTCTTTTGTCCACCTCCTTGTATTTACCTTTACGGTGATGGCTGGTCACATCGACAACAGCAAATGATTAGAGCTGGTCAATCGGAATCATCAACACAAATCTGTGCCTTCATTGGAATCGGTAATTCGGATCAAGAAATGCAACAATTGGATTTCAATGGAAAGGTTAGTAAACTCAATGACAATCTTGCAATCTTCAACAACTCAATTCATTGAATAATCAACAAAACGGTTCCACAGTTTTCGTCAAATCAATTTGATTGTTCAAAGGTTTCCTTTTATGTTACAATAATAATACAAAATAACTCAATAATAACTCAACTCTATAAAATTTTAGTTTTTTCAAGCTAATATCAAGATCAAAATCAACTCAACTCATCAAATAGATTCAAAGTCAATCATGAAGCTTTGTCAATCTCAAAATTCTGACAAAACATTTCGTCAATTCTCCAAATTCTCGTCAAAGCATTAATTTTGGTCGAAATGACCATTTGATTGCAATTCAGTCACTTTTAATCTGTTATTTCAATCTTTAACAAATAAAACAATTGCTCAACTTTGAGCAAATCAGTTGAGTTAAACTTTGACCGTTAAGTCTGAGAAACAAGATTCAACTTTTCACTCAAATGAGACAAGCTTGAAATCCCTTCAAAACGCTTTTGCTTTTGACTTCTTTTCACGAAAAATAAACCTTCGACAGTCAAATTCATAATTTAAACTTCATAACTTTCGACTCCTGGACACTTAGATTCTGAAATCTTCCGTTAGTTAATTATTACTCGAATCTTCTTCATTGGTCTAGCTTTGAATCAAACAAGTTGATCAGATGAGTTAATCTTGATGTAAAGCTCAAAGTTTGAGTAAACAAAACTCAAATCTTTACTAATCAGAACAGAACTTGCATCTAATTATTTCTTTTTTTCATCAATTTCCAGAACTTTTGTGCTGCTAAAACATTGTACATAAGCGATTCAGATAAACGGAAGCATTTCATGTTATCAGTGAAAATGTTTTATGCCAATGCTGATGATATTGGCGTTTTTTATTCACAACGGATTAAAGTCATATCAAAACCATCAAAGAAGAAGCAATCGTTAAAGAATGCAGATTGTAAGTTGACAGTAAAAAGATGATTACAATTAACTGAACCAACAATTAATCAATTTGTTTTAACTTTCAGTGTGCATAAGCTCAGGAAGTAAAGTAGCTTTGTTTAATCGACTTCGATCTCAAACAGTCTCAACTCGTTACCTTCACGTTGAAAATAACAATTTTCATGCAAGTTCATCTCAATGGGGAGCTTTTACTATACATTTAGGTAAGTTATCAAATTGTTGTTATCATTTTGTTTCCTATAAGAAAAGCTAAAACTGATTTAATCTCAATTTCATCATGAACATGTTATCAAACTATACATTTCATGCTCATGCGTTCATTTGGTTGAGATAATAATATTATTATGGACTAAAATGAGCCTTTATATCATTTGTTTTCAACAGCAGTTAATTCAAGTTTGACATGAAACCGATTCTGTAAAAGTAAATGTTATTTATTTATGTCCTAATTTAATTAATTATCATTTATATCGTTGAGTTGAGCTTTTCATTCAAACTTAATTAATGGTTATCATTTTGTTGTTTGACCAGTTTCAATAACAATAAATGTCAAGCCTCTCTTCATAACCTGCTTATTATCTGATTAACTATTCTGATTCAGTTCAACCTATACCTTTTATTATAATTTAAATTATCATTTTCATCATTTTGTTAATTTTATCCCTACATTAGCAACGCCATCTATTGCCATTCAACTGTTTATATTTTTTTATAGGAATTGTTTGCTTGCTGTTTATTTATTAATATTGAGTATTTTTTTCCTCCCATTAATGATAATCGATGTTGATGATTAAGATGATTATCAATTTAGATCATTAATAACTTGATTTATGAGATTTTAAATGTGAGTTAGGGAAAAAGGTTTAATTACATTGGTTAATGATTGTTGAATGGTTTTTTTGCTAACAACAAAGAAAGGGTTCAATCTTGGTGAGTTTTATTTTGATTTTTTTTCTAATTTTTTTTCTTTTTTTCTTCTTTGGTTTTGTTTAGTTGATGAAAATGAACCAGATACCAAAGAATCGTACAGAAATGGATATATTCATTATGGTTCCACTGTTAAACTTGTTTGCTCTGTTACTGGAATGTCTTTGCCCAGATTGGTAAATATGTATTCTTGTTAAATAAGATGATATTTGATGATATTTTTGTGAAATTATTAGGGTTACAGTTTATAAATGATAAATTTGGGTATGAATGAAAATATTTGTTTGTTTTGTTGAGTTTATTAATCAATATCATTTGTTGAATCAACATTTGTATGATTGAAATAACGTGATTCTTAGAAAGTCGCATTTGATTGAATTACATGTTAACATGCTTAAAACAAAGTAAAGATTCAAAGGTTGTGTTTTTGTTTGTGTTCAGTTAACTGACAATTGTCATTTGCTTAATGGTTTGTTAATTATTTGATTCACGAGTTGATTTGTTTAACGGATCGATTTTCTAATGAGCAATCAAATGTTGCTTATGTTGAAAAACAAATCTGATTTTACTTCAAGTTAGCAATGCTTCAACAAATGTCATCTTATTTATTTTTAACCATTAAGGTCAATATTTTTGTTAATTTATGATTTTCTTAATTTATCTTTAAGGTGATACGAAAAGTAGACAAACAGAATGCCCTTTTGGATGCAGATGATCCAGTTTCGCAGTTGCATAAATGTGCCTTTTACATGAAAGATACCGAAAGAATGTATCTTTGTCTATCTCAAGAACGAATCATTCAATTTCAAGCCACACCATGTCCAAAAGAGCCCAATAAAGAAGTAATTACTGATGGAGCTTCATGGACAATAATAAGTACTGATAAGGCTGAATATACCTTTACTCAAGGAATGGGATTATATGGTGGAGCTCCAGTTACTCCGGTTCCTATCGTATCTGGTCTTAGTCTCAATGGTGGTGGTGAAGTTGCCATGTTAGAGTTAACTGGTGAAAATTTTACCGAAAATTTGAAAGTTTGGTTCGCTGATGTTGAAACTGAAACCTTCTTTCGCTGTCAAGAGTCATTATTGTGTGTGGTTCCACACGTTTCTGAATTTCGAGAAGGTTGGGAATGGGTTCGCTATGCAATTACAATTGATGTTAACCTTGTTCGCGACGATGGGGTTATCTATCCAACAGGTTTTACTTTTACTTATACTCCTGAACCAGGACCCAGACCCCATCAACCACATGTTAATCATCATGTTGCCCACCACCATGGACACCAACCTCGCCCTACTCACCATCATTCTGAAATTGACCCATTATTATCACCCTATCAACATGTTAATGGCTTATCAACATATCCACATGATTATCCATCACATCATCTGCCACCTCCCCCACTTCCTTTAGATCATACACATATTCATCAACATCATCTTCATCCCCAACAACAGCAGCAGCAGCAGCAGCAGCAACAGCAACAACAGCAACATCATCAACACCAGCATCAACATCAACATCAACATGAACAACAGTCGCAACAACAACATTCCCATGGTCATCCTAACTCTCTTCATCCCTCTCATCAAACACATCATCCACATCAACAACCTCAACCAACAGGAACACCTCCATCTTCATTGATTCAAGTGAGTCTCATTTACCTTTTTATATTGTCATTTGAAACTTTAATCACTAATCTGCGCTTTCTAAATAATGTAAATTTTCTCACATCAATAATATATATATTATAATAATCTCTCTATGGGAAAAGTAAATTTATCATTGAAGTGTATCCGATTGGATCATTGATTATAACTTATTCTACCTTTTTATTCTTCTGTCCCTCTATCTATCTATCTCTGTTAATTAATGTTCAGTCTAATTAGGGTAGAATGAAAAACATGGTTTTTGTATTTGATTATTGACTACAATGTTTTTATTGTTGTCTCTAATTTAATCACATTTACGCGCTTTTGTGAACCTTTTATGATTTTTGGATGCAAAGCTACAATCATTTTCCCTTGCAGTGTAATTTACATAGAAATTTTTAGGTGATATAATCATTTTGTTTATTAACTTTCAAATGATTGATTTTGACAATAATTGTTGCTATAATTAATGGTAACCTTGAATGTTAACAAAATGCATCAATCAGCCACAAAAGAGCCTAATTGAAAGTTTAATTGTCACCCAAATTGACTTGGGTTAGGATTGAGTGAAAAAGTTTGGTTTTTCTGGTTCAATTGTTTTCAACATGTTGAAACTGTGAGAACTTTTACTTTACAATTTATAAACACCAGAAATAATTAACTTATCATTATCGTCGCATTATCTTTAAAAATTAAACTAATTTCGTAAATTCAAGATAAATAGGAAACAATTGAATTGAAAATTGTAACAATATTTTTATAACAATCTTTCTGTTCCCACTACTTCACAATTCAAAGTGGATTACAGCTATTTATCTGATATCAAATGCATCTTTCTAATTGTTTATTCATCTTTTCTTTTCTTCTTCCAACAGAATCAACCTTTACCTGAAAATACTCTTAATGGGTACGTATTATTTTTAATTAATATTCATACAATTAAAAGTAAAAGCAAAAAACAAGCAAAACTTAAATTTAATTAGTTTAATTATTTGCTTAGCTTGTCCTTGCTGGAAACAGTAAAAAAAACAAAAGATTAAAAGCAAAATACTTAAATTGGTTTTCTCTTCTCTTAATTTAATTTCCCTTTTAGACATGTTCATTCAATGGAACACCAACATCATCATAATCAACATCAATCACCAGGTCAACATCACAATAATCATCAAAATCAACACCAACATCAACATCAACACCCGCAACAACAACATTCACCATCTTCAGATAACCCACAAGTCCAGGAGCAACAGCAAGGGAATCACATTTCACCCCAACAAAGTCAAACCAATCAAGTTAATCATCAACCTCCACAACAACAACATCATCATTTCCAACAATTGAATCATTCACTAGGCTCTCCTCCACCGCCAACCCTGTTAACCCATCACCATCACCTTGCACCTCCTCATCCAGCAAACCATTTACATGGTAACAATCATTTAACCCATCCTCATATGTCAATGGTGTCTCGATTAGGATCTGGTGATAATTTACGTTCACCGAGTTTACATCATCTTCAAAGATCAACTTATCGATCTCATCCCTATTATGTACCTGGTCATGGCCCTCCTTCAACCCATCACTCTCAACCTCATTTACAAGCTCTTTAATGTTTATCAAAAACTAATTTTCAACTATTATCAAGCATTTAATTTAAATCGGTTAAAAAATAACTAATACTGTCTATTGTAATGATAAAGTTATGAATGAAGAGAAAGATTTGTACAATTATCGTAGAGTTTTACTTTTTAAGACACAAAAAATACTCAAGTAACTCTTTAAAGAATAATAATTGATGTTCAGTTAAATATTATCATGAAAAGTTTTAATGTGAAGCAGGAAAAATCAAAATTTTGATTGTCAACCTTAATTTCAAAGTTATCTGTGCAAAATTTTAATTTAACAAATGGCTTTCAATCTTAAATGTCCAATCAGCGATATCTTATATATTAATTTACTTTATTACTGTCCTAATATTCAATTCAATGATATTATTAAAGTAAAATCAATCCATTTTGCTGGTGAAGTGCAATCAAAATTAAAATGAAAAACATTTTTCCTTGTTTCTATTGTAATATAATGTGAATATTTATTATTTTTTTGTAAAAAAACACAAAAATACTTCATCTGTTAATTCAAATGGATCATTCACACACAGTGATTTCAATCATTTCCAATATGGTTTGGCATATTTGAAGGAAAGAATAGTTGCTTCTTAATTTTAATCAAATATATAAAGCTATTCAAATGACCATTCAAACTTCAAACAAATATCATTTCTTTCCTCACTTCATTGTCCATTTTAATGATCTAGCATTTTGAGCTTTTATGTAAGTCATTGGGTTTATATAACAAATTTATCTTATATCGGGTAATTGTAAAACACAATCTTTTCATTTCCATTAAAAAATGATATCAAGTTATAAAAATCGATCATTTACTAATCATTTTAGATTGACCAGCTAAAATAAAATTCAGTTTTATTATGAAAAAGCACCCATTTCTGTTTTAAACTTGATCAATTTCGGACTTTCGCCTTTCAATTCATTTACCTTCATGAGGTTCACTTTCTACTGCCCTTATATTTGCCTCTAACTCTTCCAAGTTTCCATCCATTAAGAGGAGTATCTTGAGTCCGTATTTTGACACAATTAAATGGAAACTACAAAACACAATTAAACAAATGAGTTAACCATAACCATTTAAGAAAGTTAATAAGCTCAACTTTATTGTTAACAATTTGTTAGACAAAGGCAACTTGAAATTGGTCACGCCATCTATCAGAGTAAAGTATAACTTCTGTAGATGGCTTTAGTTAATCACTGATTTAATCCGTTCAATCAAAGAGCTTAACCTGTCCTACCACAGAAAACAAAAATTCTAGCCAGATATATCCAGATTTAATACAAAGAATATACTCAATTACATAACTCTCTCATAACTTGTAAAGCCACCTTCCAAGTAAACCAAGTAAACAACATCCTTGGACTGACAATTGACACAAGTGGGAAAAGGAATAACTACACTCCTGGCAATAAGTTTGAGGACAGCAGATTTTTCTGAATATTTCAACTATTTGATCCAATTAGTGCGTTAATCCAATTGTTTTTGTTAGATTATTGAATTTTAAGAAATTTTGTACATCGAGACTCCAATATAAAACGTAAAATAAATGCTAGAATCATCCCAACAAACTTTTCTCTTCATCTACCTAGACATGTTATTGGCAAAATACACAACTCCGTTTAAGAATACAGTATTTCCTTGAGTTTCTTGCTTTTTTGGAGTGCTGAAATCTATGTGAACTTCATTGGGAATAATTAAATTTTACAGTTTAAACAATCAGTAAAGTCTAGTGATTCTCCTTTAGTCATTCAACCCTTCCCCCTTGACAATTTTGTTGAGAAAAGTCTCTTTAAAAAGTGATGATGTTTGATTGCGTTGATTTGGTGGATGTGTTAGATTGCATGGTAATTTTACAACTTCGAACAATAAGAACACGTAGAAACAGCCAGATGATAGCAATTAACTCATCCTCTGAACGCCAACTAAATTAATTTGCATGATAAAAAGTAAATAAGAAAGTTCTAAATACAACATTATATTTTTAATAACACATTTTATAAAAAACACATTTTACTTAAAGATGTTATGATAGCAAAGCAATGGCAACTTACAGGCAAATGCTGGTCATTCAGTTTAAATGGTTGACTATCAGTAATAAGTTGATTAGATGGTTCAATAGAATAGGGTAAGGTAAAATTATTCATCACAGGTAAAGGTAACAGATTAATGAGCTAATTTCTGAGCATAAAATTGCACTTCCTTATAATCTATTACGAATGCTATTGTATTGAGGTGAGAAAGCAACAGGCAATCTTCCCTCATGTTTTCCGCTCATTCATTGGATGATGAGTTACTTTGAAATCAGATTCTGGCACTCGACTGTTTCACGAACCAACAAATAACATAATATTTTCATTTTAGTGGAATTTAATATCTTTAGTCTGTATGAAGAGAGGATGATGATAAAAAGGAGAAAGAACTAGGGAAAGAGAAAAATTGCAATTTAAAATTTTAAATTGAAAAATGAAAATGACCAACAATTGAACAGTTATACCTTTAGCACTGCTTAAAGTAAAGATGACGTGCCCATAACTTGTGGATGGCTCAAGTCGAAAAGCATCCTTTGACATTGACCCGCACATTTGAAAAAATCACCATAATTATCTTCATGAAACCCAAATAAGACCACAATCAAAGATCTGAGGCGTAACTTGAATTTTTTCCTCCATATTTCTGTTTTTCATCCCTCTCGTACATCTACAGAATCATTTTCATTTCTTCCTTCTTCTTCACCATCATCATGCTCAACAAAACATCATCTTTCACTTTTCGCTTTTTACCACAGACTTTTTAATCGTTTCCAGAAGTAGATTAATTCGTTTTCATACTCGACGAGCATACATTCATACGTTATTTATTAAAACGAATTGCTCAAGTTTTTTATGTTGCAGTAGTACTGCATTATTTTTTAGTGCCATCTATTGATCATTAGTTATAAGGTGAGCCTTCGTTATGATTTTTTTACCTTTCAATTCGTTACATTTAGTGTTCATATTTATTATTATTGATGCGCAAGGGAAATGATTTTTCTCGTCACTCGAACTTTCTTAACTGGCTGTAGTTTTGAGTTCTAAATAAGCAACAAGTCAAAGTTTCTTACAAATGAAAGAATGAGCCGAATTCAATCAATACAAGAAAATAAAAGAATCTTGCAATCAATCATTGCGAAGTTAACAGCAAATCGATTCCATCTTTAGATGATGATTACGATATTTCAATCATTTGTTATCCAACATTTCAAATGGACGATTTGAAATGTACACCTTCACCACTTTCATCACCTCCAGCTCTTCGTAAGCGTATCCGTTTACTTATTCATCTCTTAATAACAACTTTAAGTGCTGGACAAATTTATTCAATAGCGATTGATTATTTGTACGGTGAAATCACAAACAAAGTGAACTTAATGTATCCAGAAAAATTCATTTTACCCGATGTGTCTTTGTGTTTTCCATTCCTGGATCTTATCAATTTGACCAAAGCTGATCAGCAATACGGAAATTTCAGTTCTATTCTGAAAAATAGGCCATTCTTCGAAGATTATTCAAGTCATAATGATGTTTACACAGAAATTTATTCCCTTCTGGGCAACTTAACAACCAAACAACTGAACGGACTGTTAAAGGATATTAAACATGCAGCTCCTTTGGTTGAATTGGCACCCAATCGCCGTCCTGATAATCTGCAAATAGGCCCTAAACTGATAAATGCTGATTCTTATTGTGAAATATTTCATTTCATTCGCCAACCATCATTTTGTTTGACAATAAAATGTTTGAATGAAACAAAGCAGCCGCTTGAATATAAACGTGAACATATTTTTCAGCAGCCTTACAATGGAGTAATGTTGAAGATACAATTGAATCCGAATGTATCCATTATGGCGTCTACAGTTAACGTAATTTTCACTTCGCATAGTCATTTAACTCAGGGTAAGAAACAGTCAGCATTTCGAATTGGTTTCAGAGAAAGTCCAGCAACTCATATAATCACTTACTCCAAAATAATCAACGTATTAGTCCAAGAAGATTATGAAATGTCATGTTTTAATTACTCATTGATTGGCTATTTGTCAAGAGATGATTATTTAGATGCCTGTTTAAACAATGCCTCTTCACAAGCCACTGGTGCAGTTTTTTATGGGACTGTACAAAATTTCAATGATACAAGTGATCACATGAGTGATTTTCATCAATTTTATCATGAATATTTAAATCCCAATGAAACTGAAAGGGAAAAAAGGAGACAATTTTACAAATTTTGCCGTGAATATTGTGCTAAGCAAGCAGATAAACCTGATTGCCATCAAGAAATACTTTACCCAGTTGGTTTCCGAAAGATCATTCGATCAGATGGAGTCTATGAAGTTGTAGTTAGAGCTCCGGCAAGTCCATTTGAAATCAATCGATATTTCCCTGAATACACTTTACTCGATTTGTTGATTTACTTTGCTAGCAGTTTAAATTTCTGGTTTGGGTTATCCCTAGTTTCACTTTCAGAAAGGTTTTTAAATTTTTACTGTAATTTATTTAAGCGCAAAAAAGAGTCAAAAAGTCAGAAAAGTAATTCGACGATTAAATTGCATAAAGCTAAGGTGACCAGTTCCAAGCCAGTGGAAGTTTTTGTTGTCCAAACCAGGAGGCCGAGAGTGACCAAAATCAAAGATATTTCTAATGAACTACCAACTGTTTATTATTAAACTAACAATGTAATCTTGTAAAAACACGAACAGGATTATTTGCTGGGGCTTAAGCAATGGTTTTAAGCTTTAAAATTATTTTTATCATTTCTCAAAATTCCCATAGTTTCTGATGGAATAGTGGATCCTGCATACTTTTAAATGGATGGTTCTTAACTGGCATAAAAGGATTGATCAGCTTCTCCATGCCAAGTCCCATGGCATGCTCATCCATGGATTTCTCCCTAACGAGTTCATCTAGAACGGATAAAATATTTAGTGGGCTATAATTCATGATTATAACAAATGTAATGAAAATATGAATTGAGCATAAAAATGAGAAACTGATAAAAATCTACTTTTTTATCAAAACGAACTTGTATTGAATAAATTTTATGAAAACAATTGAAATCTATGTCAGTTAATATTTTCAAGTTGAATTGCTGTGTATTATAATGTAAAATATTACATTTTTTGATTTTACAGCAAGTTTTGGTTTCGATTTAATTTTTTCGAGCAAAGAAATTCATGTTCATCCGGGTAGAAATTTCTACTGTGAGTAATTTATCAAAAAGACCAAGTAAGATGCATACGATATGTTAAACCTGAAAACCCGAAAAAAATTGAATTGAATTCTATTGATCCAATTTGACAATTAGTTACTTTGAAAATCATTTTTAATATAATTCGGAAGTTTTAAAGTTCAGGAACAGCAGAAGATTTTCTTGATAGCGAATAATTGAGTTTAATTTTTCATTCTTTTACCCAACAAGGTCCCGTAACTAGGTGCTATCAAGGTAATAAGCTCAAGTACCCATAGATTGGGGCTGATCATCTTCACTTTCGCTCCCAGGTGGATTTGGATTGATTGACTTTTCTGGACTTTTTGCAGCTAAATTAAACACGGAAAGTAAAATCAGTTATGTTTTCATGGAATTAGGAAAGAATACAATACTTTTGTTATCATTTCCTTGTACCATCTCATCAATGTTGTCCATTACCATGCCAAAGTCCCCCATTTCAGTTTGTGCTGCTGTAACGAAACTGAAAACACCTACAAAAGTAACGAAAATAACAAGAAAAGTGATTTTGAAGAACCGCATTTTAACTTTTTTATGATTAATTAGAACACTTAATTGCAAAAACTGTTTGAATAACTTGGTGTGGTTTGAACTGAAACTGATATTGTTCATTAGAAATGATTTTCTTTTATACTCATTGTCTTATTTATTAAAGCTATCAGTTGTGTTACCCCAGTTGGCTTGTTTAAATATCATAACCTTTGATATTTTGAGGTTATTTTCAATTCTTTGAATATTTCACTGCCCTTTCCGCGTGTATAATGCCAGAAGAGGCTTTGCAATGTATTTGCGCAATTTAAGAACACTTTTCCTCAGCACAGGAGAAAAAATTTGGAATGTTTGAAATTCATCGGTTGCTAAAATAATAATAATAGTCTGATAAATATTTGAAATTCGCAGGTGATTTTTAAACTCCTTCTTAGTCCGTAAAACCTTACTCTTACCTGTCAATACTAAAGTAGTAGACTTGAACTTTTTCAACATCCAATAAATATAGATCTAGTTAATTAACTTTGATCCATTTTGTTCTGCTCTTGAACTATTCAATAAATATTTCAATCCCATTGTTCAAGTTGAATCCGATAAAATCAATCAATAGCAATGAGAGAAGAGATGATGCACAAAACTAAATAGAAAGCATAATTTTTTAATTTTGCAATAAGGTTGCATGATTGAGTTAATCATGCTCTCGCTTTAATGATTGATTAATAAACAAAATTTTGAAAACATGTCTGCCAGTTGAAACAATAAGTTCAAATTTATTTTCAATAACAACAACCGACAATAAAGCAATACATTGATAAAAAAACAGTTTGGCCAAGTATCATGAATTTAATGTAAATTAGACTCAATGTTAACAATTGAAATCGTGTTGGTTCCGAGTTGATTTGAAACAATTCAAGTGATCGTCTCTTGTAACCAATTGTGATGCAGCGAGTGAAAAAATTTCCCGAATTAGTCACCAAAGCCAGAGCATTGTCACGATTCAATAAAATATTTGGTGATATTGTTGATCCAAAAGATGGCTTAGAGCATTTAGATTTTCTTGAAAAATCTGGTAAAACCTGGTTAATTTGCCTTGGTGGTTACAACCAATCGACCCAATATCATCCAGGTTATCTACTTACTTCGATAGCCATTGAGGCAATCAACTGGTTCTTGATTAGTCGACTCATCATACTTTGCCTGACCGACAATCATAATCTATCCTTTTATTTGGGTGACATATTTTATGGCACTTCAACTCGATTTTACATGAATGCTGTTTTTGGTGTTTCATCAATCCTGTTAGGTGGTATTAGAAGCTTCATCTTTTGGAGTGAACAATTTAAAAACTTGCATTGGATGAATTACTTCGCCAGCATTAAAAAAAATGGTTTCAGAACCGATATGCTTCATATTTCTCAATCGGATTTGAAAATATTGAGATCTAGACTTTACATAAGTCGCAAGATTTTCACCTTTTTTACTCCATTGACAATCATATCATTGGCCTCAATATTTACTTTTGCCGTTGTCAGCAACCCGGTAACTTATTCATCAACAGTCAGGCTAATATTCATTATTGGTTGGACTGGAGCTACTTTTGTTGCCGCTGTTTTTGCAATCGCCACTGCAATCTGGATGTCTATTCATGTTTACGTTCTTATAGTTTATACCATTTTGCGTTTGGATCATATTACTCGGGTAACTGAAGGGTTAATCCGGCTACCAATAATACCAGTTCATTTGATTCGTTCAGTGATTAATGAGCAAAGCTCGTTGTTCAACTCGATCGATAAAATGAATAATCAATTGTCTAATCTGTTCCTCTTTGGTTACAATTATGCTGCTTTCGCTGCTGACTTTTTACTGTACATAGCTTTAATCATGCCAAAGGATAATCTATTCAATAACGTTCTTGTTTTCGGTTTTGGCATTGAAGCTTCTGGCATTGTTATTATTATTGTATACCTTTCATCGACAATTCATATCAAGGTATGTTTACCGGTAGACAGTCAGGTCACAATAATCTCTGATTACCAATCGTTGTAAATTTATTTTGCTAATATTTTTATCTTTCTTTCAAGACTCACCAAACATATTCTTATTATCATGAGATGATTGAAAAACTACCGAACGTTATGTTAAACGAAACTATAATCAATTACAAGGTAATTTCGTTTCTACTTTCGATTGATTCTTTGTCAAACAATTGTTAATTGTTTCAATTTTAAGATACTTGGTATACTTGAAAGGATTGGTGGTCCAGTTATTGGCATTTATATCGGTACTATGTTTCCATTGACTTATTACCAGTTTGCCACCGTAAGTATGATAGACTGATCTTATTGATTCAATAATATTTTTTCTCCAATTAGTTTCTTCTTGAAAATGCCAGTTTGATGTTACTTCTGGCTGGAGCCTTACAAAATATTATGTGAAAATTTTTGGAAACTGAATATTTCAGAGTATTTTACTATTGATTGACTGTCAGTTCATAAGAACTATGCTGGGAATGATACTAAATCTGATTGGAAAATCAGATAATTATCTTATCAATTTACGGAAACAATTGCTCTTGGTAAAAAAGAGTATTTTCTGTTAAACAGTACCTAATAACACTTTTATCAGTCACAACTAAAATCTGCACAAAAATCTGAATGTGATTAAAACAAAACAATATGAACAAACTGATCATGTTTTACTGTTTACTCTAATTTTCCTGCAATTATCGGTTATGATTAAATTGATGTTACAGATAAAGTATGAATATGATTGATAAATATTACACCGTCATCAATAATTGGGTATTTTTCAACTTCAAAAGTCGAAATGAGATTTTGCCACTACTAGGTATGAATCATCAAAAATCAAAGATCATCAATTTGGTATATTTGAGCCCATTCACTGCACCGATTGTTATATGGATCGACTTCGAAATTTTGATAGTCCAACTCTTTGGTTATCTTCCAAACGTATGGAGTGGTTTTGCCATCTTGGTTACGCACAGCAGGCCAAGGAGCATAACCATCTTCAACAAATGTACCGAGTAATTTCATCATCTGTAAGCTGATTGTGCGATCAGAATCACTATAAAGATCAGGAGTTGTAAAAGGATAACCAATGAACAAAGCAGAATCATCAGCGTGAAGGGTTCCAAACGGACGTTTGTCCTTGTCAGCATCGAGAACCACTTCATTTCGATAAAAATAGACTTGATTGTTGAGACTGAATATTTTACCCATTAAAAGAGAAGGACAGATGAACGTAAAATCAGAGATGATCGCATGGAAAATTGATTCAACTGCTGTCTGGTTCGCCATTTGATCTTCTTGTAACTCGTTAAAATAAGATTGAATAATTGAAGTAAAATTATCCATTTTTTCAACACCAAATCTGTCCTGAAATAAATTTGATAAGTCAGTGATTGCATCATGAACTGTCGTTGGAGTAGAATGGGAAATAACGTCTTCGTTTTGTTCAGTTCCAATAAGAAGTGAATATCTATTTTTTTTAAAAATGGGTGATTTAATCAATTCTTGGGGCTGCTGAGGCAAAATGTCATCACCATACATCGGAGAAAAGGAAATGGATGCTGAAGCCTTAACCAGATCAAATGGATCAACTCTTTTTAGACAGTGAATTTCATTCCAACTAAGAGGATGATCTTTGGTGTCAGTGTCTCTAAAGGAACATTTAACCGCTGATGAAATCTCTTTAGTGATGCTCTTAGCTCTTTTAGGGTTTAATGTAGTTGGTGGAGATATTGGTAAGCCAGACATAGCAACAACTTTATTGAAAAGTCCATCAGGAACAATAGGCGATACAAATAATGATGTAGCAACGATTGAACCTGCTGATAGACCACCTAAAGTTACGCGATCTGGATCACCACCAAAATAACGGATATTATTGTGAACCCATTGGAGTGATTGGATGACGTCGTGAAGATCTTGATTACCAGGTAGATGATGAGGATAATTTTGTTCATCATCTTCAACTGGTCCATCATAAGGTCTACCTAGAAAACCTAATCGATGAGCCATTGTGACAACCATGATATCTCCAAAGGCCGATAAATATTGAGCTTGATTATGAATTCCTGCTGGACCACCGAAAGCAAAAGCAGATCCATGGACATAAACAAAAACTGGATACAATTTGGTAACATTCAACTCGTTTCCACGGACAGGAGTGAAGATGTTCAAGTACAGACAGTTTTCACTGAGAGTAACATTTCCAGCATGAGCTTGGTAAAAAAACGGTGATTGTATACAGGCAGGTTTAAAGGAATCAGCTTTGATAATTGGGGCTTTGTGATGATCATGATGATGATGGGCAACTGGATACGTTCGTGTAAAACGTAGTGGACCCACTGGTGGCAAGGTGTATGGTAATCCTAAGAAACAAGCAACTTGATGAGACTCATTTACTTTCAAGTATTTGCCATGAACTAGTCCCCATGGTGTTTTAGCTAAAGGTTTATCTGGTGCAGCTGATGCTAACGAACTGATGATTTGAAGAATCAAACACAAAGAAATTAAATCCACTGCGCGAATCAGCATCTTAATACTGTTGGATTCTTGAGTATACTGAGTACTAGTTACCAACTGTAACAATTACTTGCTAGCTGTTAACAAGTTAGATTTCTTCTACTCCATTACAATTAAAAAATTTCGAGCTTATAGCTTGGTGTCTAATCAATTAATTGATTAGAATTGTTTAGCAGACACACCTTTGGGTAAAGTTTAATGACAATGAAAGAGTTTTACTGTTAGTTCCTTTTGGTGCAGAATGTAATAATCTGCACTTTGACATTACAGAATGAATATAAGTTGAGCCTGTTTCATAGCCATTTGAAATGAAATTATTTAAACGAGAAAACACACATGCATTGTATGTCTAAGATAGTCGAAGTGAAATTTTAAAGATTAAAGATTATCATGAGTTAATAATTGAACTAGCGGGATGTAATAAGATATCAATTAAGTATTATAAATTGTCCAGGAAATGAAAACGAATTGACCAGTTGAGATAATGAGATCGAAGAATCAATTTTTGACACAATCTATTGAAGAGTTATGAAGTGCAATTGATAATCTATTTCAATTATGACTTTCTTCTTACTAGCCTTGCTTCTGATCAAGAATTGTTATGGTTTATGATAAAAAAATGTCAAATATTGGTAAGAAACAAACTAACTAATTGAATGCTGAGTCTTGTCTATTATGGTATCTTGTGGAGTCGAAAATGCTAAGTGAAAAAAGCAAGTTCAAGCTTTGAGATAATGAACGTGCAATAATTGATAGAACAAAGTGGAAATAGAGCAAAAATTATTGATAAATGGTAGATGCCAGTTGAATATCAGCAAGAGTTGATAATAATTATCGTGGAAAATCATAGATATGAGAAGGATCAACCATCTTCGAGTGTCTCTGTTAAAAAAAACAAAATTGAGTTAGAATTTAATTTAAATAAATAAAAATTAGATATATCAACAGGAAAATTGGCTGATTCATCATTCAAATTATAAGAAGATAAGCTGAAAAATTCATGAAGTAAACTTATCTGATATACAATCATGTAATATGAAGGCAATTCAAAATTGATAGATTTAGTAACTTACATTTTCAGTTGGCAAGTTTGAATATGAGACTGGATATTGATTAGCATGATGATCCAAAGTCATAGTACCATTCATCAAGGGTTTAGTGTTTTCTGGATCGGTGAATCGCCGTTCAGTGCCGAAATTGGGTATTGATTTATTGAGCGGAAGAGTTCCAGTGGCTAAAGCAAACTCAAAGTTGGGTTTGGTTGATGCCTCTAATTGAGCTTTCCTTACATAGACAAATGCTATGACAATGACAATGATGATGGTGGATACGGCAATAATGATCGACAAGACACCAACAAAAGCTCTACTATCACCATATTGACCATTTGAACCATCAAAAATTGACCCGATAGCAAAGTTGTCTCGATGAGAGCGAACGGTTCGGGTTTTAATAATATTTGAAGGGTCACTGACTCCATTCTCATTTGAAGCAGTCAAATAAATTGTGTAAATAGTATCAGGATTGAGAGCTGTTAAAGTATATTCACCGACATCTTTATTTTCAAGGAAAAAGTCCATCTCACGCCAATCAGAATCATCACCTTCTTTGAAATGCAAATCGAGATTTTGGATCTTATTGGAACCAGAAGGAAGTGAATAACCTACAGTTATTGAGTCAGTAGTAACTGTAGATACAAATAATCGTGGTGGGTTGGAAACATCACCAGATAAAGTTTCAACAGTTATTTCTGAACTTTCAGGTCCACTTCCAGCAGAATTGAAAGCTTTCAAAATGATAGAATATTTAGCACCCTTCATCAAATATCTCAAAAAGTATTCATGGTGTGATGAGTTTGATTCAGCAATAGAAACAGTTTTAAATGAATGCGGAGTTTTGTAGTCGTCAACCAATCGATAACCGACATAAAAGCCAAGCAGTTTGCCATTCCAAGTATTTCTAGGAGGTGATCTCCAAGCCAAGCGAGCCGTTGTTGGACCTCGTGCAATTGCATGAAGATCAACTGGTGCTCCAGATGGCTCCTCTTCACCGGTAACAAAGCTGATTTTCTGTGAAGGTGCACCAGAGCCAACTTCGTTGACAGCAATAACAGTAGATTCATATTGACTTCCAGGTTCTAGATCTTTGATCAAATGTAGGTTTAGTGAAGAAGAAACGTTTATTTCGTGAAGACGGTCATTGACACCAGGAGATGAAACTTTCCAATACCTTATGATATAACTGAGAATTGAAGTTTTACTCTCAGGAGGCTTAGCCCAAGAAACACTCACAGTTCGAGACCAAACTTGTTGAACGGCAAAGTTTAGAGGAGCTGGTGGAGGCTCAATAATGGTGACACGAATTTTTCGCTCATCTTTTCCGAATGAATTTTCCGCCAAACAAAGATAAAGACCATCGTCTTTGACATCAGCTGAGTTAACTGTAAGCATACTCTTAGTTCCATCGTTATTTGGTGCGTCCGTTATTTGATATCTAAGTGGATCAACCTTGTCGATTGGGGTAGAGTCTTTGAACCATTTGACAGTAACTGGCTGGTCACCGTCAGCTGAGCATTCCAGTTCAAGGGAATTACCTTTTTTGGTAGATACAGCTGTATTTTTTTCCTTAAATTCGGCTGGAACTGTAAAGCAAATAAAAGAAAAGAATTAATAAAATGTCGAAACAGAGAATCAACAACAAAGTAGTTAACTTGAGAGAGGCGCTTTCGTGACAATTTTCAAATATTTTGTTTGTTTGAACATTAAAATTAGTTTTAGCTGTAAGAAAATTACCCAGAACATTAGTTTTGATTTATTTGAAAGATGAAGAACCGTTATCGTTCTCATCTAGACATTTATATTTCCTATGTGGAAGTAGAAATTTGATTAAAGTGGGAAAAAGAATGTTAATTTAAATTAAAGTCGACTAAAAGTTGATGATTGCTTCAGTTGAGGATGTGATGTTGAAATTCGGTCCTTAAAAATGATGTTCAATCACAGGGTACCGTGAACCAAACTACAGAAAATGAAGAAAAAACAATAAAATGCAATTAATAAACAATACATTTGAAATTGTTTCATTTTAAGAAATTTTCATTCAATTCATTTTAGTGATTTTGTTTTAACATGATCGATCTCTTTGTTTAGGAATACAGTATTTAAATGCATTTAAATGGACCAGCTGATATCCCGAATAAAAATTCGGCACTAAAGGCACAAAAACCACTATCTTAAAGCAAAAACAGACAAACCATTCATTTAAAACCATGAATTTCATGGCATGAAATTCATATGATATGAACGACCAACTGGTGCATGGTTTAAACTTCAAACAATAACATAAAGGTTTAAATGTTGCTGAAAAGTCTCAATTATAAGCTGCAGCCATCTACAGTTGATAAATAATAAATACTTTGTATGAAGTTAGACTTTACTCTGATAGATGGCCTGACCAATTTCAAAATTTCCTCGGCTAACTTGAGCTCAGTGCATTCACTTGACTGTTTATTGTTTATATCTTGTTCAATTCAGTTTTGTGATTTTAACTTAAATATGCCAAAAATTCGGATTCGAGGCACTCCACCTGATGGATGGGACCTAATTGAACCAACATTCGAGGAGTTGGAAGCAAAGATGAGGGAAGCCGAAAGAGAACCTCATGAAGGTAAAAGACGGACTGAAAGTCTATGGCCTATTTTCAAAATCCATAATCAGAGGAATAGGTATTTGTTCGATTTATTTTACAAAAAACAAGCCATTTCTAAAGAGCTGTTCGAGTTTTGTGTTAAACAAAAGTTGGCTGATAAAGCTTTGATAGCCAAATGGAAGAAACCTGGATATGAAAATCTGTGTTGTTTAAGGTGTATCCAAGTAAAGGACACAAATTTCGGAACTAATTGTATATGTAGAGTACCAAAAGAAAAATTAGATGAAAATAGACCGATACAATGTAATAACTGTGGCTGTCGAGGTTGTTCTGGATAAAATTTGATTACTTTAATTTGTATTTAAACTTGGAGATTTTTATTCATTACAGAACTCATTAAAGCTTCATTTAATTTCATAAACAATATTTTGTATTTTATTTTACTTGACTAAATAATAATTTAGCGACACTTCTTCCATAAGCATCCACTGTTTCATCATTTTCTTGATTATCTACGATATCTTTGATTGCTTCTTCGTATTCCTTAATATCTTCCTTTTTAGTTTCAGCATTTATGTCTACCGTCTTTAGAAAATCTAAAATTTTCTTTCGAGATGAGCTCTTTTCAAAAAAGAATCTTTCCCAGTCTTGAGGTTCTTTCAGTTCTTCCCAAGATTCGGTTTTCTGAAATTCAAAACAAAATGATTTGTAAGTTGTATTTGTAAGAAATTCGGTCAAAGAACAATAATAACAACTCGATTCTTACCCATGATTCATAGTAAACAACTGTTAATAGGTAAAAAGCATAGTCAATATTTTGCTTTTTGAAAGGACACGAAGAGGTTTCAATAGTGACTAAATCGTTTAAAGGATTGTATCTTTTGCCCAAAAGACGAATTATTTTATCCCTACTGTGATCATCCAATTCCAGTTGTGATAATTTAAATCTCATGGTTATCGTTCGAGCTCGTGGATCTCTTATAGTAGGTGATGCATGACAATAATCTCTTGTCACTATTTCAACAGGAAAATGTTTCTCAATTTTTTCATCCGTCTCAAGTCCCTCTGGCCATGGACTGAAAATTTAAATAAACAAAACAAAATTTAAAATCAAATGTTATAAGCACATAAAAATGTAAAATGGTTGAGAAATTAAAAAAAATGATAGCTTACCTGCAAAATTTTTTCAGAGCCATACATTGTTTTTTGATATTTGGAGGAGTCAAATGAAAGAAATTGGGAATCTTGACTAGTTCAGGGTTGTTGAATTTCCCAAGCCTAGGTTGACCCTTTAACCAGCCCATAAAAACAGGTAAAGGTACACTGGACGGATTAAACGATTTAGCGGCTGGCCATACATCATTCCAATTTTGATTTGTTGCCATTTGCAAGTATCGAGGAGGCATAACATTTCTATAAATAGCAGCACGCTTAGGTCGAGCGGGTTTCTTTGGTTGAGGTAAAAAGGGCATTCTTTCATAGTCTTCATCCTCGTGAAAAGATGCAGCATTTGAAACACAGAATCTAGAGAGATTCATATAAGTAGTCAGTTTTCCTCCTTTCCTCACTGGAAACATGGTGATTTTCGGTGCAATCTGTAAACATAAATCATGGTGTTAAATGTGTAGAATGAAATCGGAAAATTATTCTTACCTATTTGCATAAAAAAGTTCAATGTAAAATTGAAAAATACATAAACAAAACAAAATTACCAACATGAGATTGTTTATTGACGCCAGTAGGCGCTTTTCACCATATTTTTAGCCATAAATTTTGGCTTATCCGCCACTCTTATGATGGCTTAGCCAGAGCTATGCTGAGCCGGCTCGAAATCCGCAGAAGATTGAGTGACTGAAGTGTTGGGAAAACTAGAAGAAACTTATGCTCAAAAATTACGATTTTGAATTGAGCTTAAGAAATAATTTTTCGATGTGACTCTCCCACGGTATGAGTAACTTTCTGAATGTTGAGTCAACGAGATTTTACCCGTCAAATTTTCTCTGCACTGTATAATAATACTGTTCGAATAATATATTTCTGCACCAGCTTTGTGATTGTACAGATTGATTAAACCCATGATATCATCAAACTTGCTGATGAGCCCATCCCACTAAATGAGTTTACATGTTAAACCTTACAGTACAAGATTAAATTAAAATTATCGTTTGCAATATCCGTATAAAATACTATCCTAAACTTAAGACGAGAATGTCAGTTTCATTTTAAAGATACAAAGTTGATTATAATTACGTGAAACCTCGGTTATTTTATATTTTACATAGCAAGAGTCTAGCTGCTAGGGAGTACAAAGTTTCTCCCCCTTCGATCATTTGCAAAGATTTATTCAAATATAATATATTATCAAGAGTATCATGGCCACTATGGACCCGTTGGAGCGGAGTAGGCTTGAATACCGAGTTTTGGTCACCCAGGAGGGCATGAGTCCCGAGAGGATGAGGGACTTAGTGAACATTTATAGGTGGGGGCCCCTGAAGATCAAATTTAACCCTAGGAGGCAGGCCCCCGTGGTGGGGAGGAAGGAGTTGGAGATGACCCTCGTGAGGAACATGAACGACCCCATCCTTACCTTCTACAGGTACTTCTACCTGAACACCTACAACTGGAAAACATTAAATCCGTGCAACAGCTTCGAGGAGACATGTCTCTTCGCGAGGAGGCTTTACCAGGCGATCTACCACAACTATCTCATTTTCGTGAGGCACGTGAGTCCAAAGAGCGCATCCGTCAAGATAGCAAGGTACGTGCTCTGCGGAAAGAAGTGGGACTGGACCATGGAGGAGATTGAGCGGTGCCTCGAGATGTCTGTAAACTCGGACATCAGAGTGCACATGAGGAACGAGGACTTGAACATGGTCTGCTGGCGCTTCGAAATCAGGTGAATAAATTGCGATTCTGGTGAAAGTTAACTTTGGCTCATGTAATGACGTTGTACGACAGTAGCCTGTTCAATCGTATTACATGTAACCCATTAAATTTTCATTGAATTGCATTTATCAATCTAGTTTGATGGAGATGAAAAATAAAATTTGATTTTTTGTCAAATAATTATGATGATTATCATTTTAAGTCATTTGTTCACCTGAAATTATAAATGAAACTAATGTTGTTTAATCAATTGTTTAGCATAACGGATTTAGCGCCGGCTTAGCCGGCTAAACATCCGCCAACGAATGTTTTTACTATTATCCGCCATTCGTCAATGAATTGGCTGGCTGCAGTTTCTAATTTTACAGTTCCAATATATCGGATAGAAGATTCATTTAAACTGATAATGATACCGGTAGTTGGAATGTAAACAAAACCATGAATGTCGCAAAATTATTGGTACATATTACTGTAGATTTAAGATTTAAAGTGAAAGAAGGATCATTCTATCATCCAAAAATGTTTGTAAACAAACATTTTTTAGTCTTACCTTTGACTTAAATTTATGTATTTCCATCGGTTGGTTATTAATTGGAATAAACCAGACAATGCATGCTTTATTGAATAGTGATACATTGAATTAATGTGTTAAATGTGGCTAAGTTTCACTAAGAACTTGCAAAAGATGTAAACATTTTGAATTAAGTAATACAATGTAAGTGTAAAAGAGCAAACATTTAAGAATTGTAATAATTGAAATCGAAATGATGTAAAGTTGTGAAAGTAAATCGATGAGCTGACATGATATTGAAATAATGTGAAATTAGACGCCAAAAAGAAAGACTAAAAAATTAAGTAGAAAAGTCAAAAGCGAATATCCGTCATATCATATCGTATCGTAACGACAATGTCATTGTTTGAAAATGAAATAATCGTAAATGAGAAAAAAGAATTCAATCAATCTACGAAATATTAAGCGTTGAATGTGTTTTAAAGTTGACTGACAAGTTGTGATTAGCTATTTCGTGCAATTAATTACGTTTGAAAGATGAGAAAACAGTTAATTAAAACGTCTACGTTTCTAAATCACGAATAAAATGAGATTATTGTGGATAATCATAGAAATGACGAGTATCAGCCAATGTTGAGTTTCGTTTCTCTGTTCCGATAGGAATTTTAGAGTATGGTGTTGGTAGCGTATTTAAACCATCGTCGCATGGTCCAGTAGCAACCAATGACATTGTTTTGTCATGATCAATGAATCTCTGAACTGTTCCAAAAGTAGTTCCAGTGGCTCGATTATGAGCCAAAATTCCTGTCTGGGAAGCTTGACAAAACTCGAAATTGGATTTGGTTGAAGCATCCAAGCGTGCTTTTTTGACAAACACAAATGCGATGACAATAACAATGATAATGGAAGCAATACTAATAGTAATTGCTGGGAAGTAAACCATATCACCAAAAGACGATGATCCAGGGCCCAGGAGAGAAGTTGAATCAAATGGACCAGAGATGGATGATAAATCATTCAAAGATCGAGCAGTTTTGGCAGTGATTATTTGACTTGGATCGCTTACTCCATGTTCATTAGAAGCAGTCAGGTAAAGTTTATAAACAGTTGAAGGGTTCAGACTGCTCAAAGTGTATTCATTAGTGTCCTTACCTTCGTAAGTCAAAGCAAATTCTTTCCAGTCAAATTCACCAACTTCTTTAAAATGAAGCTGCAACAGTTGAACAGGAGTAGAATCAGGGACAACGTTGTACCTCAAATTGAGAGAATCTGATGCTGCTGAAAGTACTTTAAATCTTGGAGCGGGTGGAACATTACCAAGCAAAGTCTCTGCTATTATTTCTTGATACTCTGGTCCACTGCCAGCAGAATTGTAAGCCTTTGCCGTGATAGAATAGGCTGTTCCTTTAACCAATGAAGTTAGCAAATATTCATAAGTATTATTATGAGAGGCAGCATCAACTGTTTTGTACGAATTTGGGGTCTTAAAGTCACCAGTGCGGCGAAAACCAACGTAATATCCTAATATTTTACCATTCCATTTATCCCTAGTAGGTGGCTTCCATGAAACTCGAATAGTTGTTGGACCTCGGGCGATAGCTTGTAAATCAATTGGAGCTCCAGTTGGTTCTTCTTCTCCAGTTTCAAATTTAATTGTTCGGGAAGGTTGTCCAGCCCCTACTTCATTGATAGCTATAATCTCAGCCTCGTATAAGCAACCAGGTTCTAAAGAGTTAATCAAAACCGAATTCATAGGTGAGGAAACATTTATTTCTCGGAGTCGTTCATTTGCTCCTAAACCAATGATTTTCCAGTAGCGAACAATGTAACCCAAGACAGGCGAGACATTGGAAGATGGAGCAGCCCAGTTCAAACTAGCACTTCTAGACCATGTTTGCCGGATCATTACATTTTGTGGAGCTGGTGGAGCTTCAATAATTGTAACTCGAATGTTTCTTTCATCTTTGCCAAATTCATTTTCAGCTACACATAGATATGAACCATCATCAACCAAATCAGCTGATCTTACGGTTAGAACACTTTTTAAACCATCTGTTGTTGGTGAATCTGTGATAGTGTATCGTTGATAACCAGATTTATTGAGAAGTACCGAATCTTTAGACCATTTGATGGTTAATGGTTTGTCTCCTTCAGCTGAGCATTCCAATTCAAGTGAGGTATCACGTTTGGTGGAGACATAAGTTTTCTTTTCCTTGAATTTAGCCGGGAAAACTATAGTCATGAGAAGATACAGAAGGATAACAAGATATGCATTAGATATGAGATATTCAATAAAACTGTACTGAAAGAAAAATTAATTGCTTGAGAGAGGCGCTTTTTTGTTAACACATTATTAAAATAATTATTGATATCATTATTTAACCATCTTTACCAACAACTTCAATATAAATAGTCTTTGATATTGGAAAGCCAACGGAATTTTCTGCTACACATTCATAATTTCCTCTGCTGGAAAGAGAAATAGATTCAAAGATTAGTGAACTTGAATTAATTTGATCAACAATTTGATTATTTTTAATCAATCGCCAATATATTTTTGGGATTGGATAACCATTTGCCAAACAATCGACAACTAGTTTTGAGCCAGCAGATACTTTAACATCAACTGGCTCTTTGGTCCAGAATGGTCGAACTGTGTTTGAAACAAAATCAAAATTTAATCATTCGTCTTGACAATTCGGTAAATGAAAATTGTTGTCAAACAGAATTTTAAACCTTTCATCAGGAGGTTGCTAGTAAATGAGTCAACTCCTTGTCGATTACGAGCCAGACATGTGTAGTTTCCAATGTGTTTACTTTTCAAATTTTTTAACTCTAGTAGAGAATAAATTTCATGGTGTTTTATATTAACTTCATCGCCGGACTTTAACGTTTGACCATCTTTAAGCCATTCAAATGTTATCGGTTTTTCTCCTGCTGTTACAATGCAGGTAATCAACAAGATAGGATGATCGAGATTCACTTCATTGGGAAAATTAAAAGGTTGAATCTTTGGTTTGCCTACAAAAAAAGTAAAGAATTGAAATTACTAAAAGTGACCAAAAATGTTCGCTACCTACCAGTTGAAGCAACTGTAATTGAAATAGCATAAATGAGTATCAAGATTGATAAGATGGCTTCGATTGTCATCATGAATACAGATTCTAAACACAACTTTCAAACACAAAGTGTCTTTGAACTTTAACAACAGCAATATGACAGCCATTCTTGGATAGACCCGCAATTTTCGAATGCAGATCAGCCATTCTCTCAATCGTTAGATCTTTCGAAATCAAAATTGAATTTTGCATGGTTTTATCGACTCACCAATCTTGTTCCAATCCTTGTATCAGAATGATTTATGTTTAAAGCAAATTCTGATGAATTCGAAAAATTTCATGAATCAATCATTAATATAAGATGTGAATGAAGCTATTTTAAACCAGGATTTTTGACCAACCAATTTAATCAAAATTTTGCGTAGCAAGAATTTAGCAATTAGCTCTTCATTTGGACATTGGCAACAATTCCGTTGAATATAGTAAATCAATTAGATAAAGAAACAAACAAATATTCAACATCTAAAATTCACATATTCAAATGTAATTTACATCCGTTATAACCACCTAGAAGATTTTGTACAGCAAAAGCGCCAATTTACAAGTATAACTACAACCATTAACTTTTAAAAATTACCCTCAATTGCAATATCAAACTCTGACCATAGATCAGGCTCGATTCCGTTAGAAGCAAGGCATCCATATTTTCCTTGGTGTGATCTAGTAGCATTACTTATTCTCAGTTCATTGTTGGCTTTCTCATTTACCTCGAATTGAACCCATGATGATCCTACATGATCCAAGATGAAAATACAAGAAATTATTCATTACATAACTAATAATGTGATTAAGTTGAGAAATGATTATTTCAATCAATATAAAATTTTTAAATACATAAATGAATACCTTGCAATTTTTTCCAAGTTATGATAGGTTTGGGGTATCCAGAAACGAGGCAATCAACATTTATTGGTTGATGTATTTTTGAATTCACATTATCTGGTTTCTTTACCCAACTGGGTGGACCTTTGAACAACAGAAAATACAGTAGTCGAATAGAGAATCATAGATACCACAGGAGACAATTACCTGCAACTAAAAGTTCACTTGTGTAAGAATCTGATCCATGCCTGTTTGATATCCTGCAAGTGTAATTCCCAGAATGACTTGATTGAATTGAGTCAATTGATAGGGTTGATGGAATTTCGTTTGATCTAATACGAATAAAGGAAGAGTCGTGTAGTTCTTGACCGTCTTTAAACCATTTTATTTGCATAGGAGGCGATCCTGCGATACTGCCGCAGATAAAGTAAGTTTTACCACCAATAACAGGTTTAACAAGCGATGAAAATGGAGCTACTTTTGGACCTGGAATCATAATTTTGTGATTAAACACCTAAAAATTGTACATTCTTTATCTTACCTTCATAGCCAAAAATGTGTCCGACCTCAAGTGATGACAGAATAAAAATAACTAGACAAAAGCCCCTCATTTTTGTGACACAAAAGAAAAAGGTTTAAATTGAATGAAAAGATTCGAACACAATGAACCCCAGTTTCTTTTACTTTTGAAAACAAATCAGATTTTGTCAAACAAAAAAGCGCCATTTCCAAGTTAAACTACACATACATGTATGTAAACATTACCCTCTATTGAAACATCAAACTCTGACCAAAGATCAGGTTCAATTCCGTTTGAAGCAAAACAGCCATATTTTCCTTCATGATTCTTAGTTTATTTTAGGTCATAGAATGGAGTTATTGAATACACAGAATACGGTGATGCAGTCAAATATTAATTGAAACTACGATAATTGTTGTTGGTTCACAAGCGAATTGTCTTAGTTACACTAACCACCAGTGAGGTTCAAGTTAAGCTGGAAGAGAAATTACTCCATTCACTAAGATGTAGCACTATGGATAGTCCATTAACAGTGTTAGAGTTGATAACTTGGATTAGTCCATTGATGAGCTCATTCACCAGGTAAAGTTAGTTAAAGCTGGAAGAGTATTTTAGATCTGATTGATCTATCACAAAATTTACAATCTTATATAATTAATCACTTAGAATTAAGGTCTACTGTGGCACAACATTAAGTTAGAACAGGTCTTAAGGATTCATTAGTCAGCCGACCAGAGCTTCCGCGGGGTCCATTATTGGCCACGAACAAAGAAAATGTCGGCCATTTTATCTACCATGAGGGAGAAAATCTTCTCCCTCACTAAAATGGTCGACCCACCAACTTTAACCAATGACGGCCTTTCCCTACCTTCAGAAGGTAGGGAAAGGTAGCGACAAATAAAACCTGATTTAAAACAGGTTTTCCTTCACGTTTGAAGCAAAACAGCCATATTTTCCTTCATGATTCTTAGTAGCATTTCGAATGATTAAATTAACAGTTGAGCTGTCATGATCATTGTTTGCCATCATGCTAGTGTCAATTAGATGCCAAGATGATTCTTAAATGAGGAAAAAGATTATAATTTGACTGATAAATTCATCCAAATTTATACCTTCAAATCTTTTCCAAACAACCTTTGGTTGAGGATAACCAGAAACAAGACACCTAACATTGATTGTTTGTCCGACTTTAAGCTTGATATCATTTGGTTTCTCGATCCAACTGGGTGGACCTAAAATTAGAAACAATAGAAATATTTTTGAAAACATTTGATTGGAATGGTAAAATTTTTACCTTCAACCGAAAGTTCACTAGAATATGAATCGGAACCATATCTATTGGATATCTTGCAAGTATAATTTCCAGAGTGGCTTGATTGAATTGGATCGATGATCAACATAGATGAATCTTCAATGGAGCGCATCCTAATATCAGATGAATCTTTAAGTTCATGTCCATCTTTCAACCATACTATATGTAAAGGTGAAGTTCCCGAAAGACTCTGACAAATGAATGAAGTCTTACCCCCAATCTTTGGTTTAACAAGCGATGAAAATGGAACTACTTTTGGACCTGGAATGAAATTATTTCAGCCAACAAATCAAATTATATGTGTTTTATACTTACTTTCCTGTCCATTGACACTAGTTCCAATAAAAAGAACGATAAATATAAGTGAACAGAAAACCATTCTGTTGAGTGTAAAAACAAGGGTTCAAGAGAAGTTTAAAACATTTTCAAATTGAACACAAATAGGATTTTGTCAAGAAAAAAAGCGCCATTTCCAAGTTGCACTACATTTATCAAAATTATATACACTACCATCTATAGAGATATCAAACTCTGACCAAAGATCCGGTTCAATTCCATTTGAAGCAGAGCATCCATATCTTCCTCCGTAATTTTTAGTAGCATTCATGATCCGGAAATCACCATTATGTTGAACATTAATTCGCACCCACGATGATCCTTCGGTTTATCAAAGATTAAAAAGTTTAATTCCAGAGTTTGTAAAACAAAAGACAACTTTCATGATTGTATACCTTGTAATTTTTTCCATGTTATCATAGGTTTTGGATATCCAGAAACAAGACATTGGATGTTTATCATTTGGTGCATTTTTAGCTTCACGTTATTTGGTTTCTTTATCCAATTCGGTGGTCCTTTAAGTAAGAATTCAGAGGTGATCAAATCTACAAAAAACCTACATGACTATATTTACCTTCCACTAAAAGTTCAGTGGTGTAAGAGTCAGAGCCATATCTATTTGAGATTTTACAAGTATAGTTTCCAGAATGACTTGATTTTAAAGAATCAACGAGTAAGACTGACGAATCCTGAACAGCGCCAATTCTGATCTCCGGTGTTTCTTGAAGATCTTTGCCATCTTTGAACCAAACTATTTGGAAAGGAGGCGATCCCGTGAGACTGTGACAAAGAAATGAAATCCTGCCACCAATTGCTGGTTTTACAAGTGATGAAAATGGAGCTACTTTTGGACCTAAAAGCAAAATTTTTTAATTATCACCGTATTTATTGCGTACTACCTTTTATTACCTTCTTGACAGTCGACTTGAACGATTCCAAAAGCAAATAAAAAAAGAACTAGAGAAGAAGAATCCATATTTTACGCAATCACAAAAGATTTAAACATTCGAGCACAATGTAAACCAGTTTCTTAGACTTTTAAACACAAATGATATCTTGTCAAACAAAAAAGCGCCATTTCCAAGTTGAACTACAACCATAAGTATTACCCTCTATTGAAATATCAAACTCTGACCAAAGATCAGGTTCAATTCCATTTGAAGCTAAGCATCCATATCTTCCTTCATGTGATTTTGTTGCATTCACAATTTGTAAATTATGATTATGTTGACCATTTGCATCAAATTGATTCCATGTTGATCCTTATAGAGGTAATAATTGAAACAAAAATACAGTTAAATTTTGAGATGCTAATAATCACAAAAATGAATCAATACCTTGTAGTTTTTTCCATGTTATTCTAGGTTTGGGATATCCAGAGACCAAACATTGGTTGTTTATCATTTGGTGTATTTTTGATTTCACATTACTTGGTTTTTTAACCCAATTTGGTGGACCTTTAATGATAAATTTTACAGGTTAAAGATGAATTTATTAACAGAAACTCTGAGATGGATTTACCTGTTACTAAAAGTTCACTAGTGTAAGAATCTGATCCATGTCTGTTTGATATCCTGCAAGTGTAATTTCCAGAATGACTCGATTGAATTGAGTCAATTGTCAGAGTTGAAGGTTCCTCATTAGAGCGAATGCGAATAAATGAGGAATCTTGAAGTTCTTTACCATCTTTGAGCCAGATTATCTGCAAAGGAGACGATCCGGAAAGACTTTGACAAGTGAAAGAAGTCTTGCCACCAATCACAGGTTTAACAAGTGATGAAAATGGAGCTACTTTTGGACCTTAAAATCAAAACAACAAAATAATAAAACAAAAACACCAATTGATGTGCTAAATATACTCACTTTCTCTTGCGTAGCTTCCAGGAAAAATTATCCAAGCTCCGATTATAAAATAATAGAAGAACATTGCTGAGAAGCTAAAAAGATAGATTGACTAGAAATTATCGTTATTTTTTACTAAACTTTTACAAAAAACCATTTTAGCCAGTAAAGATTTAGTATGTACAGAAAGCGCAACTTTCAAGCAAAAAAGTAAAAGCAAACAAGATTTACCCTCAATAACAATACTGAATTCAGTCCATAAATCTGGTTGAATATTGTTTGAAGCAGAACACGCATACCGACCATTAATGTCACGATCAACATTTTTTATGATCAATTTTTGGTCTTCATTCCGAAATAGGAGATTATTTGTATCAATGTCCTGCCATGATGAACCTACGGATGAAAGGTTAAAAATTTATATTGAAGTTAATATGTAATATTGACAAACTTTTTTAGCAAAACCAACCGTCAAATCTTTTCCAGATCATTTTGGGCTTTGGATAGCCTGATGCAATGCATTGAATTGTGGCATCTTCTCCATGATGTGTATTTATGTCCATCGGTTTTTCAATCCAATAAGGAGGACCTGAAAATGAAACAAGATTAGTAAGCGGTATCAACAGCTAATTTGTAAACTAACAACATGTAATGCAGATATTACCTTCAACGGTTAGTTCAGATGAATAAGAGTCATAACCATGATTATTGGATATCCTACAAGTATAGTTTCCAGAATGATTTGATGAAATAGAGTAAATTGTTAACATGGATGAGTCTTCATTGTTTCGTATTCGAGTTGAAGCCGAGTCGTGCAACTCTTTACCATCTTTAAACCAAGCTATGTGAAATGGAGGTGATCCAAATAGACTTTGACAGGCAAATGAAGTTTTACCACCAATTACAGGTTTAACCAAAGATGAGAATGGGGCTACTTTAGGACCTACAAATATAAAATTAAATTAGAAGACGACAAATCAAGGAAATCACTTACTTTCTCGACCATGACTGATGGATAGGTACATAAACAGGATAAAAAAGGCCAGAACTTTGGACATGTTGTAATTATTTTGAATTTCGATATTTTCCAGTTCAAATGAATGTTATGTCAACTATGGAATAAGAAACCATTCAATAACAATGTTATTTTGGCCAAAAGCGCCAATTTTCAAGAAGAGTATAGGAAAAATATTTCAATAAAAATACAAAAGTGAACAAGTTTGACAAATTTAGACAAAAATAAACGAGCTTTGTCAACTGATTCCATGGATTCATGTATAAGAAAGCGCCAATCATCAAGACTTTTGATTTAGTTAGAAAGGTTTACCTTCAACCATAATTACAAATTCAGTCCAAAGATTAGGTTCGATTTTGTTTGAAGCAGAACATCCGTAACTTCCAGCATGAAGACGGTCAATTGAATTGATAATCAAGTGATCATTCGAGATTTGGACATTTTGAAGATAATTGATATTAGTCCACATGTCATCTGAGAAAATAAAAAAGATAAAATTTAATTTATTAATCCAGTAATTGTTAGACAGGTAGGAAGACAAACCTGTGAATTTTTTCCAAACTATTTCTGGCTTAGGAAAACCTGAAGCAATGCAATCCAGCTCTATGGTTTGACCTATCTTGGCTTTGATGTGTCGAGGTTTAGTAATCCAGAATGGTGGACCTTTAAAAGAAAGTAATCATTTGTAGAGGATATAAATTTAAGAGCCAATGGGTCATTACCTTCAATCAACAGTTCTGTAGAGTAAGAGTCTGATCCGAAGTTGTTGGAAACTTTACAAGTATAATTTCCAGAGTGACTAGTAGAAATTGGATCAAGGATGAGCATTGATGAATCTTCGATTGTACGAATTTTGATCGATTGAGAATTAGAAAGCTCTTTCCCATCTTTAAACCAATTGAGCTGAATAGGTGGTGTGCCCTCGATGTTTTGACAAGCAAGTGATGTTTTCCCTCCGATCACAGGTTTTACCAGTGGTGAGATTGGAGCTACTCTAGGACCTATAAATAATTTGACAAGTGATTTGATTAGATTTAATTAATCCAGTTATAATAATAAACTTAATACTAACTTGTTTGAGCATAAATGGTGGTAAACAAATCGACAATAAGAACGAAGAACGTTATGAAATCCATGGCTGCTGAAAAATAACTTCAACTCCTAGACAAAACTTGGAATGATGGTAAACAATGTTTTTGTAAAACCCAATAATACAAGATTCTCAAAGAAGCGCCACTTTTCAAGTTTAATAATTACATTAGAATCAAAACTTAATTTAGTTACCAGTAATTATGATTTCGAATTCAGACCACAGCTTAGGCTCAATACCATTAGAAACCTCACATCCATAACGACCAGAAAGTAATTTTGTTGATTTCACAATGTACATCTCGTTTTGCGTTGTTTTAATTAGATCATGATTCAATGGCTCCCATGATGTTCCTGGAATAGAGAATATGATTTATTGTAAACTTATCAGTTAACGATAAAATAAAGAATTGACTTACCAGTAAATTTTTTCCATTCACTTCGAGTTTGGGGAAAACCTTCGCCAGAGCAAGATACATTAAAAGCAGAATTACTCCGAACTTTATATGATTGAGAAGGCTTATTTTTCCATCTGGGAGGACCTGGAAGAAAATTTTGCCATTAGAAATTTAAAAAAGAAAGAAGAGAGTAAGAGAATTAATAGAAAGAGTTACACTTTACCTTCTATACTAATCTGTATGGAAGATGAATCCTTTCCAAAATTATTGCTTATAACACAAGTGTAATTCCCGTTATGCTTAACTGTGATTGGGTCTATTATTAGCATAGACGAGTCTCTGATTAGAGATTCAATCCTGATTGTGTCCGAGTTCTCGATCGGCTCCATGTCTTTGAACCACTTAAAATAAAGCGGTCTATCACCGCTTTCAGCAGAACAAGCAAAAGTTGCTACACCACCTTCTTTTGGTTTGGACATTGATGATATCTGACCAGCCCTAGGAGCTTAAAATCGACAGAATTTATTATCAGAATCGTTATACATATATATCATTGTACTTTAAAATACAATTTTAATTTTCGAGTAAAATAAACACACAAGCAGACAAGTCGTAATTAAAAGACGCTCCCTGACTAAACGCCGAAACTTTTGCGGCAAAAGATATTGAAACAAATCTTAAATTTGAATTACATTTGTTTACAGTTTATTTATTTTTAATTTGTTAAAGTCAATTGTTTCGTGTTTTTTTAAAATTCTAGAATGTAAGTAACCCTTAAGCAACTCTTTTTGATGTGAATTGAGATAAATTTCCTTTACAACTTTCGTTTTCTTAGCTCAAAATTTGATAATGTTATTGATATTCTTACAGTTATCAATAATGGCCGTTGGATGTGTGTGATGCTGACTTTGAATTTTAGTTTGGTGAATTCTTGAAATGGCGGTTACATTACATACAGATTTAGGTGATTTGAAGATCGAGTTATTCTGTGAACAGTGTCCAAAGACTTGTGAGGTGAGTGCTCTTCATAGTTATGCTGTACTTGCTTTATTTGCTTTATTTAATGTGATGCTCTTGTTTTCAGAACTTCTTGGCTTTATGTGCAACTGATTACTACAACAATTGTATTTTTCACAGAAACATAAAAGGATTCATGGTTCAAACAGGTGACCCTACTAATACAGGAAAAGGTGGTACTAGTATATGGGGAAATAAATTTGAGGATGAGCTACATGACTCATTGAGCCACAATGCTAAAGGCATCGTTTCAATGGCTAATAGTGGCCCTAATTCAAATGGATCTCAATTTTTCATAACTTATGATAAACAACCGCATCTTGATATGAAATATACTATTTTTGGAAAGTAAGTTTAAATTTGAATTTTCTAAAATTTATGCCTTTATCTTATTTAAATTGCTAATGCTTTAAAAAATTATATTCTTATTTTTTACAGAGTCATCGACGGCTTTGATACTTTAGACTCATTGGAAAAGTTACCAGTCAATCCTAAAAAATACCGACCAACTATCGATATTAAGATCAAAAGCGTAACTATTCATGCTAATCCATTGGCAAAATAAAAATGACATCTGGTTGATGATAACTGGTCGTAATTTCAATTTGATTCGTATTCAGAGCTAACTACGTACTACTGTTAAAATTGGATTAGAATTTTGTTTTTGACAGTTCAATTCAACAATCTGTGTGAAGCGTATTAGCTTGATTTAAAATGCTCTGGTTAACTATGGTCCCAATCTCGTGCCTAAGCGCCACTAATAGAAAAATTTTTCTTCTATTAAGGCGTTAAAAGGAGAATCGGAAAATTTTCTTCATAGCTCAAATCAAAAAGCATTCGAAAATTCTCTTTTACAGATTTGAATCCGATGCATCATCAACAAATGTTAAGATTAGCAGTGATATCGGGAATTGTTCATTTATAGAATTTTTTTCAGTATATTTTCAGTGGCAAAATATGTCAATTACAATTTTCATTTTTGAAAAAATGCAGCTTCATGTGTTAAATTGAGCAAATGCATCCTTCACCTTAAACAGCTGTATCTTGTTCATTGTAACATGTGTTTCACATAGAAGTTAAATCGCAGGACCAATGTCTACCTTATCGTCTAATTAAATTTTATTTTATTGCAAATAATTTCGATGATCTTTTCCTTTGCCAAGTCTAAAGTGCCTATTTCTATATTCTAGTCTTACTATTGCGTTAGCTTCAATCTGGCAGCCATGAGCATCAAAAGGTCCAAGTTATTGATTGCTATATTAATCGCATTAATAACAGTCTTTCTACTGATTCAACTAGTTTTCCAAAAATCTCATCCATTACCTCAGATACCACCGATTCCAACTTCAGTTTTAGTTAAAAGTGCTGAAAATTTATCTTCTGAAGACAATGTAATTGGAAGTGATGTCAAATCAATACCAAATCAATCCATACAAAAACAACCAGAAGAAACCATTCCTGATCTTGGATCACCTAATCTACAATATTTACCAACCATTGATGATCATCAAGCTAAGATTTCACCGTTAAATGGAGATGGAACTAATGTTGCAGAGCTTCCTCATTCATCGCAAACAGTACCTAGAACTTTCCAAATATTATTGTGGACTGATTTTTTCAGTCAAAAAAACTATGTTCGAGATGAATGGAGATCAAATTGTGACTACACAAACTGTCGATTTACATCAAATCGTAGCATATTGGAAAATGCTGATGGTCTTATATTTCATGCTAGAGATATTAATATTTCAGATTTACCAAATAAACGTAAACCTGAACAAAGATGGATCTTTTTAAATCACGAATCACCTGCTCACACCTCTTTCAGTTCTCTTTCTTCATTGGATGGTCTCATTAATTGGACAGCAACTTATCGCCTGGACTCAGACTTCAAATTATCTCCACTATTTGTTCCTGTTCCCACTGTTTTACCCAAACCTTTTATCAATAATCAAAGGCCAGGAATTGTGAGTTGGCTAGTGAGCAATTGTCACACCCCGAGCAATCGAGAAGCTTATGTGGAAGAGCTTTCTAAATACATTCCTGTGGATATTTATGGAGCTTGTGGTAATCACACATGCTTACCAAAAATGTCTCAGGATTGCTATAAGACATTAGCTGATAAATATTATTTTTATCTTTCATTCGAAAACTCTATCTGCTCCGATTATGTGACGGAAAAATTTTTCTTCATAATGAACTATCCTATCGTACCAATCGTTTTTGGTGGCGCAGATTATAAGAAAATTGCGCCTTCCAATTCATTTATTGATGCATTATCATATGAATCTCCAAGAAGTTTAGCTGAATATCTAAAGCATTTGCTTGAAAATCCAGATGATTATAATAGTTACTTCAACTGGAAAAGGTTTTACACTCAATCCTCATCTCATTATGCTTGTCAAATTTGTAAAGCTTTGAACAAAGAAGGCGATTCCAAGAAAACATGGGATAAATTATCTGAATGGTGGTTTGGAAATGCTACTTGTTACCGTTGGGACAAAAACAAGCTAATTCAATCAGAATTAGCTTGATTTTTAAATTTCGAATCTTCATTCTTCCCTCCATAAAAAGATTATTCCTGTTGAATGTTAAACTGTTTTTAATCAAGCGTAACATGACTTCAAATTAATAAGGTTTATTCTCATTGATCAAACAACCTATTCGTTAATTTTAAACTAAATGAAGAATGTAAAATTTCACACATTAACTCTTCGTCAAAATGTAATGATCAAATGCATGCGAATCTCTTCCAACGCATTTTCTTGTCCAAAACATGTATTTTACAAGTCATACTTAAGATAATCTCAATTTTTACTCATTTGCTCATGAATTTACTCAATAAATGTAATAATTCATAACTTACCATTTTGGCAGATACAATGACCAGTTAATAGAGAAGTGATAATAATTATCGAATATAAGCTTGAAGTATTCATAATGCTGTAAAGGAATTTTCAAGTTAAAAGACAAGTAAACCACGATTTTCTGAAAATGAAAACAAACAAAAAGCGCTCTGCTCAAGCCCATCTCATAATAAAATAAACCCGCGATCTCTGAAAAAAACGAAAACCATACCAATAATGTCAATATTGAATTCATTCCAAAGATTAGGTCCAAATCCATTTGATATTTCGCACCCATATTTTCCTTCGTGTTTCTTGTGTAAATTGCTAATCTTTATTTCATCATCGGAAAATTTTCCAATCAACTTATCATCATCCAAAATCATCCATTTCAAATCTACAATATCAAGTGAAAAAATATAACTGAGTTGCAGGTCATTTCTATTCATCAACATACTTTCAAACTTTTTCCATGTAACTTTTGGTTTTGGATGACCAGTAGCAGAACATTTCAAGATGACATCTTCATTTGGTTTAGATTTAATATCTTGTTGCTTGAATTTCCATGAAGGTGGTCCTGAATAATCACATTAAGAAAAATGTCAATGAATAAACACATCAAAACTTAAGAATGGAAAATAAAATTTACCTTCAACAGCAATCTCGATAACTGGTTTATCACTTCCATACAGATTCTTAACATTACAGGTATATTTTCCATTGTGACTTGGTGACATTCTGTCAATTTTGAGGATAGATGAGTCTCCAAGCTTATCAATACGAACTTGGTCATTGTTTGAAATTTTTCTATCATCTTTGAACCAATCGAATTCAAATGGAGCTTCACCACTATCGACCAAGCATGCAACAGCAGTTTTATCACCGACTTTTGGTTGGAAAAGGAAGGACAGTCGTGCTTTTGGGGCTAAAAACGAAAGTTACACACTGTATTGTACTATAGATAATCTCATGAATATCACATTCTGTTTGTTGGCATACTTACTTTTCTGGCCGTACAACGAACCAACAAGAAGTAGTAAAGAAACCAGTTGAATAAACATTTCTTTGATTTTCCAGATTTGACAGACCGTTTTGCAGATACCTTATTATGTTTTGGTAAACTCAATTTCTCTTCATCGATTTGCGCTCAGCATAGATTCATTCAAACCAATTGCTTTCAACCCGCCAGGTCTAAAAAATAGTATTTTGTGTCCATTGGGCTAAGAAAAAATCAGAATATGGTTATATCAGTCATAGAATGATCGACATCAAAATATAGAGATAAAATATTAATAACAAGTCCTATTAATGATATAAAAAGTAATTATAAAATTTGATTGGTTTGAAAAAAGCAAAAATAGGAAAAATAAAGCATTGCTTGCTAGAACTTGAACAGCGGAAAATCTTGTCTCTTATAACAATTACTTAATCAACTGAAATTTTAATGCAAGAATTGATGCTAGAATATTTCTTATACATGCTTAAACGCAAATCCAATCCAACTTTGTCAGTCAGATAAAAACACTTCAACAAGTCAACATTTTCGAAGATTTAGAAATAAGTAAAAACATACCTTTCAAGATCCATGCTACATACACATAGGTAACATACAGCTATCCTTTCGAATTAGAAAATTTCAAACAGCAGGAGATTGACAGTTACACATCCACAAGAACGAGGTCGATTTGTGATAATAGAAGAATCATTCTTTGTCGCTTGCCAAAAAATGCTTTTAGGAAATACTGATGGGAAATTTCTTGATTCGATACACAAAAAAACTTGCCGACAAAGAAGCACCAATCTCATATAATATGATAACATAAGACTCTTTATATTTATATTATAATAATATATTACCCTCTATTGAAATATCGAACTCTGACCAAAGGTCAGGTTCAATCCCATTTGAAGCTAAACATCCATATCTTCCTCCGTGATTCTTAGTAGCATTCATGATCCGTAAATCACCATTATGTTGAACGTCAAGTTGCACCCATGTTGATCCTTTGTTCATAAAAATATACAAAAAAGTTGAACTTGAGAGTTGAATTAAAAAAATACTTTCATGAATGCATACCTTGTAATTTTTTCCAGGTTATCATAGGTTTTGGATATCCAGAAACAAGACATTTGACATTAACCATTTGATGTATTGCAGATTTCACATTATTGGGGTTTTTAATCCAGTTTGGTGGACCTTAATACAGAAAATTGGATTAAAAATTCAGCTAATTATAAAATTTTAAATTTTACCTTCAACTGAAAGTTCAGTGGTGTAAGAGTCTGATCCATGTTTGTTTGAAATTTTGCAAGTGTAATTTCCAGAGTGACTAGATTGTATAGAGTCAATGAGCAAAACTGACGACTCTTGTACAGAACCAACTCTAATATCTGGTGAATCATATATTTGTTTACCGTCTTTAAACCATACTATTTGATACGGTGGGGACCCGGAAAGACTAAGACAGATGAATGAAGTTTTCCCACCAATCACAGGTTTGACAAGTGATGAAAATGGAGCGACTTTCGGACCTAAAATCATATCTTATGATTATTTTTCATTCAATTGGACATTTTATACCTTACCCTCATAGCCATGAAGTTGAACAGCTTGAGCTAAAAGTGTAATCAAAACTAGGGAACAAAAATCCATGTTTAATGCAGCAATTGAAAAAGATTTAAACATTCGAACACAATGTAAACCAGTTTCTTAGACTTTTAAACACAAATGATATCTTGTCAAACAAAAAAGCGCCATTTCCAAGTTGAACTACAACCATAAGTATTACCCTCTATTGAAATATCAAACTCTGACCAAAGATCAGGTTCAATTCCATTTGATGCAGAACATCCATATCTTCCTTCATGAGATTTTGTTGCATTCATAATTTGTAAATTATGATTATGTTGGCTATTTGCATCAAATTGATTCCATGAGGATCCTTATAGAGGTAATAATTGATATAAAAAAATACAGTTTAAGTTTTAGATGGTAAGAAAAATCGTAAAAATGAATCAATACCTTGTAATTTTTTCCATGTTATTCTAGGTTTTGGATATCCAGAAACCAAACATTGGTTGTTTATCATTTGGTGTATTTTTGATTTCACATTACTTGGTTTTTTAACCCAATTTGGTGGACCTTTAATGATAAATTTTACAGGTGAAAGATGAGTTTATTTACAGAAACTCTGAGATGGGTTTACCTGTTACTAAAAGTTCACTAGTGTAAGAATCAGATCCATGTCTATTTGATATCCTGCAAGTGTAATTTCCAGAATGACTCGATTGAATTGAGTCAATTGTCAAAGTTGAAGGCTCTTGATTCGAAAGAATCCGAATGAATGATGAATCATGAAGTTCTTTGCCATCTTTGAACCAAATCACATGCATAGGAGGTGATCCCGAGAAACTCTGACAAATGAATGAAGTCTTTCCTCCAATCACTGGTTTTATATGAGATGAAAATGGAGCTACTTTTGGACCTAAATTTGAATAAGCTGATAAATAACATGACCAACTTGATTTCCTATCTTACCTTCATGTCCAAAAATCTCCACTCCCGTTGCAAATATGATAAAAGCTTGCAAATAGAAAGTCATGTTTTTCACAACAATAAAACCGTGTTTGAACATTCGACTAAAATGCAAACCAGTTCCTTATACTTTAAAACCAAATAACATTTTGCCTAACAAAAAAGCGCCATTTCCAAGTTTAAATAGAACTATAGACATTTACCCTCTATTGAAATATCAAATTCTGACCAAAGATTAGGTTCAATCCCATTCGTGGCTGAACATCCATACCTCCCTCCGTGATTTTGGGTTGCATTGCGAATGATTAAATTAACATTCGAGCTATCGTGACCATTTCCCGTGCTTATATCAAAATCAATTGGAAACCAAGATGATCCTTAAAAGTTAAGATATAATTATAATTTTGATATACAGTGGAGTACCAGATAGTGTCAGTACCAGATAATGTCAGTAGATTATTCAATAGCCCCTCAAACCCTTTGTTTACATTCCCTATAAGGAAAGTTTTAATTGAAATTATAAAGAAATTATCAAAAAAGTTGAATATTTCTGAAAATTCAACTCAACTAACGATCCTCAGCACAATGACATTAATTTGTTAGACTTTTCCAGCAACTAACTTTAATTTTATTATTCATTGTAATTAATTTTAAAATTTAGCTCGATTAATAGACTTGCTGTGCATATAAGCTATTTCCAGTTACTGACAGTATCTGGTACTCCACTGTAACAAGATGCATTTCAATTTAATGTACCTGTGAGTTTTTTCCAAAGAATCTTTGGCTGAGGATAACCAGAAACAAGACACCTAACATTGATTGTTTGTCCGACTTTAAGCTTGATATCATTTGGTTTCTCGATCCAACTGGGGGGACCTAGAGTCGAAAATTTGTTCTTAGTAGAATGAAAATAATGCAGAAGAATCAAAAGGTTTACCCTCAACCAAAAGCTCGATAAAATGTGAGTCAGATCCATATCTATTGGAAATTTTGCACGTGTAGTTTCCAGAATGACTTGATTTAATTGAGTCTATAATCAACATTGATGAATCCTCAATAGAGCGAATCCTAATATCAGGTGGATTTCGAAGTTCGTCGCCATCTTTAAACCAAGCAATTTGTAGAGGTGGTGATCCAGATAAACTTTGACAAGTAAATGAAGTCTTCCCTCCAATTACTGGTTTAACTATTGATGATAGTGGAGCGACTTTTGGACCTTAAATGAAGAAATTCATCAAAATCTGAAAGACAAACTGAGTACAAACCATACTTACTTTCTTGTCCATAGCTAGAGCGAAATATAACAAAGAGTCCAACAAAAAGACTAAAAGATTTCATGATGTTTGTATACCAACAAATCTAATGTGGCTGTATTTTTTCAAATTTTATTCCTAAAACCATTTCAACCAGTAAAAATAACAAACAAGAAAAAGCGCAACTTTCAAGCAAATGAAATGTCAAAAGAAAACTTTTACCATCAATAATAACATCAAACTCTGTCCATAGATCAGGTTGAATACCATTAGAAGCAGCACATCCATATCTGCCTTGATGATCACGAGTAGCACTACGAATTTGAAATTCACCGCTAGAAAAATCTCGATTTACCATTATTATCTGGTCCTTGTCGGTCAATTGTATCCATGATAGCCCTGAATTAGATCATTGCACATAGTTCAATAAGAATTCTCGTTATTGGGACCAAAATATTTACCCTTCAATTTTTTCAATTGAACTCTTGGCTTAGGATAGCCAGAGACGAGGCATCGAATTGTAAGCATTCTACCGATTTCCGATTTGATATTAGTTGGTTTTTCGACCCATAAAGGTGGACCTAAAGATGAGATAAAATAATGATACATAAAAAACTTGGTACTTGAAAAGGCAAGAACGAGGATACCTTCTATCAACAATTCCGAAGAGTAAGAATCATGTCCATATCTATTGGATATTTTGCAAGTATAATTTCCCGAGTGACTCGATGATATTGATTCCATAATCAATATTGATGATTCTTCGTTTGTTCTGATCCGAGTTGAGGCAGATTCGTTTATTTTGTGACCATCTTTAAACCAAGCGATTTGTAAAGGTGGTACACCGGCCATACTTTGACAAGTAAATGAGGTTCTGCCACCAATCACAGGTTTAACAAGTGAAGAAAAGGGAGCTACTTTTGGACCTAGAGAATAAAATCAGTTTAGATTTGACTGAATTATAGTAATAAGAGTTATACATACTTTCCTGTCCGTAATAGCATTGCATTGATGATAACAATACCAACAAAAACAAGTATTCAATCATTTTATGTTGGCGCTGAAAAAAATTTGATTATTCAAAACATAAAGTTGCACAGCAATGGGTCACATAAACTAGTAAATAAATGAAAGGTTAACAAAGCGCCACTTTTCAAGTAATTCAAACTCTTATTTACCAATAACTTTAATATCAAATTCTGTCCAAAGTTTTGGTTCAATTCCATTTGATATTTCACATCCGTATTTTCCTTCATGAACTTTTTCTACTTTTGATACAACGATTTGGTTCTCTGCTTTTTTTATACTAACATCATCGATAACCTCCCAGGATGAGCCTAAAATAAAAACATATGGAAGTTAGAAATGGCTTACAGAAATTTATGTAAAAGCTTCAAATTTATTCAAACCTTTAAACATTTTCAGAATGACTTGTGCAATAGGTGAGCTTACTGCAGAACAAGGAATCCGTAATTCATCATTCACATGAACATTGTAAAGCATTTCGGGTTTATTTAACCATTTTGGTGGACCTGTAAAAACAATGTAAATTAATCCAGTAAGATATGGTAATTGCAACTTTTGGAATTAACAAAGTATCAGACCTTCAATACTAATTTGTATCGATGATGAATCTCTGCCATAGATGTTGCTAATGACACAAGTGTAATTGCCATTATGATTTACAGAAATCGGATCAATAACCAAGATTGCTGAATCTTTTGTTAAATATTCAATTCTAATTGTATTGTGGTTATTGATCACTTCACCGTCTTTGAACCATTTGAAATAAAGTGGTTTATCGCCACTTTGGGCTTTACACCCAAAAGTTGCTGAATCTCCTTCTTTTGGTTTGGACATTGATGATATTTGACCAGCCTTAGGAGCTTGAAATAAAAATGAATCGTAAGAAAATGACTGATATACTTTATAACTTACCATTTTGACAGTTGCAATGATCATGTAATAGAAGGGTAATAATAATGATCGAAAATAAGCTTGAAGTATTCATAATGCTGTAAAGGAATTTTCAAGTTAAACGACAAGTAAACCACGATTTTCTGAAAATCAAAACAAACTAAAAAGCGCTCTGCTCAAGCCCATCTCATTATAAAATAAAACCGCGATCTCTGAAAAATATAAACCTTCCATATCATACCAATGATGTCAATATTGAATTCATTCCAAAGATTAGGCCCAAATCCATTCGATACTTCACATCCAAATTTTCCTTCGTGTTTCTTATGTAAATTGCTGACCCTAATTTCATCATCAGAAATTTTTCCAATCAATTTATCATCATCCAGAGTTACCCACTTCAAGTCTACAAAAACAAATGAAAAATATTAGCTATTTGCATTCATTCAATTCATTAACATACTTTCAAACTTTTTCCATATAATTTTTGGTTTTGGATGACCAGTAGCAGAACATTTCAAGATGACATTTTCATTTGGTTTAGATTTCACATCTTGTTGCTTGAATTTCCATGAAGGAGGTCCTGAATAAGCATCAAATGAAAACGTTAACAAAAGAGCAAAATTGTAAATACACGCAGATGAATTGTAAAATTAACCTTCAACAGCAATCTCGATAGCTGGTGTATCACTTCCATACATATTTTTAACATTACATGTATATTTCCCATTGTGACTTGACGACATTTGCTCGATAGTCAAGATTGAAGAGTCAGGCAACTTATTGATACGAAATCCATCGTTATTTGTGATTCCACGATTATCTTTGAACCAATTAAATTCAAATGGTGGCTCTCCATCGTCCACCATACAAGCAACAGTGGTTTTGCCACCAATTTTTGGTTTAAGAAGGAAAGATAATTGAGCTTTAGGACCTGTAAATAAATAATAGAAGAATTAGAAAAAATGTACTCTTTCAATATTTTTGTTCACTTCATGTTTGATATTTACTTTTTTGGCAGTTTGATGCACTGATCAGGACAAGAAACGTTAGCAGCTGAATAATCATTTTGCTATTTTCCGAAAGTTCAACAGAACGTTTTCACTTATTTTGGTTTTCTTTTTGTGGTGAAAATCTCTTTTACTGATCTGCGCTTATCAAAGAACAGTTTTAACCAATTGTCTTCAGCCCGCCAGGTCTGAAAAGCTATTTTTTGTCCAAAGATCTATTTTAGAAGAAATAATAAAATTCTGTTAGGTGAGAATCAAGCTAATTTGTCGTTGAAACAACTGAAATAAATCTAAAAATATGAAAAAAATTGTAAATTATATAAAATATTCAATACTTACAAGAAATTCTAGCTCTATTTATCCAAGCAATTTGAAGATTTCCTTGACGGTTAACAATTGATATTCACTATAAACATGTAACTTCTGACAATTTTTAAATGTGCGACAATAAGCATAAGCACTTTGTCTTACAGCTGTTAGTTTACTCAGAAGATTAGTTTACTAAGCAGACGATCGATTCATTTGAAAGCAAATGTAATCATAATTATTGTATATTAAATAAAATTAATAAAAATGCAGATGAGATTGAGATTGAGATGAGAATGAGATGAGAATGAGATGAGAATGAGATTATCACTATAATAAAAATTCAGAATTCTTGATGTTGGCGCCAAATATCAGAATTTTTGTTCATGTTTTGCCTGATATTTCGTTTGTAATTCTTGTCTTTGCTGTCTTAGATGTTACAAGTTAACTGATTAAATTAAATTAAATGACCAACTTTCAATCAAAATAGATTCTTAACTTTCATAAAAGCTTAGCCATTATTTTATTTTGACAAGTTTTTAAATATCTTTCTGTTCTGTAGGTATAGCCATTTGGCTTATTTATCAGGAAAATTTGAGATGAATAAGCTTAGTTTTGTTTTGAAACAAACACTGTCTGTCTGACAGACATCAAAGATGAAACGAACGAGAATTGCTATTGTGTAAAGTATCGATGAATATTCCAGGTTTAGTATCAAATTGCTATAAAATTAATCAAAAATATGTTATTTTCAACTTAAGTGTCACTCATCTCATCTGTGCCTTCTTTTTTTAGCTTTTTTTAAATTCATCATCTTTATGCTTTATTTTAAAATCAAAATCAGCATTTGAGTTGACAATGTCAATAAATTCGCTTCCAAATGATTGTTTACTAATCATTTTTGATGACATCAAGGAATTGGACGATCTAGTAAACTGCTACAAAGGTGAGTTCAATCTAAATCTTACTTTTCATTTTTAATTTGAATTTTATTATAGAACGAGCATTTCTGTACATTTCGAAAATTTCAAGTTTTTTAGTATTATTCTGCGTTCTACCGTGATCAATTAATATCACTGAGGATAATAACAACTGTAATAACAGATTATCAATGTGTAAAAACTAACTATATCATCAGAATTTTAACTCGTTTAATATACATTTTAAAATTATTGAACGCAAATGCTTAAACAAGGAAGGAATGCCTACACTTACGTACAAGGATGTACTACTTTAGAGATCTGTTTTGATAAATCATTACAAAAGATACACCCTGAAAATTTTAATATTATTTTCAATTTTTTATTGCAGTTTGTACAAGGTGGAGTCTGTTGATTGCCAAGCGAGCCAAAAGAGTTAAATATCTTATCAGTAAGATTTTCATTTTATTATGTATAATAATGAATATCTTTTCTAATAGAAGTTTATTTTTCAGATAATTCACTCTATTCAACTCCAGATGATGGTTATAATGAACATGTTTACATTCGAACAGAGAAACCAATCGATGGAAATTGTTTGGAAAATTTGTTTCCTAATTTAAGGGTTAGTTTTCACATTGCACATGTTAACCGATTACTAAATTTTGTTTTTCTTTAATTTAGATTGTTGATATCGATTATTTATTGCCTAAAAAAGTGCAACTCAATCATATTCTTAAGATGGTCAAAAGTGCAAAATCTTTGAAAGGATTTTTTATCGAACTTGAATCTCCATTCGAAGAGGTGTCAAGATGTTGTGAAGACATCGACATGGTATCTGTGAATAATATATTATTGTCTAAATCGAGTCCTTATGATGGTCCCATATGTGAGAACGGCTATAGATTCAAACAACTTCACATTTATCAGTTCAATTTACGTGAGGCTAGAGAGTTCGAACTTTCTTTTCCTAATCTTCACAGACTCAATGCCTATGATGTCGATGGTAAATGAATCATTTTACAGTACAAAGTGTTTTCATTCCACGCTATTTTGTTCAATATATTTCGACTGCAAGGTCACTCGTTTATAGTGCAATGGTTGATATTTTTTACAAGTAGATAAGTATCTTTCAGTAGATGAGTTTCGTTTTGGGAAAACTCGTAAGAAACATGAAATAGTAAAGAAAAGAGGGAAAATTTAACCTGTTCAATCATGAAAATTTATCACATCCCAAGTCTGTACGACCATAATTCGAAAGAAATTGAACAAAACAAGTGTAAAATGAAAAGTTTGCTCTGAATGTTAGCTATCATGACTTATAATTTCCATTTATTTCTCTTTCTGTAGCTGGTGGTTATATGAAGCTGTTTGATGATACAGTATTTCTGAGACTGAAAATAATTGAATTCTTTATGGTCGGAAAGTGTAATGCGAGATTTGTCAATTTATTTCGGTTCATTGATCACTGCCCAGTCTTACAAAGTGCACATATTTCTGGACTTTTTTATCCGCTTTATTTTAATGTGTCAAAAAAACACGAAAGTCTACAAGATTTAGTTATTGATTTTGTAAGTGATGCCTCATTTTTTATTTTTTACTATAGAAACCTTTAATTGCTCATTTTGTTCAGTGTAAATTCGGTTTCTTATTAGATATCAGATTATATATGATGACTTAGGAACTATATCAGAGCGTTTTTTTATCTCTCCATTGTTCAGGTTCATAACTAGAACCAATGGCACTAGAGAGTTTAAACTTGTAAATGTTAACTTTCCATGTTGAGCTATCATATTTACCTTGTCTCGAGTTTATTCATTAATTTGTCCTCTAACAGGTAGATAAATAATAATCAGTTCTGTGACCATTGATCATTTATAATTTACAGGCTGAAGATGAACGAACCCATTGGGATACATTGGAAAGTTTAATGATGAAATATCCTAATCTAAAACATCTTTCGATGAGAGGCTGCCCGGGAATAAAAGATGAACATATTGAGAAATTGGTTGAAATTTTACCCAATTTAACATTAATTGATGTCCGTGGATCTGAAGTCACTCAAAAGGCTGCCGATTATTGTAGACGACATGAACGGTCGATAAAGTTATACTTCGGAGACTCAAAAGAGGGATACAGACAAATTAAATTAGATTGGCCTCAAATTTCGATTCGTCGAGAAACAATTTGTCGAGGATTTGATTTCATGAAACATTGTTTCTTCAAAAATTATCGAAGTTTACCTTGTTTCTTGGACCCTATGGATGAAGAAGATTGAACTGCTAGTTGCTCAGGTGAGTAGTTTACTAAACCGACGAGCAATTCATTATGTAATTCAAATGTAATTATAATCATTGTACATTGAATAAAATTATTAAAATTGCAATACGTTTAGTTATAAGCTGTAATAAAAATTTAGAATGCTTGATGTTGGCGCCAAATATCAGAATTTTGTTTTGACATGTTTATGTTTTATTGACTATTCAGTCACCAAATTTCAGTGAATAGTATTCACACATGATATTTCATTTGTAATTCTTGTCTTTCTCATAATAGACCTTAAAAGTTATCTGGAGATAAATAGATTATCTATAAAAACGATTTTATTATTCATGTTAATTTTACCAAATAAAATTATACATTTTAAATCATCACAGATTAGTGTTTTTGCAAAATAAAAGCCAAGTCATTGTTTGAAACAGATCTAATGAAGTTTCAATTTTATTATAAGCAGTTAGCTGGTTGTATTCAAATTATAATTAAAAATTTCATCTGCACCTGATCTAATATTGGTTTAATAATCTCAATGCTAGTAAAGCAATTGAATTGGTCAATTCCTTCACGGTTCAGTTCTTTTCTAAATTCATAATGCTTTGACATGAATCATGATATTTTCAACTGATAAATTAATTAGTTCAATCTGCTAATTAACAAAATCTTTTTTTTAAATGCACCATTCCATTAAAGATCGGTACATTCGAGAAGCTTCTGTAAGTATCGCTCTGTAAGTATAGCCATTTTGCTTATTTATCAGGAAAATGTGAGGTGAATAAGCTTAGTTTTGTTTTGCTTACACTTCCTTTAAGAAACTCTTCTTTTTGTTTGGTATTTAATTGTGTTCCTACCGATAATTTTCTGTTCGACATGTCACTTTTTGGTATTATTGTCAGTGGTCGATTGGTACAAACAGATTTCCAACCTGTTGATGCTGGTAAATTTTTAATAACCATACCTAGTCCTGAGAGTATCAATCACATTGTTGTCTTCCTTACCGGTGCTCAACCTTTGCCTCTTGAAGTTGGTGCCAGTGTCTATTTTTCATGGCCTGATCCAATTAGCCCACCTACATGGCAATACTTGGGTTACATTTCAAATGACAAACCATCGGCCATATTCCGTATAACCAAATTGAAAACCTCAACACCATCTAATACATTCGGATTTTCCCAGCCCATAGTAGCTCAATATGCTCAGATTGGTATTTCTTGTGAACCTCTGGCTCAAATTCAACAATTAACTGCCGACATCTCAGTTAATCCCACTGCTGCGGACTCTGTACTCACCTATGCTGCTAAAACCGCCGAGAATTTATTTAATTATACTTGTTCATTTGCTCGGACTCTTCTTACAGACACTAATGAACAGTTTGTACCCCTCTCTATTATTCATCAATGGTATCAGAACTTCATGAGAAGACTGGAACAGGATCCAACGTTTATGAAAGGATAACCACATCTCCATTTGCCTTCCATTTTAACAAAAATTACTCAACTATTGTACAAATTGTTTCTAAGTTGGTCTATACCTCAACTTATTCAGTAAAACTCATTGAGCTAAATCTGTAAAGATTCACTTTACTTGAATTTCATTATTCATGCGACGGCCTTGTAACGATCTCAAAATCAATTCATTGGATTGTTATTATTTTGTACGGGACGCATCAATTCAATTCATGTTAATGAACATGTATTTCTTTTTCATTGGTGCTTAATTCTAACAACATAATGCATGTATGCTTAGATTAATATAGACTGATTAAAATTCATTGAACTTGAATTTTATAAATTTTTTTGAGTAAAAATTGAAATTATCTTAGGTATGAATTGTAAAATACATGTTTGTGCACAAGAAAATGCGTTGGAAGAGATTGGCATGCATTTGATCTTGACATTTTACCGAAGAGTCTTTGAGTTAAATTTCAACTTCTTCATTTACTTTGAAATAAACGAACAGTTGATTGATCAATGAGAATAAACCTTATTAATTTGAAGTCATGTTAGGCTTGATTATCAACAGTTTAATATTCAACAGGAATAATCTTTCTATGGAGGGAAGAATGAAAATTTAAAATTTAAAAATCAATTTAATTTGAATCGAAGAGTGAAACAGAGTTTCTTTTTTGCTTTGACAGTTCTTACACATTAATCTTTGATTTTGATTGAATTAGCTTGCTTTTTGTCCCAACGATAACAAGTAGCATTTCCAAACCACCATTCAGATAATTTATCCCATGTTTTCTTGGAATCGCCTTCTTTGTTCAAAGCTTTACAAATTTGACAAGCATAATGAGATGAGGATTGAGTGTAAAACCTTTTCCAGTTGAAGTAACTATTATAATCATCTGGATTTTCAAGCAAATGCTTTAGATATTCAGCTAAACTTCTTGGAGATTCATATGATAATGCATCAATAAATGAATTGGAAGGCGCAATTTTCTTATAATCTGCGCCACCAAAAACGATTGGTACGATAGGATAGTTCATAATGAAGAAAAATTTTTCCGTCACATAATCGGAGCAGATAGAGTTCTCGAATGAAAGATAAAAATAATATTTATCAGCTAATGTCTTATAACAATCCTGAGACATTTTTGGTAAGCATGTGTGATTACCACAAGCTCCATAAATATCCACAGGAATGTATTTAGAAAGCTCTTCCACATAAGCTTCTCGATTGCTCGGGGTGTGACAATTGCTCACTAGCCAACTCACAATTCCGGGTCTTTGGTGATTGATAAAAGGTTTGGGTAAAACAGTGGGAACAGGAACAAATAGTGGAGATAATTGGAAGTCTGAGTCCAGGCGATAAGTTGCTGTCCAATTGATGAGACCATCCAATGAAGAAAGAGAACTGAAAGAGGTGTGAGCAGGTGATTCGTGATTTAAAAAGATCCATCTTTGTTCAGGTTTACGTTTATTTGGTAAATCTGAAATATTAATATCTCTAGCATGAAATATAAGACCATCAGCATTTTCCAATATGCTACGATTTGATGTAAATCGACAGTTTGTGTAGTCACAATTTGATCTCCATTCATCTCGAACATAGTTTTTTTGGCTGAAAAAATCAGTCCACAATAATATTTGGGAAGTTCTAGGTACTGTTTGCGATGAATGAGGAAGCTCTTTAACATTAGTTCCATCTCCATTTAACGATGAAATCTTAGTTTCAATAGTTGTTAAATATTGTGGATTAGCTGATCCTTTAGAAGATGAATTTTCAGCACTTTTAACTAAAACTGAAGTTGGAATCGGTGGTATCTGAGGTAATGGATGAGATTTTTGGAAAACTAGTTGAATCAGTAGAAAGACTGTTATTAATGCGATTAATATAGCAATCAATAACTTGGACCTTTTGATGCTCATGGCTGCCAGATTGAAGCTAACACAATAGTAAGACTAGAATATAGAAATAGGCACTTTATAAAATGACTTACAAGTGACTTGTTAGTGAAGGCAAAGGAAAAGATCATCGAAGTTATTTGCTATAAAATAAAATTTAATTAGACGATAAGGTTACAATGTTACAATGAAAAAGATACAGCTGTTTAAGAAGAATTCTCTAATTCTGATTGAATTATTTTGTTGTGCCAACGATAACAAGTAGTATTTACAAGCCACCATTCAGATAATTTATCCCATGTTTCCTAGAGCTACCTTATTTGTTCAAAGCGTTACAAATTTGACAAGTTTTCAGTGGAAGTTAGTCCTAGATTCAAGATCCTTCTGCATTGATCATTCACTTAATTAAATCAATCAAAATAACTTTTCAGAGCCGTCGTGTTGAAAACAATTGTTTAAAACTGAGTTTTGATAAGCGCAGTTCAATAAAAGAGATTTTTGATTGTTAAGACACATTTAACATAATTATAACCTTTCTGCAAAAATGAGCGAAAAACGGTTGAAAACAAATTTCTTGCAAATTTAGACTCTTTTGGTTTATGAGGACATAGAAACTGAGTCCGTTAGCGCGATTTAAAAATTACTCTGATGAAAAGTTTAAAAAAAATTGAGGTCAAAGTTGAAACTTCGATTGCGTTTAGTACAATTATGGTAAAAGATTTATCGATCAAACTCATTTTGACTGTGTAACTTTTGATGATCGACTAGAAAATGAGTTCATTTTGAGAAAAAGAACTTTTCTTTTTCGTTAAAACAGATTAGTTCGATTTTCATTCAAACCGGCCGCTTTCTGTAACCATAAGTGTTAGCGAGCTTGAACTTATTATTTAGGCATAAAAATTGTTAGCTCACATCATGAGTTGAATTACTGAATAGACTCAACAATAGCTCTCTTTATTTTGGCAATTGGACTAAAAACTTTTAACCTCGATATTTCGAGAATGGCATCATCTAAAGTCATTATTCTTTCATTAATTTAATTCTTTACTAACTACTAACTAATAATAATTCAATTCAACCCAAAAACTTTCCAGGAGAGCATTTGGGACATGATTTTGGGAAGTAAATGAACGAGGAACTACTTATTTAACAAACTTAACTCATCTCAATGCATATCTTGGTAAATAAACCAATTTTCTAGTTAAACTTGCAAACGAAATGCAAAGAGAACTGCCAAAGGCTCGAACATTTGAGTTAAGAGTTGAGAATTGATGGGGTTTGTAGGGATTTGAAAACTGTGTCCATTGGTGCTATTAAATACTTCATACGATGGACAGTTTTCGCGAAAATTGAGGTCAAATTTGAAACTTCGATCGCGTTTTTCTAAGCGATGGAAACAGATTTTTTCATGAAACTTATTTTTCTGATGCATCTTTTGATGACTAACTAGTAAATGTTTTCATTTTAAGCAAAAGAATTTTTCTTTTTCTGCAAAACAGATAAGTTCGATTTCCATCTAAACCGACCGCATTCTGTGTACATAAGAGTTAGCGAGCTGAAACTTATTATCAGTCCATGAAAATTGCTTACTTACATCAAGGACTGAATAATTTTTTCAATGCACCAACAGTTCTCTTGATTTTGGCCATTGGATTTAAAACTTTTAGCCTCAATATTTCGAGCCTGGCATCATCTACAGTCATTATTTTTTTACCAAATTCATCCTTTATTAACTAATAATGCAATTCAATTTGAAAAATTTCCATTAGCGCATTCGGGACATGATTTTTGGGTTGTAAATGAACTAGAAACAACTTAACAACAAACAAAACTCATCTAAACCCATTTCTTGATGTATAAACAAATTTTCTGGTTAAACTCACAAACATAATGCAAAGAGTACTGCCAAAAGCTCGAACATTTGAGAAAGGAGTTGAGACTTAATGGGGTTCGTAGAGAAATTAAAACTGCGTCTATTGGTGCTATTCAATAATTAATACGATGAACAGTTTTCGCGAAAATCGAGGCCAAAGTCAAAACTTCCATCGCCTTTTTTGAAGCGATGGAAACAGATTTTTTCACGAAACTCATTTCACTGTTGTAACTTTTAATGGTTGACGCAAAATTGTACTCATATTGATAAATAAAGTTTTCCTTTTTCTGTAAAATAAATCAGTTCGATTTTTAGTCAAACAGATCGCATTCTGTGATCATAAGTGTTAGCATGCTGAAACTTATTTTTCGTCCATAAAAATTGATGGATCACATCATGGATTGAATAATTTTAACAACTTAACAATAGTTTTCGCGCTTTTTGTCATTGGTCTTAAAACTTTGACCTTCGATATTTCGATAATGGCATTACCTACAATCACCATTCTTTCACGAAACATTAGATCTTATTATGGGCTATAACATAATCTGACTTAATAATGAATAAAATCTGAGCTCATTCATCCAATAATGAAGATCCTTTCAACACATAAGATTTGTGTTTAGCTTTATTAATCTCGTCTCAAATCGGAAAACATAAGTAACAAAATGGTATAACTTTTTTCCTATGATATTGAATGATTTAATATTTCAGAATTTTATAGTCCATTATGAAATCTAATATTTGGTGAAAGAATGCAGATTTTATGTAATTCCGTTCCCGCAATATTGAGGCACAAAATTTTTAGGTCAATGGCCAAAATCAAGAGTAATGTCTAGGAATTGCAAAAAAGTTTTCTTGCCATCATGTGTACAAACAATTTTAATGGGCGAAGAATAAGTTTCAGCTCTCTAACTCTTACGGCCATAGACTGTCGTCGGTTTAACTAAAAATTGGGCTTGATCTGTTTTAAAGAAACAGAAAAAGTTAATCCTCAAAACAAGTGCATTTTCTGGTTGGTTATGAAAATTTACATCAGGAAAATGAGTTTCGTGAAAAAATCTGTTCCCATCACTTCAAAAAAGGCGATGAAAGTTTTGACTTTGACCTCGATTTTCGCGAAAACTGTTCATCGAGTGAAGTATTGAATAGCACCAATAGACGCAGTTTTAATTTCCCTACAAAGCCCATCAGTCTCAACTCCTTTCTCAAATGTTCGAGCTTTTGGCAGTACTCTTTGCATTATGTTTGTGAGTTTAACCAGAAAATTGGTTTATTTACCAAGATATGCATTGAGATGAGTTTAGTTAGTTAAACAAGCTGGTTCTTGTACATTTACAACCCGATAATTATGACCCAAATGGGCTAATGAAAAGTTGTTGGACTGAATTGAATTATACATTAGTAAAGCATTAAATTGGTGAAAGAATTATGATTGTAGATGATGCCATTATCGAACTATCGAGCCTCATAGTTCATAGACCAAAGGTCGAAAGCAAGAAAACTGTTGTTAAATCGTTTGAATTATTTAATCCATGTTGTGATCCATCAATTTTTATGGGCAAACAATAAGTTTCAGCTCGCTAAATCTTATGATCACAGAATGCGGTCGGTTTAGATGGAAATCCAACTTGATCTGTTTTACAAAAACAGAAAATGTTATTCCTCAAAATGAATACATTTTCTGGTTGGTCATCAAAATTCACCTCGTCAAAATGAGTTTCATCAATAAATCTGCTACCATAATTGTACAAAACGCAATCGAAGTTTCAGAAAAACAAAAACAAAAAACAAGTGAAAACGTTCCGTTTAACATTCGAAAAGCAGAATGCTGAAATCTAAACCTCTAAATCTATTTTAGGTTTTATTTATCGATTGTCAATGATCCTAATGAACTTGATAATGATACTCAGTTTGGTTGAATAAATTTGATTAGCAAAGTGAATCTTAAATAATGAAATAAAAGCGGCAAGCAAAAGTGTCTACAATATAATACGAAAAGCGAAATTTAAATGATTATTTCAAAGCTCGCATTATGCTGTTGATAATGAAAATCTGTTATGGAAATAAAGCAAACCATTTAGCTGAATAATACGAAATCCTTTTTCTCGATATTATAATGCTGGATGAATGAAAGTGATAAATTGTTAATTTGCTAAAAAAAGTAAGTCAAAGGAGTTGAATGAATTAAATTGATGAAAATGAGCATCATAATGAATTGTTAACAATTGATTGTACATCTCACGGAGCATAACATATGCAAAAGATGTCAAGCTTTTTGCTCATCAAAACGGATTTCAATATAATAATTTTACTTTATTCAAAAACGGTTTCGATTAACTTTTGTGTTAAAATTATATCAACCCATTGTAATTAGATGATGATCAAGTGATGTAAAAGTTACTTTCAAACAAATTAACGTCTTTATTCAAATTCAACAAAAAGATCCTTTCGCTATCGATGTTAATGTTTACATTGAAAGTACCCTTTGGGTAAGTGAAACCGAGTGTGGTTGAACCAAATCGTATAAAGACTATAAATCAGTCTCGATTTTGGTTAGTTCATCATCAGATTTTAGTGAATTTACATCAAGTGGATTAACATTTGAACATTGATCAACATCAAACATCATCTAAATAACCGAAATGTCTTATTCGAGTCCAAAAATTATTGGTAAGTTTTATTTCATCTTGTTTTTGAAGATACAGACTAATACATAAATTTTTGTTAATACATTTGTTATTACATTTTAGCTAAAATTTTAGCCAATATTGCATCTTTCGCCGCATTGTGTTTTATTGTTTCATTGGTTGGACTATCTGGAACTGATGCTAGCCAGGATTCGGTTAAAGCTTCATCGGCCAATTTAACAGCTTATAATACGCCTTATGCTTTCTATGACTATGAAAGAGATCCTCGTCGTTGGTTTGGTAACGGTCAATATGCTCCTGGTGCCTCATATGCTGGCCCATTGGCTCAATTTCCTGGTGGATTGGAAGCCATTGCTATTGGTCTTATGATGGCTGTTGGTGCTGGTTTCATTGTTATTCCTTTAATGATCATCCTTTACATGATCTTCATTCAACCCAATGGTAATCCAAATCTCAATGGTGGATTCAATTTCATTCAACACCCAGCAACAACCACGATCGGAGGACGTAAACGACGAGAAGCATCTAAAAATGATCATCTCGGTCTGCCAGAAATGGTGAGTCCAGTTATCCAGGAGAAAGTCATGTCTTTTTTCAAGAAATTTGCTGATGCTCCAGCTCGAATGGAATACCTTAAGAATATTCTTAAACCTTAGAGTGATTTATTTTATTAATCAATACTATGAAAGAAAGGCTGAGCAGAGCTAAGTCGGAATATTTTTTACTGATGACTATTAAAAACCACCGCATTCTGGAGCAGTAATAATTTTTTACATAATTTTTAATTTTTTTGAATAGTTTAATGTAGATATAATTTTTGAAATCAATAAATATTTTAATTCAATATTTCGATTAATGTCGGTTTCTGTATTGCATTATTTTAACTGCCTGATAGTTGAGCAAGTTTATTAAAAATCAGCAATTCTTGAATCCGCAAACCTCACTCTAATTTTGAAACTTGCACAGATTCATAACGAACGTTGGCTAAGGATTGAACCAATCTATTAATCTAGTTCACCTATTAACCAAAAAAAAACAAAAAGACTGTGGGCTTGTGGGTTGGGACTTTGTAGGGGCATAAAAACTGAGTTCATTAAAACGTACTATTCTATACATTGTAGTTTATATGAAAAAAGATGCACATTCATTGCAAGCCTAAATGTTTTGAACGTCTTTTCATATCCATTCAATTTGGACTCATTTTGTTATTTGATATCAAAATGAAACAAAAAAGTCTACAACACCGGGGGTTCCCAAGTGGTCTCCCTCCCAAGTACTAACCCGGCCCGAAACTGCTTAACTTCGGAGATCGGACGGGATCCGGTGTTTTCAGTCTGGTATGGTCGTAGACACAAGAATAGTTCAATACTGGAATATAAACATAAGACTTATTTTAACAGACAATATCGATTTTTTGCTTTAAGCTCGAATTGTAAATTATAGCGAGAAAAATGTGCATGGATAACTTTTCAATCAAATGCCTCGAATGAACAAATTCTGGTAATTGGTAAATACCAAAAATAAACACGCTGCTTGAATAATGAAAATATGAGATGAGAAACCAAGTTAGCCAAGGGATGACAGAACGTTTATTAAGAATCTCTATAACATTCAAAATGAATGAACATATTTCTATTAGGTTAATCAAGAAAAACAAAAAATCTTTGCATGCTTATCATGCTAATGCTAACCATAAGAAGTTATGATAGCTAACTAACAAACCCATCGAAATTGTGATCCATGTGAGACAGAACCAGTTATTTCTTGGCTTCTTGTTTTCCTGATTTCCTAAATTTAGTGAAATAAAGTATCAGACCAGCTGTGACACTAAGAGTAAGAATCGAACAGTTTCGACGTCCAGTATTGGTATAGGAATTGAAATATTTTGAAATTCCAGTAAATTGGGATTCATCAACATGTTCACCTCCACCGGCCATTATTGATAACTGTAAGAATATCAAAAACAATAACAAATATTTAGCAAAGAAAACGAAAGTTGTAAAGGAAATTTATCTTAATCCACATCAAAAAGAGTTGCTTAAGAGTTACTTACATTCTAGAATTGTGAAAAAACACGAAATAATTTAATTTAACTAGTTGAAAAATAAATAAATTGTAAACAAATGCAGTTTAAATTTAAGATTTGTCTTTTGCAATGAAAGTCATTTGATCAGGGACCGTCTTTTAATTACGACTTGTCTGCTTGTGTTTATTTTACTCGTAAATTAATTTCATGATATTCCATTGAATGAATCGTACTGAGTGTCAAAATTAAATGGACAATATTAATTTTATACTTTAACTGAGGTGCGAAACCGCGAAAAACACATTCCAAGAATTTTGTATTCCATGTATCCTGTAAGTAAAGATATTTTCTCATCATTTCAGATGATCTTTTATTTTTTATCTAAACAATAATATGAAATTTTTGCGTAAAGATTGTGGTCAAACCAAAAGGATTCTAAAGAAATTTTTTCACAGCATGAAAGCGATTGACTACATTCACGAAAAATAGTCAGAGCATTTCGAAATTCAGAATGGCTTTTTTCACTCCAAAATGATTGTTATAAATGTGACAAAACCTAAAGATTTCAACTTTTGAATTTCTTATTCTGACAATGGTTTTTTATTAAAATAATGATTGGGTGATTTATAAGTGTCAAAACTTTGACTATCGAGTTGCAGTTGCGACTTGATGAACTCTTAGTGACTTAAGAACTATTCAGGCAATTAAAAAATTTTCTGATCGAAAGTTTTCAATGAAATCGCTTTCAAAGTTGAAACTTAAATTTAATTTTAATCAGCTTTAGAAACAGATTTTATTTTATTAGTTTTCTACATTGACGATGGTTTTCATCAAGAATTTGAGTTTTTAAATATCGATAAAATTTATTGTATACAGTGGAAAGAAATTACGATCATTTATGATCGGGGTTTCCACTTGTTTCCATAAAAGTAAACGGGTTAAAATTAATTGTGTTGTTGTATCCAAAAGTGAAACTTGGCGAGTTTATGAAAGTTGTGTTCTTAATGAAACTTTATGTATTCATTAATATTGTTGAATTTGTAAACATTATACCCTTTGAAACATAATGCAAGTTTCTTTGATGTAAACATCCGAAGTTATAATACATATTCATGTATTATAACTATAATTATATCCATTCAGAAGTATTGAATAAATAATATTTTCTAGCGTAATGTTATGTTTCCATGATCTAGGAATATACCAACCAATCAATTTGTTAAAATAAACTGAGATTCAACAGCGTATCGGAATACTTATTGATCGATTCTGAGCAAATGCTTTACCACTAAATTTTAAGTTCAATCCAGCAAAGAGTAGGCATAATATGTGTTTGATGGTTGGCGTTCATTGAAAGTTGACTTTAAACATCATGATGAGGCAAATGTTTTCGATCAAATACTGGAAGTGAAAAGAAAAGGTAAAGTTACTATTTATGAATTAAAGAAAACATTTTATGCTCACAATAACAAAAACTCGAGTAGTCATATCCAAAAGTTGACCAATAGTGAATGCAATATCAGTTCTTGAAAGTCGCTCCTCTAAATCAGTTTCCTAAAAATTGATAGTTCATTAAATTTTCATCTTTTACTGGGTGATTGCACTGGCCAAGTCTGACTTTAATTATAAAGCATTAAAGCCCAACTCGCTTAATTCAACCACTGTGATTAAGAAACCAAACAATACCTTTATGAAGGTTTCTGCATTCAATTTCAAACGGCTAGTTGCTTTCCTTAGATTCTTGCAACATGAGATCATCTAAAAGTTAGTAAATCAAATTAAGTGTCGAGCAAACATTTGCAATCTTTTCAAACCTTTGTCAATATGACTCCATTGGTGTATGAACAAGCTCCAATGGATACAAAGCCAATCATGGAAACACCCAAAATGAAAAAGTCCATGAATCCGCGATCAATGTGAACAAAAACTGCAGTGTAAACTCCAAAATTGTCAACAGCAGAAAGGCCGATGTAAACGAATATGAACCAGTTTCTAACGCCAATATTACAGTGTTCAGTTTCATTTTGGTATTTAATAATCTCACAAACAATAGCTTTGTAATCTAGTAAATAGTCGGCATTTTTCGATCGTCTTCTTTTCATGGAAAGATCTTGCACAGTTCGGGCTACATGAGCAACTTTGTAGTAAAAGTAAGACAATTGAACTGTAGCTAACCCACCAGATAACATTAAGTTGCTGACGGTACAAGAGATTCCAAGATAACTGATGAGAAGCCAAAAGCCAGTGTAAATATACTGTTGCGACGTTTGCGGCAGTTTAGATGCTGAATGAACAATGAAGATTAAAATTGGTGCAAAGCTAATTGTAAGGCAATATGTTATCCTCACCCAAAAAATAGCTAAATTAGTTGAAACAAAACGAAACTTTTTGCAGTAAAATCGATCCATAAATAAAACTCGACTCTTGAATCCCTTTGAATATATTAAATGTTCCAACTTAAAGGTTGTCAAGTGACCTCTTCTAGCCAAAAATATCCAATGGTGTCTTATCACTTCACCAAAAACAGATAAATTTAAACAGAAGAGCCAAAAGAAACGACCATTCGGATGACCATGAAAAAAGTCACCAAGAAGAAGATGCCATTCATCTGGCAGATCAAAGGCACTCAACAATATAAAGTGTATAATATTAATGGTCATTACGCTTATGTAAAGGATGGATTTTGTTTTAGTCCATTTTGATGGTGTTACACTTGGATCTTGGGAAAATCCGTTTGGCAATATATTGTATGATATGCACATTGATTCGAGTTGCTTTAAATATTTTATTGCTACAGTGTCATTAATATCACTCGATTGGAACCCAATCACATACCGAACCGATTTCGATACAATTCCAATGTGTTTAGCTCTCAACATATCCAATTGATTCACTGCGATTCTGAATAATTCACCATCTAAACACTGACAATAACATCTAAATGGGATTGGAAGTTTATGCTCTTCAAAAGATCATCAAATAAAATCTTATGAGTTTTGGTTGCTAATAGCTTTTATTCAGGTTATTTTGAAAGTCACTTGAAATGTTGAAATCTTTAATTGCAGATTTTGATTCTTTTCCCTGTTATTCCATGCCGAAATCATATATTTCAATGAATATTTTAGTTGCAAATTTGCTAATCAATAAGTCTCAATTGTCTTTTATTGACTTCATTGTTCAAAAATGACAAAAGTTCATTAGAGAGAAATGATAAATTAACGAATAAACAAAGCTTCATTAAAACAATTGATTAATCATTAAATTAATTTAATTGGTCATGAAATTCATCCAACGACGAATGGATTTAAAAATTAAGGTGCGACCTAAAAAGTTTGCAACCTCTCTTATTGTTCGTACGTTGATTTGGGCTTATACCGTTATTTGAATGCTTTTATGTTGTTCTTTTTCGATAAATATTGTCAATTAGACAGACTCATATAAAATTTTCAGGCTAAAGTCCACTGAAATCGAGTTCAGCCGTCGGCAATTTTGAAAAACGCGCCAAATTTTTCGAATCCATTTTTTTGGCCTTTCGACCAGAATTTTCATAATTTGTTATTCCTTCATCGCTCCTGAGTCTTTTGTTTGCCAGATAAACACTGAATTCTGAAATTTCTAAGGCTATCAGAGTATTACCACACTGATACAAAGAAAGGCAGAGACTAGTCAAAAAATCGATCTCCGTTTATCAAATGTTTAAGGTCCATTTTCTGATTTGATACTGAATCAATACATACAAAAAATATATCAAAATGTTCCTTATATTTCAACTAATCCTGTAATATAAAATGATGCCAAAGTGTCTAGTTTAAGAGGAGCTATGACTAAAAAACCGTTTGGTTGCAAACTTTTTAGGTCGCACCTTAGCTGTTGATATACTATTGGTTTCATGAATAATCACAAGAAAGCCACTGATCGATTTATTCGTTAATAATGTTACATATCATTATTAATGTAATACAATGTAATTAAATTTATGTGGATTTGCCACATCTCATTAGATCTATTGGAATAATTTAGATTGAATTTCATTGTCAATTTTCAATGATCGCAACTCGAATGTCAATTGTTTACTTGTGCTTAAAGAAAGGCTTTTGCACCACGAAATGGATACGATTTGAATCGATAATGTATTACGATTACATTCAAAATAAGAAGAGTACTTTTTTGATAAGTTAAAGGTTTAAGGGGTAAAATTGATAGATGGAAGCACAAAAAGGTACCTTAATTGTTTATATTGTGTTTTTCAAAATAAATTAAATAAAATAAATAATATTCAATTTTCGCTCACATTTTTCTCATTTTCCCATTGGTTTTCCTTATCTGATCAGATTTCTTTCTTATCAAAAAAGTACTCTTCTTATTTTGAATGCACAGAAGCTTAAGATTTCAACTTTTGAATTTTTATTCCAGCGACGTTTCCATTTAGAACTTGGGTCTTAAATGTGAATTGAATTCATCATACTCAGTGGAGTGAAATTTCGATCAGTCATGATCGCTGCTGTGTCTAGTGTTTTCTAAAATCAAAAAGTTGCAAGCTATCATTCAAGCTTTCATTGGTAAAGCTAGTGCTTAATTTGTTACCGATTAAGTTATAAAATTTTTGATTCAATATCGTCCTTCAACTGTCAATTACCATGTACACTAAGCGTGAACAAGTCTTCCTCTCTACTCTTGTCTATTTTCTCACTCATCACTGTGTGTAATAGACTAACGGTTTATCGGCTGATAAATCAATCTAAAAAGGTTTGTTAGTCCTTCATCTCACTACTTAATTAATGATTCTTATCCAAGTATTAATCCATTTCATTTTCTTCTTTCAATCAGATCAATCCTGAAGAACCTTTTGTCGGTATTTTCTGTGAAATTTCCTTTCAAATTCATCAATTTAATATTTTGTTGAAAGTTTTGATTTCTTTTAAATATGGTGAAAATTGGTGTCATTGGTGGAACTGGATTGGATGCTGATCTCAATATATTGAGAGATGCACAAATGATTAATGTAGGTACTACACCTTATGGCCGACCATCGGATGAGCAAGTTACCAGCGGAAAAATTGACAATGTTGATATTGTTGTTATGAGTCGACATGGAAAGCGACATGATCGTAACCCTTCAGATGTTAACTATAGAGCCAATCTGTGGACACTAAAGGAGCTTGGTTGTACCCATATTTTGGTAACAAATGCTTGCGGATCTTTACAAGAAGAGTTTAAGCCAGGAATGATTGCGATTGTTGATCAATATATTGACAGGTATTGACCCCAACATTTTCCTATGAAAAAATACTTAAAATTTTTCTTCTGCATTCTTCCGATAGAACAAAATCAAGACCTTCAACATTTTACAAAGTCATTCATATACCTCAAGCTCATCCTTTTGATAAAACAGTTCAAATGATGATTGAAGAAGCTTGTAAAACAGTTGGAGCCGAATATCGATCTGGAGCTTGTATTGTTGCTTGTGAAGGTCCCCGCTATTCCACTTTTGCAGAGTCTAAACTTTTCAAATCATGGGGAGGAGATATTATTGGTATGACTACCGTTCCTGAGGCTCCATTAGCTGCTGAATTGGGGCTATTCTATAATTCCATAGGATTAGTTACTGATTATGATTGTTGGCATGAAGATGAAGGTGAATCAGTCACAGTCGAATTGGTTGATAAGCGAATGAAAATGCTTGCTGGAGTATCAAGAAAAGTATTGATTGAAACCATCAAACGAATCGGAAAGCATGATTGGTCTGAAAAAATTGCTGCTAAAACCAAAGAGGCACAAGGAGCCATCATGTTCAAATAAAGGACAGAAATTGTTCCCTTCAGAAGATTGAATAACGGGTTTTCCAGATTCATCTGGCTGTTACTATTTTGTTTAGCATTTATCGTTATCTTTATGCAAATACGTTAAGAATCACAGATACAAAGATTAAAGTAGATTCATATTGACAAAGCTGTTTATCAATGTATTAATGACAAAATCGCAAAATTAACTGATTAACTGATTGAGGACTGATAAATTAGTATTTATTCATCCATTCTCTAGAGATCTTACCAGGTTGTAGTTACGAATTGTATGGTAGATGGAAATATTGGTGTAAAGTATCAAATGGACTTGGCGAATTCAATATTGAAATTATTAATATGAAATTGAAGGTTTTATACTTTTCAGAGATCGCGGTTTTATTTTGTTATGAGATGGGCTTGAGCAGAGCGCTTTTTTTGTTAGTTTGAATATTGTTTACATTTTCAGAAAATCGTGGTTTACTTGTCTTTTAACTTGAAAATTACTTGGAACATTATGAATACTTCAAGCTTATTTTCGATCATTATTATCAGCCTTCTATTACATGATCACTGCAACTGTCAAAATGGTAAGTTATAGCCTAAGCTTGAATCAGTTATTTTTAATCATTCATTTTTATTTCAAGCTCCTAAGGCTGGTCAAATATCATCAATGTCCAAACCTAAAGAAGGTGGTGCAGCAACTTTCGCTTGTACAGCAGAAAGCGGGGATAAACCACTTTATTTCAAATGGTTCAAAGACGGTGAAGTGATCAATAATCACAATACAATCAGAATTGAATATTTAACCAAAGATTCAGCAATCTTGGTTATTGATCCGATTTCTGTAAATCATAATGGCAATTACACTTGTGTCATTAGCAACATCTATGGCAGAGATTCATCATCGATACAAATCAGTATTGAAGGTCTGATATTTTGTTGATTCCAAAAGTGAATCATATCTGACTGGATTTTACATTGTTTTTACAGGTCCACCAAAATGGTTAAATAAACCCGAAATGCTTTACAATGTTCATGTGAATGATGAATTACGGATTCCTTGTTCTGCAGTTAGCTCACCTATTGCAGAAGTCATTTTGAAAATGTTGAAAGGTTTGAATAAATTTGAACAAATTTTATATAAATTTCTGTAAGCCATTTCTAACTTCCATATGTTTTAATTTTAGGCTCATCCTGGGAGGTTATCGATGATGTTAGTATAAAAAAAGCAGAGAACCAAATCGTTGTATCAAAAGTAGAAAAAGTTCATGAAGGAAAATACGGATGTGAAATATCAAATGGAATTGAACCAAAACTTTGGGCAGAATTTGATATTAAAGTTATTGGTAAATAAGAGTTTGAATTACTTGAAAAGTGGCGCTTTGTTAACCTTTCATTTATTTACTAGTTTATGTGACCCATTGCTGTGCAACTTTATGTTTTGAATAATCAAATTTTTTTCAGCGCCAACATAAAATGATTGAATACTTGTTTTTGTTGGTATTGTCATCATCAATACAATGCTATTATGGCCAGGAAAGTATGTATAACTCTTATTACTATAATTCAGTCAAATCTAAACTGATTTTATTCTCTAGGTCCAAAAGTAGCTCCTTTCATGTCAATAGTCAAACCTGTGATTGGTGGTAAAACCTCCTTCACTTGTCAGAGTTTGGCTGGTTCCCCACCTTTACTAATTACATGGTTTAAAGATGGTCAGCAAATGAACGAATCTGCCTCAACTCGGATCAGAACAAATGAAGACTCTTCAATATTAATTATGGAATCAATATCATCCAGTCACTCGGGAAATTATACTTGTAAAATATCCAATAGATATGGACATGATTCTTACTCTTCGGAATTGTTGATAGAAGGTATCCTCGTTCTTGCTTTTTCAAGTACCAAGTTCTTGATATATCATTATTTTATCTTATCTTTAGGTCCACCTTTATGGGTTGAAAAACCAACTAATATCAAATCGGAAATCGGTAGAATGCTTACAATTCGATGCCTCGTCTCTGGATATCCAAAGCCAAGAGTTCAATTGAAAAAATTGAAGGGTAAATATTTTAGTCCCAATAACGAGAATTCTTATTGAACTATGTACAATGGTCTAATTCAGGGCTATCATGGATACAATTGACCGACAAGGATCAAATAATAATGGTAAATCGAGATTCTTCTTCCGGTGAATTTCAAATTCGTAGTGCTACTCGTGATCATCAAGGTAGATATGGATGTGCTGCTTCTAATGGTATTCAACCTGATCTATGGACAGAGTTTGATGTTATTATTGATGGTAAAAGTTTTATTTTTGACATTTCATTTGCTTGAAAGTTGCGCTTTTTCTTGTTTGTTATTTTTACTGGTTGAAATGGTTTTAGGAATAAAATTTGAAAAAATACAGCCACATTAGATTTGTTGGTATAAAAACATCATGAAATCTTTCAGTCTTTTTGTTGGATTTTTTGTTATATTTCGCTCTAGCTATGGACAAGAAAGTAAGTATGGGTCGTATGTGTCTTTTCATGAATTAAAACTATCAATCACTTTAGGTCCAAGAGTGCATGTTGCTCCATTTCCATTATCAGTTAAACCAGTTATTGGAGGGAAGACTTCGTTTACTTGTCAAAGTCTTTCAGGATCTTCGCCACTACAAATTGTTTGGTTCAAAGATGGGATAGAGCTTCAAAATCCGTCTGATATTAGGATTCGCTCTATTGAGGATTCATCGATGTTGATTATTGACTCAATTAAATCCAGTCATTCTGGAAATTACACTTGCAAAATTTCCAATAGATATGGATCTGATTCACATTCAAGTGAACTTTTAGTTGAAGGTATGAACTTATTCTTTTTACAATTATGACATCAACAATCATTATTCTTAAATTTTAGGTCCACCAAGCTGGGTACAAAAACCAAGTGATTTGAAGCTTAAAATTGGACAAAACATCAATGTCAAATGCTCTGTCGCTGGTCATCCTCTACCTAAGGTTATTTGGAAAAGATTAACAGGTACAGTACAGTAGATCAGTCATAGTCTACTGAAATATCATGCACCCATTTTTTTCTGTTGTCATTATCATTTGAGCGAACAAAATTCGCTGAGTTACCATAAAATTGAAACTGTAAAAATGCATATATTCTCGGGCTCTTTCAATCAGCACTTTTTTATTTTATCATCCATAGGAACATCTTGGTACTCGATTGACTCTGCTACTATTCAAGCTGCAAATTTTGACATTTTAAATGATGATTTAACCATTCGTAATGCCACTCGACACCATAACGGAAGATATGGGTGTTTTGCTTCCAACGGAATTGAACCTGATCTTTGGTCAGAGTTTGATATTTTAATTGATGGTAATGTTTGAAAATTTCTAATCGTATTCTCACTTGGAATTGGCGCTTTTTTGTTTGACAAGATCTGATTTGTGTTTTAAATTTGAGAAACTGGTTCAAATTTTGCTCTAGTGTTTATAGTCTGTACTGTATACAAAAAAAACATGAATTTTGCTATTTTTGTTTCGATTACACTCTTAATTGGAGCTAATGAAGTCTACGGACAAGAAGGTAAGAGTAAGTGTAGGAAAATTATCTATCTTGATATAGCTAGATTTATCCCATTCTAGGTCCGAAAGTTGCTCCATTTTCTTCACATGTTAAACCAATAATTGGAGGATCCACTTCATTCATTTGCCAAAAACTTTCGGGATCGCCACCATTAAAGATAGTATGGTTTAAAGATGGAAAGGAACTTGAGGACTCAGAAGACATCAGAATTGTTTCTATTCAAGATCCTTCTGTATTGCTCATTAACTCGATAAAATCAAGTCATTCTGGAAACTATACTTGTAAAATCTCAAATAGATATGGTTCTGACACTTACTCTACTGAACTTTTAGTTGAAGGTAAATACAACCAATTTTACATTAAATCAATTGATTTTCATCATAATTTTTCTATAATTGTTAAAGGTCCTCCAAATTGGATTGAGAAACCAAACAATGTTAAATCAAGAGTCCATCAAATGATCAATGTCAGATGTCTTGTTTCTGGATATCCAAAACCCACGATAACTTGGAAAAAAATGCAAGGTATATTTATTCCATGTAAAGTTTTTACGATTATTCAATAAATATTTTTTCTTTTTCAAAGGGTCATCATGGTCGCAATTTGGTGAATTTAATAGTAATTTGCAAATTACAAATGCAACCAAGGCATATGAAGGAAGATATGGATGTTCAGCTACCAACGCAATCGGAACTGATCTTTGGTCAGAGTTTGATATTTCAATTGAGGGTAATGTTTTAAGAGTTTATGGTTATAGTTTAACTTGGAAATGGCGCTTTTTTGTTTGACATGATCTTATTTGTATAGAATATAAACAAATGTTGTGTATTGTAATCTTTTTTGTATGTTGAAACCCTGTTTCTGTTTTTGGCAGAATGTTTGTTTACTTCCTCATATTAATCGCTGCTTCAGCAGGAGTCCATGTAAATGGCCAAGGTAGTGAGTATAATTCCATAAAAATTTAGACAGCTGATTGAAATGATTTCTTCTCAGGTCCAAAAGTAGCCCCATTTTCAGCACTCATTAAACCGGTACTTGGTGGTAAGACTTCATTTACTTGTCAAAGTCTTTCAGGAACTTCGCCATTTCAGATAACATGGTTGAAAGACGGTGATGAGCTTAAAAATTCACCTGATGTTAGGATTGGGGCTATTCAAGATTCATCTATGCTCATCATCGATTCCATCAAATCAAGTCATTCTGGAAACTACACTTGCAAAATTTCAAATAGATATGGATCTGATTCATATTCCAGTGAACTTTTAGTTGAAGGTAAAAAGCTACTTATGCTCAAATTCAAATGATTCTGACAAATAATTACATTTAATTCACAGGTTCACCAAGTTGGATTGAAAAACCCACTGATATTAAACTAAAGATAGGGCAGACAATCAATGTTAAATGTCTTGTTTCTAGTTATCCTCGGTCAAAGGTTATTTGGAAAAGATTAGAAGGTAAATGTTAATCATGAAAAATTGATGTGATTTTTGCTTACAATGGTTTTCGTTATTACAGGATCTTCTTGGAATTTGATTGAGTCTAATAATAAGAAAACTGCTGATTATGACATTTCAAACAATAATTTAATTATTCATAATGCTACTCGGTACCATGAAGGAAGATATGGATGTTCAGCTACCAACGGAATCAACCCTGATCTTTGGTCAGAGTTTGATATTGCAATTGAGGGTAATGTTTAAAGAGTTTACACATATATTTACACTTGGAATTGGCGCTTTTTTGTTTGGCATGATCTGATTTGTGACTTTTAAAACCTAACAAACTTGTTTACATGTTTATGTTTGAATCTTGTTGTATTGCAAAAAAAAACATGTATATTCGTCTAATTATTTTAACCATACTTGCAATTGGAGTTGCGGCACTACATGGGCTAGAAGGTAAGATTAGGAAGCCCGAATATTTTGATTTTTACTAGAATGTTTCAATTTTAGGTCCAAAAGTAGCTCCCTTCTCATCTCATGTTAAACCAGTAATTGGAGGTAAAACTTCATTCATTTGCCAGAGTCTCTCAGGATCATCGCCACTACAGATAATATGGTTCAAAGACGGAAAAGAACTTGTGGACACTCAGGATATCAAAGTTGGATCAATTCAAGATTCTTCAGTTCTAATCTTTGACTCTATAAAATCAAGTCACACTGGAAATTATACTTGTAAAATCTCTAATAAATATGGATCAGACTCGTATACTACCGAACTTTTAATTGAAGGTAGATATGATTTATTTGGTATTATCATAGTTTTCGTATTTTATTCTAACGCATATTTTTATTGAAAGGTCCTCCAAATTGGATTAAGAAACCAAATAATGTAAAATCAAGTATCCATCGAAGGATAAGTATCGATTGTCTTGTTTCGGGCTATCCACAACCTACAATGACTTGGAAAAGATTACAAGGTATTAATGCATAGATTTAGTTATTTTATTTAATTAATTAATGGTGAACAATATTCAAGCCAATCTTTTGCTTCAAATTTTTAAAGGATCCTCATGGACGAAACTTGAGACAAATGGTCAACACAATCATAATTTACAAATTATGAATGCAACCAAATCTCATGAAGGAAGATATGGATGTTCTGCTTCGAATGGAATTGAACCTAATCTTTGGTCAGAGTTTGATATTTCAATTGAGGGTAATGTTTGGCTATTATTTAGTTATGTTTTCTGAGAGATTGGCGCTTTTTTGTTCAGTTATTTTTTCAGAGCTTATTAGCTTCACTCTGAGAATATTTTTCCCAATACAGCTACCAAATTCAAACTTGGATCATTTACATAATGGACTCAACCGAAAGTTATCTCCTGTTATGTCAATTAGCATATCGCATATACTTATCAAAGTTCTGAACTTTTAGTTCACGTTTAACTTTAAATCAATATGAAAGATAAAGTTTGAAAATCATGAATGAATTAGTGAAAATTGCTTGAATAAATAAGTTTGGAATTTCTTGTAAGTACATTTCTTATAATCTTGAATATTTCACTTTTATTACCATTAAAATTACACCTAACAAAATTGTATTATTTTTTCAAATAGATTATTGGACAAAAAATAGCTTTTCAGACCTGGCGGGTTTAATACAATTGGTCAAAACTGTTCTTTGATAAGCGCAGATCAGTAAAAGAGATTTTCATCACAAAAAGAAAACCAAAATAAGTGAAAACGTTCTGTTAAACTTTGGTCAAATAGCAAAATGATTATTCAGCTGCTAACGTTTCTTGTCCTGATCAGTGCATTAAACTGCCAAAAAAGTAAATATCAAACATGAAGTGAAAAAAATATTGAAAAAGAGTCCATTTTTCTAATTCTTATATTATTTATTTTACAGGTCCTAAGGCTCAATTATCTTTCCTTCTCAAACCAAAAATTGGTGGCAAAACCACTGTTGCTTGTATGGTGGACGATGGGGAACCGCCATTTGAATTTAATTGGTTTAAAGATGAGCAAAAGATTCAACACGATTCGACAATTCATATTGATAAGTTGAGAGACTCTTCAATCTTAACTATCGAGCAAATGTCGTCAAGTCACAATGGGAAATATACATGTAATGTTAAAAATATGTATGGAAGTGATACACCAGCTATCGAGATTGCTGTTGAAGGTTAATTTTACAATTTCTTTATTTATTGTTCTTTTGTTAACGTTTTCATTTTATAATTATTCAGGACCACCTTCATGGAAATTCAAGCAACAGGATATCAAATCTAAACCAAATGAAAATGTCATCTTGAAATGTTCTGCTACTGGTCATCCAAAACCAAAAGTTATATGGAAAAAGTTTGAAAGTATGTTAATGAATAGAAATGACCTGCAAGTCACTAATATTTTTCATTTGTTTTTGTAGACTTGAAGTGGGTAACTCTGGGTGATGATAAATTGATTGGAAAAATTTCTGATGATGAAATTAGGGTCAGCAATTTACATAAGAAACACGAAGGAAAATATGGATGTGAAGTATCGAATGGATTTGGGCCTAATCTTTGGAATGAATTCAATATTGACATCATTGGTATGATATGGAAGGTTTATATTTTTCAGAGATCGCGGTTTTATTTTATTATGAGATAGGCTTGAGCAGAGCGCTTTTTGTTTGTTTTCATTTTCAGAAAATCGTGGTTTGTTGTCTTTTAACTTGAAAATTCCTTTACAGCATTATGAATACTTCAAGCTTATTTTCGATCATTATTATCAGCCTTCTATTACATGATCATTGCAACTGTCAAAATGGTAAGTTATAACCTAAGCTTTAATCAGTTATTTTCTAATGATTTTATTTTTATTTTAAGCTCCCAAGGCTGGTCAAATATCATCAATATCCAAGCCAAAGGAAGGCGGTGTAGCTACTTTTGCCTGTGCTACTGAAAGTGGCGATAAACCAATTCATTTTAAGTGGTTCAAAGACGCGCAACCAATTGAGAATTCAGAAACAATCAGGATTGAATCTTTAACCCGAGACTCCTCAGTCTTAATAATAGATCCAATCACAGTCAAGCATAATGGAAACTATACTTGTGTTCTTAGCAATAATTTTGGAAAGGATTCATCTTCGATACAAATTAGTATAGAAAGTATGCAAAGTATTCTATCACTCTAACTTTGTAATTCAAGATTGTCTGAATTATTTTATTCAGGTCCTCCCAGATGGAAAAATAAGCCTTCTCAGTCATATAAAGTTCGGAGTAATTCTGCTTTTAATGTATCTTGCTCTGGCGAAGGTTTTCCCCAAACTCGAAGTGAATGGAAAAAATTTACTGGTAAGTCAATTCTTTATTATATCGTTAACTGATAAGTTTGTAATAAATCATATTCTCTATTACAGGAACATCATGGGAGCCATTGAATCATGATCTAATTAAAACAACGCAAAGCGAAATGAACATTTTGAAATCAACAAAATTATTATCTGGTCGTTATGGATGTGAGGTTTCTAATGGTATTGAGCCCAAGCTTTGGTCTGAATTCGAAATCTTTATTACTGGTAACAAAGTTTAATATTAATTATAATGTAATTTTTAAACTTGAAAAGAGGCGCTTCTTTGAGAATCTTGTATTATTGGGTTTTACAAAAACATTGTTTACCATCATTCCAAGTTTTGTCTAGGAGTTAAAATTATTTTTCAGACATCAAAGCCAAGATAGGTCAAACCATAGAACTGGATTGTATTGCTTCAGGTTTTCCTAAACCAGAAATAGTTTGGAAAAAATTCTCAGGTTTGTCTTGCAAACTGTCCAAAATTACTGGATTAATGTATTATATTTAATTTTACCTCTTTTATTTTGTCAGATGACATGTGGACTAATATCAATTATCTTCAAAATGCCCAAATTTCGAATGATCACTTGATTATCAATTCAATTGACCGTCTTCATGCTGGAAGATACGGATGTTCTGCTTCAAACAAAATCGAGCCTAATCTTTGGACTGAGTTTGTCATTAGCGTTGAAGGTAAACTTTTTTTATGAAATTAATTGTCTTGATGATCGGCGCTTTCTTATACATGAATCCATGGAATCAGTTGACAAAGCTTGTATATTTTTTTCTAAATTTGTCAAACTTGTTCACTTTTGTATTTTTATTGAAATATTTTTCCTATACTTTACTTGAAAATTGGCGCTTTTGGCCAAAATAACATTGTTATTGAATGGTTCTTTATTTCATAGCTGACATAATATTTATTTGAACTGGAAAAATCGAAATCTTATATTAATCTAAAACATGTCTAAATTGGTGACATTTATCGCCCTGTTTATGTTTCTATCAATCATTCATCAAACCAGATTATACTAACAATAAGAGATTAATAATTTAATACAGTGATGTGCCAGATAGTGGGAATAATTTTTTTCAACGGTCCCTATTGAAAAAGAGTTAAATTTGATTTGGATTTGACCAAATTTTATTTAGATTTTTCCAGTTTTTTATTAACTTAATTTGATTTTCTTTCGTGAAATATCTATCAGAAAACTCTAGAAAACAGATAGCAATTATAATTATAGACGAAATCAATCTATTAAGCAAGATTGAGAATCATAGATTGGAGTGCCCGATGAATAGTGCAAATAAGCTATTTCCACCTATTCCCATTATCTGGCACATCACTGTAGTTCAATAGTTTACCAAACATTTTACAATCAATTAAATTTTCTTAAGAATAAAGAACAGAATTTTCCTTTGGTTTCATATAATTTCATGTGAAATATGATAATATCCTAAATTATTTACAATACCTTTGGGTTTTACAATTGTTTTTGGGTTCTTTAGATTCAATCAACCCTTCAAGCTAAAAGCTATTAGTTATCGGAAAGTCTTAACTCGACTAATTGAAATTTCATTCTCGATCATTTGATAGGCCATTTATTTAGTGTGTTTTATTTTAGCCACACTGAGAACTGATTAGATTACAATTACAAAATATATTTATTTGACTCCAAGTGCTATCGATAACATGTCTTTATTAATCTGATTTTCAGTGTAATATTCATTTTGAATTAGGCCTCATCTATTTGAATTGCTTGAATGTTCGCTTCTCATTTACTTCAAATCTTTTTTATAATATTAGCCAAAAAAGTTAATATCTTCAATTTGGACTTAATTCACTCCCTGTCCGTATTTTAAAGGTACTGAAACGGAAGCTTCAACACCAGCAATTAATAAATAAAGGAGATATTTCTGTCTTTGGATATGTTAAAAGCAATTTTACTTCCTTAACAACAATTGCTTTATCTTGAAAAATAATTTGCTAATTTTTGGAAGGCTTTGGAAGATGAATTACCGACGAAAAAGCATTTAAAGGTGACTTGATAGTCTTTTTGGAAGACTTGACATGAAAGAGAATGGAATAAGAGATTGAAATATTTTCTAAAAAAAGATTATGCTAATAATACTTTTGAAATGAGCAATAATTCATTGGGACATTGGAAGTCAAAAAATACTCTCAACTCCAACTACATTGAGGATTGAATATTTATGCCTTGGATGTAAATTTCGTCCTCTTCAGACTGATCTTTTTTATGATAGCTATTATCATGAATAACAGAGGGTAAACCTCAAAATTAAAATTTATAAATAAAAGCATTGATTCAGTAAATTTTTAAAATTCCAGGTCAATAATGAAATCATGTCAGTAAACACCTCACAACCGACGGCGATTACCAGCAAGAAAATATGGCCGAATGGTCTGATATCTATTCCCCTTTTTGCCATATTGTGTTGGTTAATATTGTGTGTGTTCATTTTTACAATTATTTATTGTTGGCTGCATGTTAGCATTCGTTGATATTTATAAAAAGCATGTTGGAAATGAGGATAATTCATTCTGTTGGCATTCATCAACTTTGCTTTGTTTTCAATGTAACCATGGAGTAACCAGTTACTTTTAAACTTGAATAGCATTCGGTTGAGTTAAGCGGATTTGGTTACTTTGTTTAACTTTCTAACCAAATAACCGGTTTTCATTTAACTAGTGCATCGCCTTTTCGCAGCATCATCTGGTAACTCTTCTTAGTTCACTCTTTGTTCTGACGGTTGTGTGTTTTTATGTTATAATTTAACCAATGAGGAGTTGCCACAAAACCTTTTTATTTTATTAATTGAATCAACTTTATTTATTTATTTCATCCATCTATCTATTTATTGTTTGCTTTTCTGAACAATTTTTAAACCGTAAATTTATTTATATTCTTGTCAATATCATTCCAGTGAAACCATGGAGCCCTTCAAGATTGAGGGTAACCAGTCAAAGAGCTTAGAACAAGACGAAAAAATTAAAAATGATAAATTAAGAAAGTTGATTTATAAATGTACCGTCACACTATCAATTTCATCACCACTCTCTTGTAAATTACGTGAAAGATTAGCATCTATTCTTCCCAAAGTTTCCTCTAACCCGTTTCCATGGCATGAAAAATATTGTAAAACTAATATTCGCTTACACTATGGTGATTATACACCTTATAGTAGCCATTTACATCCTCAATATAAACCACCTCGTCCATTGAGGTCTAACACTTCTATTGTTGAGGAAAAGACTTCTGTACCATCATCGTGGTCATCATCATCAAAAGCATCTGACGTTCACCACTACTCATTTAATCGTAAACAACGTTACCGCAGATGGACACAAATAGAAGATAAATACAGTTCTGTTTTCGATGAAACGGATTCTTATAATAATATAATAACACTTGAATCTGATAATAGTAACGACAGTGAAGTCAAGTCAAACCCGAGACTATCTTCTTGGTCAACAACACCTGTTATTTTCCCAATAATTGATTTTGATGAAATCGTTGAAGCTCAATTAGAGAAAGAAGCCAGGTCTAGATTACAATATCAAGTAGAATATTCTGATCACAATTCCCACGTGAATCCACCTTATATAATTTTTTTCGTTCCTGATGATAGCAATAAAAGCGTACCTAATGAAACTGTTGCAGATTTACCTCCTTCCCTTGGTTATGAAATAATTCTAGAGCCTATGAACATATCTTCAACATCATTGCCTCCTCAAACATCATCACCATCATCATCTTCATCATCACCACCTATATCCACATCTCCATCTCCTGATAGAACTATAATTTCATGTGATCAAGTAAAGCCTGAATTAGTAAAGAATGACAATAATTTAATTCAAACGGACGTTAAACTTATCCACAAGTCAATAAGTGAAATTCCCAAAAAGGATTTTGCTCCATTGAGAAGATCCATGAGAAGGGAAAAAATTTCAAGTAAATCCAATTGTGTCATCAACGAAACCAACCAGTCCTCAATCAGAGTTGAGCCTAAGAGAACTCAAGCAACTAATAAAAACTCTTCATCGGTCTGTGATATTACCCTATCCAATATATCTTATGGTAATACTAAACCAAGTTTTTCCAAGGAAATGTTAAAAACAGAGGACGTTGTGATAAAACATCTATCTGCATCAGCTGAAACCGTGATAAAAGCTAAACCGTCTATAAAACCCAATAAAAGAATTCAAGAAAAGCTGATACCATTGGAAACAACAACACTAAATAGTTTAAGGAAGGTAAATCACACTTCTTCACAGTCCATTCGTCATTCCAAACGAGCTTTAGACGATGAAGTGATGGTCATACGAACAAAAGATGATATACCTCGGAAAAAAGTTGATACTGATGATGTAGTTATGATAAAAGTCATGCAATCATCTAGACGACCAAGATTAAGAAAATAAATATTGATTGAAACCAAAACAATATATCTAATCATAAAGAAAAGAATGAGAATATACACCTCATTCATTGAGAATAAGTTTATCAACTTGATCACCTTTCTCTCTCTCTCTCTCCTAATACCAGCTAAATGTTTGAAAATAGCACATGAGAGAGTTCAACAGAACTTATGTTACAAAAGTTTGACTAAATCATAATGTTAGGGGCCATTACATCAGAACAATTTGTATCGTATTTTTTTTAATTTCAAACAGTTGAACCTGATAATAAAAACATAAATGATTCTGTTACATTTTTAAAACATGTTCAGTTTTTCATGTAACCACTTCAGGTAACTGAAGGTTACATTTCTGTCGCGTGTGGATTGGAAGGAAATACAATTACAGTAGCGGTCAAAGAAACTGTCAGTTAGATTTTTCAATGCTGCAAAAAAATCATAGTCCAGAAAGTAAGTAATTCCTCTTGTTTCGTCCTCTTCTAATTCAATTTTATATTTGTAGGTCCTAAAGTAGCCCCATTCTCATCTTTGGTCAAACCTCTGAATGGTGGTAAAACTTCATTCACCTGTCAAAGTCTTCTAGGATCCCCGCCATTCCGTGTAGTCTGGCTTAAAGATACGAAAGAGCTCTCCAGTTCTCAGTCAAGCAAAATTCGTACAATCGAAGATTCATCGATGCTCATCCTTGATCGAATTACTACTAGTCACTCTGGAAATTATAAAGTTGTAAAGTTTCCAACAACTTCGGATCAGACTCTTACTCCACCGAACTGGTTATTGAAGGTAATTATTGATTGACTCTTTACCGTGCGAAATTTATATTCTTGACCTTCTTCTAAAGGTCCACCATTCTGGATTACTAAACCTCGAGACATCAAAGCCAAGATAGGGCAAACCGTAGAACTGGATTGTATTGCTTCAGGTTTTCCTAAGCCAGAAATAGTTTGGAAGAAATTCACAGGTTCGTCTTCCTACCTGTCTACAAATTACTGGATTAATAAATTAATTTTTACCTCTTTCATTTTCTCAGATGACATGTGGACTAATATCAATTATCTTCAAAATGCCCAAATTTCGAATGGTCACTTGATTATCAATTCAATTGACCGTCTTCATGCTGGAAGTTATGGATGTTCTGCTTCAAACAAAATCGAACCTAATCTTTGGACTGAATTTGTCTTTAGCGTTGAAGGTAAACTTTTTTATGAAGTTAATTGTCTTGATGATTGGCACTTTCTTACGTGTTAATTCTTAAAATTAGTTGACAACTCTTGCTTTCTGTCTGAATCTGTTATACTTGTTCACTTTGTATTTTTCTTATACTTTGCTTAAAAATTGGCGCTTTTGGCCAAAATAACATTGTTATTGAATGATATCTTATTTCATAGCTGACATAATATTTATTTGAACTGGAAAAATCGAAATCTTATATTAATCTACAAAATGTCTAAAGTGGTGACATTCTTCGCCCTGTTTATGTTTCTATCAATCAGTCATCAAACCAGATTATACTAACAATAAGAGATTAATAATTTAATGATACAATATTTTACCAAACATTTTACAATAAATTCAATTTTTCTTAAGAATAAAGAACAGAATTTTCCTTTGGCTTCTCATAATTTCATCTGAAATATGATAATATCCTAAATTATTTACAATATCTTTGGGTTTTACAAACTGATAGATTCAATCAACCCTTCAAGCTATTATTATTAATAGTTATCGGAAAGTCTTAACTCGACTAATTAAAACTTATTCTCGATCATTTGATAGGCCATTTATATAGTGTGTTTTATTTTAATTTTACATTTAATATTAATTATAATGTAATTTTTAAACTTGAAAAGTGGCGCTTCTTTGAGAATATTGTATTGTTGGGTTTTACAAAAACATTGTTTACCATCATTCCAAGTTTTGTCTAGGAGTTGAAGTTATTTTTCAGCAGCCATGGATTTCATAACGTTCTTCATTCTTATTGTCGATTTGTTTACCACCATTTATGCTCAAACAAGTTAGTATTAAGTTTATTATTATTACTGATTCAATTGAATTAAATCACTTGTCGAATTATTCACAGGTCCTAGAGTAGCTCCAATCTCACCACTGGTAAAACCTGTGATCGGAGGGAAAACATCACTTGCTTGTCAAAATATCGAAGGTACACCACCTATTCAGCTCAATTGGTTTAAAGATGGGAAAGAGCTTTCCAATTCTCAATCAATCAAAATTCATACTATTGAAGGCTCATCAATGCTCATCCTTGATCCAATTTCTACCAGTCACTCTGGAAATTATACTTGTAAAGTTTCCAACAACTTCGGATCCGACTCTTACTCTACAGAACTATTGATTGAAGGTACAGTATTCCCTTGAGTTTTTTGTAATTAGTTATCCATTATCCATCCATATACAACATGTTAAATTTATATTCTTGACAAATGATTATCTTCTTTCAAAGGTCCACCATTCTGGATTACTAAACCTCGAGACATCAAAGCCAAGATAGGTCAAACCATAGAGTTGGATTGCATTGCTTCAGGTTTTCCTAAACCAGAAATAGTTTGGAAAAAATTCACAGGTTTGTCTTGCAAACTGTCCGAAAATTACTAGATTAATGTATTTACTTTTACCTCTGTTATTTTGTCAGATGACATGTGGACTAATATAAATTATCTTCAAAATGTCCAAATCTCGAATGATCACTTGATTATCAATTCAATTGACCGTCTTCATGCTGGAAGTTACGGATGTTCTGCTTCAAACAAAATCGAACCTAATCTTTGGACTGAATTTGTTATTAGCGTTGAAGGTAAACTTTTTTTATGAAATTAATTGTCTTGATGATTGGCGCTTTCTTATACATGAATCCAGGGAATCAGTTGACAAAGCTTGTATATTTTTTTCTAAATTTGTCAAACTTGTTCACTTTTGTATTTTTATTGAAATATTTTTCCTATACTTTACTTGAAAATTGGCGCTTTTGGCCAAAATAACATTGTTATTGAATGGTTTCTTATTCCATAGTTGACATAAGACTTATTTGAACTGGAAAAGATCGAAATTCAAAATAATTACAACATGTCCAAAGTTTTGGCCTTTTTTATCCTGTTTATGTACCTATCCATCAGTCATGGTCAAGAAAGTAAGTGATTCCTCTTGTTTCGTCCTCTTCTAATTTAATTTTATATTTGTAGGTCCTAAAGTAGCCCCATTCTCATCTTTGGTCAAACCTGTGATTGGTGGTAAAACTTCATTCACCTGTCAGAGTCTTCTGGGAGCCCCGCCATTCCGTGTAGTCTGGCTTAAAGATGGGCAAGAGCTTTCCAATTCTCAATCAATCAAAATTCATACAATTGATGGTTCATCAATGCTCATTCTTGATCCGATTACTTCAGGTCATTCTGGAAATTATACATGCAAAATATCTAACAGTCATGGTTTCGACTCATATTCATCTGAACTTACTGTTGAAGGTGATGGTTACAAATGTTTTTTGTTGATTGCCTACTCATCGCTTTTGCTCTTTAGGTCCCCCTCATTGGATTGAAAAGCCTATAAATGTCAATTTGCATCATGGTGAAGATTTTATTGTACAATGTATTGTCTCAGGCTATCCGAAACCCAGAATAATTTGGAAAAGATTTGATGGTTAGTTTTGCTAAAATAGTCATTCACTATATTTACCTCAATGTGTACATCAAAACTTGCATTCACAGGTTCATCATGGATTGAAATTGGGAATGACAAGCTATTCCGAAATGAAGGGCAAAAATTGATCATCAAACAGGCTGATCGTAATGTCAACGGTCGCTATGGCTGTTCTGCTTCCAACAATATTCAACCTGATTTGTGGGCTGAATTTAGCGTTATAATACAGGGTAAATCTTTTATTTTGTCACTTTTCTTGCTTGAAAGTTGCGCTTTTTCATTCTAAATTTTTACTGGCTCAAATGAGTTTGTTGCAAATATTTAAAAACAATATCACGATATTTGTGTAAATTTTTTAATGGGTTGTTTTATAATCATGTTACCAACATACTTCCTTATTGGAATTTTGCTGACTGTCTCTGGTAGTTATGGCCAAGAAAGTAAGGAATTTAATCATAGCAAATTAGCTATTCTTGGTGTACTTACAGTTTTCAATTTCAGGTCCAAAAGTAGCTCCATTTTCACCTCTCATTAAACCAGTGATTGGAGGAAAAACATCATTCTTGTGTCAAAGTCTTTCAGGATCGCCTCCAATGAGTGTAGTTTGGTTGAAAGATGGAAAAATGCTTCAAGATTCTTCCTACATTCGAATTAGATCAAACGAAGAACCGTCAACTTTGACAATAGACCCTATCCAGTCAAGTCACTCTGGGAATTATACTTGCAAGATGTCGAATAGACATGGATCAGACTCTTTCTCAAGTGAACTTTTAGTTACAGGTATATAATTTTTCCCGTTCGTCATAGATTAAGGTGATTGATTTTTCAAATTTGACATTCAGTGATAAATTATGTACTTGAACTTATTTACAGGTCCACCAAATTGGATTGAGAAACCAAATAATGTCAAATCAAAAATCCATTCAATGATTAACACTCATTGTCTTGTTTCTGGTTATCCAAAACCCACAATAACTTGGAAAAAGTTAAAAGGTATTTATTTATGCACAAATTTCAATGTAAACAATGGATGATAAAATGTTTGTTTCAAATTTTTGAAGGATCCTCATATACGCAAATTGAGACAAATGGTCATCATAATAATGATTTACAAATTATGAATGCAACCAAATCTCATGAAGGAAGATATGGATGTTCTGCTTCGAATGGAATTGAACCTGATCTTTGGTCAGAGTTTGAAATTTCAATTGAGGGTAATGTTTAAAGAGTTTCTGATGTAATATTTTCACTTGGAAATTGGCGCTTTTTTGTTTTTCAAAATATTTTTTGTGGTTAAAAAACTGGTTGCATCTGTCGAGTTTTAAAAACTTGTTTTATTGTAGCTTGAAAACATGGGTCTTTATCCATTTTAACAACATTTGCTTTGGAGTTATAAATATTCATGGACAAGAGTTGAATACATATATGTATGTTATAGAGGAAGTGTAACAGTAACTTGTAAAAAGTTAAAAGGTATTTATTCATGCACAAATTTTAATATTAACAGTGATTGATTTTTTTCAAATTTTTAAAGGATCCACATGGACGCAAATGGCCAATTTATTTTCAATTCAGCAGCCATTTGCAAAAATTTTCTGTGAGAAAAACAAAGTAGATAAATGAAAGATTCAAGTTTTGATGAGCACAAAAATTTAAAATTCTCATGGATCTTGTCCAAAAATCACTCCAGTAAGAGAATAATGAGTCTTCCTATGAGCGGCCGTAATGTTTGATCAAACGATCATACTGATAAACAGTCAAAATGGGACCAAAAATTTCTTCATTGAATAATTTATCATTTAAATAATTGTCCTCGATAATAGTTGGTTCAACGAAATATTCAGTAGAACAGAAGTCTCTCCGCCAGAACCCTGACCAAGCATGGTTGCAGCTAGTAAATCATTACGATACTTTGTTGCAAATTTGTATTTTCTCTTTCAGATGAACTCTTTCCCATGTTTATCTTTTTGGAGGTGAAGTTTCGATGGCTTTATTCAACAGCTCCTAAAATGAACGGTTGAACAAGAGAAGATGTAATATAAATATCGTATAATAATGTGACTGGGGCTTAAAAAACAGTCACGAAAATATGTTTGAAACAAATTACTCACCGTTGCTTTAAATGGTCAGCACAATCAAAATTTACAAATCATGAATGTAACCAAATCTCATGAAGGAAGATAAGAATGTTCTGCTTCAAATGGAATTGAACCAGATTTCTGGTCAGAGTTTGAAATTTCAATCGATGGTAATGTTTAAAGTTTTGAAAGATGTATTTTCACTTGGAAATTGGCGCTTTTTTGTCTGTCAAAATCTTATTTGTGTTCAACAACTGAAAACTTGTTTACATTGTGTTTGAACATTTAAATATTTGACTTTAAAGAAAAACATGAATTTCTATTTACTCATTTTATTTGCATTTTCCATTATTTTCGAGAATGTTATTGGACAAGAAGGTAAGAGTAAGGTGTATAATTGATAGGGTTGTAATTATAATGTCTAATCCAGGTCCAAGGGTTGCTCCATTTGCATCACTCGTTAAACCTGTGATTGGAGGTAGGATTTCATTTCTTTGTCACAGTCTTGCTGGGTCGCCCCCTTTTCGCATACTCTGGTTCAAGGATGGAAAAGAACTTGAAGATTCTTCTTTTATTCGTATTCGATCAAACGAAGAACCGTCAACATTAACAATTGACTCAATTCAATCCAGCCATTCTGGGAATTATACTTGCAGGATATCAAATAGATTCGGATCAGATTCTTACACAAGTGAACTTTTGGTTACAGGTAGGTAATCGCAGTTCTTATACCAATTGCAGATTAATATCTGAATGATAAAACTAAATTCAGGTCCACCAAATTGGATTGAAAAACCAAATAATGTCAAATCAAGAAACCATCAAAGGATCAATATCAAATGTCTTGTTTCTGGATATCCAAAACCCACAATAACTTGGAAAAAATTACAAGGTAAAGGATTAAAGCAGTTTTCATCAATTTTAAACTTACATAATTTTATCATTGAAGGATCCTCATGGATACAACTTGAGTCAAATGGTCATCATAATCATGATTTAAAAATTATGAATGCAACAAAATCTCATGAAGGAAGATATGGATGTTCTGCTTCAAATGGAATCGAACCTAATCTTTGGTCAGAGTTTGATATTTCAATTGAGGGTAATGTTTAAGGAGTTTACAGATGTATTTTCACTTGGAAATTGGCGCTTTTTTGTTTGTTTGAATCTTATTTGTGTTTAAAAGTCTAAAACAGACTTGCATTTCTTCGAGTATTGTACCTTGTCTTGTTATTGTGAAAACATGGAGTTTTGTCTTCTAATTTTATTCACATTTTCCTCTGTAATTGGAAAGATACATGGACAGGAAGGTAAGAACTAGAAATATGATGAATTATTTTTAACTAAAATATTCAAATATAGGTCCTAAAGTTGCCCCATTTTCATCTCTTATCAAACCAATGATTGGTGGAAAGACTTCATTTACTTGTCAAAGTGTCTCTGGAACATCTCCTTTTCAAATATCTTGGTACAAAGATGGAAATGAATTACAGGATTCATCAGGAACTCGTATTAGGAATCTAGAAGATTCTTCAGTGTTGCTCATTGATTCAATCAAATCAAGTCATTCTGGAAATTATACTTGCAGAATTTCAAATAGACATGGCTATGACTCATACACAGCTGAACTCATCGTTGAAGGTATGCTGTTTGCTATTCAATTGCCATTAATTTTGGTAGTGATGTTTCATCTTAATATATTTATTAGGTCCACCAAATTGGATTGAGAAACCAAATAATATAAAAACCAAAATCCATCGTGTGGTCAAAAACAGATGTCATGTTTCTGGATACCCAAAACCAACAATAACTTGGAAAAAATTACAAGGTATTTCATTAGTGTGCATGTAAATTTAACATATCTTTTAATTGTTATTCATTTATTTTCCTAATTGTAGGATCTTCATGGACTAGACTTGACTCGCAATTCAATAATGATTTACAAATTATGAATGCAACCAAATCTCATGAAGGAAGATATGGATGTTCCGCTTCAAATGGAATCGAACCTGATCTTTGGTCAGAGTTTGATATTTCCATCGAGGGTAATGTTTTATATAATAATGATCTCTTCGGAAATTGGCGCTTTTTTGTTTCAAATATTTTACTTGTTAAATGATAAAACGATATCAACATTAGCTCTTGCCATTTCAGTTCTTTAAGCTTAATACTCTCGATTCAATTCTGTTTCATGAATCATATCAATCACTTATCCACCAGAGATATCAAAGGTAAGTTTGGTTATGGTTTTATTTTATTAAGAAAATTTGATTGCAAGTAACAAATTTTTCCTTATTAGCCATTGGGAAAGTTTTTCTCGCACCAGCTATCGCAACGTTGTACTCGACATGGAAAAGATTTAACTGTTTTGTTGCAGACGGTTCTATATGAAATTCAGTCTAATTTCAAACCCGTTCTGTTTAAATAGCATTGTAATTTAGATTATTTCGGATCATGATATTGAATCTTGATGATATTATGAAAAACGGTATTCATACAATTTTATGGCTCAAAATCATTTTAGAACTCTCCACTAATGATTCTTTTTCTTTTTCAGTTTTTGCTTTTGGACCATGTAACGTCGACAAACATTCTAGCTCTTCAACTGTGTAATCAATGCTGAACTCTTCATCGATTTTAACTATTCTCTTAATCTTTCATCACATTTCTTTCCTCAGGTGTCAAAATGAATTTAAAGCTATTAACTATAACAGTATATTCATCTTTCATCAAACCAAAAATAATTTGATAATTTAATACTAACTTAATTTTTTTCAGATTTAATTAAATAATTAATTAATTAATAATCTTTAATTTTGTATAAAAGAAAGGTTTTTAATAATTGCCACGAAAGCGCCTCTCTCAAGTTAACTACTCATTATAAACAGATTTCTTTGGTTAGATGTTTTACTAACTCTTTATTTTTGTATCATATAGTCCCAGCCGAATTTAAGGAAAAGAATATCGCTGTTTCTACCAAGAAGGGCAACCCTCTTGAACTGGAATGCTCAGCTGACGGTGACCAGCCAGTTACTGTCAAATGGTTTAAAGACTCTACCCCAATCGACAAGGTTGATCCACTTAGATATCAAATAACGGACGCACCAAATAACGATGGGACTAGAAGTATGCTTACAGTTAACTCAGCTGATGTTAAAGACGATGGTCTTTATCTTTGTTTGGCGGAAAATTCATTTGGCAAAGATGAGCGAAAAATTCGTGTCACCATTATTGAACCTCCACCAGCTCCTCTAAACTTTGCCGTGCAACAAGTTTGGTCTCGAACTGTGAGTGTTTCTTGGGCTAAGCCACCTGAGAGTAAAACTTCAATTCTCAGTTACATCATAAGGTATTGGAAAGTTTCATCTCCTGGTGTCAATGACCGTCTTCACGAAATAAACGTTTCTTCCTCGCTAAACCTACATTTGATCAAAGATCTAGAACCTGGAAGTCAATATGAATCTACTGTTATTGCTGTCAACGAAGTCGGCTCTGGAGCACCTTCACAGAAAATCAGCTTTGTTACCGGAGAAGAGGAGCCATCTGGAGCACCAGTTGATCTTCATGCAATTGCACGGGGTCCAACAACGGCTCGCTTGGCTTGGAGATCACCTCCTAGAAATACTTGGAATGGCAAACTGCTTGGTTTTTATGTCGGTTATCGATTGATTGACGACTACAAGACTCCTCATTCATTGAGAACTGTTTCCATCCCTGAATCAAACTCCTCGCACCATGAATACTTTTTGAGGTCTTTATTAAAAGGTGCCAAATACTCTATCATATTGAAAGCTTTCAATTCTGCTGGAAGTGGACCTGAAAGTTCAGAAATAACTGTTGAAACATTATCTGGTGATGTTCCTATTGCTCCACGGTTTCACGTATCATCAGTTACCACTGACTCAATAACTTTGGGATATATTTTATCTTCTGGGTCAAGTAAAATTCAAAATCTTGATTTGCATTTAAAAGAAGGTGATGACTCTGATTGGCGTGAGATGGACATTTTCCTTGAAAACAAAGATGTCGGTGAATATACATTAACAGCTCTAAATCCTGATACTGTTTACACAATTTATTTGACTGCTTCAAATGAAAATGGAGTTAGTGATCCTAGTCATTTGGTAAAAACACGAACTATTCGCTCGCACCGAGATTTTGCCATCGGGTCAATTTTCGAGGGCTCAAATGGTCAATATGGCGATAGCAGAGCCTTTGTCAGTGTTTTGTCAATCATTATTGCCGTATCCATCATCATAATTGTCATTGTCATTGCATTTGTCTATGTAAGGAAAGCTCAATTAGAGGCATCAACCAAACCCAACTTTGAGTTTGCTTTAGCCACTGGAACTCTCCCGCTCAATAAATCAATACCCAATTTTGGCACTGAACGACGGTTCATTGATTCAGATAACACTAAACCCTTGATGAATGGTACCATGATGTCGGATCATCATGTTAATCAATATCCAGTCTCATATTCAAATTTGCCAACAGAAAATGTAAGTTACCAGACACATTAATCTTGAATCACCTCCAGATAAGATCAGGAAAGTTTACGTCATGAGTTTTTCAGCTTATGTTCAAATGATTTGAATTGTGAAAACTAGAATTAACAGTGTCCATTAAACTTCCTGATGATATCTTATTTTTATTCATTTAAATTAAATTGTAATACAATTTTGCTTTTTTATGCAGAGACACTCAAAGATGGTTGATCCTTCTCATATTTATGACTTTCCACGATAATCATTATCAGCTCCTGCTTGAATTTTACCGATATTTATAACTTATTATTATTTATTTGCTTTTTAGTTATTGCCACATTGATTTACAATCAAGCACGTTTAAAATCGCATGCTTTAGATGCAACTTTTCAACAGATTTTCTCATCACTAATCAAATCATAAACAATTGATATTATTGTTAACAGATAGAATTTTCATCGCAACTTTGCGACATTTTCAACATAAATAGACTCAAAAAGGTCACAATTAAAATAGATTATCGAATTGACAGCAAACTCTTGATGTTTGAATTTTACTAATTAGTAAATTTGTAATCATTTCTTGAACGTATTATCCTAAAACATTAAATTGATCTCTTTATATGTAGAATCTTATTATTGTTTTGATTCAACCATTATTCATAAACCTTTAATAACATCCAACTTTCAAATTTTCATTCATAATATTGCATGTTTTCCCGCTTAAATTCTGGTTGCTTGAAAACTTTCATATTCTGTATTTCTAGCATGGCATTGCATTATCATTCAACCTCAATTTCACAATGTCCTTAATCAATTATGCTCGAAACTCTACCTCTGTTGAACCAAATGCTAATTAACTGATAATTGATTGAAACAAGAATTGGTGTCAAACTAAAGCAATTAATTTCAACGATGACTGTAGATCAGCTAACCGATAATGAAAGTACAGCAGTTACAAAATTTTGATTTTCTCAGTGAATTGATTCCTTCAAGTTTGATGCAAAAATTAAGCCAAATTTCATTCTGATGGCACCTTTACCTTGTAAACCTTTAGTTAAAGACACCTAAGAGATTAGTTCGTGGTAAATGCTTAAGAGTAAATGAGTCTCACCAAGTTGCTTGTTTCTTAGGATTACCATACACCTTGCCACCAATTGGTTCACTACTATTTTACCCGAACATATCCACTCTTCCGTTATTATCACCATGATCATCATAACGCTGATACTTACAAACCAACTTGTTTACTATCATCGATGCCAAAGTTAATTCTACTGATGTCAACTTTAATGACAATTGCGTCTCAATTGTACTTTTTGTTTAGAGTTAGTTGTTTACATCACGTGATTTTGAGAAGCCTCAAGCTTTATTTCAACTTGGAGTTGGCGCTTTTTTGTCTGACAAAATCTTATTCGTGTTTAAACTGACTAACTTGTTTACTTTTTGACCGGCTGTTTAATTCTTGCTCTTCTGTCGTGACAAAACATGGGGTTTTGTTTACTAATTTTGCTAGTGTTTTCCATCGGATTTAAAGAGATTGTGGGGCAAGAAGGTAAGAATTTAAATTAAATTAATAACATTTTTTAATCATTTTACTCTTCTTCAGGTCCAAAAGTAGCTCCATTTACATACCATGTTAAACCAGTGATTGGAGGATCAACTTCATTTCTTTGCCAGAAGCTTTCTGGATCTTCACTATTACAAATCACATGGTACAAAGATGGAAAAGAAATTCAAGATTCATCAGACATTAAAATTGGTACCATCCAGGAATCATCAATTTTGCGGATTGATTCAATCAAATCAAGTCATTCTGGAAATTACACATGCAAAATTGCGAATAGATATGGACATGACTCATACACAGCTGAACTTCTAGTTGAAGGTAAATAGTCTACCATTTATGTGATTGCCCTCTAATTGAGTAATTTTTTGTAGGTCCACCAAATTGGATTGAGAAACCAAATAATGTTAAATCAAAAGTCCATTCAATGATTAACACCCATTGTCTTGTTTCTGGTTATCCAAAACCCACAATAACTTGGAAAAAGTTACAAGGTATTTATTTATTCACAAATTTTAATGTAAATAATGAATGATAAAATTTTTGTCTCAAACTTTTAAAGGATCCTCATGGATACAACTTGAGTCAAATGGTCAACACAATCATAATTTACAAATTATGAATGCAACCAAATCTCATGAAGGAAGATATGGATGTTCTGCTTCGAATGGAATTGAACCTGATCTTTGGTCAGAGTTTGATATTTCAATAGAGGGTAATGTTTAAAGAGTTTATGGGTGTAGTTTAACTTGGAAATTGGCGCTTTTTTGCTTGTTTAAATCTTATTTGTGTTTGAAAAACTGGTTACATCTGTCGAGTTTTCAAGTCTTGTTTTGTTGTAGCGTGAAAACATGGGTCTTTTTTTATTCATTTTAACAACATTTTGTTTTGGAGTTATAAAAATTCATGGACAAGAAGGTAAGAGTTAGGTAATTTATGGAGGAATTGTAACAAAAATATTCCGATACAGGTCCAAAAGTAGCTCCATTTTCATCCACTGTTAAGCCAGTCATTGGAAGCAAGACTTCTTTCTTCTGTCAGAGTCTTTCTGGAACACCACCATTGCAAATATTTTGGATTAAAGATGGAAATGAACTTCGTGACTCTACCGAGACACGTATTAGAAATCTTGAAGATTCTTCAGTTCTACACATCGATTCGATTAAATCAAGTCATTCTGGCAACTATACTTGCAGGATTTCAAACAGATATGGTCATGACTCATACACAGCTGAACTCATCGTTGAAGGTAATATCGTTTGCTATTCAATATCTATTTATTTTGTGGTGTCATGTCATTCAACTATATTTTTTAGGACCACCAAATTGGATTGAGAAACCAAACAATGTTAAATCAAGAGTCCATCAAATGATCAATGTCAGATGTCTTGTTTCGGGATATCCAAAGCCAACAATAACTTGGAAAAAATTACAAGGTACTGATGGATGATTTTTCAACACATTGAACTATCCTAAAGTTAATCTTATTTACATCCATTAAAGGGTCATCATGGACGCAATTTGAGACAAATAGTCAACATAAACATGATTTACAAATTATGAATGCCACCAAATCTCATGAAGGAAGATACGGATGTTCTGCTTCAAATGGAATTGAACCTGATCTTTGGTCAGAGTTTGATATTTCAATAGAGGGTAATGTTTAAAGAGTTCATGGTTGTAGTTTAACTTGGAAATTGGCGCTTTTTTGGCAAAATCTTTGTTGTTTACAAATTTTGTGCCCATTGTTCATTGTGGATGTAATTTGACTTGTTGACAGAATGATTGTCTGTGTCCTCGTTTTTTTCGCTCTTTGCATCAGATCTCAAGTTGATGGACATGAAAGTGAGTATTGGGTAAAATGATTTGGTAAAAGTGTTTGTCTAAAACCATTCAATTCTAGGTCCAAAAGTGTCTTTGTTTTCATCCAATGTTAAACCTGTGGTTGGAGGTAAACTCACATTCATTTGTCAGAGTCTTGCTGGGTCTTCACCATTTCAGATAACTTGGTCTAAAGATGGTGAAGAGCTTAAAAATCCATCTGATATTAGGATCGGTGCTATTCAAGATTCATCTATGCTGATCATTGATTCCATTAAATCAAGTCATTCTGGGAATTACACTTGCAAAATTTCAAATAGACATGGATCTGATTCACATTCCAGTGAACTTTTAGTTGAAGGTGAAAAGCTACTTATGCTCAAATTCAAATGATTCTGACAAATAATTACATTTAATTCACAGGTTCACCAAGTTGGATTGAAAACCCCACTGACATTAAACTAAAAATAGGGCAGACAGTCAATGTTAAATGTCTTGTTTCTAGTTATCCTCGGTCAAAGGTTGTTTGGAAAAGATTAGAAGGTAAATTTTAATTGTGAAAAATTAATGTGACCTTTGCTTACAGTGGTTTTCGTTATTTCAGGATCATCTTGGAATTTGATTGAGTCTAATAATATGAAAACTGTTGATTATGACATTTCAAATAATAATTTAATGATTCATAATGCTACTCGGTACCATGAAGGAAGATATGGATGCTCTGCTTCAAATGGAATCGAACCTAATCTTTGGTCAGAGTTTGATATTTCAATTGAAGGTAATGTTTCAATAATCAACTATTGTAGCTGAGCTTTCAGATCGGCGCTTTTTTTGTGAAAAAAATGTGGGATAAACAAATATTTTCACTCCCCATATTTTAATGGAATGATATCAGTCCATTTTCATAGCTTGTACTGACGATTACTTTTCATTTCATTTCGATTTTAATTCAATAGAATGATGTTTTGTATAATTAATACGGTAAAGTCTTATATTGGTTTCGTTTTAGGTGCTCACAAATACAAGAAATTGGCATTAATACATTGTTTTTTTGTTGGTGCTATGCCAACAAAATATGCATGTCCTATTCATTTTCGAAAATTGCGGGTTATCTCAACATGGCTGTCATACAATAACTCATTGTACTCTTAATTCAAAAATAGTGTAAAAATGTCACTAATCATATCAATAATGGCTTTCAAAGCTATTATATTAATTTTAGTATTTTCATCAACAATGCTAATAGCTGTCACAGCAACAGGCTAGTATTAATTATCTAACAAGTAAGTCATCTCGGCTTTTAGTTTTAATCTTTTCTTCCTTATACAGGTCGGCCAAACATTGAACCTTTCAGTTTTCCCAATGAAGTTAAACTTAATCAACCTATTCTGGTAGTTACTTGTGTTGTATCAAATGGAGAAAAACCGATAAAATTTGAATGGTTTAAGGACGGAAATCCAATGGAATCAAAAGACGAGGTTAATATCAAACATCATGAAATGTATTCTTTTCTTGAGTTGAAAAATTTGAAAAGTAAACACATCGGAAACTACACTTGTTTGGCTCGAAATCGATTTGGAACTGATTCATTTACTAGCAAACTTCTGATGAAAGGTTTAAATTTCTGTTTGAAAACTATTCTTCATTCACCTAATTGTCAAGACGAATAATTAATTTTTGATTTTGTTTCAAACACAGTTCCACCATTCTGGACCAAAGAGCCAGTTGATGTTAAAGTATCTGCTGGCTCAAAACTAGTTGTCGATTGTTTGGCAAATGGTTATCCAATCCCAAAAATATATTGGCGATTGATTAAAAATAATCAAGTTGTTAATCAAATTAATTCAAGTTCACTAATCTTTGAATCTATTTCTCTTTCCAACAGAGGAAATTATGAATGTGTAGCAGAAAATTCTGTTGGCTTTCCAATATCAAAGACTATTTATATTGAAGTTGTTGGTAAAGATGGTTAAATAATGATATCAATAATTATTTTAATAATGTGTTAACAAAAAAGCGCCTCTCTCAAGCAATTAATTTTTCTTTCAGTGAATTTTTATTGAATATCTCATATCTAATTCATATCTTGTTGTCCTTTTGTATCTTCTCATGACTATAGTTTTCCCGGCTAAATTCAAGGAAAAGAAAACTTATGTCTCCACCAAACGTGACACCTCACTTGAATTGGAATGCTCAGCTGAAGGAGACAAACCATTAACCATCAAATGGTCTAAAGATTCTGTACTTCTCAATAAATCTGGTTATCAACGATACACTATCACAGATTCACCAACAACAGACGGTTTAAAAAGTGTTTTAACCGTAAGATCAGCTGATTTGGTTGATGATGGCTCATATCTATGTGTAGCTGAAAATGAATTTGGCAAAGATGAAAGAAACATCCGAGTTACGATTATCGAAGCTCCACCAGCTCCACAAAATTTACAAATCCGGCAAACATGGTCTAGAAGTGTCAGCTTGAACTGGGCTCCGCCAGCTTCCAATGCATTACCCATTCTGGGTTACATTGTTCGCTACTGGAAAATCACTGGGCAAGGTCAAAATGAGCGCCTTCGTGAGATTAATGTTTCCTTACCTATGAATTCGGTTTTGATTAATGCTTTAGAGCCTAGTTGCTTATATGAAGCTGAAATTATTGCCGTTAATGAGGTAGGACCTGGACAACCTTCCCGAACAATTAAATTTGAAACTGGAGAAGAAGAACCAACTGGAGCTCCAATTGATTTACAAGCTATCGCCCGAGGTCCAACAACCATTAGAGTTTCATGGAAACCCCCAACTAAAGATAAGTGGAACGGTAAAATATTAGGCTATTATGTCGGTTATCGTCGTGCTGGTGATTTCAAGTCTCCTCATTCGTTTAAAACTGTCGATGCTGCCTCTCATAATAATACTTATGAGTATTTGATAACTTCATTAGTTAAAGGAACAGCTTACTCTATCACAATAAAAGCATATAATTCAGCAGGAAATGGACCTGAGCATCAGGAGATAATTGTAGAGACTTTACTTGGAAATGTTCCACCTGCTCCAAGATTTAAAGTACTTTCAGCAACATCAGATTCTCTCAATTTGAGGTACAACATTGTCCCTGATTCTGCCCCTGTCCAACTGTTACAACTTCATTTCAAAGAACTTAGTGATTTGGATTGGAATGAATTAGCTTTAACTTATGAAGGCAAGGACACCAATGAGTACACTTTGACCAATCTGAACCCCTCAACTGTCTATAAACTTTACGTGACTGCATCAAATGAACATGGAATTAGTGACCCAAGTCAAATGATCACTGCCAAAACTGCTCGATCTTTGAATGATTTATCATCCATCTCTGGTCCATTTGATTCAACTTCTCTCCTGGGCCCTGGATCATCATCTTTTGGTGAAATGGTTTACTTCCCAGCAATTACTATCAGCATTGCTTCCATTATCATTGTTATTGTCATCGCATTTGTGTTTGTCAAAAAAGCACGCTTGGATGCTTCAGCCAAATCCAATTTCGAGTTTTGTCAAGCTTCCCAGACAGGAATTTTGGCTCATAATCGAGCCACTGGAACTACTTTTGGAACAGTTCAGAGATTCGTTGATCATGATAAAACAATGTCATTGGTTACTACTGGACCTTGCGACGATGCATATAATGGTCAACTGCCAACGCCATACTCTAAGATTCCTATCGGAACAGAAAAACGAAACTCAACATTGACTGATAATCGTCACTTCTATGATTATCCACAATAATCTCATTTCATTCGTAATTTAGAAACGTAGACGTTTTATTCACTTTTCCTTCACTTTATATCTTCAACATTTAATGCACTTAATAATCACATAAACAACTATGATACGCATTTCCTTCGTATATTTCTTAGTCATAGCAGCTAATGTATAAATTTACTGCATTTTTCTCATTTTTAATTTATTTATTTCCGAAAATGCTATTGTCATATTAATTTAATCTCTTTCAACTGTTCAACTAATTTCAGTCTTTTTTGTGACTTATGATTTTGATTTTCATGTTCAATGTTATTATCAATTACATTCATTGATTTACATGCAAATCTTTACAAAATTTTGATTTATACCATTATCATTACATGATGTTCTCACTTTTACATTCTTACATTGTATTACTTAAATTTAAATTGTTTACAATCTTTTACAAGTTCTAGTGAAACTTTAGCCATTTAAGACTATAATCCAATGTATTACCGTTCAATAAAGCATGCATTGATTGATTGCCTCCACTTGTTTAACATTTGATTAGAAAAACTTAAAGCTCATTTGCAGGTTGACCAGAATTATCGTGAACATAAATTACCAAAAGCCAAACATTGGATGTTTAATTACATTAACTTTAATTAACCTTATTTCAGCAGTAAAACGGCTTTTAGTTGAATTTTTAAGATCACATTGACATTATCTATTAATAAACTTCAATCTTTCATGGGCTGATTTTTATAATTGCTAAAAAAGTTTCATAAGGATTGGTTATTTATAACAGCTTCAAATTTTAATAGGCGGACTTTGGGCTTTTAAGCCTGGACGGTCGAGTATAATATCTGCTGCTTTTTCTGCGATCATAACTATCGGACCATTTAAATTTCCTGAAACAATTTCTGGAATGACGGATGCATCAACAACTCGAAGTTTTTCAACTCCTTTTACTTTCAGTTTATTATCTAATGGAGACATTTTATCATCTTGAGATCCCATCCTCACAGTCCCGACTGGATGATTATTTGTTAGTGTTATTGTTTGTATATAACATTTAAAATATTCATCTGTTATAAACTCATATTGGCCACATAATCCAGGTGAACCAGGAAAACGTCGTGAATTAATTCGGATAAGTGAAGGCATTGAAGCGATTCGGACAGCTTGTTTACAACCCTCAATCAATCGTTCAATGTCTCGGTCATTCTCGTACAAATTGAAATCAACCAAAGGAGGATCAAGAGGATTACTTGAAGCCAATTTGACAGAACCTTTGCTCTTTGGGTGTAATAATATGGGATAAATTGTAAAACCATCTAAACGAGTGTTAGGAGCTAAATATCGATCCACCAGCTCTTGCCGAAAATTGTACAATGAACCTAAAAAAATACGAAATCAGAAAATAGATTATCACAAATATGCTTTAAAATGATTTACACATTTCAAGCTCATTTTGATTTTGTTTCAGTCTTTTCAAATAATGAGAAATGGACGAGAATGAATATTCTTAGCTTTAATTTTCAACGCAATAGTTGCTATCATAGGTTGATTAAAGGTGTATAATTGTTTTACCTAAAAAGGCAGTTGGATATGATCCTCCAAAGGCTGTCCCTTCAATCTGAAACTGTATATCAGGGCGATCATCTGCATATTTGGTTCGATAAAAACCGACAATATTTGTTCCCGGACTGGCGAGAGTACCTTTACGCTCAATAACATACTTATAAATATTGTTGAACAATTCAAATACTCGACTATACACAAAACTAGATCCTTTTTCTGTTAAAAAAGGTATCATGGTCATTGGATGGTCTTGCAAATTTTGTCCGACTCCTGGTGCATTAACGACAACTTTAATTCCGTGCATTTCAAGATGTTCTTTGGGCCCGATTCCCGACAGCATTAAAATCTGTGGTGTGTTAATAGCTCCAGCTGAAAGGATGATCTCTTTTGTTACTGAGACTGAATAATAGTTGCCAGAAGATTTGAATTCAACGCCAGTAGCAACTTTCTTATCGTCAAATAATATCCTTAGCACATGAGACTCTAAACAAACGTCAAGATTGGGCCTGGAAGACGCATCAGATAGATACGCTTTTCCAGCAGAAACTCGATTTCCTTCATCAATAGTAAACTGTGAGAAAGCAAACGTTGTCTGATTTTTACCATTATAATCACCAATAAGCCAACCAGCCTCTCTAATTGCTCCAAGAATGGACGTCTCTACATTCAAAGCGGATGAATACTGGGAAACCTTTAAACGACCAGTTAATCCATGATATCCTGGTTCAAAATCCCAGAGTGATGAAGCTCCTTCCGATTTGACAAAATATGGGAAAACATCAGCAAACGACCAACCATTTACTCCAACAGATTTCCATCTATCATAATCTTTAGGTGAACCTCTTGCATAAATCATGAACCCTTGACTTGAACTACCGCCAATCATTTTACCTCGAGAAATGGGAATTTGATGACCTTTCAAGCCTAAACCTGAACGAAGCTGAGGAGTTGATTGGTATGACCAATCAGTATCAGTTTTGCGAAGCAATTGATTCATGAATGGAATTGAATTGATATCAGGTTCTTTAACACCGGCCTCGAGAAGCAAAACTCGACTTTTACCATCTTCCGACAATCTGTTAGCCAATACTGAACCCGCTGTTCCTCCACCAACAATAATATAATCATAATCTGGCTTAACTACTGCTGGAAGAACAGTTGTCAGTGAATAGCTTGTTAAACCAATGGGTCCAATAACTGAACTGATTAATGACACTAAATCTGGAAATGAGGGCAACAATTCAGTGAAACGATTGAAGTTCCAGCGTTGAAGCCAATTTGTTATCCGTGATTGTCTAATTGCTGTTGAGTTGATTGGTAAAGAAGTAGTATGGACAAAATTATGTTGAACAATCACAGTTAGACAAATAAGCAAAAATCCAGCACCAATTTTAACCATTTTGTAATCAAGTTTATTTAAACAACAATAAATTGTGAATTTTGTTTTCTTTACAAAACTTATTTTAATGTTAACAATTGATTAAACTAAATTGGTCATTAATATTGTACTTTCATTGTACAGCAATCAAATGATTGTTTCTAGTGCATTTGACTCCCAAGAAAAATACATTTTCATTAACAGCCAAGACTTTGGGTAAGATTGAAGGTCTAGGATAAGAAACAAAAAATTTTCATTAACCTAGTTTTGGGTTATTTTGTCACAATTTTGACCAAATCATTTATAATCAATTTGTCTATCCATTAATTTAATCACTGTATTTGTTATGATCTTTACTTTTGTTTGTCCTAGACCGCAATTTTTCATATTGATTTGATCGATCGGTCACTTATATGACCAAATTTAATACCTTGAATGGTTTACATGTTTTGGTCATCAGTTTCTTGTCTTCGTTGTTTTCGAAATGAATTCTTGATGTTAGCATATGATGAGACTAAGCATCTTTTCGCTATAATAAGATCGCTCGTGGGATAATCATCAAGATAACTACCACAACTGATTAAACAAACAACAAAAAGGTAGATATGAAAGAGTCTTTTGACAAAATAATGGAATGGATATTTCCTTATTGATTCCTTAAATCTAAACTTTGCGATAATTCCAGAGTTATAAATCCGATAATCAATTTGAAATAAAGTGCTATACCAAACAATACAACCAAATAAAAGCCAAAAGCTAATTTTCAAAGCGCTTCGAAGAGGGTAAGTTATGACTAGAAAAGTTAATACACAGACGAAAATTAATGCAACAATATGATGAGATGAAAATTCAAGGTAATTGTCTAAATTGTACCAAATTAGAGTGAAGGAAAATGCTGCAAGACATTTACGAGATCTTGGCCATTTCTCTTGGTCATCTATTAAAATGGATTTGATCCGATTTAATCTTGCCGCAATCACGGGTCTGGATGAAGGACTCGCCATCTTCGATCTTTAGTTATACTTATATGTTTAAATAGAAACAATTTAATCCTAAATCAAGTGAAGAGACAATGATTTTATTGTTAACATAAATAGAGCTTTATTTTTACGGATATTATATGATTGTTTACATTAATGTTGACTATTAAAATATTTCAATCTATTATTTTGGGTTTTGTTTTAATCCAAGTTCACTTTCTGGTTGATTTTATTGCATTTCCAGATTGGGTTTTTTGGTTCAATAATTTTACCAGATTTTTTAGATTCGTATTTTCCTGTTGAGTTTTGGTTTGAATTTGGTTAACTTCACATGATCCATCTTTGACTGGAAATATAACAATTTAGACCATTTGTTGAGCCTCTAATAAAGTATGGATGATTGATCACTAATTTAAACAAGAACTGAATTGATTAAATTTTTCTTAAATTTCTAGCAAAATAAAAATCAAAGATGTATGGACATTAAATCATTGAAATCGACTTACTTTGAATACACAAATTAATAAACCTTTATCAAATTTGAATTAGTGAGTTGCATACTTCCAGATATTGATAAATTGTTGGATTATTGGAAATAGATTTAATCCAAAATTAATCCCGGATAAAGTTAATGGCCAATAAGTAAATGATGAGAATGAGAACGAAGAAGGATGAAAAGCACAAGACTGCAGGTTTCATGGTGAAAAACAATTGCGAATCAAGTTGACAATTTAAAACACAAGAAGCAAAATTGATGTTCAGAATGATCTCAAGTTGTATGAACTAAGTTAATTTGACAAATTAAGTTGATTTGTAAATTTGCCGCATTTATATAACCTTACTGATCTCAAGAAGATGAAAAGTGTTATAAAATTTGTGGATTAAAGGACAGAAAGATTTGTGCCAAAATAAAATGAGATCATGTTTTGGTGCTTGATTGTTGGTTCATGAAGTGAAACCAAATTGAGATGACAATTGTTCATCTAGAGACGATCCTTCAGGTTTATCATTTCCAACATCATCATTTGCCTTTCATCTTTTCAATATAATAATAAAGCTATTATGTTATTTACGGATCTCATTTTTTCCTCAAAACAATTGCTAACATTGAATTTGACATGTCTCAGGTTGAATGTTTTCATTACTTTTAACTTGGATTCAACCTCTATTTGATTTAAAACCATTTATGGGGCAGTAAATGATGCAAATTATTTTCTTACCCAGTTTCAAATTTCTTGAAAGTCCTCTGAATCTGAACGCTTTCCTTGTTATTTGGGTTACCCATTTGATCTAGTTCAATCTTTTGACTTTTTATTGTTGATTTTAAAATCATTAGACAATGATATAAATTTGTTTTGATATGTTGTGGTAATGAAAAGTAAAAAAACGGAGTCAGGAAAGGCATCAATAATCAAATTATTTATTATGAATTTTGAAGCTTTCAAGCTTAAATTGGTTTTTTTACATAAAAACAAACGATGAAAATTATTAAAAATACACAAATATACATTTGTAAATATATGGCAAGCAAATTAAATGTTGATAGATGAATTAATAAATTAAGGATGAAAGAGTATTACATTAAATAATACAATGAAACTTGATTATCAAGCAAAGGTATTAGACATTAAAGTCTTGAGACTTGGTTGAAACGGTTAATTGTGCTTTTAAATTGTAAGTTATTACAATCAATTTTTTGAAGGCATTCTTCAATCGTAAAATATTTTTACAATAATTGCCTGTAAACAACTGATTCAACTAATGGCAGTCTAGTCGTTTACATTTTGTTAAAATAATCGACCTAAGTGCGTGTTTTTCAACCGGGATTGTTGAGATTATCAAAAATTACAAAGAAAAGTGTTCAATTTATCAGTTACAGATCCATTGATTTGATTGAAGTAGATATAAAGCTTAGAGGAAACTAAATTTGGTCTCATTGTATTGCAATTAGTCGTTTTTAAATGCATATGCCTGTGTTTTAGTCAGGATATTATTTGAATGAGTTGATAAGTAGGATAAAAAGGCGATTGAAGGATTATCAAGTTAGAAATATAAATTCTTGAGGTGAATCCTTAATTTTAACAAGATGCTATTCTTAATTTTGAGATAGTTTGGTGCAATTAATGATTATCACTGGGATTGTAGGTCATCAAAAAGATATACAAAATATGCACTGAGTAATTTACACAGTAGATCAAATAATGAGGATTTGTACTTCCAACTTAAAATCGTGCATTTTTCACTAGCCATGAGATAATGATGATGAAGACGATGAGTGTGATTTAGATTTTTGAATGTCTGTTGGTGGTGTATTAACTCCTCGAGGTGAATTGGATGACATAGCAGCTTGAGTGAAATGAGGATTATTTTGACTTGGTATGTATCCATATGGATTGTTTGTTAAATCCTCTTGAGAATTAACGGAATCAGATTCCGTTCGAGATTGACGTGAATATATTTGAGGACCAATCTCACTTTCTTCAGCCTCCATCTGACTTGGTGTGTTTCTATCATGTGGCACGCCAACACTATTAATTTCTTTATGATCTGAATCTAAATTGGCCATCATACCATGGACGGGTAAGCTGTCGTACCTTTGGTGAACTTGAGGAGCTCCTTGAATACAAGGTTCACCGTTTTCTTCATTATAACCCGGTGATAAGCCTTCATCTTGTGATATGTTCATGTCAGGTGAATTGTCGTATAATGGAACGGGTTCAGGTAGTCCCATGGCTAGTATATTTGAACGACTATATGGTCGTTGTGGTAAGTATGGGACTCCTTCCAGTGTTGGAGGCTCCATTGTTAAAGTTGGAGGTTGCCTAATATTCATACCGAATGAACCCCATCTTTTTTGATCAACAAATTGTGGATGGGATAAGTGATGTTGTTCAGAGGCTGAAACAACCAGTCCATTTGTATGATCATCTGGTTCACCTGCCATTGATTGTTGCCTCATGATATTTATATGATTTTGCTCTGGTGCATCAATAGCTTCAGCTTCTTCTTCATCGGATGAGTGACTAGATGCCAAATCAAAAGAAGGCTGATAACTCATTTCACTTTCTGATTCCGAACCCATTCGTCCAGCACGACGGCCACGAATACCTTTACGATGATGGCGACTCTTGGGATGTGATCTAACGGAAGGCGATATACCACTAGGAACATCCGATCTATAAGGACTTGAAGATGTTTTAGTTGCCGTTGATCGACTTGTTGTTGATGAAGTAGATATACCAAAGCCTCGACTGTGTAAAACGTCAAGATGAGCACCTTGAAGAGGATTAATAACACCGATCGGAGTTTTGCCAGCTAATGATGTTCTTGTTCCACTAATACTTTCTTCCAAATTATTTGATTTGATCCCTTTTAATCGGTACCAAGTGATTTTTATATTTTGTCTGACTCTTCGATTGACAAGACAATAGCCAATGAAAATGTAAAAAGATGATATGATGCAAAGTATCACGAATCCTAAATTGAACTCTTCCAAAGTATCATTCGAGGCTAAAAGTGCAAGTATCCAGGTAGATCCAAGGACTGGTAAAAGTATAATACTGAGCCAAAGTAACGTTCTAAGGTTACCATAATCAGAGACAGTCTCTTTGATTTGAATGCTTGCTCGAAGAGCTAAAGCAAAGATAATGACAGAGACAAATGAAAATGCCGCTATTGGTCCAATCATACTCCAGATGACACCTTCGTAAATTGAAAGCCAACAGAATAAATAATGTCCATATTGATCTGCTTTGACTCCAACAGCCAATCCAACTATAATAGCTGGTAAAGCATAACCAACGAAATAATAAAATCTCATAGAACCATGATTAATGTCTCGAATTTCGGTCAACATACGATAAAGATGAATGGATTCAACAAAAATCCAAGAAAATTCACAAAGAAAAGTATAATGTAAACTTATTGCAACCATTGTACAAGGAAATCCTCGTTGAGTAAGAGAATTCCTTAATTTCATTGCTACCATGAAAATTGTTTGAGCGGCAATCATTGAGATTACAATGTTTCGATGAATACTATTGCTGTTAGTTTGAACCCCTCGAATGACCGAGAGAAGGAAAAGAGTTATCAACAGAATCACCAGTGACAAGGAGATTCCAGCAAGAGTGGAAACACTTAGAACATAAGATTCTTCGACATAAATCTTTGATGAAGTTGTGTCCATTAAAACACCAATAGGAGCTATCCGATCACAGGTACAATTGATATAAGTAAAAGATCGGCGAAGTTTGGTTGGTGGGAAAATACCGGTAATTTCACAGCCACGAGTTGACCATTTACCAAATTTAGACTCATATTGAGAGTTTGATCGACTTTTACTGGTTGATCCTGAAACCCAGTAACCACATTGTGGGTTGTTGTAACCTTCAGAAGATAATGTCTTTAGACGAACCGTAATTCGAGGTTTAAGATTTTTATCAAGAAACATCTTGGAATCAGCAGGCCTAATGACAAAACTTGTCAAAGGAGTGTTGAGTTTAACTGGGACACCGAATCGATGTTTTACTGAGCTATCGTAAGAATCCTGCAAATGCTGACCCAAGGTGTGATAAATTGCATATGAATAAATGGCTCTTGGATAGCTTTCTCGAGATCCTGCACTGGAATAGCCGTTAATTGGTGTAGATTTTTCAAATGAAGTCAAATTATCTGGTTCTTTCAAACGCAATGTTTTAAGAGACGGAATTAGACGAGTTATTTCATCAGAATTTTGCTTTCTCATTGGATAATTGTTGTATTTAGGTAAAGAAATGACAGGACCAATAGATGAAGGAACATTATGGTCAAGGTATGGTGAGGTTGACAGCTTTTGAACATTGTTTGAGTAGTTAGAAGAAAAGTGATTAATGGGCGATTTAATTGATGTGACTTCCCAAAGCTCATCATAACCAATGGTATCCAAGCCAAAAACCATGTTTGGAAAAGCAATTTCAAATGGTTCAGTGTAAGTATCTTCCATATTTTCAATGAGTATTTTACTGTATTCCGAGAAAAGGGTGAGTAACACTTCTGGTCCATTGCCATCATTTGTTTCAGTGTTGTAAGTCATTTTAGACCAATACTTTTGATAATCAATATCAAATATTTTACTTGAAGCATAAATTAAATTGGAAAGATAATATCTATCTTGTTTGTGAGTTAAATTGAGACCTTTCTGGTTAAGTTCATATTGCAACAGATGATTAAGTATGCCATAAGAGATGAGAACATCACTTCCATACAACTCTTTGGTTGAGTTAATTGCAACTTTTAAATCATGTGAAAATTTGATGGCAAGATAAGTTGTCAAAGGAAACTTTTCTTTCTCTAATAAAACTAGTTGATCAGCTAGTTCAATGAATGAATTGGATGTACATTCAAATAGATCAGGAACAGCCCACCCAGTTGTTTCATCGCAGTAACGTTTAGCTTTCCCAAAAGAACCTGTTGGACAATTTTGAATGACCTCAGTTTTGAACAAACCCCGTTCCCACCAGATACCCTCGGCATAGGATCTTGGGCAGCCATCATATATAACTTCACATCCTTTTGTGGTTACTTCATAAAGAGAGCTTGCACAAGTATCACATCGACGACCAATGACACCAAGACGACATTGACATTGACCAGTAATTGGATCACACTGATTACTTAACGACCCACGCGAGTAACAATCGCAAGCAAAACATGAATCACTTCCTGATGGTTGGTAGTGAGCTTCTTGACACATGCATTCACCGGTTGTTTGGTTACAGTGACCATCGTAACCTTTGTTTGAATCACAATTACATGGACCACAAATTGGATAACCCCACCAATTAGATGGACATCGGTTTTCAATAGGTACATCACAATTGGGTCCAGTATGAAATTCATCACACTCACAACGATAACCTTGTTCATTGTTCCAAGGAATACACCGTGAACCAGGTGAACAAGGATTGAGTTCACAAACAAGAATACAATCAGTTCCAATATAACTGGGATTACATTTGCAAACATAATTTCCGAGTCCTTTGTTAATACATTGAGCTTGATGAGGGCAAGGATTAGATGAACAAGGGTCATGATAATGACAGCCTTCAGCAACATTTATTTCACTCAAAGGTCGCAGCCAAGCATCTCGTGCGTTGCCTACATCAACACCTTGAATACATCCACTAAATCCTATTAGATCAATGTTGGCTGATGATGGGATCGAAGCTGTTGGTGCAGTTGTCTCATCTTCACCAGGTTCAATACCACCAACTGAAACTTTGGAGATGAAAAGACCACGAATGTCACCACTAAAATCTTGATTCGCTTCATATTGTCCATAATCAAGATTTAACCAGATTCCATTAGCCATCCAATTAGCTTCCAAATAATGCCATTCACCATCATTAACTCTAAATGGAGCTACAACGACAGTTTCCTTGTCGAAAGTATATCTCAATATGCCGTCCTCAATGTCAATAATGACATAAGTCTTCTGACTCAATTGGATTCGTAAAATTGTACCTTTACTTTTCAAAGTTTTGAATGATAACCGAACCAACCAGGGTATACTGATGGGTCGGAGGCGGGGAGCAAATATTAAGTATCCATCGCCATTGAAATGTTTGACAACTTCATTTTCAAGACTACAATCTTTACCAAGATAACCATCTTTACAACGGCACATATAAGATCCCCAACTTTCTATACAGGTTCCTCCATTCATGCAAGGATGAGATTGACAAAAGTCACGTTTGTCTAAACATCCAGGGGTGGTTAAATTGTTGGCAACGTATGAGTTGAGATCAATTAGTTCATGATTAATGGTTAGATGGGAAATACAACCAACAAATGAATCAGTTGTGGTGGGAAATGTAGTTGGCAATGGAGGCAGTCCGCCAATTTGGAGTGGACCGATGAGATCAAAATATCTAAAGCAAGTTTGCATTCGATCAAAGCACCTTTCTTCAGGCTGAAAAGTACTTGAATTGGTACAAGCAAAATTATAATCCATAATTTCTTTAGGTAAACCAATCATGTTGCCTCTATCACAGTTGTGTAAACTTAGAGTTGCCGTTCGATTGAAATAATTGACCTCAACCAGATGCCAAAGACCATTGGATAAATATCCAGGTAAAGCAGCTAAACTAACTTGATGACGAGCCGATGAACCAAATGAAAATGAAAAGACAATAGTTGAATTGACTATTTCCAAAGCTATGAAATCATGTTCCTCGTTATATCGTCCGTTATAAAATAAAAGTATATTATCTCGACGGGTTGCAAATTTAAGCTTAATGTTGAAACGATTACGTTGCTTGATTGGAGGGAATGTTAAATAAGATCCTTTGGTAAATGACCGAGAGTGTAATTCACAGGTTGGTGAACTCCATTCTGAATGAGTACAATTTGCACAATGAAAACCTTTGAATACAGGCAATCCAGAAGCATCCGAGAGCTGGTCACGAATATTTACACAATCTGAGCCACTTTTGCAAACTCCGTCAGAGCAATGATCGGTTTGCAAGTTGGATTCACAATTACGACCGATAAAATTGGATGGACAAGAACAGGAATAGCCAGATTCTCGCCTTATACAGGTTCCCCCATTAAGACATGGATTTGAAAAGCATAGATTAATCTCTGTATCACATTCATATTTATGATACATTCCTAAAATAGAAGAAAATTAATTTAGTAAATCTTAATCATACAATTAAATTAAAAGATACAGTAAAGTACCAGATAATGCAAGTGAAATTTAAAAATTTATGAAAATATATGACCATTTTCATGGTTATAATGAATTTTAAACTTGAAATGAAAATTGTTAAAGACAGAGGAAAAAATAATCAAAATGTGATTAATATTGTAAAAAGGGAAAATCAATTCTGATCTGATTGATGGCTGAAAAGACGTCATAACGTGAATTGGCCAAATTACTCAAAGATTAATGAACAGTTCAAACTCTGATTCTGATGCTGATTAAACTTAGATCAAGAGCTTAAACTGCAATTTTAAATTATTTTCAAGTTTGCCAGCACAGATGAAGGTTTAATGAGATTAATGCTTTTAAATTTAACGGATTTCAATTGTTTCTAGTTTTGTTCATATATTTTCATAGTTGAGTGAACCAAACAATACCTGTAAAGCCATATGGACACCGACAAGCAAATGTATTCACCGGGTTAATGGGTCGGAAGAGGGTTGTTTCAGAGCTAATAAAGTCTGACGCATTTCCAAATTTAAGAACTGACAGGCATTGTTCAAAATTGGGACAAGGTTCACGTACACAGAGGTTATCATCGAAAGGCAAAACCTGAAAAAAAAGATATCAATTTCATATTAGCAAATGTCCAAGAGAGTTGAAAGGTAATCAATGTAAATGAAGACAAGTCCAACCATTTTTGAAAATAACGTAAAAAGGTAAGATTATTACTCTGTACCCATAATCTTTCTTTCATTTTCTCTCTCTTTTCTTCCCTCTTCATCTTTATTGCATCTTAATATTATCTTGAGATTACTCTACCTTACAATCAGGTTTGTGAAAGTAAGGTCAAAAGAGGGAAAAAAAGAAAGAGAAGAAAGCAAGAGAACAGGTAATCATCATCCATTAATTTTGGCCTTTTCTTAGCAGGATAAATGTTGGAGCGACTGGAAAACAGAAAGTTGTTTGCAAAATTTTTAAGCTTGTTTGATAAAGGTAAGGTGAAAACATCAATCTTTTCATTTATAGACAAACTACTTTTAAATCGCTTCAACCGACACCTTAAATTTCACATATCATTCAAGTGAAAGGTAAGAAATCAATTTACAAGCACATTCAACGGTTCACTTTGAATCCATCATTTCTAAGCTTCTTTCTCAGTTCAGTTTTTTTTCTTACATTTATCAGATACAACATGCATTATGCTTGTGAAAACGTTTTTTGTTCAGTTGTTGTTTTAAATTATAGAAACAATTGATTTAATTAGTTAACTCAGTTGGTTTTCTTGAATCTTGCAACTCTAATGAGTTGAATGGTGCACCTTAAAACAAGAATCCAAATTTCTTTGATGCTAATGTGCTTTTTATAATTTTAAATTTCAAAAGTTCAGATGTGGATAATGATGATAACCATTTTTTTTTATTAGAATCATGATGAAAGTTGAAATGAAACAAGTTAAACTTACTTCTAATCCAGTTATCATTGTTAAGAAAGGACGGTTAAGATAGATTCTTTCTTGTAGATATTGAGACGGATAAAAAGCGTCCAGGTCACTTGAATCGGGTATTCGGGCCGAGAAACTTATACTTAGCACTTGACCCTTAGTAATTTTCTCCTCCTATGTTAAGATATAAAAAAAAGTAAATCGGAAAGGTAAGGAAAGAGAGGCAATTTATAGGGAAAGAAAAGCATGGGAATTAGTTTTTTTTCAATGCTTTAAGGTACAACGTTTTTTATCCCCACTTTGGGCTTGTAAGAGGCAGGAACTTGACTCTCATCATTAGAGGTCTTTGCACACTAAGATTGCTTCGGAGGGTTGATAATGATCGAGACCATAGAAAAGAAAGTCTGTTTAGGTAGCTTTTTCAGCTTCTTGTTTCTGTCTTCTCTTATTTTTCTTTTTCTGTTTCTTTTCGTTTTTCTCTTCATTTATTTGGGTTTTTTTCTTACCTGTAAACTAAAGATGACTATATTTTCCTTTGGGGCAGGCACAATGGCTGACAGTCCGTCGAGAAATCGGTCATATAATGAAGAGAGAAAGGTTACTGGCTTTACGTTATTCAATCTTATGGTTACACTGTTGAAAAGCATTGACTCGGTGACCAGGTTGACGGTTAATTGGCAAAGCGCAGATGCTTCATTAAGTCCATCAGAAACACTTATTTCAAAACGGGCACGAGTTGGAACATTTGTGTTTAAACTGGCACTTAAGCGAATCTCGCCGGTTGTTGAATTAAGTATCAAAAGGCCAGCTTTGTTTCCAGACAGAAATTTAAAATGCATAACATCAGAAGCATCAGCTTCATACATTGGGACACGTCCAATGGGCTCTAGCGGGAAATGATTTTTGTAATTGTTGAAAATGATTGAGAAATCTTTGAGTATTGGAGCATTATCGTTAACATCAGTTACATAAACTTGCACATCAACATCATTTCGTAAAGGAACTGATGAGGCACGAACAATTAGATTGTAAACTTTTTTGGGCGACTCGTAATCCATATCAACTCGAGTCACCAACTCGGCTATGTCATTGTTTCGAGTGACCAGAGAAAATGCTTTAGCATCTGGTCCACCAACAATTGAATATTCAATCTTGGAGTTTCCTCTTTCATCCGGATCAATAGCTTTCAATTCACCTACAACCCAACCAATTGGTGAGTTTTCAGGAACATAAAATCGTAAAATATCCGTCTCAAATCGAGGCGGGTTATCATTGACATCTTCAACCGTCACATGAATGGGAATAGTTGATGATTGACTTGGAATACCATTGTCAAGAGCGATAGCAATAAGCTCATATTTAGCTGTCGATTCTCGGTCAAGTGCTTTGTTGGTGCGGATGATACCTGAAGCAGAGTCTATAATAAACGCACCATCGCCATCATTTCCACCATTAAACGTATACCTAATTTGTCCATTGAGACCATAATCATCATCGGTTGCTTGAACCTGAGTAACTCTGGTTCCAATGAGACAATCTTCAGAGATTGATGCTTGATAAGAGTCTTGTTTAAATTTAGGAGCATTATCATTGACGTCCATAACTTCAATTTCAACATTTGTTGTATCAGCCAAAGGAGGTGAACCATTGTCAGTTGCAGTAACAACAAGCGTATAGCCGGCCACTCGTTCACGGTCCAATTGTTTGTTTGTAACAATGGATCCAGTCATAGGATCAATCTTGAACTCACTATTTTCATCAATTGAAAAAGTTATACGAGCATTCTCGCCAATATCAGCATCACTGGCTTCAACAATCAACACAGTTGTCCCAATAGGAGCATCTTCAGGGATATTTACAGAGTATGGAGTTTTTTCAAACACTGGACGATGAGTGTTGGCATCGGAAACATTGACGTAAACCATGGCCATATCACTTCGCCCTCCATTATCAGAGACTGTTACAGTTAAAACATATCGACGTTCAGTCTTGTAATCCAATGGTTGAGCAATGGTGATTTGTCCCTGATTTTTCTGACTATAAATAGAAAATTTTCCCTTGTTATTGCCGTTGGTTATTTGGAAATTTAACCGCGAATTTTCATCACGATCAGTTGCTGTTACAGTGATTACTGGAGTTCCTATTGGATCTACTTCAGAGATTGTGGCATCATAAGTTTTGGGTTCAAAAACAGGATCATTGTCATTAACATCTTGAATGCGAATAATAACATTAGCTGATGATGATTTTGGTGGATAACCATTATCTCTGGCAATAACTGAAAACTCATACAAATTACCCTCCTCCCAATCTAATTGGCGGGTAGTCATGATCCATCCAGTCTCATTGTTTATTGTTAAAGGCATTTCATTGGGCAAGGTTCCAACAATTGTTTCACTTTGTCCATTGATGGACAATGCTCCTTTGATGTAATAGGTAAGTCGAGCATTATCTCCATCATCATCATCGTAAGCCTGTATACGAAGCACATTGGTTCCTGGAGGTGTATTTTCAATTACTGATTCTTGGAAAAGGCTGTTGTAAAATTTGGGCTCATTGTCATTAACATCCTCAACGTTAATCAACAATTTTGTTGTATTTGAACGAGGCGGGGAACCAGCATCTTGAGCTCTCAATATTAACCTGTAGTTGCGTGTTGTTTCATAGTCTAAAGGTGAAATGACTGAGATTTCACCAGTCAAAGAGTCAATCTGGAAATGTCCTTGAGTATTACCGCCAATAATTGAATATCTGATTGCTGCATTGGCATCCTCGTCTGCATCAGTAGCAGAAATTGTAACTATAACTGGATGTGAAGTCCAATCGACATCTTCTCTAACCACGGCAGTGTATGAACGATTTGAAAATTGAGGGTAATTATCATTTTCATCAAGAATCGTGATTTTAACAGTTGTTTCTGCGTGCTTACGATGGACCGGTGCAGCGCAATCAGAAGCTTGAATAGTCAATACATAATTATTTACGGTTTCCCGGTCGAGAGTTGCTCGTGTTGTTATAACACCGGTTTTACTATCAATTTTAAATGCTTCATTGGGACCAGTTGGATTAAGTAAACTGTATTCAATTTCAGCGTTTATATCAGCATCTGAGTCAGTTGCTCGAACATTGAGGATTGTTGAGCCAACAGGTAATGATTCTTTAACACTTGCTTCATATGAAGCTCTCTCGAAAACAGGCTGATGATCATTCTCATCGTTTACATTAATTTGTAAAGTTGTTGTTCCAGTTTTAGGAGGTATTCCTGAATCAACAGCTATTATTCTTAAATAATGAAGATCCATGGATTCTCTATCCAAACGTGAGGTGGTCGTTACAACACCTGAAAGGCTGTCAATACTAAAAACACTTTGACTCCGAGCATCCAACACAGCAGACATGGAATAAAATATTTCACCCTTTTCAGGATCATTGGCTATCAATTTAGTCACCACAGTTCCTTTCTCTTTCTCTTCAGGTATATTGACCACATATAAAGATTTGTCAAAGTAAGGTGGTTGATTAGGTGCATCGCGACGTAATCTTGAGATCTCGTAGTCTTTTGATCCAGCAGGCAAAGCACAAGTTATCACAAAAACAAAAAGGGAAAACAAACACAAAAATTACGATCTATAGTCACATTTTGGTGATCACGATGGTTGAAGAACCAGGATTCAAAGCAATAAATAATCTCATTTTGTTTTCACAATAATAATTAACAATAGCTATAATGATTAGTTTACAATTTGAAAAAAATTATTTAAAAAATGGATTGACAGGTTTGCTAAAATCTTCATATCACAAAATAAATTTATAATAGCTTCAACTCAACAGTGTGCATTAACACCGGATAGAGCCAAACAATGCATTTTACCGGTATTTTGAAAAACTAAAGTTGAAGACAAATCAAACTTGTGATGGAGGAGGATATAGTCATGGATAAAACTGGCTAATTCATGTAATAGATATCCAATCTTGACCCATCTGCTGGTATTGTTAACTTGTATCTTGACCTCAACAAGAAGCGGGCAAAAGAGGTTTATTAAACTTTATCTGACTTAATTAGCTATATGAGTTGGCTATCTACCTAAATTTGCATCATTCAAACTCACTTGATTATTATTTCAAATGATGAAAATTGAAAATCTGAGCAAAGACACTGGCTAGAATTTTCTGCTTTCCAATGTTTGACATCTCTTTGGTTACCTAACCTGTGATCTTACCGCTGTCTCTTTAAATACACTGTTATCATGTAAAAAATAGAATAATCTTACCTGTTTCATCTGATGATATCCTTTGATCACAATTGTAAAATCCATGGTTAAACACAGAAAATAAATAAATTAAGATTAACTTGAATTTCATTTTCATTTTGAAATGAAATCATTAAAAATTAATAAAAACTAATCAAGTATTGCCTTTAAACATAGCTATTCACTATTTACTTCCATCTAAACCTGTAAGGTAGAAATTATTCTTTCTTTGTTCCTCACTCTCTCTATACAGGGTAGTGATAAACTTGCTGATGTAAAGGTAGGATCTAAGATGCGCTAACAAAATGTAACCAAAAAGCAGATTTTATATAGTAAACTGCTTACTGCGCCTCTAAAGGTGATTGATCCTACCTGAAGAAACTTTGCTTGTTACCCTGTAGATCCCAAAAATCCAGGTGAGACAACTTGTCTCAGACAAGTAGTTCCTCCAATTGGCCAAGTTGTTAACTAAATTCAAAAATTTAACAATTTACTCTTTGAACTCAACTAAAATAAATTACAATTATCTGTGATGATTAAGAATTTAAAACAAAATTTCAAATGAAAATCTTCACATTTTCATTACAATTACAGTACTTCACATTACAATTTTTCAATTATCATTGAGATAAGTTAACTGTAAATTAATCAATCGACAATCTTTAGATGGAAATCGATTTTCAAAAGTTATCACAATTGAGTTTAATATAAAATTCAGCACATTCACAACGATAACTTTGTTCATTATTCCAAGCGATATACCGTTCCAAAAAATCTCAAAAATCAAATTTTACTTGAAAATATCAATGATTTTAATTTATTGCACAATTTACTGTACAAACCAATCTTGATTTCCGAAAGCTTTGTCTTCCTTAATTCTTAGACTATTGTCACGTCTTTGTCTTCGAACGGCAGAATCTTCTCCTTTGATACTTTTAGATGCTGTTCGCAATTCCTCACGCCTGATGCGATTGGCGAATTCTTTTTTCACTTTTGCTTTTATTTCTTCAGTCGTGAAAGTGCTTCCTGCAACCGAATAAGTCGCTTTTGAACCATCCGTAGCTGGCATTTTGGAATCTTCATAGCTTCCATCGGAACTGAAACTATAACTAGTTTGTCTTTCAGATATAACTGAATTATTTTGGTCGATGATTTTTATTCTTTCTCCATTGTTTTCATTTGTATCTGACTTATCATGATGTGTATCTTTATCTTTCGAGTCATCACAATTTTCTTGAGAATATTTCGGTTGCTCAGAATCCATGTCCACATAACTATCGTTGATTACAGGCTCGTATTCGTTAGCTTCAGCTGATAATTTGTTTATTATTCCTTCATCATTTTCGTTAACGATGACATCCTTATCGAAGTTTGGTATCTCTTCACTTTCAAAGTGATATTTTCTTTTGAAAATACTAACAATACAATCAACGTCTCTTTGAAAATACTCTCTTGCCATTTTATGATTGGTGCTGATCATTTGTGGAAAATCGATTAAAATAGGTTTTGCTGTTTCATTTTCAAGCATTATGTTGAACTCATTAAAATCACCATGGACAACACCATAATCATTGGCAAGAGAAAGCAACAAGTTCATCAAATTCTCGTAAAGAGCCGGCTTATCTTCGATATCGGCAACATGGCTCAATAGCTTTCCATCAATCAACTCCATGACAATACAGTGACGATTTATTTCAATAGGTTTAGGCACTGGAAAACCTCTTTCATGGAGAGCTTTTAGGAAAGAGAATTCCCTGTTCGCAGAGAGTCTTGACATATAAATCCAATTGTGAATTTTACCTTTATGATAGTCTCGTTTATCATGAACTTTTCGGAAACATGTTCGACCTAAACGATGAAGCTTGATAGCAAATCTTTCTCCTTCATCATTAGCTCCAATATAAACATCAGATTCTTTACCAACTCCTGATGAAGAAAAAAAAGATCATTGAGTGACTGGCATTGAACATTAAATATGGCAGGAATGAAAGATAGCTTACCTATTTGATTTCCAATATGCGTAATAATTTTACGATGACTGAGAACATTAAGAGCAAGATAATCATAACCATGAAAAGTCAATCTATAACCGTCATACTTTTTACCCCTTTCATAAACTAGTAGTTTATTTCTAGTTAAATTATGGAGTATTTTAGAGGTACCACCACCACGTAAACTGGCAATAGAAGCGATTAAAGAACCAGGTACCAGTTGATGGTTCTTCATTCCCATTTCAACAGCAGTCAAGACTCGAAAATCATCACTTTCTAAATATTTCAACAAATCTGCGTCAAGCTTAACCATTTTGTAACACAATTAGAAATAACGTTTGAATAATTGAAATAAACTCAATGAATTTAACACATGGTTAGAGTAACAAATTTTGTTTACCTCTGGTTTCTTTACTTTAATAAACTGAGAGGGAAATTTAAAATAAAGTGAAGAAAGAAAATTATACAATGTTTCATTTACAATAGATGGCGCATATGTCTATGTATAAAACCTAAGAAAATCAAAATTGAATTCAAAGATTTGCGAAACGCTTAAGCTTTTCATTTTGCCTTCGATTTTTTAGCTTCCACTTTTGGTTTGACAAGTTTTCGTTGACTTTTGTTGCTCTTAGTAACTAATTTAGGTGGATCAACTTTTTTCGGGCTAATAGTCTTTACTTTTTGCATATTAAATCCTGATTTAGTAGTAACTTTGGGTTTGAGTTTTGATTTGGTAGGCTTTTGAGGCTGAGACTTTTCTTTCAGGAATTTTACTTTTGCTTTTGGTGGACCAGTCAAGGGAACTCGAGATATTTTCAATTCTGTTGGATTATTTCTTAACGACTCTGACTCTGGTTCTACCGTTATACGAGCTGAATTAATATTAAAGCCAGTCGATGAACCAAGGGAAAATTTTGAAAATTGTACTGGAACTGGAAGATTGCTTTTACTTTTACCCTTTCCTGGGCCTTTTGCAAATAAACACATTAATGTAGCAAATCGAGATTTTGTCCGAGTCTTTCGCTCATTAAAACCTGATGTTGGCATGGATGAAATTCTGGAAATATCAACACTTTGAAATGATGGAACTGGTGGTATTGGTTGACGTCTATTTATTTTGTTTAACGTTTTCATATCATTAGTTTTTAAGTGTACAGAAGTGGTAAGGTTATTTACATGGTAGTAATATCGATAGAGAGCGATGATAAACAATAAGGCCATAATTATAATAAAAACTATCATGATTATCAATATCAGTCGTTGTACATCTCCGATATCATTCAAATCAATTTTAGTATCTGTTGCAGTCTCTACATTCATTTTTAGCTCCTATTGTTGCATTATTTACAAGATGTAACCATTTGAATATCGAAGGATAGTTAATTTACCAGACAAATTAACCATTACAAGTAGACATTATGTTAATCCTAAACTGGTTGAGGTGTTAAAGGTGTTACAAAGGGTGAAGTACAAAACTGGCACAAAACGGTCAACTCGATAATTGTAAAATTAAACTAAGAATCTGGCAGATTCTATCGATATTTATTATTATCCAGAGTTGATAAAATATACAATTGACTAGCAAGAGATGATCCATTATTGTAAGGATGAATTGTGACATATTTATCCGATTTACGGTGACGATAGTGGGACGATGATAATGATGATGAACCTGATGAGCCTAAAGGTGTTGATGATGGTGAAAGGGTTGGTGTTAGGGTCAATGATGAAAATTGGTCAGGCTTTTTTGGACAGCGAAAGATTGACCAAAGAGCCAAAACAATGATTTGGGTTATCAAAAGTATTGAAAATATCATTAAGAGTCCAGTGTTGGTTAGACATGAAAACGATGAGAATGAAGTTGTTGGTGAGGAAGAAAAATTTGAGTGATTCTTTGATTCTGGAAGAGAAAAGACAGAAATTAATAAAGATAAACAGGAATTAAAGGTAGAATCGATGGGAATTCAAAAAGGATTCATATGATTACAGCAAACATTTGGGTTGTTGCTAAAAACACTATTAACACAATTGTCACTTTTGTGCACAAATTGAAAAAATTAAGAAAAACAAATGGGCGAAAACGGAAAAAAGGCAATTTCTTTCACATGGAGACTCTGTTGGTTTGTAGGGAATTGAAAACTGAGCTTATTTGTGAGTTTTAAAGATTTCGCTGATGAACAGTTTTCGAGAAAATCGGGTTCGAAGTTGAAACTTGCAAAGCTTTTTGCACAATTATGGAAGTAGATTTTTTCATGAAACTCATATCACTGATGTATCTTTTGATGATCAATCAGGAAACGCATTCATTTTGAAGAATAACATTTTCTGTTTTGTAAAACAGATCAAGTTCGATTTCCATCTGAACCGACCGCATTCTGTGATCATAAGATTTAGCGCACTGAAACTTATTATCAGTCCATAAAAACTGCTTGCTCACACCATAGACTTAATAATTTTTTCAATTAACCAACAGTTCTCTTGATTTTGGCCATTGAACTAAAAACTTAATATTTCGAGCATGGCATCATCTACAGTCATTATTTTTTCACCAGTTTAATCCTTTACTAACTAATAATGCAATTCAATTCAATAACTTTTCATCAGCGCATTTGGGACATGATTTTTGGGTTGTAAATAAACGAGAAACAACTTATTAAACAAAACAAACTCATATAAACACATTTCTTGGTAAATAAACCAATTTTCTGGTTAAACTTACAAATCAAATGCAAAGAGGGCTGCCAAAGGCTCGAACATTTGAGTTAAGGGTTGAAACTTTATGAGGCTTGTTGAGGCGTAAAAACTGAATCCATAGCTACTATTAAATAATTCATACGATGAATAGTTTTCGCGAAAATTGAGGTCAAAGTTAAAACTTCGATGGCCTTTTCTTCAGCTATGGAAACAGTTTTTTTCACGAAACTCATTTCCCAAATGTAACTTTTGATGGTGGACAAGAAAATGTACTTATATTGATAAATAAAGTTTTCCTTCTTCTGTAAAACAGATCAGTTCGATTTTTATTTAAACTGATTGCGTTCTGTGACCATAAGAGTTAGCGAGCTGAAACTTATTTTTCGTCCACAAAAATTGATGGATCACATCATGGATTGAATAATTTTAACAATGCAACAATAGTTTTCGCGATTTTTGTCATTGGTCTGCAAACTTTGAGCTTCGATATTTCGACAATGGCATTACCTACAACCAACATTCTTTCACGAAACATTATATTTCATTATGGGCTATAACATAATGTGACTTAATACCGAAGTAAATATGAGCTCATTCATTCAATAAACGAAGATTCTTCTAACGCATAAGATTTGTGTTTAGCTCAAATCTCAAATCTGACTACATGAGAAATACAATGCTATAACTTTTTTTAGTAGGATTTTGAATGCTTTAATCTTTCGATATATTATAGTCCATACGGAGATCTAATGTTCGGTGAAAGAATATTGACTGTAAGAGATGCCATTCTCGAAATATTGAGGCCAAAAGTTTTAAACTCAATGGCCAAAATCAAGAGAACTGTTGGTTAATTGAAAAAATTATTCAGTCCATGATATAAGTAAGCAATTTTTATGGACTGATAATAAGTTTCAGTGCGCTAAATCTTATGGTCACAGAATGCGGTCGGTTTAGATGAAAATTAGATGAAAATCGAAATTGATCTGTTTTACAAAAAAGAAAATATTATTCCTCAAAATAAGACCATTTTCTGGTTGTTGTGCATAAGATAGACCCTTGAAATAAGTTTCGTGTAAAAATTTGCTTCGATAGCTGAAGAAAAGGCGATCGAAGTTTCAAATTTGACCTCAATTTTCTAGGGTACTGTTTATCAGATGAAGGATTTAATAGTAGCTATGGACTCAGCTTTTGAATCTCTACAAACTTCATCAACTCCCAACTCTTTAGACAAATGTTCGAACCTTTGGCAGCATTCTTTGCATTTCATTTGAAAATCTAACCAGAAAATTGCTTTATTTACCAAGAAATGGGTTTAGATGAGCTTAGTTTGTTAAATAAGTTGTTTCTCTCGAGGTACAACCTAAAAATCATGTCTCGAATGCACTAATAGAAAGTTTTCAAAGCGAACTGCATTATTAGTTAGCAAAGGATTAAATTGGTGAAAAAATAATGACTGCAGATGATACCATTCTCGAAATATTAACGTTCAAAGTTTTTAGTTCAATGGCCAAATTAACGAGAACTGTCGTTAAATTGATGCAATCATTCGATTCATGCTGTTAGCCAACAATTTTAATGCACAAATAATAACTTTCAGCTCTCCAACTCTTTTGGCCACAACAAGAGATCGGTTTACCTGAAAATCGAACTTATCTGTTGTACAGAAGCCACAAAATTTTATTCATCAAAATAAGTGAATTTTCTGGTTGACCATTGAAATTTACAACAGGAAAATGAGTTTCATTAAAAAGGCTACCTCCATAAACGAACAAAAGGCAATCGAAGTTTCAACTTCGAACTTGATTTTCTCGAAAACTATTCATCATAGAAAACTTCAAATCGCACAAATAAACTCAGTTTTCATATCTCTACAAACTAATAGAGTCTATACTTGAAAGAAATTAATTTTCACCAGTTTTTGTCAATTTGTGTAAATGTGACAATTGTTTCGATTGTGTCTTTACAGAACCAAATGTTTGTACAATTTTGATGCTTACCTTTGATTATATCATAGCGGCCGTTTCTTTTGATTGGCTGTTGACGGGCACCTTCATTGAAATCAAACGCATCTTGTATTCTGATTGATTGTAATACCACTAAATCTTCATCAGATTGAGCCTGTTTCACACTCCTTCGTCTGCGTCTTTTACCATAAGAAAAAGATTCCTGAGTTGATCCGTCAAAACCATCCGAGAAACAATGGATTGGCTGACATTTGGCTAAACATGGAGTTACAACAGCTCTAAAATTGACAATATCAGAGGTTGGAAATTTGAAGGCTTCAAAAGTTGTTTCCAAAGTTTTAGCTGCTCCTTTGATTCGTGAAATTGGACCCATGACTGCAATATCAATGGGACAACCATCAGCTCCAATCAGTTCAATTTCACTGCCATCCAAACCATCAGAGGCAACTAGTGAACGAATGAATATCTCATAAGGTGAAGGTTCATCGACAATTGAAAATCTCAATGTTAACAAATCTCCAATTTTGGCTGTTCGTATCGGTGAACCCAATCGATCAGTCACAGTAATTGTTACATTTGGTGCCTCAACAATTGATGAATGGACAAATCGTTCATCTTTAGCAGCTCCAATTATTTCCCTGTAAAATCAAAATCCAAATAAAATCATTAATATTCATTGAAATGAAAACCGAAATATAATAATAACTCAAGCTTTTCTCAAACCTTGACTTTGGTGATTTTGTAAGATTTCATTTGAATTAATGTAAATTAAAATAATTGTTTAGCAAATTATCATTGGAGTGTTTCTGTTAATTTCATTGATAAGTTGAGGAATCATCTGATTATTGAGTTTCAATATTGAATGTTTGCAGCTTTTATTTGCATAGTTAATCATGAGCATTATTTAAAAATGAATACTTGTTTACTTGTGAAGGTTTGGTTAACAATTATGTTAACATAAACTTGAGTTTCTTTTATTCAATTATCATGCTTTTATTATGACTATAATTTGTTCAACTAATGAGTTTATTTAACTTTAAACTGGTCTGAGAAAGTTCATTGACCATTTTGCTGGTTAAATAACAATTGGTCAACAATTGGATCAACCAACCCTTTACAGTTACAGAGATGTTAAGTCCGCAAAACGTTATAACCATGAAAGGTTCGATAATGATAGCCAGTAATTACAATTGTTCACAAATAGGTAAACCTTGATAGTTAAATAGTCACAAAAAGATTGAAATAAACATTAACTTTCCCTTTCAGTAACCTTAAAGTTAAATCATTAAGTGACATCTTAAATTGCTAGGTTTAGTCAAATTACTTGAGGTAAGAAGAGCACAAATTATGATGATTATGATGATGATTATGTTGAAAGTGGAAAGGGAAAAGTGGACTCAACCTGTAATATGTTATAAATAATTAACTTTTGGCTTCTTTTCAACGGAAATCCTTTTTTTCTGGTTAATTTTTTGGGTTTTTTACCCTCTTGTAGTGAATTAAATTATCAATAAGTTTAGCTAATTGAGTTGTCATTAGAAGACCAAGTAAACGTTTAAGGTTGATGGTCAAGTTGAGGGTGAATTGACACAAGATTGATTGACCATGAAATGGAGAGTATAAATAAACTGATATTTGCCATCTTCACTCAGGTCAAGTTGATGAAAGTAACAAATGATTTCAAGGAAATCACTTAATTCAACAGTTTACTGTAACTTGTAATGATTTGCTTGGTTGCAGTTATTATGATCAAAGTTGAGGATACAAAATGTATAGTCCATTGGTTCCATTGATTATGAATCATAATCAATCAAGAAATCAATGATTGAATCGGTAAATTGTAAGCAAAGCAACCGTTAAGGTCAGAATGACAATAAAAAAATCTTAACTGAGCTTCAATTTGAACTTCTTTCAATATTGATAGCCAACAGATTTACTGATTTACTACTGATTTCCTTTTCAAATGATGAAATTGATTAGTTGATTATATTGATTGAGTATCTGTTAGTTTGGGTTTAATTTGATTTTAGAAAAGCTTGGATTTCGCTTGTTGCAGGGTCAATTGTTTACTTACCCATCTGATTCAAAGACAACTGTATTTACGACGGTTTTGTTGGTTAAATCGTATGAACATTGAACGGATAAACCAAGATCTTTGGTTGTGACGATTAAATCATGATGTTGAAGTACAATTTCAGATGAATATTTGGCTCCATCGTCACGTTTAACAGCACAGGCAACATCATTGTAACCCAATGACAATTCAAACGATAAGCTGTTTTTAATGTCCATTACACATGAATTGGGTTTTGATTTGCCATAAATTTTACCATTAAATATACGATTTGTCCGTACTTTTGTAAGCATATCACGAGATCGACAAACAATATCAACTGAAACAATAAGATAAAAGTAATTAGTAAAAGTTAATTAGCAAATGATCAGTAAATAATCAAAGTTTGATTTACCATCATAACAAGAAGTAAGTTCATATGTAATGGCTGCAGGAACCTCGAAATAAGCATCTTTTATGTGATTCGATGAGGATGAATCTAGATGAGAGGTTCGGCAAACCTTATTGGCCGGATCATTGAGGTCAAAGGAGAAACATCGATACTCTGATTGCAAGCATTTCTGCCTACAACCATCCAGCGATTTAATCTCTGGCCAAACAGAGTCAACAGTCTTCAATAAGCGACCTCGAATCGGTCGAAAATCGCAAAGTTTTTTAGGCTCTGAAAGGAAAAATAAAATATCAAAATAGTTAAACAGTTGAACAGTTGAAAGTGTCTCAGAGTCTGTAAGAGTAACCTTACCTTGGACGCAATTGTTTTCAATGTACTCTTGTCCAGGAGCACTTCGAAAGTGTCGATCTGAATTGAAAGGCGTTATTATTGAATGGCGATCCATTTCAGATAGACTGCATTCACTGGTTGCTCTGTTGTAATTAGCTGATCGACATTGGAAACTTGTTTCTGAATAACATTTAATCATACAATCTTGCTTTGAGGGTGAAGCCATCAATTTAGATGAATAACCAGTCAATATGTGACCTGGAACTGTTTCAAAGACCCATGATTTTTGGCAGGTTGGTTCAATTGTAACACCAAGGCATATTTTCTGGGCATAAATGGTGAAAACAGGAAACTGTGATTTATTCAATGAGGTTGGCCGATTGGCTGCACTGGTGCTAAATAATACACATAAACCAGTTTCAAAATTTAATGATTGGCAGGTTAGATTGGCTCGACATCGAGCCAGGCAATCGGTTAACTTAAGTGTCGCTGGAATGGTTGCAATTGACTCGGATGAAGATGAATAAACGAAACCTGTAATCAACTCAAAGCTAATATCATCTTGGCTACAAGGTCCAGGTCCAACACCTAACAAAAAGCAAATCATCAATAAACTTGATTAGTGATAAAATATTGAACAAGAAATGTTTAAAATATGAATTGATCCAGAATAAAGAAACGTAAATCAATCAAATTAAGTGACAATTTAAGCTGCCTTTTGCAAATAAAACCTTCCAAACCTTTCAGGTCAAACACTCACAAAAGCTGTACCTTCAATGGCTAAATTACATCATTACACACAATCAACACTTTTCAGGTTCAATTGGACATAAAAGCATTGATCATATTATTAACAATACCATTAACCCATCAAAATTAAAATGCACTCGCCTTTGTTATTAAGAAACGGTTTGATTTGATTGCATTCAACTGTATTCAATTGGCGATGAGTTTTGGGATGAAATGAAGACTCAATATTTAAAGTATCAAATGATTGAAGCAAAAAGTAGCAAAAAATAGCGTAAAAAGGTTACACAAAAGTAAATTATATCAAGAATGAAAAGGGCAAAATGAGCCTCTTTACGGTATTTTTAAGTACAAATGGCAATGATGATGAGGATAATGTTTATGATGATGGTGAAAAAATCAGGAGAAGGCAAAACAATTGAGATTATTCAGGGTTCCTTGGTAAACAGAGTTTAACTCCTCACAGAGATATGAAGACATTAGAGTTGAATTGTAGTTAACATTATCATTATTTAAACTAAAATCGGGTTTGATTCAACTTATGTTTAAATGGTTGCAACTTAAATAGAGTTTTCAGTCTAAATTGTTGGTTCGATGACCCAACTGCATAAGTGTTTAATCAACTAAATCAAGTTAAATCTTTTTTTTGCTAAACTCTGTGGTTGATCCTCTTTAGCAACCCGCCAATGGTTCAATTCAGTTGCTTTCATATTAACTGTTAAACTGTTGTTGATTGTGTCTAAATAATAGAGACTGTACCAAAAAAAGAACTAGTTTTAGGGTAAAAAATAACAATTTAAGTCTTTACAATTTTGTACAATTTTTCCACCTAATAATGTATTGATTTATGTCGCTATTTTGTCAATAAGTTCATTGTTTTTCATTTGCATGGAAGTGAATGTTTTGTTCATTTTTTTGCATTTGATTCATTCTGATCAATGTTATAATCTTTTGAGTTATCAGTTGAGTTCAATATTCATTCAACAATCAACCCATTCATTTAATATGTATTTTGTTCACTATCATGTCATCTAGATGATATTAAACAGAACCAGTTTCCTCATGCAGATCAGGATGATCGGTTCATGACCGATCTCTTTGTTAACCTTCAAGATGATGACCAGAGGCATTAAAAGTAAGACAAAAGAAAGATGAGAAAAGAAGAAGAAGAAGATTGAAAAATTAAAAGCCAGTTGTAAGTCACTTTTGATGGGACAAGAGTCACTCTCTTAGGTTGAAAGATTCAAGTCTCTCGGCCTAATAAACGTCAATCTTTTGCAGTCTTTTGAAGAGAAAATGAATTTGTGTTTTCATTTTAATGTTTGAATCTTAATTTGTGCAAATTACTTTCTTAATTATTGACCATTAATCATGACAATTTGTTAAAATCGTTGATTTGTCAATGGCGTGTAAACTTTCAATGTCAGTGATACAAAGGTAACGATTTCAAGCTCATTTTGCGTGATTAATTTGCTTCTCACAGATACTATTTCACCTGTATTTGTAATGTCTCATGTTATGAAGATGAGATTTTTTTTGAAATGAAAAGAGTTTCTATCTTTCATCTGTAAGTTAATCTGAATTATGAGAAACACGCCTTTAGCACCTTGGCGTGTCAAAATTAAGATGAAATTAATGTTCATCTCAGGATAGGTTAACCTTTACAGGTTATCCAAGATTCACTTGAACCTTAATCTTTGGTCTAAAAGATGATCATTTACTTTATTTTCATTGTTTGTTTCCTAATGTATATTATTATGAGAAACAACAACAAATAAAATCAATTAATTTTAACCTTAATTAATTAGTGAAACGTTTTAAAGGTTCAACTTGGAAACAAAAAGATGAAACTACAAAAGTTACCTGCAAGGTGAAGTATAATGGTTAATAGATTTTGAGGTTTATTTTTGGTGATTAAGGATAAAATTAATGAAGGCAGGTTAGTTAATAAATTACAATCTCAAACTAGATGATGATCAATTTAAATAGCATTTTAATTAGTCTTTAATAAATGAGGTGAAATGTTGAACCATAAATGAGGTGAAAATTTGTTCCAATGCAAAGTCAATTGCTATTTGTTGATTGATATCATCTTGGATGAGGAAGTAATCAATGGTTAATTGTCTGATTCAGTCAAAAATCTAAATGGATGAGACAATTAAATCTTGCAAGTTGATTGACTAAATGATTTATGGATCTGAAACTCAATCCTAGTAATGCTCAAGTCAAAGGTTAATCCAGATTATGTGAGGTTAATGCATTGATGGTTGATTTACTGCTTACAGTGGTCATTGATGGTAAAATGTTGACCATTAACAAAGATCATCATAATTATAAATATTATAATAAATGAACTTGAAATTTAAAATAACGATTCTAATTGAGTTTGAATCATTTTTCATCTTACACATGTAATGACATTAATGTTGTTGGAATGGAAGAGTTAAATGAAATTAATTTAATTGATAACTAACAATCAGAGTAATTGTAATCAATCACTTGGACTGTTTTAAGATGTTAATGGCTATGAAAAGCCATTAAAACATTTGTATCGATGATGATTTAATGTGAAAGTGCTTTTAATAATGATATAAATGTTAATTAAAGACATCTTTATTTAGTTGCAATTTAACCTCAAGGTAAATACAGAATTAAATCACAAATGAAAGTGTTAACTTGATTAAAATATTCAATTAAAAAGAATTTTTTTTGTCAACAATTAACAAACATTTTGATTGTTTAGCAAAGAAACATTTACATCTCAAACCAAGGATACAAATTTAAATACAATAAACGATGGTTTAAACAATAAATTGAACAGTTTATCATGATTAATGGTTAAGTTGATTTCATCAAATCATTCAAACAGAATTAACTTCAATGTTGTTTACGGAAATGTTTAAATCGTAATCACAATTCATCTTCCTTGTCTACTTTTACTGTTCAACTGACCATTTTCAGGTAACAATTCAGATCCCCTGATGAGAGATTAAACATGAGGAAAAGATGAACAAGATGAAGATGAAGATGAAGATGTTATTTTAAATATCTGGTTTATCAAGGTTAATGTTGACTATAGTAGGTGTTCAACAGTTGATTAACCAGGAAAATATAATCAACTTTAACCTGTTGATTCGCTGCCTACTGATCAATGTAATTTGTTCAATTGCACCAAATATCATTAAGGTACCCTAATGATTGATTAACCTTTTTCCCTGTGAGACTCCTTTTATCATCGAATCATAATTAATCATGACTTTCACTTGAAAATTCAATTGATTCACTTTCAACTCTTGTTTTTCCCATTTATGATCACTTCAAATTCTGGTTACATTAGCAAATGGTTAAACTTTCCAGAGATTAATTATAATTACAATTAACTTTTGGCTAAAATGAAAACAAGTTACATTTAATTGTAAATAAAGTTAACAAATTTGAAGCTGTTAAATTAAGGTATAAAGTAATGGAAACATTAGCAACTTTGGTTAGGAAAAGGTTCACTTAATCAACATAATTGTTTCATTACATTTCCTGATGATCAAGTTATTAACTTTGTAGGTAAATTACGATTCAATAATCAGTAAATAAACAATAAAATAATAAGGAAACAACAAGAAAAAAGGTTAAATTTAGACGCACCTTGAATCGCCCAGCATCATAATTAAGGGTGAAGTTAATAGCAATTAAAATATCTAAACTGTAATAGACTTAAGGTTTGAAGGCAAAGGTTTTGTCAAAAGCTATTGAAATGGTCTTTTGATTGAAACAGATTTCTGGGTTATTATTACAATATTTCAATGGCCTTTGACCGTTTGCTAGGTAATTTGAGATACAATTAAGATTAAATCTAGAATTGAATTTTCCATGGGAAAAGTTGGGTGAGAAAATTGTTACAAAAAGATGATTATTCTTGTTGAAATATTTCCTGAAATTGGTAACCTTTTTGTTTGAGACAAATGTTGAAGACAAGTTTTTGGATTAAAGATGTTATCCTATTATCATGATTAGTATTGAATAGCAGAGTTGAGATTATCATGCTGATACTATTATTATTTTGAAATGTTGGTTACACTGAAACTGTTATTTACAGCCATAAAAAGAGGCAGATCAAGTTTTCAGTGAATATGGATTAGTCTTGGAAAACTTGAAATTTCATCTTTTCATTGAACAACAATTGAACTTTTCTTTGTAATCATTGTAGGTGATCGTTTCATCATAAATGATGGCCGTTTGGTAGCCAAGGAAATTTGTGTGCGATAACAATCACGAGTAGCCAAGTGGTTGACCGATTGAAATACAATCTGCAACAAAATCAACTAAACATGAAGAAAGGCTCAGGTTGGCTTTGGTAAAGGTTGGCAAAAGGATTAATCTGTTAATCGTCAGAACTGAAGCAAATCAATTGATGAGGGAAAAGATAAACTTCACGGAATTTATGGCGATAACTAAAGGTTATTATTGGTTGGACAAGAAATTTCATCATGAACGACTGTAATTTGAAACAGAATAAGACAAAAAAATGAAGTTATAAAAAGCAAGAAATTGAAGCAATTTAAAGATTCTGGTAAATTGTGGTCAAGAAACGTTGAAACATTGATGACTCTTGACCAAATTCACAGAGTTTGTGTTTTGATTTATTTGGTATCAATTGGTTCAATTGAATATCTGAAGGAAACTGAAAATTGGAACAAAAATTGTTGAGAATTGAATGAAAGTTAAAAGGTAAATTAAAAGGTTAGCATTTCAAGGTAAACTGCTTTTGTTAGCAAACATTTCATTATGATTAATCCGAAAGATTATCTGATTGAATTCACCCTTTGCCTTTATTCACTTTCACCTGAGAAAATATAAAATCTAAAGTAAATGCAATTGTAATCTTAAATTATAAGGAGTAACAAAGATGAAGAATGTATTTCCATCCATTTTCATCAAACACCTAATTTTAAAAGGCAATTTCAGGCCCCAAAAAAAAGAGGTTACCTTTGTTATTAAAGGTGAAATTTAACCTAACCTTTGTTAATTCAATGTTCAATTGAACCTTCAATGTGATCCATCAATAATTAATATACTTTTATTTCATGCGAAAAGGTTTTTTATTGCAAAATTCAACTCACAGGTTGCCATTGACATTGAAATATATTAGCTTTTTTTCAACACTAATAATAGTCTAATAATAGTTATGAGTTTAAAAATGCAGGTAATAATAGTAATAAAAATATTGTTACAAAATTATGATTGACTAAAGGTGATAAACAAAAATACCTAACCTTGATAACTTGGCTTATATTGAAAGAAATGGTTTGGAGTGAAAAAAAAAGATGGAAATTTATTTAACTATTAATTTGACAGTTTAATTGCTTCACTGTTATTTGTTTTACCTGATATTTACATTATTAGATTGAGCTAATAATCATGGATTTTATGATTACTTGAATTCAGATAAATTCAACTTATTAACCAATATCGTTGACCTTTAACAATCGATAAATCAAGGAAAGTTAATTGTAATTCAACTTTGTTCACTTTTGCTCAGCTTTTTGCTCAGCTTTTTGCTTCAGATTAATTTGATTAATTAACAGAATTAACCTGAGAAATGATTCAACCGGAAGATGCTTGAGAAAATTGCTTTTCTAGGAATGGAAAAGATTAAAAGTTTCATTTTCATTATCATTTCATCCTTTTCCTCATCATTTCTTCCTTGAAATGGAAAAGCTTTTCATGTAAAAAAAAGTTAATTTTCACCTTATTCTGACATTTACAATTAACCTTGTTTACCTTTTCACGTTTCCTCTCATCTTCATCCTTCCATGTTCATCACACACCTTTCTATGTTAATCTGTTAATCAGTGTTATTTACTGTTTCCTATGAATACTAATTAACCAGTGATGACCAAATGCTTTGCTCCAGCGAAAGTAACCTTAACTGACCCTGAAAAAATATAAAAATCTTGGCTCATTTCAACCCTTTTTTTTTATGATTACTGAACATGTTTATGGTTATAATTTAGGAAGTAATCTTTTTTGTTACTCTTGATGTGGATGAAACAGGAAAGGGAAGGAGATGAAGAATCTGAGTAAAGATGAAGACAATCACTGGGTAAGATGATAATCATTAAATAATGACTTCTTAATGGTCAAATGACTAATCATCATGATTAGTTTGCTGGTCATGATTATCATCATCGCATAATCAAAGTTTTTTTCTTCTTCTTCGCCGTTTCTTTGTATCATTTCATGCCACATTTAACCAATCATTTTACCAATGGAATCACAATTGAAGGCCACTTTGGTCGAGAAAAAAATTCAATCCTTGATTCTCGCTATTCAAATTGTCACTTCAATTCTGATATTCTGTTTGCATAATCATAGATATTATTATCGCTATTATACACTGAATCAAACTATAATTTCATCTATTCAAGGATTTCAATTGTGAGTTTAAACAAATGAGTTGTGAAAAAATTTCAACTTAAATATGTTATTACAATGGCTTCAACTTGATCATTTCAATTTTCATTTTTGATCAATTCGTTGAAATTGTGAAAAACCTAAGAATCGAGATAATCTAAGATTAATGAATATTGAATAATTTGACAAAAATCAAAATCGTTTTGTTAATTTGAGCAAAAACTTAACTCACTTCTGAATTAGTGATATTAATGAATTGGCAGATAATGATTAAGACATAATTAAATAGTGAATTACATCGATTTAAGATGATTTTCGGTGAAATTAAAGTGAAAATAATTGATTGTAGGGTCAATTGTAGGCAGTTTGACCATTTCAGATATTTACTTGAATAAAGAAAAATATAAAAATTTTGAGTTATATTGGGATGAGGATGAGGCACAATGATGATGATCTGGTTATCCTCAACTCATCCTGAAACTCACAAAATGTACAATAATGATGATAATAACAATAGTTGAATTTTCAAGTTCCGGGGTAAACTTGAACATCTTTTGTGAATATTATATCGATCAATCTACGGATTGAGAGAAAATATTATTTTATTTTATTTTTTTGCCCAAAAAAATAGGAAGACATTTTTTTATGTATTGTATTGGAGAGGGGCGAATAATGTAATAAATAAATAAACGGTAAACTGGCCTGATGACCGGTAAGGTTTTTCTGCCCTTTCTGTATCTTGCACTTTATCATCAATTGTTCAGGGTTGCAGGAATACCTTGAATAACAATGAAAATGATGTTATATTTTAGATAAAACTTGACGTTCACTTTATATATTTTGTGTGTTGTTGACGATGATGATAAAAAGACTGTTTAACAATTTCAACAATAATCATTGGAATGATTGAATAGTCCATTGACAGACTTGTTTATCATTAATCAACCATGAATTGAATCTCAACTTTTTCACATCAGTTCAGGTTAAAATGCTAACAAACTGTTGAAAGTAAATAATTGACTTTAAATACTCCAAATGTGTCACCATTAAGGAACAATGTCCATTCAAACAAGACAAACAGATTAATCTAAATTTAAACACAATTCTGTGGCATTTAGATTTGTTTGCAAAATGTCACCAAATTGAAACATAACTTTAAGGATGAAAGATGAGTTTAATGAATTGAATTGAATTGAATTTGTGTGTTCAATGAATTGGACTTTAATCAATCTCAAATTATTAGCAAAGTTGACTCTGGAAACTCTGGATTTGGATTGTGATTTACTTTTCTTGTTTTCAATCTTTTCACTTTCAAAAAATTTCATTTGTTCGATGCGATAATTCAGATAATTGCAAACTTCATTTGGCTCTTTAGACTCTTGATTGGCGTAGATTTGATTCTTTTGATTCACTTGAAATCAAAATCTCAGTCTTTTCAATAGAAATAAACTGTTCTTTTTCGTTTATTTATTTCCTATTAAAGCTAACATTCATTCATCATCTTCATGATCAACCTCTGCTTTTCAGTGTTTTGTTCAGAGTTTTGATGAAGCTACAAGAAAAATGAAACGCTTCTAACGCTTGTAAGCTGGACTCAAATTGCTGGCAACATTTTAATTATACTGTTACTCAGTAAATCTTTGGCTTTAATGCTGTAATTATTAATTGATAGAGCAGTCTAACAATTAATGTTAATTAATATCTCATCTTTGGATATTCTGTTGACTATTTTTAGTGAGTTTTTTAGTGTTTTTTGCGTTTTTTTGTGTTTTTCTGTGTTATTTGAGAGGTAAAAATGATGAAGAAAGTGAAAAACTAAAAACAAATTCAATTTCAACCTTTTCTTTCTCCTCCCAATAATTAATTCAACCTTTTCTGGTTCCTTTTACCAACTAATCAACCTTTAGTTGATCAACATTTTTATATATCAAAACTAAGTTTGTGAAAAAAAACAAAAAAAGGCAACAGCCAAAATTGAATCCATTAAATGCTCAACACAAAAGGCCTAAAGCATCATATCACCAGAAGATGATCGTTTTTGCTTCAAATTTGATCAGTTTCGTCTCAAATCAACAGATTATCATGTCAAAATTAATATAATGCTGTCTTGCCATTATTCAGGCAACCGTAATTTAGTGATAATTGTCACACAAGTCTTCAAGTTTTGACACTAAACCAGAAGAGTAAACATTAATTTTTCAAGGCGAGTTTGTTAATTGTCACAGTCAATCGGAAACTATTTCAATAGTCAATACAATGCAAAAGATTTGCAAATATTTGATCAAAAACAAAAGCTAAATGAACTTTTTAACCTTTAACTAAATTACAATTTACTTGACTGTCACTTGATAATTTCCGTTTCAACTGGATCAAAGTGATTTTTTGATGAAAAGAAAAATGAAAAACAATATTTATATACCTTTACCTTGACGTTGTTGTTGATGTTTTGGTTGTAATTGTGATTGAATTTGCGTTATCCAAGTAAACGTAATAAAGGTAATAGTCCAAAATTTCATAACAATCATTGTAATTGAATAATTTAATGGTAACGGTTAGAAAATGATGGTCAAAATGATGATTAAATTGAGTGAGAAAATGGTTGTCAAATTATTTCCTTGGTTGTCAAGATTATGAAAAAAAGTCAATGATTTGACCAGTTTGATTATGGTACAGATTCAAGTGAACTTGGTTTTTAACTTGAATTTTGGTTGATTGTTTGGGTCTATTGTGGTTCTCAATGGGTAAAGATGACAACAACTAAGATGCACAACTCATAAGATGATGATAATGATGAGTGATGAGTGATGAAAGATAAAAAAGTCACTGGAATGGTCACGGTCTAACAGTGAAGGCAACACAGACAAGAATGACCCGAGAGATGTCCAAGTGATAACCAGTGTCGATTGTTTCGCTTGATGGTATTTCTTTTTTTTTCTTGATGTTACCACTTTATTGAAAGTACAAAGTCACAATCTTGACAGGTAAGCTGAATGAAAATGAAAGGTAAAAAGAAGAAAAAGAAGAGCAATGAAAGAAGAGGAAACAAGAGATGAAATGAAAAAAAACTATCAACGACTTCCTCTGATGGTACTTTTTGTCTTAGCTTTTCAATTGTATAATGAGTGAATTAACTTGCAAGATGGAGGATTATTTGATTTACCTTTGAAAGTAATAGAGAAGATGATTGATGAAATGATAATTAAACTAACATAAATTAATAAAAACAAAACAATTAATGGTAATCACAAAGAAGAGTCGCAGTTTGATTCCATTTGAACAAATCTTACAATGTATGATGGTCACAGAGTGGAGGTTAGAGATGGCTGGGATAATTGGTTTGGAGGCTTGAAGAGTCCAACAATTTAAATGAATAAAGTCCAATGGTTAAAACAATTTAATAAACAATTAATTTTCATATTTGAATCAATGAAAAGCACAAAAATTGAAAACAAGTCGATGAAAAGGTTGCAAATGCAAAAGCTTGAAGAATGGCCGAGTGACTCTTTACCGAGGGACTGTTTACTAATGCAGCTTGTTAGCAAAACTGTCGATGAGAATGAAATTTTTAATTCCAAGAGATTTTATTTCATGTGAATGTGCCCGATGATGAAGTTCAACTACAGGTAAGTATTTATTTCAATGAACATTTTATTTGAGAAAAGAGAGTGAATTTAGAAAGGTAGAAAGAAAGAGAAGATAACAGGTCTTTTTGAAAGAGAGAGAGAGAGAGGGAAAGGCGGGTTAGGGCAATTTTTCTCAGACTTGTTCAAAGGAAGATTTTAGGCGTTTACTTCAACTCTTTTGGATCATCTTCTGGATCATCTTTAGCTTTTTTGCTGTTAATTGTGATTATCATGTTTGGATTAAGGATAGTTCGTGGCTACCAGTTTATTGTTTCATGATTGACTTGTTAACTGCTGCATGGCGTCTATACTGGATTCACTTTCTGCTGGAAGCTTATGGTCATTATCAACAGATTGTTTTGTCTCACAGATTTTTGGTCAATTGTGTGGTGATTTTGTTTCACCTTTTATCATCATTCCTAAATCATAATTTTTGATTACAATCACGATGTTCAACTCAGATGATGAGAAATTTTCTCTCAATTTATTAATTGTCCTTGGCTGGATCTCCTTGTTATTGTATAGATCAGGTGAATATTTCAATATTGGATAAATGTTTGGTTCCTGCATGTTCACCATTTCAAAGGGAGAGTTGGAAATTAAGTTTAATTTAACCTGACATAGTCAAACAATTAAGTAATTGTTTGTTTCCTTTCAAGGTTAGTTGTTCCATTGGTTTGTGTTTTTTACTAATATGATTGTTTCTGTCCACAGCAAATGGTCAATCATGGTTCTCTTTGATAGTCAATGATCGGTTAACATTTAGCTGATTATTCAAGGTTTTAATGGTTACTTTGAGCTTTCTTTTTGTTATTTCATTCAATTCTCATATAATTGACTAACAAGTAGATCCATGAAGAATTGAGAGTTAAATAGTTAGCAATTAATTACAATTTGGCTGTTCACTTGCAAGTCAAGGCTCCACTTTCTGGTCATCTTCATCACAAACGAAACAAATCAAACATCATGTTAAATATCACCTTTGCTAAACAACTCAATTGGTTTCACTCATAATGTAAAATAATTAAGAATACAATTATTGAACAAATTAAGTAGTTAATAAATTAATCAACCATCAATTGGTTAATTAAAATGAAACAATGAGTTGGCTTTTGGTAGTTATCAATTCATTAGTTAAGCAAAGAAATGGTTCTGCAGAAAGCTGTTCAATAAACATCTTCAGATGTTTTCACTCATTCAATTTGATTCATTTATATCTTTTTCAATTTTCCTAATTTTTTGGTTGATATTCAAAAATTAATTGCAAATGATTGGCAAATAATTTTTTATTATCTTTAGTTAAATGAATTTTATTAATAATAACAATTAAATAATACATAAATTACAATTTCGATTGATTTGAATCTCATTCATTCAGATTATACCATTTTAAAGATAGAATTGCTTGAAATCTTTAGAAATGTTAATTTTAAAATAGTTTAGAGTAATTTTACAAACAGAATTGATAATTTTGTTTAATCATCAACAATTTAAATTGTTTCACTAGATTTATTAAATTCATATTGAGCGCTAATTTAAAAAAGCTGCAACAGCTACCTCTATGTTTTTAAAAATAAAAGTTGTTTGACGTTCAGCTGAAATTTTCAGCCTGAAAACATGTAATTTTAATCTGTTTATCTTATTTCTGTGACCCTGCTTTATCAATTGTTTTAGTGGTTTCCTTTGGATTTTAATTGCCTTTCACTACCCTTAACGTATAAATTTATTTATTATCATCTCTACTTGTGTGAGAAAAATGGCTGACAGACTGACTCAGATTCAAGACGCTGTTAATATCCAAGCTGAAAATTTTTGCAATAGTATTGGTATAATTCAACAATTCGCCAAACCAAGTTTTTTCCCAGATTTCGAAAAGTCAAAGACTTCATCGAATGACGACTCATCTCCAGGTGAAGATTATCCTCAATTATTTGCTCAATTAATCGCGAGGACAGCCAAGGATATTGATGTACTTATTGATTCGCTTCCAAGTGAAGAGTCTACACCAGAACTTCAGGTATTTTTTATTTGTTCTCAAATTACATTGCTTTACAAGCCATTACTCATTTTATCCTTTATTTCAATGAATTTTTCAGGCCTCCCACCTAAAAAGATTGGAAGCTGAGAATCAAGAGGCTGCTCAAAGATTAGAAGAGACTGTAGCCAGAGGAGAGAAACTATTGGACCAAATTCAAAAAGCTCTTCAAGATATTGCTGAAGCACAATTACAAATGCAATGCTATAAAAACAGTTAAATTATAAAAATTATCTTTCAAAATCATTTGATCATAATTTTTCGCGTTTAAATAATATTTAATTCATTCTGTCTTGAGTACAGAAAGTTTATCGAAAAAGGACAGTTAACGAAATCACCTTTGACGCACAACTTGTAATCAATAATGCCCGAATTCAAATTAATGTTGTTGTCAAAGCTACCCGAGTAAGTCTTTATCATTTTCTTAAAAATCATTAAAGCAAAATTAATATTTACGCTTTCTAATTCAGTCTCATTATTTCAAATCGAAAAGCTTGACCACTAAGGTTATTACATCTGCCAAAGAATGACAGAAAAGCGTAGCCAAATCAAATATTATATAGATTTTTTTAAATTATTTTTTGGGACTTGACAAAGTTCATATTCTAAACAAGTACAAAACATGTGAACTTAATTTTGATATCTTAACATTGATAACAAAAAACGTATTAATACAATAATGATTAAAATACACAAGATTTCTTTTGATGGATAGTTGATAAACTAGCTTAGGCTTTATCAGATGCCATTGAAGCTGGTGATGATAGGGATATTCCAGACTCAGAGTTAGATTCTTTTGAGGATGTTCCGTTTGCATCAGATGAATGTTTTCTTTTGGAATCAATCTCGTCTTCAGCTTCACAGATGATTGTAGCAGCCATTTGAAGATCAGATAAGCTCGAAGGAAGACTGAAGAGGAAGACAAAATGAAGAAAATTATTATCAGATCAAATAAAAAAACTAGCAAAAAATGAAGGAAGGATTATGTTTCTCTGTTAGGAAAACAAACAAAACATTTGTTTTCATAAAAGTTTTATAATAGCTCTCCAGAGAAAACAATATTGTTGGCATCAATTAATCAAAATACCTCAATCTTGGTGGAAGCCAACTTGTATTGTTTTGTGTTTCTACTTCAATTATCTCATACGGTTTTTGACCAGAAAATGATTTGACGCAGGCAAGAGAACGGAATTTAACATGGATAAGATAATCAACAACGAACGACTGTTTAAAATAAAAAATAAGATTAGAGTTAAGTTGAGAATGAATAAAATGGAAAGTTAAACAAACCTCAGTCAGGTAGGCAACAACAAAGTTGAGTAGAGCCAAGAATAAACAGAACCACCTGAATTCCATAGAAACACCAGAGATGTCCAGCTAAATAAAATGAAAATTGAAAATTAGATTTATCGATTAGGAATTAAAATTTAGGAATTATAAATGATATCAATTCCATAAATCTTATTTGACAAACTTACTTCTAGGAGGTTAGCTAACCAAGGATGAGGAATGAGAACGATGTATGATGTTAAAAGAGTCATCAAAACTATGGCGGATATGAACAATTCTGTTGATAAAATAAAGAAAATTGTAAACGTTTTGAATCTTTCATATAAACTTGAAGGGAAATTAATAAAACTTACTATTCGAATATACAGGTTTACGATAAGGTGCACCCTTTGCAAACACTAAGGCAAGACTTATGTATTGAAAAACTGATACAGCAAATATAGCGTAATTGTCATGACAGGCTAAGTCATCTTCATCAACTGGTTCATGAACTATGTACCAAGGTTGAGCCCACAGAACAAGGATTGAAGTCATTTGGAAAATTATAATTATTATTATTTGCAAAACTAAGGATGTGAGAGGAACAATTCCAACCAAAGAGGACGGCGGCGGATTCTTAGAAAGCTCACTGAAAGATTCAGTGCGACCAACTGTAAAAAGATATCGACATTAATATTAATTGCAACAAAATGAAAAAGGATAACAAGGGAATATTAGATTTAAATACTTACAAAGCACGAAAAAAAGAGAAATTAAAAACAGATCGATGTATAAATATTCCATGTCGGATAAATTTGAATGATACTAAAAGGGTATAAAAGATGAAATGAACAGAAGTTAATGATTGAAATATAAAACTTAGGTAGATAAAAACAACTTACAGTGTACAAAATAATCACAGAAATGAATTGAGCGAGACTATAACAAGCCATGTATTTAAGAATGCCAAAAGCGGTAACTAGAGAAGCTCTTCCTTCGCTTATTAGAGTAGGTATACAAGAAATGTTAGGTGTTTTTGAAGTAAATGGCGATGCAACAGACGCTTCTGTGTCTGATAGTGAGATACCAGCATGAGCGGCTTTGAGAGCACCACAATCATTGGCTCCATCTCCACACATTCCTACATAATAACCTAAATCTTGAAGGAGCTCGATAAGTTGTTGTTTTTGATCTGGTCCCATACGAGCAAAAATTGTTCCTCGAACTGCTACTTTGTTTAAAAGGTCTGGATAATGTTCTCGAAGAACTCTAAATGTTTTACCGGTGACAGCAACATGCAGCTTTTCCTCTGAGTCTATGGCAATTTTGACGCAATCCAAGCTAGATGATTTGATTATGTTTTCTAGATTCTTTGAGTGATGATCATCATTGGCAAATCTCCAAGTTAATAAAGGCGGAGATATAGCTGAGGAATCATGTTCAATGGATTCTAATAAAACAACCTTTTCATTTGGCTTAATCATTAGACATTCACGACCAACACTGAGAGCGGTCAACATATTATCTCCAGTGATCATAACAGATCTGATATTAGCAGTAGAAAGTGTTTGAATGATATAAGTCGTCTCTGGTTTAAGAACATTACTCATTACCAGCAATCCTAAAAATTTCATATCTTTTTCAATTTCCTCTCTTGGAGCTCGCTGCATTTTAGAATAAGATAAAGAAAGGTCACGTGTGGCAAGGCCCAAAACTCTGTAACCTTTTTCGGTATAACCACCAAGTACATCGGAAAAATTGGATGGTATAGTTTCTTTAAGGCACAATTTTGAAATCATTTCAGGTGCTCCTTTAGCATAAAGAACAAAATGATCATCTCCCAATAGACGGGTAATTACTGACATTCTTTGAAGACTAGATGAGAAAGGAAATTGTCGAAGAATACCAATCTCAAAATCGTTAGCTACTTCATCGCCATACGGGTCATTGTGATTCATTCCAGGCTTGACAATTGTAGGTGCAAGAAGATCATATTTATTTTCATCATCAACTAAAGGTTCTTCCAGAACCCATTTTGTTGCTTGAAACATTTTCAAATCGAGGGGATCACCGACCATATTGTCCCCTATTATGGTAAGAGAGTGACATGTAGCAAGGCAATTCAGTATTGGTCCATAAGTTAATTGAGACGGATCACGGATAGGAATTGTAAGTCGCAATGTCCCAGTGTCAACTGGAATGATCTCTGAAAAGCTGAGATCATCTTCAGTTAAGGTACCAGTTTTATCAAAACAAATGCAGTCCAGACAGCCTGAAATATTGATAGACCTAGGCGAGATGCAGAAAATTTTGGATCGTCTTAATCGAGATTGAGCATAAACTACACCGATCGTCATTGCAGCAGGTAGAGTAGGAGGTATTACTACAGTTATTAAGTCACATGCTTTGAGAAAAATCTCTGTCGCTGATACACCACGTTTGACATTTATTATCACAGAGTAAGTAAATCCAAGACCAGCAAGAACAACAAGACATAAAACAAATTTGTAGATCTGGCGATTAAAATGGAAATCAACAGGCTTTGGAAACATGATTGAGCGAACCAATTCTCCTTTAGAAGTAAGAAATCCAGTACGGATAACAACCGCTTTAACTTTAGAGCTATCGTAGTATCGAGTTTGGATGACTTTGGTTCCACAGAATAGAGTATGCTTTCCATGCTCTTTAGAGTTGTAAAATTCATCTTCATGATACAATAACGGAATTTTAGTAACTGGAACACTTTCTCCTGTTAGAACTGATTCATTAACAATAGCATTTCCACTAATGAGGACTGCATCACATTGCATTATACAACCATATGGTGGTAGAATAATAACATCACCAGGAACTAAATCACTGGATTCAATTTCTTCTGTTTCGTCTGAACCTCGACAAACAGTAACCGCATCAACTCCCTGAACAGTATCTCTAAGCTGCCTTTGATTACGACGAATTTGAATAAGGCTAGATCCCAAAGATAAAGCTGACATTAAGAGAATACAGGAGGCATAATAGTAGTAATTGTCGAAACACCAAAGAAGTATACTGTAGATTTGAAAAACGTAGAAAGGTTCTAAAACTTCATTAAAAAATACTTGAAGGATAGATTGTACTTCAACCACAATTGCATTTGGTCCAAATAGCCTTAACCTGAAAGTAAATAGAGAATAAAATTTAGTACGTCGTCAAATTTGCATGCATTCAATCACAATCTAATTCCCAAGGTTAGGGTCACAAAAAATTTACATTATAGCCTAGAAATAAAATCAACTAAATATGGTTCATCGGGCTCACGACGCTATTTTGGTCATTTATAAATTAACCGAAAACAATTTAACGAAAGTCTAAGGCTCATGCTTCACTAGTGGACTATGTTATTCCCATCTTTCAATGTACGGCTAACAAGTTTAGATTTTTTGTGATAATTATGCAAGATTAAAGATTATTTCATAAAATCATGATTGATTGTGCTAATAGAACTCCTTTATCAATGCATGATTGGTTATAAACTAGTGATAGATAGATATTAGTTTAATTAGCTTTGTCATTAACTGGTAAAGCAAAAGTTATTGCAGGTTGTTTGAAAACGTGAATCCTATTGAGATAATAATCGTAGGAATAGAAGTAATTGATAATTATAATAACCTTTTGGATTGCTCTTCTGGCGAAAGTCCATGTTGGTGATAAAAAAATGAACAATCTACATTTTTATCAAGTCCACTTAGCTTAACAAACTGTTGACTCTCCTCATCCCAAATGTAGCGAATCCTCTTATTGTCAAAGTATAAGAAACAATCGGCATCCCTAAAAGCTCCATCGCCATCAAGTTTTTTCTTTTTTTCAAAAGATGACCAGTCTGATGGTGATGACTGGGAATAGCTTTTAATTGATTCAATTTTGCTTTTTTGCAAATTGGATGAAAAATTTGGTAACACGGCAGAATGCATCGTCTTGATTGTTTCAACATAAATTTGATTGAATGAATCCTATGGAAATAATTGAGATTAAAAGATGGAATAGAAAAAATGAAAATTAGTGAAACAGCAACATATGGGTTGGCGAATGAAAATATCGTATCTCAACACTTACAATCAACATAACTTTTCGTGCCTCTTTTAATCTGCATCTACGATGGGTGCAGATTAACATCCAATGAGGTTTCCAATGAAACAATAAACGTAACATCCCTAAAGTTATTATTATTATGAACCATGTAACAATTCTGAGGAAATGAGATAGTTGATAACCATAGACCTCCTGAAGTGTTGAGAAGAATGAAAAAGACATAAGTTTCAAGAATCGATGGCAATCCAGATGAAAGAATTGAATAAATATGGGAAATTCATTGAGTATTCAACTCACCATTTGGTCCTCTTCTTGATAATTGACATAATTGGTTTCATCATCTTTGGTCGTTGGGTCGGATGGTTTGCGTTGTTTAGATGGTGTATCTGTAAAATCAGATACATTTGAAAGTTCATAAGCTTTCTCCATAAGGATACACAGAAAGGAGTATAGATACAAAAGACCCTCGAAGTCAGGGAAACGAATATAATGATAACTGATGACACAAGTGACGAAGGTAGATGATAGTGAATAATAATGGAAATGATAGTCTCAGCAAAAAAATGTAATTGAATCAACAGAAGTATAATTTAACAGCAATAGAGAAAACAATCGATCACAAATTGGTAAATTGAATAAAATAATATTTTTTAAATGATACAATTGATGTCCAGAGAGCACAATTTAACTATGATTTGACTTTTCTCGAAATTGGAACCCAAGGGTCAATATAAAAGAAAAAGGAAAGATTGGAAAGAGAAGATTGCTCGAACAATCAAACTCAACCAATCAACCCTTTTCTTGTATATCACCTTGTGAATGGTCGGTTGATCTTAACCCAATAAAAGGATAAAAAAAAGTTCGATTAAATGTTGACGTTAACGATGAAGATTTTAAGCACTAGTAATCACAGAACCAACAGTATGTACAAAAATGGTGAAATATAGAATGGAGTTACAATTTATATCTTGACGAGTGTTCAATAAGTTTCACTTTAGAGGCGAGCAATTACAAGCCAATTTGGTGACACAATTGTCATCGCAATAATAAAAAAAATACTAAATTGATAATCAGTAATAATTTAATGACTAGAGAATAAACAAATCAAGTGTTGTTTGATGAGCAAAAAAATATCTACTGTTAAAACAAAAATAATATGTTGTTTCCTTCACGACCCTTAACTCTACTCTTCAAGCTTCGACTCACTGAGTCACTTAAGCTCAACTCCCTCTTTCTTTCCTTTCTGCCTTTCTTCTCTTCTCTTTCTATTTCCCCCTTTTTTTACCAGTAACTTCTGTCTTTTTGTCTTAGACAAAGACCGGCTCTTCCTAATTCCTCAATTTTATCATGCACTATCAAAATTATCTTTCATTGCTTCCTTCTCTCTCTTTCTCCCTCTCATATCAGTTATTGTCATTTACCCTCTCAGGTAAGCAAATCATCTTTTCCCTTCCATACCATAGATTTGCATACTTTTTTTCCTATTAACCCTTCCTTTCTTTATCTTGTAACTCTCTTTACTATCAACTTAATCTTCTCTTGTTGTCTCCCTTTCATCGTCTGCTACTGGTTCATCATCTTGTCGTCACTAGTTTTTTCTGGTTCAACATAGATTATTGGTTAACCGGTGCTGAATTTAGGAAACCAAATCGCGCCATTTTGTCATCGTCTGGTTTATTTATTTACCACAATGGATGTCACCTTTTCTAACCAACTCCTTCCTGGCAGACCATCCATGATTCCACAGAATAAATAGTCATCACATCACGAATTTCATGACAATAACTGTGACTAGTCTCTATACTTGAAACCATCAATATCTAACGTTAGATGGAAAGGCAATATTTTCCAGATTTTCCGATGCACAGGACTGATCGTTATGGATCAAATTAAGGACACCTTGTCTGACACATTAGGTACAAGAATCATAAACCTTTTCATCTGATAAAGACATTTTGCGATATTTCAAGAACTACTCCTGCCTATTTTGAGGTGTCATCTTAATAAATTACACTCATTCAGTGTTATTTACATGAAATTTAAAAGTCAAGGTTGATATTGCAGATCTACATTGCAAATGTGTCTGCCATGATCACCATAAAGACTAATCTTCAAGACTCAGTTACATAATGAAAGAGTTTATAAAATCCAGATTACTAGAAACCACAATTCAAGTGACATTAGAAAGATGATAATTACTGAACACCTATAAGATGAGGAGAAACCTATGGATTGTCTCAGTTTATTGTATTTAAAGCAGATCAATAGATTTAGAGTCATCAGCCTGAAAACGATTACTGATACAACCCAACAGTCTATTTCAAGCATGGAAACCATGTGATAATAAAGGAAGACATGAATTACCAGATAATTTAAACAGAGCATGGTTTTCGTTGGGAAGACGAGACTAACCAAGAGATAACCTGAGAAGGTTGAATTTGAGAAAGTTCAAATAATAACATTGAAACAAAGGATTCTGGAAAATTGATCATCCTTTAAGTCAAACAATTACTAGATGTTAATTACATTTGTATCATGATGACCTAAGCAAAATATTTCCTGATTCACCATGGAACGTTGACTTTTCTGTTAATTTTGGTTTTTTTTGCTTGAATTGATACACACAGACAAATGGCTAATCAAAGTTACAGTCACTTGATTGTGATTACATGGATATCTAATGGATTGAATTGGCTTTGAGTGAAAAAACCGTTTTCCAAGAAATGAGGTTTGAGCTGGTAACAAACAAGGTGATCAAGATAAAGCAACTTTACTTGGCAAATAACTCGCTTTTGTGGGTCAATGATGGTCTCTGTAATTTAATTTGATATGTAAATTTAATGAAACAAGGTTGTCAGTCTAAGGCCTCAATCGTTATATTATTATTCAATCACAATTGACACAAAATTGTAATGATGGTGATTATAATTATTTTGATGTCATTTTTCGTCAGGTTTAGGTGTTTAAATAATTTGATTATCCTGAATCATCTTATTTGGCTGCTATTTGGCTGCTATTTGAGTTGTAAGCAAACCTACAGGAGGCTTTGGGTTATCCAGATTGTAACCTTTATCTAACTGATTAGCAAATAATAAATATCAAGCTTCATGCAAGCTTTTAATGTTATTATCTGATTTACAAATTGATATTTTTACCAATGTGGATGGAAGATCTTAAGCCATTTTTCAATCAAATTGTTGATTAAATAACAAGGTAATTGATAAAGCTAAATCAATTGTAACCATGATTGGTTATTTTCCTGTAAACAAATCATTTGAAAATTGATCACTTGCAATTGTTGTCACCAACCAACAATGGTAAGAAATAATGAAAAAGCAGATTTTTGCTCAAATTAATGTCTTGTCTTGTGTGTTAATTGATTGATTAGCAAGATATGATTTACTGATCAATGATTATAAAAGTGTTCATCGATCACTTCGATTATCTTGTAAACTGTTGAAATCATTTGTTTTGCAATTAAAACAATCAAAGGTAAAAATCTGTTTGATTTGCGTAGTTAACATACAACTTGTAAACTTGGTTACAATAACTGTTTAAAATTGAACGATTGATTCAACAAATTACTGTCACAAGAATGATCGAATGATCAAATTACAATTGTCATTTAATTATTCAATAGAAATTAAAATTAGTGCTGTAAAGGAGACACTATTCAAGGATAAAAGGAATGATTGTTCAATCATTGAAATGGAATCTGAATCAGATTTGGAATGACGAAAATATGGTTAGAAATAAAATATAAATTTTCGCAAGTGTGATGTTCAATTAAACGATCCTCATCGCAATTAAACTCAAACGCAATTGCAGCAATCTTAATATGAGAAAAAGGTAATTAATTGAATTCAGAGTCAACTTGATACTTAGATTGTAAAAATAGTCCAGTTATATAATAATCGGACAAGTTTAATTGTAAAACAAAATATCTAATAATTACATTAACGCAATAAAATATACTCATTACCAGTATCTACTCATTGATAAAATTAACCTTTTCTGGTTCCATTTGCCACATTCAATATTCCGGTGTAAGTGAGTCTCAATTGTTGGTTGTGTGAATCTTACAATTAGAGACACATTGTAACCTTGATTATTATCATTATCATTATAAAGTAAATGGTTAATGTTCACAATTAATTCAGCAATTTAGGTAAACTATTGCAATAAAAAAGGTTTTTCATTTTCGCAATTTTTTTCTTACCTTTATGCTTTTTATGCATTTATGCAGCAAGATACATTAATCTTTGCCTAACATTTTATATTTCAAATATAATCATCAGTAAATGATGGTATTACTTAGCTAAATTAAATTGCGATAAATTGAAAAATGAAATTATTTTAACACAAATCTATACTTTCTTGATAAAGATGACTTCAAGTCTGGAAATGGAAAGTCTTGACAATGAATTGCACACGTTGCTTACTGATAAATCAAAGGTTAAGTTTTCATCCAATTCGGTACACAATTTCAGTACTAGGTGATTATTAATCACTAATCAAGCTAATCAAATGTTGATGTTGGATTAGAAAGTAGATAAGATTAACTTTGAAGCCTGATAGTCTTAAAGTTAACCCTAAGATTTGAAGCTGATAAAAAATAACCCAAATCTTGGTTAATGGTCAAAATTTCACATTTTGGTTTGAATTTCTTGACTTCAGTTTTTAGTCAATATTTATGGTCAACTAGACTAGATTTAAAATGAAGATGAAAAAGTCTTACCTTCAGTCCATTCTAGGAATTGGATTAAATCATCATCATCCATAATTTTGTAAAATGAATATAAGATTCTGAAAAAAGAGCTTTCAAATGACTGGTAAATGCTGTTGGTTTACTGAATAACGTTGAAACAATATGTTGTTGTTTACAATTTTAAACATGGATTTGATTTTAAATAATTTTTCTCACTCTTGTGAGTAATTATCTTCTCTTCTTCTTTCACTCCCTCTTTATTATCATTATCAATTATCTTCTCAAATATATCATAATCTATAGATAATAAGGTCACAGAGGGAAAGCTAAAACCAACAATCTTTGTGAATATTGGAAATAAGATCTGGTGAATGATAAGAATGAGAATACTTAGAATCCATTATGACTTAAAAATCGAGAAACTGGACAAAATCGTGAAAAATTATAACAAATCATCGTCAAATTGATAAAATTGACATCAAAATTTCAAAATTTTCTACTCATGATATAAATTTTGTGTCAGATGTTTTTGTAACAATGAAAGTTGTCAAGGATTATTGAAAGATAGCAAAGTATTACGTATGATGCTGAAAAAAGCCTGATAAAATGAATTTCATCAATTGGAATTAGCATAATTTAATAATTACTAACAGGTGATTCAACGAGAAAATTGTATCATTTTATCAATTCAGCTTCATTTCATCAATGGTTTGGTTTACTGTCTGTACAGGATAAAGGTCAGTAAAATCAATCGTTCATAATGCCATGACTATTACCATGATTAATTAGCATGTGGTAAATTTTAGGAAGATGAGCTAATTAGTATTATACAATACCAAAATAAAATGGAAAAGGACCAAAGAATTGAATTGAATTGAAAAATGTAGACTGAAACTTCTGTTACAATGAAATAGAAATGTGTGAAGCAGTAAATAAAACAACCATGAAAAAGATCGATTCAAGTCAATTTGATGATTCTAGCATAATAATTAGGGATTTCAGAGACATTTTCTCTCCTTACTTTAAAATAAAATTGTCTGTAACTCTTTGAGATTCTTTGAACTCTGCCATTATCATTAAGAATACTCAATTCTTCCTTAGAGATTCCTTTTCAATAGAAATTTTAAAGAACAATTGTCTAATGGAAAGATAGAGGAAACAAAGGATTGAATTAGAAGCAACAGTTTAGTTCATGATCGACACAAAATTGATAACATTATCACTATTATAAGATAATCGAATAGCATGTAAAAATAAAAAACATGATCAAAACTTGTTTGATCCATGTTAGCTAAACAAGACTTCAAGGCAAAATCATTTTACCATGTAAATTTAACCTGGGATAAAGCGTCAACTTGGGATCATCAGTTATCCAAAAATTGCTGCTGGAAAAATTAGCAGGATAAAAACTGGCTGCTGGCTTCAGTGAGCGAATAGCCATGCGAAGATAGGTATGAAACAATTAGTAAATAGATTTTAAATTACCTCCTATTGATCCAAAAGATTTCTCAGAATCTGGGGTTGTTCTCCGGAGAAGTGAATATTTTTCATCACATGTTTCGGTGGCATGCCGATGAAATGGAAGTAGGTCTAAGATAGTAGACAACATGCGAAAAGAAAATATCGCTTGTCCTGTCTTTTTCACTGATTATCCGTTGGTATTAACAAAACTGAACAATCAAATAGGTAAGAGCAAGAATTAACTTATCACCACTGAAACTGAATGTTGAGTAGATCGCGAAAGCACCCAGTTGAACAGGCAGAAAAAATCTCTAAAAGCACAAGTTGTAAACGTATTGAAATTTGTAGCCTTATGTTAAACTGATTAGGCTAGACTGGTGGTTAAAACACTAGTAAAATTTCAAATTTCACTGCTGGTTTAACACTCTTTACTTGGTTGTTTACTTTCAGCTGATGATGAATTTAACTCCAAATTGTTTTCCAGCTAGGCTTATGGTTTCTTCATTGAAATGGTAACCGAGATTCCTTGTTCCTCTGTTGACACAAAATGGACCAGCTGATTTAAAACTATTGTTAATTATGATGACCAAGAAAACAATGGCATCCTTCTAGATCAAACAGGTTGACAGACTGTTGAAACAAAGTATCAGCTTGTAATCGGATTTTTAACAAACAGTTAATCTTGTTGGCAAAGAGGCTTGATTTCAATATTATTCATAACTTTACTAATTCTTGAAATGGCCTTTAGTTCATCTTCACCGATGTTGGTGCACGAGAGCGTCGTTGAATAAGTGTTGCTCCATTCCTATTGAAAAAAAAACAAAACAAAATGAGTAAAAGCTTTTAAAATACTGTTTGTTTGTACTGATAACCATAAGGTTTCTTACTATCGATCAACATACAATTGTTTAAACAATCGTTTCAGTTGACATGGCTCAGTAAAACTGTCTTCCGTTAAAATAAAAGTCGAAACGTATAATTATTTGAAGAAATAGATAATTGACTTATTTGGCTCAAAAAAGTATAAGTTTAAATGTTAGTTACACACATCAAAAAAAACCTTGACTAAGCATCAAGCACATTCCAAGCTAACGATTGGTAAATTCAACTGGATTCGATTTTTCACTGATTTTGATAATTTTATCGCCTTTGCCAACATTAGTTAGTACCATGTATTTTCTATGATAGGCTATCACCATTGTATTTCTAATCAAAGATCCACAATTATCAACTTTTTCACAAACAGGGAAAACTTATCACATGTGAGAAGTAAAATTACCTTTAACTTTAAATTTCTCTATCCATAAGGTTTCCATAAAAGAACAGCATTGCGATCCAACTTAACGTAAATACAATTGTTGTCTAAAACATTTGCCAATCAATAAAATAAATCATATTAGACACTATAATAATAAATACAAACTTAGACAAAACAACAGACAAAAACAAATCAACAACATGCAAGTTTGAGTGAGAAAAACCAGCGCGCCAACTTTAAGCTGGTCAAACTAACTACAAAACCCTTTTAGCCTCAATATGTCATTTTAGATGTGCTTTTTTATCATGTGAATTAAAGAAATATCGATTTCTATTTACCGTCTAATAACTGAATGGTGAGTACAGATAAAATTTTGACAAAATTATATTTCTTTAGCCTAAAGTCTTGTAACCTAAACGAGAAATTCTGAGTGTAAATCTTAATCATTGAGAACTATCAGGAATATCTTCGAATGTAAACAATGAGTAATGAGATTGAAAAACAAGATTACTTTGCATCCTTATGATGAGTGTTTATGATGATTACAGGATTTGGATACAAAAAATACTGATAAGCATGATTGTCTTCATAATGGTTATCGTCTAGTAAAGTCTTATACCGTAAGAGCCTATAACTTTTGATCATCCATATTCAGTCAATACAAAATCAAGGAATCAGGTTACCAACAATGAAGATTAATGCTAAATTTATCTCACCGTAGTTACCTTATCATAATTTCACTTGAAAATCAGGTGTTGGTGGTTGACATCTTGGAAAAAAAGTTACCGTTTCTTAGGCCTTGATAGTGTTGATTGAACAATAAACTTGCGTATCCTTTCACATTGTTTACAAAGTAAAACCATCATTTTTAAATCGTTAAAGTTGTTAAGTTATTTCCAAGATTGATTTCAGTAGCTTGAAACTTGATAAATTAGCTGATAAAAGATTTGATTACGATAAAGTGAATTGAATTGAAGAAAATATTTGAATGTGAAATAACAATTAACACTGTTCGATACAACTGAGTCTTCATATTTTAACCAAACATGCCTTTTTATACAAAAATTGGAAACTTTGCCGCTGTAACTTGGTGTACAATTGGATCTGCACTACTTGGGTTGTTTTTAATGCTGGTAGGTGCCATTATTACTGGATATGCTTATACCGAAATCACTCCACCCGATTATGATGATAACTACCAAAGATATATTGGCTCCAATTTAATGAGAGTTATGGGTAAGTTGATAACCATTACATTACAGATCAAAGACAGGGTTAAATATGAGCTCTATTGGCTGAAGCTCATATTCAGGTTCAAGAGTTGTGTTCAATTTTTAACATTATCCATTTTCCTGGGTAAACTTAATTGCTTAATCTATCAGCAACTCTCATACAGATTGTATGATAGACTCAACCATTTACTGAATAATATATTTGGCTCAAGAGTCAACCATCTTCAAGCAACTTACTTGAGTTACTCTATTCACTTAAAGTGTTAAGATGAAACCTGACATCAGTCTTTTGTGCAGTTTGTTTACCAAATTTTGTATGATTCACAAATATTGTTTGGTTTCAATTAGAAAGTGTAAATTTGCCAAAAAGGTTTAATTTTCAAGGTTTGTCGATGTTTATTTCATAACTAATCATTTAACTTGCTCTATTTCAAATTTAGGTCCTCTTTTCCTTGCATTTGGAGGATTGCTTCTTTTTGGTAGCTGTTGTCTCTTTACATTTGCCTTTGTAAGTGAGAGTCGTAAAGATCGAGGAAGTGCTAACCAAGTTGACTATGATGACAGAGTTACAGGACCTGAACAAGAGAAGCTCCAGAATCCATGAAGTTAAATGACAAATTAATCGTCTCATTGTGAATCAAATGGAAGTGCTACCAAGCCATTTCAACAATTTTTTCATTTTCAATTCATCAACAGTTTGATTCATTCATTCTGTCTTTACTCTAATCATATTATGACAAATATAAAAATACAGGGTTTTGCCGAAGGATGTGTTTTCCTTAAATATTTTTTTATTTTCTTTTCGAATAACTTTTTCTTTGGTGAAAGTAAAGCCGAATAACGGGGAAATAAGAAAAATTAGTTCTTGTCTCATTCGAAATTTATATGTAAGTCTAATGACATTTGCCTATTGTTACATTTTGACGAAACTCGGATTTGCTCAGAAATATTTTTGAAGTACATTCTGTTTACAACAACAAAAGCTGTAAATTCACCTTGATTTGATGTTTAATTGTATTCATTATAAATTTCAATTGATCTTGAATCATATTGAGTCACAAGGGCTCATCTTGCTGTCTCGATGTCTTCAAGTTACAGAGTTATGTAGACATATTGATAGGAAAATTTTGAAAAGGCGCTTTGTATAAATTGTTCAATGAATGGAATCATTGTTTTATTCAGAATTTAGAAAATTTTATGTTTAAACTGAATTATGGTTAATACGCAATATAAGTGTGATCGACCTTTGATCGTGATCTATCATTATTAAAGTATGGTTAGGGATTGATTGGTTTCACCGTGGTTGGTTCAGTTCGACGAACCAATATTGATATGATAAATGTAACTTGAAAATTAGCAGAGACTAATCAACTCTTATAACCCAAGTTTTGGTTTGTTTATTAGCAATATAAAATGAAGAAAATGAATCTGTGAATCTTGAGAATTCAGTTCGTGATTCATGTTTCGATAATAAAAAGAAGGTGATTGAAAGTAGGAAAAGTATTGGTGGTGAAGTTGATTGCTGTCGATCAAAAAATTGTTGTTGAAAAAGGCATCTCTTCACAGCTATAATTGATAGTCAATCAATACCTTCATGAAACCATCATTATTAGCCATTTCTTTATCTACTGTGTTGATCTTGGAGAAGGCAAGGAAAATTTTAGAGAAAAAGGAATGAAAATAAACAAAAATGAAATAAGATAAAGAATGTCCTTCATTGTATTCATGATTCCAAGAAAATTGAATAACAATTGATCAGCTATGAAAACCAGCAATTCGTTGTCAATCATTAAGTCTGTAATGAAGTAAGATGATGATGATGATGTTGATGATGAATAAGAAGAAAGTGAAAGATAAGGAACCAGACGAAAGTGAGTATGAGAGAGACTGAGATGTCCTTTGAACGCTTGGACTGAGCCCTTCAATGTTACCGGTTTCAAATTGATCAGTTTCTTGGTGAGCTTTCCATCAACAAGTCTTGTGAATCGAAACCATGAAAACCCAACAGTAAACAGTGTGATCATCATTAGTGCTTCTTTGGATTCTAGAAAACTGTAAACCAACTAAAAAATTAAACAGGTTAACCAGATAATTTTGTTTAAGGTTTGTGATTATCAATGTTGGTTAAAAATTTCCTCCGGTTTATTGTTTTCTCTGCAATTTTATCGTCAACTCTTGGAGCTTGTCCTAAACCATTTCAAGGGTTTGGCATCTTTTTGGGCCAAGCAAAAGCTTTTAATAATTCGCTGCCATCGATACGCACGGATGTTCTCGATTCTCTTTATCATGATTTAGGAATTCGTTATCTTCGCTCAGAATATCCTCCAAGTTTCAGTCCATCCAAAGGAGTTTACCAAATTTCTTGTGTAGACCAAGCATCATGTACTTGGATAACCATGGCTAATCTGTTGTCGTCTTATCCAGACATAGAGCTTTTCATTTCCATCTGGCAACCACCGACATACATGATGACAAATGCTTCATCATTGAAGACCGAATTTGAAACTGATTACATCAATTATTTGGGTAACATAACTTCTCAAGCCGAGTCCAATTACAACCTAACCATAAGTCGAGTATCATTTGTTAATGAACCAGAGTATTTTGATGCACCTTGGGCTCATTGTTTCATGTTACCAACCCAAGTTTGTCGCCTTGCTCGTTCCATGGTTGATCCACGGATGAAAGTTTGTCCTGAAACTGCCTACTTTTGGATGGCCAAATCTTACTTGATTGAAGGACAGTGTGATGGAGCTTGTTCCATAGTAGCTACTCATGGTTATAAACCCTGGGTCCGAGGATTTGCTACTGGTAATCCACAAATTAGAGTTCATTTTGATTTAGATGTTAACGAAAATGATTTAGCACAACCAGTCTGGATAACAGAGCTTGCATCAACATTGACAGAAACAGAAATACCAAATCAAATGGATTTCGCACTGGATTTAGCCTCATCTTTGGCCAATTTTGTCGGATCAACCTGCGTTCAAAGGGTCTACCATTGGTTAGCCTACACTGAAACATCCTCCAGTGAATCCCTTATTTGGTCAGTCAATGGAACCAGCTTGCTTAAGCCAAAAAAGTACTATGCTTATCGACATTTCACTCGATCAGCCGCTCCTGGCAATCGGACCGTATCTACATGTTCAACCAAAAGTTATACTTGTTTAACATTTGATGATCAAGTTATTTATATTAACAAGAGAAGACGATCAGTTAAATTGAGCACACGACGTCCAAGTCCGGAAGCTGTTTGTTGCACTGAACCGAATTCAGATCATAAATGCTACCAAAAACCAACAGAGTTACCAGCCAAGTCTATATGTTCAACTGCTGCTGTAGCAATTGGAGCTTAATTACATGTCTACAATATTGAAAGCGGTAAATGACTTTAATGTACAAAAAACAACGATACAAAAAAGCAATAGAGATAATAGGTTACAGAAGGAATGGATGTAGACTTGAGATTCGTTTATACTAGATATGTTTGTATCAAAAATATTCAATAAATCAAAATCCTAATGGTGGTCAAAAAAGTTTGGAATACAAGTAAATCGAGTTTTTGCAAAACTGGATAATGTCCATGGTTTGGTTCGTTTTTTGCTTGATGAGAAGTTTATTTGCACAGTTTTTAAAATAAAGGCACATTGCATTGTATTATCGTAGTATGGAATTGAATGAGAAATTGAAAATATTCAGCAATCCGAAAGTAGATCAATAATTAACTGCTTGTATTATTAATAAAATGACATGATGTCTATTAGCTACATAAAAGTATTGTCCTCAATATCGTCGGATGATTTCTGAGTAGGATTTGATCGGCTTTGGAATAGCTCTCGGATAAGAGCCGATTTCTCTCGTTCTAAAATGGTTATCTTTTCACTTTTCATGCTAACCTCTTCAGTTAGCAATCGATTTTGTTCTTTAAGTCGTTGAACAGTTACATTGGTTAAAGCTTCAGGTCGATTATCAAACTGAACTCGACCCTGAGGATTGGTAAGAATAGGTCTTAGAGCTAGATTCATATGAACAGGAAAACCTCTTGAGTTGTCCATTAAAGCAGCTAAATGTTGATTCACTGTTAAAATACGGGCTGCTTGGAAATTGATTCTTTCTTGGTTAGCGTCTAATGAATAATCGCCTTGATTAACCATAGTTTGACCAATGAAACGAATTTTATTTTGTATGGTATTGATACTTTTAATGTACCAATCTCTTCCTCTTTCAATCATTTCCAGACCTTGTAGGAGAATTTCTTTTTCTTGTTCATATTGCTGTAAACGCTTAATTGTGTTTATATCGATACCCGAAGACACTGTGTGACGTCGCGCTTCTCGTCTTTTGCCATGGCGATTGCGAACGGAGACATTCGTTGTTCCTCCGTTTGTTGTACTGAAACCCCAGTCATCATCTTCTTGAATGAGTTTAGGCTGAGTCGAAAGAGACATTGGACCACTATTGACTTGCGCTGAATTCGTATTCTTATCAAGAGTTGCTGTGATATTGGAGGCTAAACTCGGAGCTATAGATGTACCTGGACCGAGGGAAACAGAGTTGAGCGATGGTGGTAGTGGAGGGTTTGGTGTACTTTTATAGATGACATTATTTTTCCACTCTTTGAGGATATTTATAATTCTGTTTCTCATGGGCAATCGTTGATTCTTTGTATCATAAGAAATTTTTGCTTCGCTATTGTATTGCCTGAATGCTGTTGAACTGACCATAGGTAAATTTGAGTCAGACGTTGTACCAGGTTGATCACAGTTGAGTTGAGAAATAGTTTCCTGTAATTGTGGCATGCTTTTAACACGATAGTCAGATTTAAATTCTGTAGGACGGTCTGGTAAAATATCATCATTACAAATATCTTCACAAGATGCCTTCATTGGAGCCGTTACTGTGTGAGATTCAGTAAATGCTGTTGGAGGTAATGGTCCCAATGCTACAGGGTTTTCTTGACGTAGACGCTCAACAGAAAAGGGCCTACGAAAATCTTGTGACGCTGAGTCAATTGGCTCCTCATTGGTTCGTATCCGTATTTCAGAATTTGATATAGACCTTTCAATTCCCGCTGATTGCTTGATAAGCTCATTATTAATAAATGTTGGTGGATTCAAATCCGCGCAGTTTGATGTTCCCGGGTTTCCAGCCAATGAAACCGCGCCTCTGAGTTCATTGTTATGTGAGTAAGCTATTGACGATGATATGGCTAATGATGAGGCTGATGAAGTTGATGATGAAGCAGTTCTAGGTGATGATGGTCCATTACCAACATTGTCACGAGATATACAAACAGCAATTGCATGGCAAAACCTCTCAAAATCAATTAAATCATGAGCAGTTTGAAAGTTTTGAAGACATTCAATGAAACCTTTTGGCACACTTGATTCATTTTCAATAGTTTTCCACCGCGCCTCTAAATCAGAAAGCTTAATTAAACCACTTTTACTCTCATCTAATAGAGTAAATAAACCTTTCAAAGCATCAACAAATTTACGTGGAAGTCCATTGGTAGCATTAATTTGTGAATTTTCATAACCAGTGTCTTGGTTACCAGTACTGACAGATGAGTGTTGTGAGCCATGGGGCTGTGATCGAGTCAATTTTAATTCACCACTTTGTTTAATCTCATTGTCATCATGATACTTCATGGTTGAAAAATTATTAAGGGTTAAAGTTTCCAAAAGATAATAAATTCCGAAATCATAGCACCATAATTTAATAAAAAGATAGATAGATAAAGGCAGAGGGAAAAGGCACAAAATTGAAAAGGTAAATGTGAGCCTCACAGTGTGAGGTTCATTCAAAGAAAGCAACAACAAACTTGTAGATGTGGTTGAGTGAGTTTTGCCTTGAGGGTTTTTGGCTGTTTATTTGAAATTGGGTGGCAATCGAAATCAGTGTTAAAATGTTTTAAACTCTGTCATTTAAAAGCAATTTAATTAGTTTATAATGATAACTGTATAATTATCGCAAAAATTGAGAAAATATACAAAGTTTCACATTTTCGCGGTTTTTATACAAATAAACAGTCTTGTCTTGTAGGAATCACACTCACTGTATGCTTCCTATTGAAATATCTTTTGTTTACATTTTGTGTGTTAAAATTTTATATTTAATTTATTTAGTTAATTATTTTTCTCGGTGTTTTGATGGCTTAAATAGGTTAAATGTGTGTTACACGTAATCACATCATATGGTTGTGACATGATGGTATCTATTTGATACAGTATCAGTTTGTAAAAATTTGATTCCTTGGTCAAATTATATCAACCGTTCTTGGTAAGTAATTTTCAATCATGTGCTTTGTTATTGAATGTCTTTTTACGGATAATACTAATGGATGTTTATTTTCTCATTATTTATCTACAGCTAGTTTACTGGGGAACCAATATCAAAAGTGATTATCGGAGTGCCTGAAAAAATGGAAGGAAAGAAAATCAGTTTTAGCTTCAAGAAAAAGGCTGATACACGAGGATTTGTCAAGCCTGAAGAAAAGCCTAGTAAAGTACCTGGTGAAGAATACATCACTGGTATTGAAGATAAAAGGATCGAAAGTCAAGGAGGAGGTGGTGGAAGCACATCTTCATTGGTAATACCACTGACTAAAGGACAGAAAATTTCTGACGAAGAGCCTACAGTAGATAATTATCAAGAGATTCCTGTTGAGGGATTCGGATTAGCAATGCTGCGTGGAATGGGATGGACTGAGAATGATGAAAAAATCAAACCCATTGAAACGTACATCAGACCGAAAGGAGCTGGTTTAGGTCACAAATTGAGTGAAAAATAATATCAAATGTTTCCATTACCATGATGTTCATTGGAAGTCATTGAAAGTCATATTTTTACAAATAATGTTCCTATTTTTCTTTAGTCAGAGAGAAATCAAACGATTGTGATTAATTTTCAATTTCCGCAAATAACACATTCAAGAATGAAGGTTATAGAACTTTAATACCAAATGGACTTTGAAAGTAAGTCCTTAAAGTTATCATAAATGTATAATAAGAATAGATGATGATAATAAAAACGATAACGACAAAAATGATGGCGATGGTGATGAAAATAGCTTGATTATCTTTGGATAAATCACTTAACCTAGATTAATCTTTGCTAAGAAATTTGCTTAGTTTAAAAAATTTCATAACTCACCTTTTTAATACGAAGCAATCAAACGAGAAAATTTAAATAAAGTGGATCACAATGGACTGGTGAAAGTTAACTATTTTAATTATACCATTCTTGTACTTTATTCATGAAAAACAGCATTTCAAATCATAATTTATTATGAGGTCATGTTTCAAAATATTACTCAGTTTTATCTCAGAAAAACAATTGTGCGAGTTTTATTGGAGTGTTGTTTGTGCAATTTTAGTCTTGAAGGTGTGAATAGTTGAAATGGAAAAGTGTTTATGGCTTGGAAAATGAGTGTTTACTTGAATCTTTTGATATTAAATGGGATCAACCAGAACGATTGTTATTGGTATCCAATAGATAAGCTACTCGTTGTTCACTGCCACCCGTTTTGCTTTCCATTGATGATTTGTTTTTCACTACTTGAACTAATTAGCAAGAGATCGAGCAAGCTTCTTTTTGAGATCATTTTGCTCAATTCCTTTGGCTGTGTAGAGCTGACAATTGTATGGAGCTTCGTCTTCCCCATTTCGGCAATCTCTTCTTCCATCACAAACATGATAGGAATCCATACAGAGACCAGTATCACTACACCTGTAGTACTCTGGGAATGGGCAGTATGTTTCACAGCCAAATTCATCTGATCCATCATAACAGTCTCGGGTTCCATCACAAACATGAGAGTAACTAATACAATCAGCATAATCACATCGGTAACATTGGCTTTGCCGTCTCATTGGTGATGCAGCATCAATCATGGCAACTTTTGAATGGATAAATGGGAAGAAATTATTAGACGAATAAGTTGAAGGCAAGTTTTCAAGAATAAAGGTATTTTTACTTACCAAGAGTTGCTAGAGCAATAACGATGATTGTTGTCTTCATTTTCACTCAATTTAATCACTCGGATTCTTGCCGATTGTGTTCACACAGATATTCCAGTTAATGAATCAGATAAACATTTTGCTAATTTGTTAGTCTTTTTATACTGAAAAAATGGCAAATGGGAACATCAAGAGAAATGGTAATGTCCTTTGAAAGACAGGGGATGACAAAGGAAATACATGAAAGGACGACACAGAATAGCGTGGGGGATTGAAGATGGTGGTGGTACTCCTGATGATCGAAGAAGAGTAGGTTAGGTGATGGAGAAGATGAAAGCGGTTCGAGCTGGTCTAACGACACTCTTTACCATATTCAAATATTGTTTGCAATCATTTCATGGCTCAAATAAATCAAAAGTTGACCCAGATTGATGAATTTTCATTAGGAATGAAACACTGGTAATTAGACTAATCACAATGTCGACAGAGACAAAAGGGAAAAGGGAAAAGAGAGAAAGAGAAAGGAAGAATCAAAAGTATTGGATGAACTGGGGTGAACAAATTAATTATTGGAAACATCTCCGGAACAAAATGATAGTTAATTTGACTTCTTGTTTATTTCCCAACAATCCTATTTCATTAGTTTTTGCTCATCAATTGGGACATTGAAAGTCTATCATTTGATATTTTTTGTGCTTTAAAAACAGTCAGATTAATTTAGATTTCAATCCCTGATCCATGTCCAATCAATGGAAAACTACAACAATTAGTTTATTATTATGGTTTATATTTGTAAACACATCCGATAACAAATATATCTCAAGAAATTTTTAAATCTATCCTGACCTATGCTTACTTTCATTGTTCATCAATAATCAACATTAAAATGGATCTTTTGATTCTATGATTTCCTCACTGCTCTGGTTCCATAATATTCATCATTACTTGAACTTATTCATTCCTTGTCCATGGCCGCTGCAATTGATTGGTAGAGCGAAATCGGATTCGGCTTCTCAGAGACGCAAAATATTGGCCAATTCAAATCGCTCAGAGCTTTTGATGTAGTTTTTCCAATGGCGATAAATTTAAATCGATTTCGATCTACACCTGTTGATAAGTTATCCAAAGCAATTCTAAGCGAATCAACCCCTGAAGGACTGAACAGAACCATGAAAATATTTTTTCCCTTGTTTTCAATGAGCAATTGGGCAAGCTTTTGACTTAGATTCGGGTTTGGCCAGGTGTGATAACAGGCAAAACAATCAACTTGGATTCCTTTTTCACTTAAAATGCTTGGAATCGTTTCTTTGGCAATTGATGAGGATGGCATTAACAGGGGTTTTCCGGAACTTTTTATTGGATCACTAAAATTTTTAACTATCGCTGAAGCAAGTGATTCAGCAGAACCTAGAGAGTTGACGATTTGCTCATCGATAGTACTTGAGTTGAATGCCGCGTTGAGAGCCTCAAAAGTTTTCGGACCAACTGGAAATAATAATTTGGCTGCAACTACATTGAATAATTTGCTGTCGCTGGCACAAGCTCTTTGGCAGGCCTCCACAGCCCTTGTCGAAGTTAAAACCAAACCACAATAACTGTCAGTTTGAGATAATCTTGCAGTCAATTGTTCAATATTGACGAATTCAAAAGATAATGGAGGAACTTGAAACGATAAATAACCACTTTCTTGTAACTGTTGACAATAAGGATCACTTTCAATGTAATCATCTCCTTTCAATATTATGAATACAGGATCCATAAATTATCAAATCACAATTAAAGTAAACTCTCGATTCTTTTACACAAATCAGATGAAAACTAGATCTTTTACTGCAACAAGATTTTGGATGCAAATGAAACACTAATTTGCAACTTTAAGGCTCAAGATGCATAACTCAATTATAACTTGATGATAGATACCGACGGTATCTACAAGTATCATCAAGTTATGGTTACACAGTAACTATGTGACTAGTAAAAATCCCGATAGTTACAAGTAACTTCGTGATTACAATTTACATTTATTCGTAAATTTGCCTAAATTCACACTTATTTTGCCCAAAAAATTAGAGCCATCTATGGATGTCGGAACTCTAGCCTAGTATTCAGCGACTGCCCAAGCCCGAATCTAAGTCGATGCCAGCCCAATTGCTAATTGAAAATAAGTTGAAAGATATTTACATGCTTCTGTTCAGTCCTTCAGGGATTGATTCACTCACAAGTTGGTTTTCGTTACCTGTTGCTTTTTTCGTGGAAAAGCTGGAAACTTTAGTTCCGTCTAGTTTGTTCCAGCAACTTTCTAGAGTGTAATTTGTATTTCCTTACATAATGACTAAAGAGAAGAAGAAACTGAAAAAGAAAAGAATGAACAAAACTCGAGCGATAATTGATGAGATAACTAAATAATATCAGTTGAAGTCACATAAATTTAACAACTTATTTACCGAAACACGAGATGCTTATTAATAATAGAGCAACAATATCAATTCTTGTTTTTCTTCTACTTTCACTTTAAAGCTCTTTCAATTACCCTCAGATGAATTATTGTCAATTATCGGTGTAATGCTCTCTTCACTCTCACTTTTGTTACTAAAGTCATTCTTTGACCAACTTTAAATCTATTAATAAAGGGTGTATTGTTTAAGAGTGGATGTTTTTTGTGGCAGTTGCCAGTGGTTAAATAATTTGTGATGATTATGAATCGCAACAGAACAATACAAATGAGTTCCAATTTATTCATTTCTTTATTTAATCAAAGTTCAGAGCATGAAATATTTTTTCTTGGATTGAATAAATGAAGGTTATAGAACTTTAAAAACCGAATTGACTTTAAATAAGTCCTTAAAACTAACATAAATGCATAATAAGAATAGATGAATATTAAGATATCGTCAATGCACTTCCATCGCCGTCTCCAGATCCTTCAACTCCCAAATTAATTTCCGTTGAACCAGACCCTTCAATGTTTTCATCAGGAATTGGTTTACTGGAATTGGCAGTTACGGTTTCATTTCCAGTCAAGATTGTGTTGTCAGTTAAGGTTGCATTGCCGGTTAAAGTTGTGTTGCCGTTTAAGGTTTCGTTGTCAGTTAAGGTCGCGTTTCCAGTTAAGGTTTCGCTGCCGATCAAGGTTCCATTGTCGGTTGAAGTTCCATTGTCGGTTAAGGTTCCATTGTCGGTTAAAGTTGCGTTTTCGGTTAAAGTTGCGTTTTCGGTTAAAGTTGCGTTTTCGGTTAAAGTTGTGTTGTCAGTTAAGGTTTCGTTGCCGGTTAAGGTTGCATTACCGGTTAAGGTTTCGTTGTTGGTTAAGGTTAAGTTGCAAGTTAAAGTAATATTTTTGTCATAACTAACTATCTCTTCGGCTGTCACATTACATTTTTCTAGTGGTAACTTGCCTCCAGTTTTGTTTGTTGTGGTTAAACAAAGTAAGATTCTTTCTTCATCACCACATTGATTTGGTCCCCATGAGCCCTCATATAGTGTACCTGAGCATTCGACTGGAGCACGACATGTTCGTACAGATATTGGTTTAGACTTATTAGCGCATCTTGACTCGTCAACTTTTATGGAATCATCATCAAATAAACCACAAAGAACATGGCGAGTTTGAAGACCACTTCCACATGATGCTGAACATGATGACCAATCAGTTGTGAACCATGAATAATCACAGCCAGGATTTTCGGTACAGTTACGTCTTTCCGTGGGTTTTTCTTCAAGTCCACAAACGGTTTCATCATAAATTAGTCCATCAGTACCTGCACAAATAACACTTCGTGTAGACATCATTGGACCACAAGGCTCACTACAATTTGACCATTCAGATTTAACCCAACCAACACCACCTTCACAAGGCACCGAGGCACAAACTCCTTCTGATTCTGGTCGCTCATTTGATGGACATAGACTGTCATGAACTCTTGTACTATTCAAGTCAACGCATGTAACTTCTCTAGATCGTTTACCTTGACCACATTGAGATGAACAATTTGACCACTCTGTTGTATTCCATTTATATTCTATAGATGATTCAGTTTGATTGCCCACTATATTGTTCAACTCATAACAATCATCAGGTGGACATGATGAAACTGAATTTGGTTTAGGCTCACTACCACATTTTGAATCGTCTAAAACTAATCTTTCACCTGTTCCACGAACTTCTTCACAAAACACTGATCGCGTTTTGATACCAGGACAGATACACGAAGACCAATTACCCTTGTGATAAGCGGGTGGACAATCAATTTCATTACAAGGTCGACTTAATTCAGGCATTGTTTCCTTTGAGCAAAGCTCTAATGGTACAAATTCACCAGTCTTTAGACGGAAACAGCGTGCAGGCCGAATCTGAACACCTTTACCACAAGTTCTTGAACATGTTCCATATGATCCAAGCATGTATTGATATGCATCAGCAGGGGCCCATATTGATGGAACTGGTATATTAGATGGAACAGAGTATTCATATTCGATCCCTGCTGTATTTTCCTGGTATACCATTTGAATATATAATGGACTTCGGAGAGGACCCAATGCATATAAACTTTCAGTGATAGCACCTGTTGGAGATGACGCTGGCCTTTTAACATATTCAAAACGAGTCCCACCAGCTTCGAAATCTGTTAATGTCATCTCAAATGTCCAATGTCCATTGAGATAATAACGACCAGAAGAGTCACGGACGGCTAAGAAATTACGACTTGGTGTCAATTCTTGGATTCTTATATAAGTTGCTCCTCTCGGAATAAGGACAATATCCTGATATCCTGCTGGTAAATTTTCAGAGAAAAATTCTCGTACTGTACTGCAATCTTTTCCTTCACCACCACAAACCCGGCATTTATCTTCTACTGCAGGTGAACCCAAAAGACCATCACAGCCAACCGGTAAACAGTTTCCAGCGACACAAATACCAGACATCCAATCCGTTTCACGTAAACATTTAGTGCCGTCAATAACTCGCTCCATTAATCTCTGTAAATCAAATAACAATAACAATTTAAAGCTTCTCTGGAAAAAGAAAAATTGATAGCACTAATAAATTATTCCTATGATGTTGAACTCCTAATGTCATAGTAAATAACAATTGGACTTTCACACCTCTTAACAATCAACAAGTAATAGTCAACAAAAAAAAGAAGAAACTTTTGTATTTACAAATTATCATTATCCTATTCAATTCAATATCATATTCAACTAATTTAGCCCTAAAATGGAAGTCAAAATTTGAATTCCAATCAAAGGAAATTTAAATTATTAAAAAATTTATCATTATCAACTTACAGTATACCATGTACCATTTTTAGGTTTGCAATTAAGAGCACAAAGATCTTCATCAGATCTTCTATCGGCTGATCGACTTGTGTAAGGTTCCCATTCAATTTTATTTAACCTACCTTTAGTTAAAGGTATTGATTGATTGTTGAACATTGAACACTGTTGAGTCCTAAAATCAACTGGTTCTGGACATGGTTGAATATTACACGAATAATAACGAGTATCGGGCCCGGTACACGTCGATCTTCCCATTGCATCTGTATCTGTACAGAATCTTTTCTGAGATCGCACTCCACCCCCACAAGGACGTGAACATCGACTTGGCTCTGACCATGGTGACCATGGACCCGACTCTTGAGCTGTTGTATTTTCCCCAAGAACTAAATTTGATGGGATATTAAAGTCAACTCTGGGATGACCGAAGTTACGATAACTTCTAGTAAATCGTGTGCGATGAGTTTCTCCATTAAGTTGATTGCTTTTAGGATCATCGTCATCATTTATTGAATGAATTTCTAGAGGTGATGAAAATGTAAAAGATGATGCAGGTAAAAATAATGATGGTTCATCTAAAGATGATTTGGAAAATGAATTTGATGACACTGATGATGGTGAAGACAGTGAAATAGATGGATTGGTACTGGGTAACCAAGATGAGATGCAAATCACTATATAAAATATCCAAATTTGATGAAGTAACATTTAACTAGTTTAATTGACAAGCAGTCTTGCCTTTTAATTTTAAATTAGAAACAATTTGACAGAAATGATTAAATAAAAAAAGACTTTAAAGAAGTTGAGAGAGCTGGAAAACTATACGTTTCATTAGTCAAATGATTAGAGTAAATAAGGATGATTAAGTTGATCGGGTTGATAAGAGGTAAAAGTTGAAACGTTTTTTTTTGTATTTCTTTGCCGACTTTTAAATACTTTCAGAGGTAATCAATTAATGATTAAATTTGAACTCAGTAATGATTATCGTTGATGATGAAGATGATGATGATGGTGATGGTTTAGATGATGGTGATCAAGAAAGGAAGCCAGGAAAACAAGGGGTCTAATTAAGGAGGATAAACGGTACTGTTGAAAAACAAACCGTGTTTCTTAGTCAGAGAGGAAGAAGAAGACGAGGATGAAGATGATGAGGAGGAAAAAATGCAAGACATAAGAGAAAGACAGAGAAACAGAGAGAAGACTCTTGTAAGACAGAGGCAAAATATGAAGGGCGGGGGTGATAAGGGCACTTTAGCCCACCATCATCCATCTCAAGTGGAGTTAGGATGAAAGAGGAGATGTCAAAGAGATGGAGGCTAATGATAACGTGAAAAGATGAAAGTCCTTCAGATCTTCTATCATTATCCTACATCTCTTTGACATCTCCTCCTCCATCCTAACTCCACTTGAGATAGATGATGCTGGGTAAAAGTGTCCTTATCTTTGTTTCTTCTGTTTTTTCTCTCTAATGTCTTCCATTTTTCTTCCTTCTCGTAACTCTTCAAGCGCTAAAAATTAAAACCATACATTCACTTCAATTCTGGAGCTTTATTCGCGGTCTTGAATTAATCTCATTGAAACTTGTCTATGCTCTAAACTTTGAAAGATTGAATAAAGAAATTAATAAATTGGAACGCATTTGTATTGTTCTGTTACGATTTATATTTATCACAAATTATTTTACCACTGGAAATTGCCACAAAAAAACATGAGTTTTTTTAGCTTTATATTTGATTTTTTTCATGGAGTAAATTTAAAGTTAGTCAAAGAATGACTTTAGTCACAAAAGTGAGAGTGAAGAGAGTATTACACCGATAATTGACAATAATTTAAATTTGTTACACGATTTTTTTTGTTTCTTGTAGCTTTTTGTTGAAGAGAACAATCAGAAATGGTTGTTTTTGTGTACAGAGAAAAGAAAAATAAGCAATATGCTTAGTAATCATTCTCAGAGTAGAAGGCATTTCACACAGAAGAACAAAAATACGAATGAAGAGAGAAGGAGAAAGAAAAAGAAATGAATTCATCTGAGGGTAATTGAAAGAGCTTTAAAGAGAAAGTAGAAGAAAAACAAGAATTGATATTGTTGCTCTATTATTAATAAGCGTCTCGTGTTTCGGTAAATAAGTTGTTAAATTTATGTGACTTCAACTGATATTATTTAATTATCTCATCAATTATCGCCCGAGTTTTGTTCATTCTTTTCTTTTTCAGTTTCTTCTTCTCTATAGTCATTATGTAAGGAAATACAAATTACACTCTAGAAAGTTGCTGGAACAAACTAGACGGAACTAAAGTTTCCAGCTTTTCCACGAAAAAAGCAACAGGTAACGAAAACCAACTTATCAATATCTTTGCTAAAGCACCCATTGGTTCAGGGTAAGAGTGCGTTAACAGTGCTAATAATGCGGTGACAGAGCACAAACCAGCGGTAAAAAGAATAAAGAATGGTAGCTCTTTTTTTGGATACACTGAAACATTGTGAAATGCTGAAAGAGAAGAAAAAAAATTAATTACAGAAAAAAGAGTGAGCAAAGTGATATATTACCTGGTAGCAATTCTCGATCTGTACTTTCAGTGCATGTTGGATATGGATAAAATAGTTGACCTTTTTCTAATGGGTATGGAATCATCCTGAAAGCTGGAAATACAAAAATATGAAGAAATCGTAAAATTAATAAATTGCTATAAATGATAAATACAGCGAATATAGATGCTTGAGATAGCTAATTAAGTTACTTTCACACGTATTTTAAATCATAGTAAAAGTAAACTTAGTGATATAAACTTACTTCCTTCCCATGTACAATGAAGAAGATTAAGAGCTCCTTCCACCCTTTTCCAATGTGCTAGATGGAAGAAAGCGTAGGCTATCGCCTCACTATCTCCTCGTTTGAGTATATGTTCAGGAGGGAGAATAAGACTTTTCATTTCCAACAAATATTTAGGTACATGTGGGTTAAATTCAACGGCTCGATGAATTGCTTCGACGGCATGCATCTCAGCGGGGGTTAAACCTCGTTTAGAAGCTAAGTCGGGTGAAAACTTTTCGCATACTCCGCGTGCTTTTAAAAGTGCTGCAGTATAACATATCGAAGCTGATTTTGGCAAATTAATATCTAAAATGGGTGATTAAAAAGAAAAATCATGAATAACTGATCATAATAAAAAATATCTCAAAGGGTAATACTAACCATCGTATTTAGAAAGAACTGCTTGTACATCAGCATAAGCTTGCATTTCTAAAAGAGCTTCAATCAAATTTTCATGAATATTAAAAACATTCATCATAGGAAATTCTTTGATCAAATCTCTCATCATTTTGGTCGCTTCTTTCAATTTTCCAGTTTTACGAGCACACATGGCTAAACGACGGCGCACATAAATAAGTACATTTGTGTCACGACGATGAATTGCTTCATAATTTGAATTTTGGTGATGATATTGCTGACTTTTTCGATAATTGGCTTCAGCCACTTTAAGAGCTTGTTTTAAAATTTTTTCAGCTTCAAGTATAGTCGGAGCTTCTTCTTCTGCTAATAATATTAATGCAGTTGCACATTCTGGATTTTTTTCTAAAGCTTCATGAGCTGCTTTGATGCGAGCACTCGGATCTCTTTCTCTCCAGGCCGTTTGCATCACTAAAGATAAATAAAAAATGTATTTAATAATAATAAACCGACACATAAATACGAAAACAAAATTTCTTCGAATTGCAAAAACAATATGAAGAGTAGTAGTAGTTGTGCGAAGATTACTTACTTTCATATTTATCTTTACCTGGATCGATGCCTTCACACGTGAAAAATGTTTGATGGTCTTGTGCAGAAAGATTCATATCATAGTACGTTAAAGGTTCTTTACGAGTAGCGGTTGCAAATCTATTATATTCAGCTCCTCTAAATAAACTTAACGGATTGCGCCACACTTTGCATTCTGAGCAGAAAAATAACACAATCAGTTTCTATTCAAAATGTCAACAGGTTACAACTTACCTAAAGAAAGCTGACTTGAGCTGTTAGAACTACTCGAAGAATTGTTTCCATTTCCATTTCCATTTCCATTAGTAGTTGTAGTAGCAGTAGTAGTGGTAGTTGTATTCGTAGTAGTAGTAGTAGCGGTAGCGGTAGTGGTTGTTGGAGTGTCATTGCTAGTATCACTGCTGCCCAACCAGGGAGAGATGTGATTTAGTGAGACTTGTTCAATAAATGATGTACCATATTTACGAAAGTACCACCATTCAAAAATCTGTGACAAGGAACAGAAAACAAAAGATTAGGATTAAATTAGCATGAAAATGCATAATTGTTGTGAAAATTAAGACATCACTTGAACCGCGTCACCAGATCGCAAAAAATAAGCTATTATTTGAAAAGACATGAAAGAAGTAAGTGAGAGCTAATATTCTCGATAATAAAGATTTCTAATAATAGTCATTCAGAGAACTAATATTTTATAGGTAGAGCTTTCAATAAAAATGGGGAAATCTTTAAAGAAATAAAAATTATCGATCGCAATCAACAAGGATGTGACTGGGGTAGAATAAAAACATCAATAATAGTAAAAATTAAAGGTTTTGTATAGATATTCAGAACAAACTTGAAATTCAGCGGTTAATCAGATTGTATTTCCAACGTGATAGACAAACTTCAGCTCAAAACGTGGAAAAATATTTTAGTGTTGAATTAAAGGAAAAATGAATCGAAAACTGGTGATTTAAATAAGCATATCAGCAGAAATTAATCACAGTTAAATTTGTCTGATCGTGGTCAAGGATGCTCATATTGATTAAATGTTGGTGATTACCAAGATAAGTCCAGAGATAAGTGATGAAGTTCCAGTCAGGGCAACGTAAAATTTAGGTGTTAAAGTACTTAAGAACATCGATGCTGCAAAATCAATAAGAAACGAAAATAAAATGAATTAGACAGAAAAACAGTGTAGGTCTACATAAATGCCATAGACAATAATTAAATAATGAATACTTACTCATTCTTTGAATTATGACTCTCCAGGATTAATGTTTTCTGCTTGATTTGATGACTTCAGGGTGACAATTAACGAAAAAAAATGTCAGTGAAGTAAGTTGACAGTGAAAAGAGACAATTTAAATAATTGTCATCGCAATAAAATTACAACAACAAGCAAAAATAAGCCGAAATAATTTTTTAACTTATTTTTATCTTTTATCACGAGGTGGCAGCTTGTAACATCGCCGCCGCCGCCGATTTGAAAGTTTCCTTAATTTAATTAATCTTTCTGAATTACATTTACATTTAAATTTAAGGTGTAAGATTAAATAATATGCAGGTGTGGAATTCTTGCAATCGCAAAGAATCAGTGAAAGAATGAATGCTAAAAATCATTAGAAAAACGAGCATTGAATGTACTGCAAAGGGGAAGATTAAAATTTAAATTGTGAGTCAGATTGAGCTGAATAGTCATCAAGTCTTGTTTAAAATGGATCACAATTGTTTTGAGAATTAAATTAATCTCAATAGTTGAGAGGAACGGAGTTAATTATGAATATCACTCAATAAAACATTTGAAATTAAAACTTAAATAGAAACTTGTGTCGAGATTCAACAGCATATTTGATCACTTGTGTGTAGCTAAACATGTGGTTTCTGTTTACATTTTTTTTGAACCGAATGTGGCTTACAGTTGTGATTGACTAGTTGTAATAGTATATAATTTATTTGAATTGTACATTTTAATCAAATTTTTACTTAGTTTTTCTTGTAAAAATGCCCTTTTCACTCGAAAATGACCGCTAAAGTAATTTCAATTGGTTGGAGAGGCTTGAGGGCCCTATGTTTGGCTTATGTTGTTGCTGAATACGGCTTTAAAGTAGCTTTGGTAAGAAAACTGTATTTTATTAAGCTTACTTCTACTGTTGCTTGAACCTTTATTTAATTGTTCTTGCATACCATAATTTGATATTTCACAATAATGACCTAGAGTTTAAATGCATCACGAGACTTTAAAATTCACACCATAAATTATCCAAATGCATTTTTAAATTTCGCTTTTTCTCTACAAAATTTGTCAGAAATATTTCAAAACATGTCTAAATGAGATGTCAATCAGGGCATAACTCCTACTATTACTCTTTGCAATCGGTTCTTATTATTACATATTCAATGCTAATCATGATTTTTGTCACCAGATTGATGGATCGTCAATGAAGCCTACTCTGAACCACCGAGATATCGTTTTAAGTAACCAATGGACTCCTATTTTCGGTAATGTAAAAAGGTAACAATAATTGGTTGGAAATTTTTTCTCTCCCTAATGCCAATTTAAATCTCTTCTGATTACAGAAGTGATATAGTCATCTTTAGATCTCCAATGGACCCTAAAAAGTATCATTGTAAAAGAATTAAAGCGATGGAAGGCGATCGAGTTCGAAAGGGCTTCACATCAATATCGGTAAAATAATGAAACTCTTAATTCAATACAAATGAAAACTAATACACTCTTTCAAAATTAGGTACCAAAAGGACATGTTTGGGTAGAAGGAGATAATTATTATCATTCAAAAGACTCAAGAGATCATGGTCCAATACCAATCGGGTTGATCATAGGAGTAGTGTTTTGTAAGGTCAGTTTCTGTCGAACAGTATTATACTTTCAAAAATGAGTTTCCTCATTGATTAATTTCATCTTCTTGCAGATTTATCCCTTTCTCGATGCTAAATTTCTTTCCTGATTGGATTTACTTGATCACCAATGAGAATTGGATTTGGTCACTAATTTGCTTAACAAGCGATGAAATATAGAAGCGATAAAGACCCAGTCATCCTTAGAAGATACTTGTATGCTGTTTATGAGTAGATAAACTAAAAAATGGAAGTTATCCTTCCTTCCTTCCTAAAGATTAAAGGTTAAATAAAACTCTGATGTGATAAATGTATTACCCAATGTTTTTTCTTTAGAAATATTAAATATGGTTTATTTACACAGTTAACTTTTCAGCATCTTAGGTTTGAAATGTTGATAATAGCTTTTGGTATGTTCCATCATCACTGTTTGCGTGCATTCTGGTAATTCACCGATAAATCTTCCAGGATTACCAGAGAATATCGAAAAGGCTGGTACAACTGTTCCTTGAGGAAGAAAAGTGTTATCAGCTAATGCACAGCAATCTTTAAGAACACAGTGACGACCTATTACACAATTTTTACCAATGTAAACATATGATCCAATGGATGCGGCATTAACTATACTACCTTCTCCGATAAAAACATTGTCTCCGATAGTTAATGGTAAAAAAGCGACCCTGGAATATAAAATGTTTTAATAACAGATTCAAGTAGAGTAACAGATTTTTTGACAAAATAATTTGATTTGGTCTGACATACCCTTTTAAAAATTTTTTGAATGGAGGTCGTATCACGGCTCGGCTGCTGACAACACAATGTCTGCCAATCTTTACATTGGCCAGGTCACCTCTTATAATACAATCAGATTGGATAATTGTCTGAAAATAAGCGGAATAAAAACAGTTAAGATGTTGAATTATTTGAGATTTGCTTCATTACATACCTTTCCATGTAACATAATATTCTGAGAGCCACATAGAACTGATTTCCGACAAACCTTATTTCCAGAAGCAGTTTCAATATAATCAGAGGAATTATAATAAATATCTTGTAGTTCCATAGTGTTTAATTATAATAACAGGTTAAAATTGATCACGATCATCAAAAAAGCTCAGAAATAGGGAAAAAACAAAAACAAGATGTTAATACTTTACCTAGCACTGGATGGCGTTATCATCAATTAACTGATAAAAAATCTTTGAAAACAACTTGATTTGAAAATCCGTTCATTAGTAGCAAATTAATTGCATTGTTGGATTGAAAAAACAAAATCTTAATACCTTTGGAATTACTTTTAATGATGGAAAGAGCGATAAATGTCAATTGAAGAGCTCTCAACCGAGCATTCAGCTGGTGAGTTATTGTTAATCATGTGTTGCTTTATAGCCTAATCAATTAGCAGTTTTAATTGACAGTTTCACCTTTCTGTTTTTTTTCAGTTATCCAGTTATATTGACTTGTGTAAAGATATTTAACAATCACGATGTATTATCAATGAATGGCAAAAATATCTAAATCAAAAATATGAGCTTTAATGGTAATTATGGCTCTAATTGACCTTTTATTGAAGAGGTTAAATGGTTATCCAAAACATCAACTACAAGTGATGAATTTTGTCATCATTTAAACTACCAGGATCCGCTAATTTGGTCAACATTCGTTGGTACGACAAATAGATGTCAACAATAGATGACTTGTTATTCACTGTTAATCTTGTAACATTTTAATATCGTCTTCCGTTATTCCCCTTCAATTGATCCTCGCCTTAAATCTTGACTTTATCCTTTTATCACTTTTGATTGAACAAAAATTTAATCCTTGAAATTGTGCTCCAGTTAATCTTCCAGATTACAGAATGTACTTGAAAGCAGTTGACTTAATAGGACAAAATTAGTTTAATATAAAAATTAGTCAAAAATCCTTTTCAACTCACAAAACTAAAATGAAATTTTTTCCAAATTTTTGCTACTTAACTCAACATTGCCATGCTTCATCACCGATGTTAGATACAATTGAATTTTATTCGGTAAGTTTTATTATTATATCCTATTACTTAATTTCTGATTGGTCACTAATTTTCCATCCAAATGACCATTAATTTAAATCTAATTGTTCTTTGCTTAAATAAGCTCAACTGACTCACTAGAAAATTTGCAAAACTTTACCCAAGAAGTAGTCACGTTTGACTTTTTTTTTCTATTACAAATATTCTCTCTTTCTTTGACATTTCTTCTTTGTTGATTTTTTTGTAATCATTTTTTTGATTTGTTTTTTTTTGCTGACCATTTGGATCAAAATGTCAACTTCATCATCGCCGTTGTCTATAACGTCCTCGCCCATGTACCCGTATTGCAATTGTCGTCATCATCTAACCCGTGAACACTTATGGACCAATAAGAGTAAAACTGATGGCCGGGTATTTTTCATTCGCAATCCTTACTTCGAAAAAACCAGAGGTAGACCCCGAAAGCCACCAAAGCCTGGGATTGGTAAATCAAGCCTTGATAGTCCTGCAAATAATGGACGAAAAGCAAATGGATCCTTGTGCAAATCTTCAAATGTTTCACCTGTTTCAGAGTCATCGTTCTTGCCTTCCAAATATGATGTTTGGAATAATATAAAGAATTCATTCAACCAATTCCGTAAATTGGGTCCAGTACCTAAAAAGGAACCAGCTATACCCAGTCTAGTAATCTCCAAGAAAGAGCCGGTATCAGTTTTTGATCAACATCCATTCCGTCCTTTACCTGGTTCATCAAATCAAGTACAATTAATGGTTAACCCGTTTGCCAGTAGAAATAAGATTAAAGCCCCAGCTGACGAGTTAACCAAAATGTTCTATGAAATGATCGACATAGCTTCAGAGGAATCGGATCAACCTAACCATTCACCATTCCTAGAATATCCCATGACACCAGAATCACCGATATCCCCGATATCCCCGATATCAACTACATCACTGCCCACTGAAAGTACACCGGCCAAAGCTATAACTGATATCGTAGAGTACCCAGAAAGTACCGAATATACTCACATTAACCCAACAATATGTGAAAGTAACATTTTAGACGATATTTTATACATGGTAAGTGCAATAAACTGATCATTCATTTCCTGCTTAATTAGCAAGCTTAGAAAAAACAATTGACAATTTATTCTCTTCTCTTTTTTTTGTCAGGATTTCAATGAATATGAATTTGACAAGATGATTTCAAGTTTACCAGATGTTATGGATACTGCTGTTTGTGACTAATTAATATCGACTCAGACTAATGACGGAAAAAACATTTCATTTGTAATTGGTGCCTTTCATCCATTCAACATCGTTTTTGCAAAAAAATTGTACTTATTAATTGTAACTTTTGCTTAGTAAAATACTCGTTACTTATATTATATTATAATAGTTTCTAAATTTGATCTCATTTTTGTATTCCTTTTCTCTTCTATTCAACCCAGTGGTTATAAACATACCTCGTGTATCTATTAACTGTTGTATGAGTTGAACCTCAACAAATATACTTTATTAGTGGCCAACATTTAAAACATCGAAGTAAAAAAATGCCCAACTGAACATTTTACAGACATTGTTAACACATTTTGGATGATAAACATTGTTTTCATTTTCTATTTTCAAGTGATATTAATCTTCTTGGTAATTAAAGGTATTTTAATACAAATAATTTATTCTTATTCCTATAGTGGAATCACTTAACTCAGTATTTCTTTTTACTGCCTTGTTTGTTGATTATCATGATTACCTAAGAGATTATCTGTGATTTGTTTCACTCGTTACAATCGAGACTTGCCTTTTCTTCTTCTCCTTTAATGTATATTAACAAAAAAATAACAAAACTCCCATAATTTTATCACATAAGATAAACGTTGATTCTTGTCGACCTATGACTACACATTTTGACTCTTGATCGGTACCTTTTTTTCCTTGTGTAACCAAGATTGCCATTACGCTTTTCAAGTTACAATTTTCGTTTGCTAAGTTACCTATTTTTATCTGTTATGAATTATCCTCTGTTTCTATAAACTCAACATGCTTTTATTAACCATTTTCAGGTTATTTTATTCCTATTTTATGCCAAGTGATTTGCCATTATGATTGGACCAGCAATATTTTAATGTTTAATATTTATGTTTTATATTTTACAAAGTTACATTATTTTTGAATTACTTCACTGTTTTGTTGAAGCAACACCTGATCATCTTTATTAGCAGTTACCAACGCTATAAGCTTATCAGATAATAAGCTCATATTTTTTTCTACTAATTTATCTACATTTTATCCTATTTAAATACGCGTGATATTTTATTGGTGTCGATTTGGACCTGAAAAATACAGATGACGTCTTTCAAAGGAACCAAAATAGAATGTAAAATTTGTTCAGACGATGCCATCGGAAGATACTTTGGTACCTATCTATGTGGATCATGTAAAGCATTTTTCCGACGAAATGCAAGTAAAAGTGAGGTAAGTAAAACATTAAATAAACATCTCAAAGGCCTGTTGACAATAATGTCAACCTCTTAATAATATTTATACTAATCTAGTTATACACTTTCTTTTCTTTATCTGTTTCTTTTACATGTACCATCAATCATTTTGAACCATGATAGAAATTCCTCTGCCCTTTTACGGAGAGATGTGAAATAAATAAAATGACTCGAAGACATTGCCGAAAATGTCGATTAGAAAAATGTTTCCGAGCTGGAATGAAAAAGGAGTGGATCCATTCAGAAGATAAAGTAACCGAAAACATTGATTTCATTGATATTAATCAATTTAAAACTGAACCAAAGTCTGTTCCGAGTACTTCTGGTCCTTTTAAAGATGGGGAAAGTCCGGCAAGTGATTCACAGGAGGAGGCAGAAGAAGGAAAATCAAATATAACCCTGGTCTTGAACAATTTGTTGGATGAAGCTGCATTGCATGATTTATTGGAAGAAGAATGTGAAGAAGCTTTAGATAAGGAATGTAAAGAATTGACCGAAGAAGCTGTTCCTTTACAAAACTCAGGCTTCCAATGTTACAGATTTGGTGATAATCGATGGGATGGTCGAGAAGATCCTTGTGATTTTCATCAAACACATCAAGAGTATCTTACATCAACAACTTATATAACAAATTGCGGTAATTTAGTTTGTATTGGAGCTCCTTTCAAGTCAACTTTTGGTGAAAACACATGGCAATGGAAAATATACCAACGAATGCTTGGCGCTAACTTCACAGCAATCAGTTTTAGAAGCGAGTTCATCTCTCGACGAGTTGCTCTCAATCACCTAGAAGCGGAAAAAATTGATGAACTCTGTCCTTTCTCGATGAAATTATGCAAAAATTCTCCATTCGACTTTCCATCAGATATCGATGTTCCAGGTTTCTTTAAAATATTAGAAATCTTTTTGAATCGACTGATACCTTCATTAAGCACAATTTCAACATTTTCATCGCTTTGCATGGAGGATAGAATGAGTCTTATCAAGAAAAGTTTTGGTCATATTCTGCTACTAAGAACTTCTGTTTTGGTTGATATCAATACGGAAACTTTAACAGTAAGAACTCTATAATTTTACAGTCAATTTGTCATTAATGAAAATTTCTTTTCACTTAGCTTCCTAAAACGAGTGTAACTCTGCAGTTGAGTAAATTCCGAGACTTTGCAAATTGTCCTTATCAGCAGTATATGGAGTTCATTAAAACTCTGAAACCAAACTGGAGAACGGATTTCAAAGCTAATTTATTGTGTATAGCCATCATACTTTTCAATCCAGAAACACCAAACGTTTTTTATCCAGATAATATTAGGTTAGCAAAAATTTATATTATAATTATTCAACTAAATTCTAATAATTTTTTCCGTTTCTTTTTCGCAGGATTCATCAATACAATTATATATACTTATTGAGACGTTACCTCGAATTCCGAAGTTATTTAGTTTGTGCAGCCAGAACAGACTATTTTGATTTAATGATGAAGATCGGAGAACTGCAAGAGACTATAAAAATCAACGAGTTTATCCATGATTTAGCATTAGCCAACAGAGATCTAGTTGGTCCATTGCTAGGTGAAATCCTGGACATTTGTTGAATGTCACTATCGATGGACCAGCGTTGAAATCATTAAAACCAGCTCAACATAAGCATTGCAGATCAGTTTACATCGAATAACGTCATAAAACAATGAAAAAAATTGAATGCAAATTTATTTGATTTGTAATAATTTCGACTGGGATTTAGTGACCATAGAAAAGTCATGTCATATTGATGAATGCAAAAAACGAGATGTAAAAATGGACTGACTTTGTAAATTAAAATTGACAATAAATGCTTTTTTTTTGTTTTGCTTGGTTTACTTTCATTGTGCACCAGGCAATGTTCAAAAGGCGACAAAAAGTTACATTCTTTTGGGTTTTAATCAGGATACTCCAAATTTCAAAGCTCAGTAAACTCAGGAAAGTTAGCAAACAGTGAGCAGAACCATTGTCTGGAAATTCGTCTCTCTCTGAAAACATTGAGTAATCCCATCCTCGATACCTTATTGTTCATTTTTTACGCATTTATCATGAATACTGTTATGTTAATTGAGTAATACTGAGTTTATTAGTCAGATGGGCTGATTATGAGTTAAAAGACTAATAGTTATAAGACACTCACAGTACATTTTGGCTTGATTCATGTTGTATTTTGCCTGTGAGAAATGAATGGTTCCAATTTTGTTACTTGATGTTTCGATGGCAATCTTTTCTGGTTATGATAAAATCTCTGGGCTTCAAATGAACGTTTCTTCCTGTAATGCTCTTTAATGGATTCTGGCTTTTGCTGGTCTTTCTTGCTTACCAGGCTCTGAAAATCAAAAATGGGTGATAACAAAAAGATTAAAATCTAATCAAATCAAACTAACTATTATTAGAGGCAATAGGCATAAAGCTAACAGGCTTACCTTTTTTCTTGACAGATATTTCCAGATTAAACATAGCAAAAACAATAGAAGAGTGGTAATTAGGAAAGCATATTTAACAATAGCTACATAAGACAATGGTTTAACCAATTTATTTGTCAACTCTGCGGCTAATTCATCATTAATTTCTGCTGATTGTTCAAACCATACCAATGGGTACAGCGTTTCTTTACGAATGTCACTCATTGTTCTAGAAAAAAGTAGTAAAAAATGGAAAAAATTGAGGAAAATTAGTTGATGAATTTTAATGTGATCGCTATTAATGTGCTTACTTTATAAATGGGAATCTACGAACAAAAACATTGATCTGTAATTGAACTTTGGCTCTTAAAGGTGTCCCAGTAGTCTTGATAACAATGAGAAAACAGTCAAAAAATTAAACAATATAAAGAGTGAATACATACAGATGTATAATTTAGTAAATAATAAAGTTGCTTTGCGAAAAATTATGAGGGAAAATTTAATTTTTTCAATTTTCTTCTGTTTATGCTATTATGCTCTAATTAATTAGACATAATTTTTCATGTAGAATTTTAAAATTCAACAAACAATTCTTTTATCATTAGTATTTTTTAATTCCAAAGTATCTCAATTAGTCAATGTTGCTTATCACGATTCAGAAAATACAGCAAAGTTGTCAAACTTTGAGCTCATGTAACTGTGATCACACGATCATGTATTAACTATCATGTATTAACTAAGGTGCAAGAAATTTATATTGGTCTTATTACTTGTAACATTAATAGTGATAATATAATAGGCTGATGGGCATTGAAATTGATTTCAATTCAGAGTCACAACCGTGTGACTTTGATACTTAAATGTAAAACAGTTTCAACACTAGTACTGGCATGCTTTTTACTATGATAATCTTCAAGTTAGTAACAAGGAAACCCATGAAATACCCGAGACCATGTGCAAATATCGCAGAATCGCTGACCATAAAGAAAGGCATTAATTTTTTCACAACTCATCATCTTTTATCGAATGGCATCTATCTCATTCAAATCTTTCTCGGGAATTTCATGGAAGTATCTTGTAAGGTACATAAAACAAATTAGAGTGCTTTGTGGGTTCGAAGAGGAAAGGAATGAAATGATCATTGACTATCTACCAGATGGTTCAAGTTGATACAAGTTTATAATGAAATCGCTTGATCGAATGGAAACTTACTGGCTCTAAGTCAATAAAAGACTGGTGAAGAGACTCATTTGGCTTTAGCCCTTCGATAGATTCCGAAAAAAAATTAGAAGCTGAAAGGAAATGAGGACGAGACAAATATACTGGAGCGTTGGCTTTACAAGGTCCAACGCTTGTGACACCATCAGCATTACAGGGAAATCCTTTAGTGGGACAAAAACAATCATTTGGTGGATAACGATATTTGTTGGCAAATGTTAAATCACTTAACACGAAGCGATATCCATTAATTCCTCTAAAAATAATGGTGCTATCATAATTGAAAGTGATGTATCTGATAAAGAGGGGAAGATATTCATAAACGAAAACATCGTTATCAAGTTCATAACTCACGCACTTACTCTGTAATATTTGTATTAAATATTTAAAGGCAGTAAGTTTTTTGGTTCAATTGGTATAAGCCATAATTCATCTTCGTGTAAAAGTATAAGGACATTGAACTTTTGCTACAATGATTAAAGAAATAATTTTTACCAGCAAATGTAGATCATGTTAGATTGAATAAGATACCATGAAATGAAAAAATATCAGCCTATAAAACTATTAATTTAAAATTACTACAAAGGAACCTGCAAAAATGAGAAATTAGATTTCGAAGAATCTGCTCGATAAATGTTTATCGGAAAAATGTTCCGATTGAGAATGATTTATTAGCTCATTGAAGTTGACAACTTTATAATTGTCGAAATTGATCAAACTTCTCTCCATGCTTTGCAGTTTGCTACTCATGATAACCTGAGAGTGATTTCAGTGAAAATGATGATAAATACAAAAATTGACTGATCAAATAATGAATCGCTTTTAATGGTCAACTTGAATAACTTTTGTTTCATCTTGATTATTTTTGATCTTTTGATCTTTTTTTATTCTCATTGAGGTTGTTCATTTGCACCTTTATAAGCTTTACTCTATTTGGAATGGTTTTTTATCGATACTAAAGTGTTTGGTTAATTGCTGAGTTATCAAGTTATGATTGATTCTTCGACGAGATGTCAATATTTCGTAGGAAATTAGACTTTGTTTCTATATTCTTCTGAATTATTAACAATTTTACGGGCGAGTCTCTAACTATCATTTTGAATTGCTAGTGAAAATTATTCATTTAATCATAGGCACCAACAAGCAGCAACAATACTTTTACACGAGAATGTATTGGATTAGAAGATTGAAAAATCATTTCTTACCTACACAGATCAGGGATGAATATGTAAATGTCTTGGTTTTTATCTACATAAGGTGAAAACACTGCTCCATCAGTTCCTTTCAGCCTGTTGCATGAATCTCCAGGCCAGATATTCAATTTTCTAGATGTTTGAAGAGATTCAAAATATTAATTGAAATACATTTTACTTACAATTTGTTAAATGTAAAGCGTAATTTTGAGGACGCATTTCTCATGTCATGATAATAAGGTCCTTTGAATAGTCATTATTTGAAATTAGTGAATCATTAATTACTTATTGTTTCTCCACGCAATAATAGAGCCCAGTTTCGATCCTTGACCAACTATTTCTAAAGGATCACCAAATGTCGCATTTTGACCATAAAAGAGTCCATAAGTGTTATCCTTGAGCCCAGTTGATGGAAACTTGATTCCAAGCAGAGATAAAGGCGCCCATACTGTTTCCAATGTTTTCAAAATTTTAACTTTCTGTCCTTTGAACAGCAATTCATTGACAGTCATTTCGGCCATTAGCTGCTCCTTATGAGCTTCAAATAGTCCATTACCAATCAGCTCGAGTGAGATTCCGGTTAAACTCTTCATAGGCAATTTAGATGCTATTGAGCCTAATTTATCCGCTATAGTCTGTAAGAGTAGTAAATCATTAGATTTTTGAAGTAATATTGAGACATACAATACAAGATTAATATAAATATTCATTTAAACTTGAAACTTACAACTGTTGGAACATTGAGAGTGAATATTTTGTCTTCTAAAGATCCAACCGACTCACTTTCATTGAAAAAATACAGATTATGTTCAGAATATTTGATTGTACCATTATCCTCATCTTTGTCAAGAATTCTCTTCTCTCGAAATAGACTGAAACAAATAGATTATAGTCAAGATTAATTTAACAAAGGAAAAGTAAGGGTTTATCACTTACCTAAAAACGTATGGTCCCTTTTCACGTAAAACAGGTTTCTTGCCAGACCAAATATCGTCTGGGTTAGTTTCTTCGAACACCCAAACCTTCAGAGACAAAGGGATAGGAATTTTAACCCATTTATCATATAATTCAGAATCAGATTGTAATAACGTTAACTTTGAGTAAATAACTTGAGCAACAATGTAATCAAGGCCCACGTAAAGAGTTAATCCTAGACATAGGAAAATGGTTGACACAATGAGACCACATGTTGACCTGTTCACTTTTAGTGAAGATGAACTCTTGAACAAATTAAAAACCATGTAGGTAACATCAGATTAAATGGTAATCACAATTAAAATTTAAAATATATCATCAGATTAGTATAAAACACTGTTTAAGTTTAGTCTGAAATAAAAAGCTAAAAATCAAATAAAAAATAACTCTGCACAAGAAGAAAGTAAAACAAGGCTAACGGATAGTCGTAAGGTCAAGTTATTTACAGATTATAAACACACAATCAAAAGAATGAATTAAATGAACACAAATAAACGATTTATTGTAAGGTTAAAATTAAAAACCGTGAAGGATTTAACTGTCCCCTTGTTGATCATCTTATCATATTAAACATCATCATTTAAGTCACAAAAAACGGTTGATCAAATTGACTAGGTATAAAAATTCAAACTGAGAGCCATAATGAGTCAAGTGAACTTGACATTGACAGACGAATCAGAAGTGAATACAATAAACTGTTTGATATTGATTGGTCCATTGGGATGACATAATGTCTTCATAGCTGGTCAATTATATTGATTAATTTATATTTCCCAAACAATCAACAAGTAATACGTAAATGGTCATTGATCAGAAATGATGTTTTTCTGAACTAATGTATTCTTCATCTTGAATTTCATTAGCAATCGATCGAAGGCAAATATTTTGTCATTTGCTTTTCACATTTATCGTTTCATTTTTTAGTCAATCGATTGCTTTTAATGAC